ACCCCCCCCTCGAAAAAACTTCCCAACAACGACGCCCTTACAGACTTGCCATTTACGACATTAAAACAGCTCTGAAGAATCCAACACTACAAAGAAAATAAAAAAGGAAAAGTTAATGGTGGTTAGACGTTGAAAACCGACCGGGGGATTTAAATGTGTGGCAGTCTCCACCCGCGCGAGCGTCAGTCTCTTTTCGCTCTGTATGAAGGAACGGTGGAACACTGAGCCGCGTCACAGCCGACATCCATACTCATGTCCCTCCGCGGGATGGATCCTCAGGCATTCACAGGCCTCAGCACTTCCATGTCCATCCGCTCAACTAGACACTATTGTGAGTTCTATTTTCCGAATAGCAGCACTTTTACCACTGCTATGGATCTGGATTGTTATCTCGGCAGGCAATACTAACTCTAATTCAATTATTTATTTTATAACATTTTTATCACAATTTATTTGGGTTCTTTTCTAATACAAAAAATATGTATAAGTGTATAAAAATAGTACTGTGTATATAAGTGACATGTATAATGTAAGCTTGTACATATTTTTCTAGTATTTTATGTTGAATTTTTGTACATATTTTTCCAGTATTTTCTGTTGAATATTTGTACATATTTTTCCAGTATTTTCTGTTGAATGTATGTACATATTTACAAGTATTTTATGTTAAATATTTGTATGTACTTTTGCCGTATTTTTTGTTAAATGTTTGTACATATTTTTGTAGTATTTTTGTTAAATGTATATACATATTTTTCAAGTATTTTTGTTAAATATTTGTACATATTTTTGCCATATTTTATGTTCAATGTTTGTACATATTTTTGCAGTATTTTGGTTTAATGTTTTTACATTTTTTCTAGTATTTTATGTTGAATGTTTGTACGTATTTTTGCAGTATTTTATGTTAAATATTTGTACATAGAGAGCAAAATCTACTGGAGTCAGTTTCTTTGAATGTGTAACATACTTGGCCAGTGAAGCTGATTCTGATTCCTAAGCACAATTAAGAATAAGAAAAAGAGGAACTTTATTGATCTCCGAAGAGAAATTCAATTGTCCATCGTCTCATTTGTCATGTCTCTAAAATTCATCTACTATTTATTTATTTATCTTCTATTTAATTCTATTTGTCCCTCACATATTCTAAATCAAAGTTTTGCTGCTGCTCCCTGAACACACATTGCATCCCTCAGCACACTATGTTCACCTGGAAGCATTGGCCTTCAAAATGCAACACCATGAAAACCATTTAGTCCCACTCATGTTGCACCTGTGCTAACTCAGTTGGAATAACACTTTAATCACACATCGGAGTATAAAAGGGGCCTCCAGTGACTCACACACCCACACAGATGAATTTGAGGGATGGTTCTATTATGGTAGGGTTTCCCCACTGCTGGGCCAAGGAGAATACCACAGGATCCTGTTTCTTACCAGGATCAGAAACAGGATTCAGACTGATGTGTTTCATTCCAGGGTTGCAAGGTTTTTTTTTTTGGCAGGACTGCTAAACACTAACAGTACATTCAAATATTTCTTTTGTCATTTTGCATCTATGTACTGATTTTCTTTGCTCTGTTTCTCATTATCTGACAACTTGTGAAATTACTTTGCTACATAATATGTAAAATGAACAACATTTGAGTTGCATAGACCTATACAGGGAGTAGACTGTAAAAATCTAAATGCCAAAAAAAAAAACAGACAAATTGGAAAAAAAAAACATATTTCCACACACTTGTATGCATCCAAATACAACATGTTGAAGTCCTGAATCTATTTTTTTAGTTGACAAACTCAGATTGTTTAGAGCTAAAAAGCACAGTTTGACTCAAGAGGAGACATCTTTTAAGTGTTACCTCTAGATTTTTCTCATGACACATAAAATGTCTCTATGTAAGTGCAGACAGCAGGACAACTATGTAGTGTACAGTTAATAATCCTAACTAGACCACCTTGTGCAAATTATATGTTTGAACTGACTGAATAAGTCACATGTAGGAAGTGAGGAAATACATAAAGCTAAAATAAAATAGATATTTTTACAGCATAGATGATGCTAGAAGTTAAGCATGTTGTGAATAATACAGCAAGACTCACTCATTTTTTTCACACTGATTTTCATTTTTTTCTGTACAGTTAAAAATAACACAACCATGACCATCAGTTTTAATGGTGTGAATACAGATTCTCACACAAAAACAGCTCATTAGTACATAAAAACATTATGCAAAATACCAAAATACTTGCCTCAGTGTTATTAAACAGTATATGTATTCTGTATATTCAGGAATATATTCAGTCCTTAAACTCTCTGACAGACAGCAGTGTACACTTTGCAAGTCAGTGCTCACTATAAAGTGTCATGTAACCTCCTGTGAGGAGGGAAAAAGGGTTTCTGTCAGCGCAACTCACAAAAGTTTAAAGGTACATCAAAAATCAATAGCATGTTTGCAAACAGTAGGGAGACACCAAAATCATTTCATTAATGTTTCAAAACCTGTTTTTTTTTTTCTTTCAGTTGTGCTGCCAGTGTCACCACACTGAAAGGTTGTTTCATTGTTTAAGCCACTGATTCTCAAGTCCAGCCCTCGAGGCCCACTGTCCTGCATGTTTTGGATGTTTCCGTGCTCCAACACACCTGATTCAAATGATCAGCTCGTTATTAAGCCATTACAGAGCTTGATAACGAGCTGATCATTTGAATCAGGTGTGTTAGAGCAGGGAAACATCCAAAACATGGAGGACAGTGGGCCTCGAGGACTGGACTTGAGAACCACTGGTTTAAGCCATACTGCATAAAATGTAGAGACACTTTTTCACCTTGATGGTCACACATAACATATTGATTGTGAAATCAGACACAACCAACCAAAAAACATCCTAGGACAATATCCCTTTTTTGTGGCACTGACAGTACAACTGACAGAACAACAGGTTTTAAAGCTTAAAGGAAATGTTTTAAATATTTTACTACTTCCTGAAAATGTGCTGTAGAGTTTTGATTAGCCATTTGACTGTTATACCAATTGTACTTACACTGCAAAGAAAGTAGATATTGTCCTCAAAACTGAGTCCAAATTATTGAAGAAATCTCTTAAGAATCATTCAAAGGCAAATATTGTTTTCTGCTATATACTCTATATGGTGAAAAAGAATACTGCTACCAGCTTCTACTGGACATATTTATGTGATGCGTTAATGTTAATGCAGGTTCTTACAAGAAGACAATGTGTGAGCTTATATAAACATCATGTGAATACAGCTGATGTAGTTTAATCATAACAGTATCTGCACACTTTGCAAGTCAGTGTTTAGTTTGCATAACTGCGTGCATCAATATGTTTAAGTACTACATCAAGAGCTGAAGTGTTGTTTGATGCAAATAAGTGAAAATAGTGCAAATCACTCAGTTTTATGATTGCATTACTGCAGACACTCAAGCAAGAGAGTACAGTCTGCTATTTGATACGATAATATTGGAATGGTAGGAACTAATGGCTGCATTGATTGGTGAAAATATGACAGGAGCATGTGCCAAAAAAGAGAGACTCTATTTAAAGTTGACAGTTATTGGAACAAACACAACATCGAGGTTAAGCGTACCACTAGAGCAGTGAAAACTCTTCATGATTATATTCTCTTCAATCTCTTTGTATAAATTGTGTCCTATGTGTGAAAACATTTAATCCAGGATGCAGCTGACATGTCTGGTCTCTTTCTTTCAGGTTGGATTTATAGTGTGCTCTGTGCTCCACTGTGGCCTGCTGGGCTGTAAAGGAGCAGAGAGAGAGAAGGAGAGAGAGAGCGAGCGAGAGAGAAAGAGAGAGACTGAAGGAGAGAGCAAAACAGGGGAATTGAAGAAGCACAAGAGAGGGAAGGTTTATGTGTGTGTTTGTGTGTGTTTGTGCACATGTGGCTCCGTGGAGAATTGCACGCTCGTGTGCTTTCGCTCTTGTGTGCTTCAGTGTGTGTTTGTGTGGAGAATGTAGGGATCTTAAGGACAGTATAGAGGTTTGTGTGTGAAGCATGTAGAGAGTAATTCGCCTGGAGCGACCTCCAGGGTGGAATAAAGGAGAGGGAGCCACAGAAAGGGAGAGATGGAAGGCTGGAGGATGAATACCAGGGGAAGATGAGAACAGAAATTGTGGAGGGGAAAGTAAAGATGCTGAAGAAACACATTTAAGGACAAACAAGATAAAAGGAAGAGAGAGGAAATAAGAGGAAGATAAAGAGGATCCAGTTAAAGCAGAGGTAGGTCTCAGTGATGAAATAAGAGAATGAAACTAGGGAAAGAAAAGTCATGAAATATGGTGTCAAGATGTAGTACTTTTACTGAAACAGAGACTATCATGTCTCTTGAGCAGATGTATTCACATGATGTAACAATGATATTCTGGTTTAACGCTGAGGTCCCAACGGTCTCTTTAAGCGACATATTTATTTTCAGTTTGCATTTTTTCCCAATAATAGTCCAAGTGGCATGCCAAAAAGTGGGCTATTTTTTAACCACACAGAACCTCGCTCAATCAGACCAGTAACCTCTACAGTCAAACACACTCATACAAGTTGTCCTGTTCATATAAAGCCATGTAAAGTCTCAAAAAAATGCATTGTATTGTCAGGCCAGGTTCAAATATTTACTTTTGACCGTATTCCAGCAGATGGCACAATTGAATAGTTTTATTCCCCTGGGGCAAAAACAAACTAGCTTTGCATGGTTGTTCATTTTCTTTTTCCAAGGGACGTCCATGTTGGCTGCACACTTATTTCTTACCAACGATCGCTGTGTATGCAGCTGAATAGCCTACATCATCCACTTTGTTTACAATGGCAGCAATACCAGATACCAGACCTCCAAGCGGCGGAAGCTGCCATCTTGTTTTTTTTACAATAAACTGAAGCCACCTTCTGTGGAGTAATCCAAAACAAACTGCTCTGTTGTAATTAAATGACTGTGATAGGTGCAGTTTATCTGACACCAAGGGAAAATCATTTGGATTGACAGCGGTTCCAGACCCACCTGCCAATGAAAATGCAACCAAGCTCGCTGATGTGTCCAGCAACAACAGGCCAAAAGCCAACAGTTCTCCTAATAACCACAAGGGACACCATTGAGGCCACCTTGTGTTACTGAGGCTGAAGTGCCTGAGTAACCAAATAAAGGGTTAAAAGTCTAAAAATATATCTTTTTTTTTTTAAATTTACAGACAGGACTGAGGTTGTTGGGAATGTTTGACATGGTAAAAAAAAATAGATGTATCGATATACTGCTAAATAACTTAATTGTGCTTTTCTGATGGGTCAACATTATGGACCTTAATGTGCTAAATAAGACTTTTTTTTAAAGCTGACAGCAAACATAAATGCCATGATGTTTAAAAAGTGGCATCTTAAGAGTTTGAGCTGAACATTACTAAAGGTTGTAAAAATATCTGAAGCAATTAGAGTAGAAAATAATATCGATAAGTCATCATTTTTTAGCACCGTTGTTAATTGGTCCACTAACTTAAGATGGTTTAAGATGGCATTTATGACTTGTTGAGTGTCATAATAACTTCAGAACAGTTGTTGTATGGGTAAAATATATATATTTTTTAAATAAGGTCATGTGTTTAGTGGAGGAAAATATTGCTCACAACCTATGCAGTGAACAATCCTGTTGTTTCAAACCTTGTTGCTGCGTCAATATGAACCCCATCGATAACATTATTAGCATGGCTTAGCAAAATAAACAGATGCAACGCAGGAGCCGCTAGTGTTGTTCTGTTTGGAATTCCGGAGCATCCCCACATTATGTCTCAGGTTTCTTATTACAATTACAAACACAGTCATCTGTTTTTTCTTCACACACAAAAAAGAGTGAGATTATTGACTCATGGTTTGAGGCACAGTTGTGTTTCAGGGCACAATCAGGTCGCAAGACCTCTTACAGGTGTATTCAGGTTGAATGCAAAGAGAATTTTTGGCAACAGAGTTAAATATAACAACAATGAGATCACACAAAAGGTAAATTCACCCTGTGAGGGCATGTTGAGGCAATACATCACATCTGCACAAATTAGCTTAAGTGAATACTTGGTGCTTCGCCAGCTGACGTCTTTTCAGTCACTACACTGGCTGTTTGTAGTGAGTTAACACTGACTCCGCAGATGATCTAGAGGTCAAACTTGAGGGTTTGATTAGATTTGCACTTTGATTCTGTTCTTATGAGAAGTTATTGGAATTTATGGCAGATTTTCAAACTTATCTTTATCAGAGTTAGGCCTACAAGTGTGAAAGATGTTTCAAGTTGTCATCAGTGTTATGTGTTTCTGAGCTCTTTCGCAACCCTGCCAAAACTTGCTGTTCCTCTGTCGATGTTTTTGTTGTCAGTCATGACCCTTCACCTAAGACTCAACAGGTCTGTTATGTAGCTTGGAGCCAGACTTAAAAAGTGATCAGTAAAATCTTAAAATCAGTTCTAAAACCAACAGGAAGCCAGCATAGGAAGGCTAAATCAGGTGATGTGATCTCATGCCTTAGATTCAGTAAGAAGCAGTACTGCTTCAGTCCAGACATCTTTGTGGTATATGTGTTTGTTGTTTATGCTTGTTGAAAGAGAGTTGAGAAGCTGGAGGCATAAATAACTTTTTGAAGATCTGAGTCTGAAAGAATGGATTTCATTTTGGCAAGTATGACATGACACTTTTGACGTGTGTTTCAACATAATTCAGAACCAAACCCTACTCCTACATTTCTTGCAGTTGGCTTTATTTTGGTAGAAAGGGCACTGAGGTCACTGTCAATAGAAGAGTAGAGTTTTGTGGACTCAACATTTTTATTTCTTATTTTGAATTGTTGACTTGAAGAAAATCTTGTACCGTCCAACAATTAATGTCAGTGAGATATCTCTGAATAGGGCTAGGTTTGTATATACAATAATATATTTGTGTGTTGTCTGTGTAGCATTAAAAGGAGACATTGGATGCTGAATTATTTGGCCAATTGACATGTAAGTAGGAAATAAAGAAGGACCTAAACTTAAAACTTCAACAAATTGCATTATCAATTATATCAAAAGCTGCGTATGTGTAAAAGAATTAAAATTCTGCCCACCATGTACAGCTGGAAAAAGGCCATTTGTTACCTTCATGAGGGCTGTCTCTTAGCTGTGAAAAGCTGTAACACCAGTGTGAAATTTGAAATAAGTGTTGTTGTTGTGTATTTTGTCTCTGATGTCTTAGTGTGATGAAAATTATATTTTTGGCGATGCTCCTCAGCTCCAAGAACGGCAATGGTGTGTCATCTTCATTTTCATTATACAGTACCTCTGCTCCTGTTTGCTTCATTGAAAACACTTTGCATTTTCCTAACCAGATTTTGCATCTGTTCGTGACATGATACAGTACTGCTAAGGTGCTTTCAGCTCAGCTGTGGTCCTCTGATGGAGTCCCAGACAGGCAGTATGACCAGAGAGGCTCCTCTGGGAATCTCCCTCACATTGCTGCACTCTGCTGCACACTGCAGCAGCCGCCTTCATGAATAACAAGTAGCTATCCAACCCCCCTCTACACTGGCGTACACACATTCTACCATCATATGCACGCACAGGCACGATCCTGCATGTGGTCAAAAGCATCCACATCTGCAAATATGTAAAGACACAAGCTTTATGTGCACACAGACAAGCTCACACGTTTGTGTGCTCTGATATCATTATCTGCACACACAGATGGACATGCACACACAAAGAAACAGGCATGCTGAAGCTCACAGATGGGGTTTGTGCCTGCCAAATGTTATGTATGGAAAACTGTAATGAATATGATTACGACCTAAAGACTGGTGTGGTTTACATAATGAGAAACACAAAGGCATCCGCTGTGTTTGTTCTTCAGTTATCGTCAGATGTACTTCAGTCGCTGTAGAGAAGAATCACAAAGTAAATTTTTTTTTTCCCAGGTATCTTCTCTGTGCTGTCAATGTGCCAGTGGCCTTCGGAAAGAAAGATAGATGCCTTTACGTCTGTTCGTGTTCAAAAAATCAATGCTTTTTTGGGGCTGCATCTTGAATATTTTGGGGGTATGGCAGTACTTCAGACTGTTAGGTCTTGGCTTCGAAGTATGAGGGTAATTGATCTGTTATGGACCAAATTGGAAAACAGACTGGCAAAGAGGAGTGAGTTCATATTGAGGGCACTGCCACAGAGCCCCTGAGCAAGGCATACCGTTCAGGGCAACCATCCATGAGCTTGCCTCCCCACTCATCAGAGCGTGTCAGTAAGATCCTGTTTGAGTATGAGTGTGTGAGTGTGTGTGGGTGAGTGTGTGTGTTTGTGTAGTATGGTCTATACCACAGTGAAAAAATTGGGTATTTTTCTGGGGTTTAATAAAAAATATATGTTCTTCTTTTGCTTTTATGTATCTGTTTGCTTTTGTTCTTTAAAAAAAAAAATCAACCTTCTATTCTTCATAGACTGTCGATGTGTTTTAATAGTCCATTGTACTTAGAATAAGTATCATGTAATACATTGTCTTGACCCAGTGGTAGCTCACTCTGATGTACAGTCATTATGATGCAAAAAGTTCACCAATAAAAGTTGTCTGACAGGTTGGTTTGTTTTATTGAGCCCTCTTACAACCTGCAGCATTTCCTTTGGTTGATTAAACAAGGATAAAACATGGTAAAATCAGAAAAACATGGTAGAAAGAAATATTTAAAAAAAGGTTTCTTGTAATTCTGAAATAATAATCTGGTTAATTCAGACAAAGGAGCATTTTTGTCTAAAGTGAATGCAATATGGTTTCTCAGAGCTCTGACTTTCAGACCTCTGAAATGACAGTTAGAGTATGGAGACTTAAGTCAGACAGCTGGTTTAAATTGGACTCATCTTCAAGATTCTCAAATAATAAATTTCTGCAAAAATAAGGTCAGAAATCTGACTTTGATCTCAAAACTCTGAGATAAAGAAAGAATCCTGACCCAAATCTCAGACTTATGAATGAAAGCTAGAATTCTGAGATTATTTTTGGAATTCTGACTTCAATCTTCGGATATCAATCAATCAATCAATCAATCAATCAATCAATCAATCAATCAATCAATCAATCAATCAATCAATCAATCAATCAATCAATCAATCAATCAATCAATCAATCAATCAATAGATAGATAGATAGATAGATAGATAGATAGATAGATAGATAGATAGATAGATAGATAGATAGATAGATAGATAGATACTTTATAAATTCCAGACGAAAATTCAAATAAAATTCGAATTGCGAGCTGCCCAGATGTAAGACTTTTTAAACAAGATATTCAAGAACTCTGAATATTTAAAAAAAAATCCATTCTATTGTTGTCAACTTTTTCACGCTGGGAAAACGCCTTTCTCCAACAACAACGCCTGGAAACCCAAACCTCACTGCTTTATGCACTCATTGGTTAAAACCCGCCACGAGTCGTCGACTGACCAATCCGAGTACACGCAGCAGAGTTTGAAATGTCAGCGCTTTCATCAAGCCACAGAGTCACATGGTTAATACCAGCCAACCAATGAGAGCCAGTTTTTGTTGTAAACAGACCGAACCGACCAATAGCAGCTTTAGTAGGCCGTTCTTTTCCTGTTGACGTCAGCGGCTATCTGAGCAGCTTGGTGTCAGGAGGAACTGCTGGGTGAAGTAGAGGAGGAAGGAGGAAACAACCTGGAGGGAGCAGAGGAGGCTGTAGGAGCAGAGCGGTAGGAAGAACAGAGGACGGATACTCTGAAAAAGTCTGAGCCGCGACATTGGGCGCTTTTTGGGGGGGATGATATAAAGTAGCTGGTCCCGGATCCGCTCATCGAAGTTTTGGCTGAAGAAGTTCACTACGGCCCGGCTAACAAGGGACGCTACTGACGAGGCTGTGGTCCACTACTGACACAGACCTGCTCAACAAAGAAAGCAAACATGGTGTCCTGGATGATCTCCAGAAGCGTGGTGTAAGTACTTTGACTAATTAAAGAAACAAAAGTGTCAGTTTTTGATAAATACGGGAGGTTTATCGGACAGCTTTTCGGGGATGAGCTTTGTTAGCTTCGGCTAACCTGGTTCCGACGTTCGGCTAACTTACGACTGTTGTTGTCTCCCATATTTAATTTAATTTATTTTTTTTCTCTTCAATCCAGATTTTAACCATATAAACACATTCTTCCACGTCTCCGTAAACGCACTGAGCTGCTAACTTCAGTTTTGACTCTTGTTGTCGGGCCTTGTTGCTGTTGATCCAAAGCTAATGCTAACATGTTGTTTATGAATCATGCTCATGCACAATCCTGATGAGTCAACCTTTCAATATGTGACTCTTTGTCAGGTATCGGTGAGGTGGATTTGTTTAGACATGTCGACGCCGAAGTTTGCATCTTACTTGCTGTCACCATTTTGATAAATGTCTCTTGACCTCTCAGACCTGGCTTAAGTAGTTCCAAAAAGGTCACCGACTCTTTAGGACACAGTTTGAGAAGAGTGAAAACTCATTAAAAGGTCATTCAATTGCTGTCCACACCTCAAGGACAAAGTAAATCCAAGACAATACAATACCCTGACCATTCAGATCTAGATTTCCTTATCCAACAGAGTCTACAATTTCTGATTTGTGGAACCTGTATTTTATTTATTTCTGCAAATTACATAAAGGTTTTACAATTCTGCAACTATTTGTAGTCCTCTTAATCATACTGGTTCACCTCTGTAAAGTCCAGGCATTGTATTTGTGGATGACCTGGTACAACGCAGCCTATAGTTAGAAAAAAGGCGGTAAAATAGACTTTTCTTACATTTCACAAACAGAAATAAAGATAGATACTGAGATACTTAAGCTTTGATATTTTGCTTGGCCATCGAGACCTGCTTGCACGTGGTCTACACAGAAAAAAGTGGTGAAATCATCATTTTTTGCAAAGCTAAATCTGTCTAAATCTAAAATGTGTTTGTAGACTCAGAGCCTTGTTTCTAAAACCTTCCCCGAAACAGCAGATTTGAAAGCCTAAATAAGATGCTAACTTAAGCATCAGCTGGTCTTGTTATATGTGAAGGGGTGTCAGGTACAGCTGTCATCTTGAAGATATTATTAGCCAGCCAGTTCTGCTCAATATAACCTGGCAACCATAACAATGTAAGGACTTAAGAGGAAAAGTGTACTCAAATTAATCTAAGTGGATTTGCATGGATTTGTCTGATTACAAGGTATCAAGTCTTTTATTGTGATGCGGCTGAAATCTCTGTACAAAATATAAACAAAAGTCAGATTTAGGCTGAAGACATTCTGAAGTGTATTTTTTTTTGCTTAGAAGAGGCCCCTTAACAGCATTCCCATTTTTAAATATTCTTGCTGGCTTTTAATACTTTTAGTGCTCCTTCCTCTGTCTTTGTCCAGACAGGAGAAGTAGTTACATAACAAGGTGCAGATGGAGGATAGGAATGTAGTGAAAAGTACAGAAGGGAGTGGTGGAAAAATATCACACGCCTCTCCTTTCTTTCTGATGTTGGATAATAAACACATTCTTTTGTAATAGACCTGTCAGGCGTCACTACATGATTCATGGCTTTTCATAACCCGAGTCTGATTGAAGGAACTGAAGGCTGTTTTTGACTCCTTCATCTCATATCAGCCCCTGAATTGTGTGAATGCTCTCTCTGAAACACGTTGCAGTACAATATCATTGAACAGGAGATTTATCACATCTACATTAACCAAGTATTTTGGCTCTACATTATCAATCCAAAATGTTCAGGCTGAAAACATAATCCTCTTGAGGTCTGAAGGTGCCTTACTGTAAGGAGCGGCATGTCCGCGTCATTAACAGAGTGATGTGGGATTAATCCGGATGATGAGATTGATCTGAATTACACTGAACGTGTCAGGCGTTAACCCTTATTCTAACTCGGAAGTTTCAGACAGCACTGCCGCACGTGTCTGCTCAATTCATGAGAGTTTCATTTTAAATTAGTATTTTTATTTGACTTATTATCGCTACGACTTTTTTTTTTTATTAATAAGGAATAGCAATAGTCTGAATTTATCGTAATAAATATGGGAAAGAGTTGCAATGTGTGAATGCTCTCTCATTCAGTTTTTACGCTGTCAACTGTCTGATTTATTGAAGATACACATGCAACAACTATGAATATGATGAAAACTATGAATTTCAATGGTAGGCAAGCTGATCAATAAGCAGCAGAAACAGTTTCTGTTTGGCATGAACAATAGAAAGTAGGGAGATGGATCAACAGGCAATAACTTCGTTTTTGAAACAACTGGCATCAGCTGATGTCCGAGCTCATGAGGTTCATTACATGAAATAAACAAATCGTGTCTGTGGATACTGCAGACAGTCTTGTCATTGGCTGCTTAAAGCAACCTTCTTTGAAAGGACATGCTTTGGTTGGCTGTTGAAAGTCAATACTGGCCGACCAATAATAGAAAGTAAGTTTAATTGCATGACTGCTTTCAAATGGAAACAATATTTAAACTGGTTTTGCCAGTCTAAATCTGGATCTCTTTATGTAAAGACAGCTGACTAAACAAAGACACAGTGAGAGTTTTAAATGAGGAAAGCTGTAAGTCAGTTTGGCAAGGAAAAACTTTAAATACTTTGTCCATTACTCTTGGGGCTGCAAGTCGTAGATGAATCCAAACTGACGTGGGGGATACAGGGGCACTGGCAGATGCCTCCATGTTCACACTATGTCACCTCTTCAGGTGGGTTATAGTGTTAGCCACACCACCTGTGACTTGTCGAGTCACTTGTCTCTCTTGCTAAAACCTGCAGTGATCTCAGATATTTGATTTGGAAGCCTGCCCTATGTTTGTTTTGCACAGCTCCTACACTGCTCTCCATTACAATAGAGTACACCTGCTGTGCTCACTAATGTAATGTGGGTCTATAAAATCAAAATAAGACATGATCATATTTCTAAATGAATGCAGAGAACATAGAAATAATCTGGATGCAGACACTGAACAAGTGATTCATCTGGATTTCTTTCCAACATTAAATCTAAACATGAAGTCGCAGCATGAAGTTCTGAATAAAGTTCAAGCTAGTAATCAGCTGATAGCTTAACTCCAATGTCCAAGACTTGGTGACTTTTATTTAAAATCATTACATTTGCTGTCAGCTCTTTGCCTTTGTCATCGCTCTGGCATGCCTGCTCCTGTCTTGACAAACACAAATGAACACACACAGCTTCCCCCACCCTAAACATGAGGCAGATAACACCACCAAACATCGACGTTACTCCTGTTAAAGCTTTTTCTCCTGCACGTGTAGGCATATTATAAAAACCTGAAGGTAGTTTTATAAGAGCAAATAGCAATGACAGAGTCTGGCTTCCCTGTAATTACTCACCCATGTTTGTTTTCTTCCTGAAAGAGGGTGAGCCCAACGATAAATCAGGCAGAGACACGTCATGACTGATAAGACCTAATAATCAAGTGATCGCGGGTGTTTTCCTCGGTGTTTCCAAAACTTCCTGTTATTGCCCAAATGACTGAAAACAGGACAGTTTTTATCTCAAACAGGACCTGAAGGGTTTCCTATTTAAGGTGCTACAAGCCATTGAAGTGTCTGCCCTGATTCACCCGGATGGATAGGCAGTGAGGCTTAAAAAAGGAAGAAGTGACACTTATTGTTTGAATTTATTTCATGTGATTGTGGTCTTAAGAAAAAAGACAGCAAGAAAACCAGCAGAGCAGAATCTCTCTTTCTACCTCCACAGATCTTTCCATCGACTCTCCTGAGCGCCTGTCGTGCTGCAGTAGAAATAGCCAGACGCTGGTTTTCAAGTCAGCACTTCACAACCAGCTAATTTTAGGCGTCAGCCTGCAAGGAATGGGTCCAAGATACTTGTCCAGCTCTGTCTCTGAGCTGGAGCCTCCCTTTTAGCACTGACAAAGAAGTATGAGTTCTCTGCCTTGACGCTGAACAGCCACGGAGAAATCGCTTCAGAGAATATGGATGTCTGTGGTGAAAACAATCACAGCAGACTGTAAAAACCCTTCATCTAAAAATGTGGGAGCAGCACAGAAATGAACGTTATCATTTATTCCTGCACAATGTTTAATGAGTAATACAATATTAGCATAAACTTAGAACAGCCAGAAAGCATGCAAAAGCAGCCGGCTGTAGGGGGACAAAAACAGACCTTCAATATTCACTGATTTACTCATAGAGGTCACTGCTGTGTTCTTCTCTTCATAACAATAACACGTTAGTCTGCGAATTCATGCAGGAAGTAATAATAGCAGGTAACACAGTGTTCCATCATAAGTAATAAAACCAAGCAACCCTAACTACTAATTTTTTCAATCTCAATAAACTCACTCTGTATTCTTCTTCTTCTCATTTATTGGCTCTCCGACAAGGGCAGACAGACAAATGATCTGTATCAGTGTTTTTATTTTACGGAGGGCAGATAACATCTCTTTGTTCAAAGGTGTGCCCTGCTGCTGCTAGTGTTGCTGTTGTTGCGTCTTTCCCTCTGGCTTTGTTGTCTTGTTCATCGTTGTCTCACTTATAGTCTCGCCATCTGATTGGCTGGATGCCACATGATGGTGAGATATAACCGTACCGTCAGGTGTAACTGGTAACTGTCGACTCTTCGATGATGATGAATGTTTCACTTTGGTTAAATATTTTTTTAAACTGTCAATGCTGACTGCTCCAAATACCATCTAAGAAATACAAACAAATACAACTAAGAATTGGACTCATATTGGCCCCGGAAAAATAACATGGTTGACCCTAATCTCCAAAATTCACCAGAATACTTGGAAGTAAGTGTGAAATTTCTTATTAATTACATAAAGGACCCTCTTCTCATTACACGTTCCTTGCTTTGGCTACATATTGTGAAACACTCATCTGATTCTATCACGTCTGGGCTACCTGTAGCCATGGTAGCCCATCGACTGCATGTGGTGGTCCACTCTTATTTTGAAAGGTCAGAGCTGACACTGACAAGATGCCCCTTTGCCCTACATCATCAGTCCTCATTATCGTCGACACACTGCAGTGCATTGTTTAAATCAGTTAATATTAAAGCTGTCTTATCTGCTGATATGAAACAACACAGCAAGGAAGGTTTGCTAGAATCACACACTAGAGGAAAACCTGTGATTGTAGCCACTCTTATTTTTGGACCAGGGCAGATGGTAGGGTTGATAATTTGGGCCAAAAATAAAATCCTGATTGTTTTTCTGAAAACTCAATTTTCGATTTTGCTTTTTTATTCAGTGACAACTTCACCAAACTTCACTTTAAAAATAAAAAGTTTTAATTTTTTAAGCTTACCGTTCCTCTGTTGTTTAAGGTTAAGGAAAAGTTCACTCTGCATGTTATTCAGATTGTTTATTCAAAATCAAACTTTGTTTAATGATTTGAGGGCGTATATATGTACTTTTTTAACATGTTAAACATATTTTATGTTATCTGTTAAACATATTTTAACAATACCGTGATAATATTGATAACAGTGATAATTTTGGTCACAATAATTGCGATGTTAAATTTTCATATCATTACATCCCTAAACTGTAGCAGTAAGATGTTTTACGACTAAAGTGCAAGTGTCATGTTAACTGAGTGAGTAGTTTGCTTTGTAGTTTTTTAACTACATGGTAAACTTCTCTGTGAAGTTTACCATGAAGAACAAGCCTTTCAGGATCAGTAGGATGGACGGTACTTTCACTGCCTGAGGCTTGTGGAAGCCTTCATTAGTTATCTCTGAAAAGACCCTCGCAATCAGTTTTTACATGTGAAAAATCTCAAAATCTCCCAACACCTCTGTCTGATAGGGCTGACTTTGCACTGTGAATATGTATGGAAGTAGGTGTAGGTACAAATCTGAGTCAAATTCCTGAAATTTTCCACAACTTTTCTGCAGTGAATGTCTGAAATAGCTCTTATTATAGGTCTGATTTCTTTTAGCTTTGGTCTGCCTTTGTTGTTTTTGTTTCAAGAAAATTTCTGGGGACTTCTGGCATGGACAACAGAGTAATATGTATGAGCTATTTCACTCTGAAGTGCAACATGTTAACTCGATTATTGAGCTTATCTGGAATAACAGAATAAGGCTTTATTTTTATGATTTGTTTGGGAAACATCTTGAGGATTTCATAAGAATTCAGAATAGAAATGGAAACATGTTTCTTAAACTAGTCCAAATAGTCAAAAATGTCCCACATTGCCAGTGTTGATCTTGGCAGCTGTTTTAGGTTTAGTCCCACCCTCCCACCAGTGCAGTGCTGCTGTGCTGCTGTCCCTGCTGCACGAATGATCCTTACTCCAAGTCAAAAAGAAAACACTGTGTCTGATCTCTTCTGTAGGTGGTGGTGGTGGTGTGTGTGGGGTTGGAGGGTTCTGGCTCAGCCCTTAATGTCATCAAGTCCCAGAAATGCCCCTGGACAGACTCTTTTCGCTGTGCTCTCCGCTGCATCTTCATCTTTGTCATTCAGTCTTGATCATTGCTACAAATCATCTCACCATGGTCTCGGATGTGGCTCCAAACTGGGATAAATGGAGGCTTTGGCGCAGAGCTGGGGAGCCAAACTTTTTAGTTACTAACTTTTATTGGCAGTATTTATTATCAGTATTTTTATCAGTAAAAAAAACAAAAACAATTTGACTAGATGCTCGATACAAACAAGCATCCAGGTGCCAATGTCTGCCCCAGTTATCAGCAAAGGCAGATGACTGGTTTGCCTCAACCTGTTACAGCAGTTTCACAGATAAGTAATCAAGTCTACTAACTCAGACTGTTAGAGGAATTCTTTGGTCATATTTTGACAGATTAGACTCACAGCAGAGGAACCATTGTGGATTTAAAATGTCTGACAGTTCACCTAAAACATGCTTATCTCTAGGGATGGGAATCGAGAACCGTTTTTTGTTGAGAACTGGTTCCAAATGGTTCAATCCATCGACATTGTTTACATTTCATCTTAACGATTCCCTTAATGATTCCTTTCTTCCGGTTATCAGCTGCTGCTGCTGCTCCATCTCAGCAACAGCATGGAAGGTACATATGCCCTGTGTTAACATAAGCACAATGCATGTCAGACTTGAAATAACTGAGTTAGAAGCGCGTGAAAAACACCCAAAAAACCCTCAAAATTTTGCGCGCGACACTGCATAGTAATGTCCTCTTTTTGGGGATCCACCCTAATTTAACTTAATGAAGTAAAACGCTGTACCAATAGTTTGTTATTTGATTATTTTTAGACTACTGTTATCAGAGACTCAATACAATTTGAGTTAACAGTGAAAAACCTATAGTCTACTTTTTTTAAATCAAAATTGAATCGATGAGCAGAATCAATAATGGCATCGATATCGACAAAATCTTACCAATTCCCATCCCCATTTATCTCGTTCATGAAATTCAAACATCTTCAGAGTTGGTCTCATCATGTTATCTACTTGTCTTTGTCATGGGAAAAAAGTCAATGTTTGATTGGACCATAAATGTATTATTTCCAAATGAAGATATTCAGTGATCTATCTACTATAACACGTCTCTACAGCCAACATGGACATCATGTACTACATGAAACATACACCTCCTTTTTGGCTAATGGTCATCACTGCAGATATTTTCATACCCTCTGAACCAATAGTAACCCTTTCAAGCTAATATCTGTTGATACAGGTATAAAAAAGTCATGATCATCTTTATTTTCATTTATGTGATTATAACACTGCATTTTACATTAATCTGGTCAACCCCATAGTCCTGCATAGAAGTTTGTCATCTGGTCTAAACATCAGTTTTCAAATGAAGGCACCACGAAGCCTGATATAGATTGTCTGCATCCACAGAAAGTGTCAGCTCTGCCACAAACTTTATACTTTATGTTGTGTTCTTATCTGCACTTTGAATAGTGTGTCATACTGTGTGTACGGTGTAAAAGGTTTCAGCCTGGTTTGTCAGCCTGTTTTTTTTCTACTTTGGTACAGCGGTGTTGCTTTGCTCTGCAAGCTCAGCTATGAATTTATTGGGTCAGTGTTGTTGTCATTAAAAAGTTTTTCTCTGTAACTTTTAGAAGAAGATTTATTCCTGCAGCATAAGTATAAAAACATGGAGCAGCAGCTTGAGCTGGCGGAGTACGTTTTGTAACGTGGGAACATTTAGAGAGCTGTGAGCTCAGTCTAAATGATGTATGTCCTTTGTTTCCCTGTGAGGAAATACTGCGGGGATGAACAGACCTGGACCTGAACCAGTCTCATTTGCTGGAGCAGCAGTACTCCCAACAATCCCCCCTCTGTGTTTTTAGGGGAAAAGTCATGTAATCAAATTCTTATTCCTGAAGCTCAAACCAGATGTTGGAAGCTCAAATATTTTTTTTCTCCCTCCTCTCTTTCTCCCTCCCCCTCTCCTCCTTGGCGAGCCTCTCTGTTTTATATCGCTCTTGTTCTCTCTTTCCCCTCTTGTCGTCCTGTCATCCCCCTCCCTCCATCTGGTTGTTGGTGGTGTACGGTGTCAGGAAACCAGAGAAATTGACCTGGAGCCCAGAGCCACGGCCCATCTAAGAGCACCAGGGCTATTTTCTCAGCTGCATGCAGGCAGAGGGGGGGAAGGTGTTGAAACGGGAAGAAGGGGGATGAAGAGGGAGAGAGGGGAAATGGAGAGATGGTAGTTTTGGTATGAAAAAGGGGCCCTGTTTCTCACTAAATTGTTTCAAGATTATTCCAGTGGACGTCCAACTCATTTTGTGGGAGTTTGCCTTAAGCCCTTTTCTGGTCTTGAGTTACTCTGAATGAGGTAAACGTACATTTAAGACAGTTAAATAGCCTGAAGGGTACATGAACTCAAAAAATCAGCCTGGGCATAGTTGATACTAGATGAATCTGGTAGTATCACCAAATATAGTTAAGAGACTTTCCTGTAATTATTGTGGTTTTGTGTGCGTAGATGCATGGTCAGATTAGTTGTTGACATGCTAGATGTGGCGCCGCCTTCATTAGTTTTAATATAGAAGTTCAGAGTTTGCTGTTTAAGGCACACTTTGAATAACTTGAAACAGTTTTCCCAGCAAGAGAAAAACAAAAGTTTCAAATGACTTCAGATGGTGGAAGTTTCTACATCTGGTCTAGTTTTGAGCCATTTCAGCAATTTGAGTTGAAGTCACTGTGGTCCATTAGGCCTGTGCACTGGTCTCACTGTTTGGTTTGATCTTAGTGGTCTTTTCTTGATATCAGGATGCATCACAATGGGGGCGCCACCTGCCTAGCGATAGAAGCGCACCCCATATATGCAGATCCAATGTCCTGCCTGTCCCCGTTTTCTTATCTATTAAAGGGAGGCAATGTTCATCTCTTGACGGGGTGTTTAACTTGGTTTTACGGTGTGTTTGATCCTAACTTAATTTTACAGAGGAATATCCCTTTAATTGTCCTGTCATGTGAGGACAGTCCAATTGAGCGTTAACCCTTCTTTTACCAGTACTGGGGTCACCTTTTTACAGGCGTTCCTGTACAGAAGTTAAAGTTGGGTTATGTTTCCTCTCATCCCTGGCAAACTTACAGTCACTCAGTTCACTGAATGTGTTCCCCGCCTGCTTCACTCCACCAGATAATGCCATGAAAAGAAAAACCTTGAACATCAGATGATCCCATTTTTTATATAAACTTTAAAGGAAAAAACATCTTGTGTCAAAACCTTTCTGTTTATCATGTACCGATTTTTTTTCTTGCTCAACATTTAGACTGATGATACCTGTGAGACAAATGCATGTGAAATGTAGACCTGTGATTGATTGGTATCCTGAGTATCGTAAAGGTCATGTGCAAACAGAACTCAGCTCTGTTTTTTGACTTGTACTTTCTGCCTCTGAAAAGGGCTTTCCATATGCGCCAGCTGTTTGCTAAACAGTAGAGCCGTCAACGTCACTTGTTGCATCCAACCACTTGTTTGTGTTACTGATTCTAATTTGTTGGTTGCAGCTGGCTTTCACCTGTACATTATAAAACTTCTCTTCTTTGCTTCTTACTACACGCATTTGTTTCTGGGTTGCCCCAGCTGGAGTGTGTCTGTGCACACCAGGATAGAGATGAGCAGACATTGCTGTTTGATAGATATTTCGGCAGAAATCGTTTATATCCGATGTCTTCTGCGGATCTAGACGATTTCTGCCGACTATGCAAAGTCAACTGCGGAATTAACGGCGTTCTGAATGAACGGCGCTTTAAAAAGTCCCGCAGCATGTGTTAGACGTCACCATATACACATGGACCAATCAGGGGCTGCCTTTCCCTGTTGTCCGGGTAACAGTGGAAACACGGTCTCTGATTGGCCCCGTTATTTTCTGATCGGGAATACACGCAATGGGCCAAAGTCCAGACTGTTGTGGGAAGGAACGGCAAGTGATTCACGCAACAGGATGGCCCAACCAGGCTAGAGCAGTAGTAGCTTAATTTCATGCTGTGCTATAGCTGTTGTAGCAGTTCGGTTATTGAAATTTCCCTCAGGGATTAACAAAGTTGTTCTGTTTTTATACAGTATGGCTTTGCTTTATGACACAGCATACTGGTATATTGAAAAGTGTGTGTAATAAGTGCCGTTAAAAAGTACTTATTGAAATCTTCTGACTTGTTAGTGGCAGTTTTACAAAAAAAAGTTAAAAAAATCCAAAAAAGGAAAAGTCTAAACTTGTGTGTTAATTGATGGACTTTTAAATGTTAACTGGAAGTCTACCTCTGCACAAATGTGAATATGTGGAAATGTGCAGGGCGGTGCAGCTACATTGTTTAATATTGTGAGAAAAATACAAAGAGCAATAAATGAACAAAAAGAGTTTGTGTTAGCCACTTCTGAGCCACCTTCACTGTTTGTAACTTATCCTTCCTGAATCTAGAATAAATCCACATTTGATTATTTTTCAGCAGTGAATGGTCCCCATGAAAGGGTAGCCTCTTATGATTGTACTGACATCAAGTGAAAGTGTCGTAGCTATTTTTATGAGGAGAAGTGAAAGAGCAGTGATTGTAGACATCAGATCATTTCCTTATTTATTGCAGCAGATGCGAACGTCTCTTGTGTTTATAAGTCAAGGTGCAGTTAAGGTGAAATTACATATTTTTCTTACATTGCTGTTCTGGAGGATGGACTTCATCCTCTCCTGAAGCAGCTTTCCTGTCCCCAATTGTCCCGCTGTCCCAAAAGAACCTCCCAGAGCCCCTCCCCCATTGTTCTGCAGCGCAAACCATCCAACCAGGAGGAGAGGGCTCAGTGACAGGAGGGGAGCACAGTGGCAGCAGTCATTACTAAAGCCTGTCACGTGATAGGAATTCAAGTCGTCCACTGCATAATTGATCGACTATGTGCACTTGTTAGTGTTGTTGATGTTGTTTTGGGGGCTTGTTTATTACTGTCTTTATTCCTTTCACACCATGAGGCCGGCCATGTGTGTGCAGGAGGCCTTTGAGTTCTCTCACTCTGCAGTCAAAGCTCATTAGCAGCAATTGAGACACAAATACCTGCTATTATCACAGCATCGGCATCACCCTTCATTAGACAGACTAAGATCTGCTCGCCAAAACACTCTGCCTTGAAATTACAGTGGTGTAGTGAAAGGATTTGTATTTTCAACACGTCAAGAGAGAGCAATGTAAACATTTAGAGAGGCAATGCTTCGAACTCTCACCTTCAGGTCGCTTGTCTGGGTTGTTGAGCGACCAGTTTCTCCACCACAAACATGCAAACAAACAAACACTCACAGTCCACGCAAATGTAGAAGAATGAAAACATCACTCACACACACTTTCATTGTTTGAGTGAGAGGCTTCAGCAGTATTGTTCCATACCTGAATCTGTATGCACCTAAAGCACACTGGGGTTGGTGTTATGCAGACGAAGCAGGGAGGCTTTGGCAGCCTAGCTGTTTCCATAGCAACAGCAGGAAAATAAACTGCTGTGTTTGTTGGCTGTAAGCCTGCCGTTAAAGGCACTCCAGTCTGCTCAGAGGGGATATATATACAGCCTGTGTCTGTGTGTGTGTCTGTGTGTGTTTGCAGGTTGCTGTTATTGTGAAATCCTCCACAGTCCACACTTTGATCATTCAACTCTGGCTGAACGATGAGCCACAGTCCCTTAGTTCAAATCTGAACCCAGACATTTTTTCTCACAATAATGATTTTTTTAAATTTATAATATGCTTTATATTTGTGACCGTTCTCCTCAAACAAAAGAATCAAACAAGTGTGTGACCAAGAGGCGTTTGATTTGTAACAAACATAATAATAGTGGAGAAAATTAGCAAATGGGAGTTTTCTTTGTCTAGAGGAAAATAGTTTAGGGAGATCAGAAATCACCTCCTCCGACACATCTTTTCCTTATATCTGTCTCATGTTATATTCAGCTCTAACAACAATTTTTCAACATATTCTTCACAACGCTTTCACTGTTTTCTTTGACTTGCTGAATATGTCTCTTAGGGCGCTGATAGCTGTGGTCTTCTCCCACTTTGTGCTCCCCACATTTCCCGCCTCTCTTCAGCTGCCCTGTCTAATGAAAGCCAGAAAAGCTCAAAAGCATAACTTAAAAAAATAAAAAAAGACATCTTTGATCAAAACACGCCTGATCCAGAGACGATGCCATAAGTCTCCCCTGGGCTAAAATGAGAAGAACTAGACCATTGCACTAACTGGACTACTGTTGATATATAACATACATGGGCTTACAAAGAGAGAGCATTATGGCTGCGGTTATACCACTCCATTTGTTATCCTAATTCTGTGTTAGAGAGTCTGAAAACATTAAAGGTCATTAAGGTATGCCCCATGTGTGACTAAAAGGTTTTGTGTCTACATGCGGGTGAGTTAGAGGACCAAGAGGGCAGGGTATGAAGAGCTTCATTCAAGTGATAACTGTCCAGGATACAAGCAGTGTGAAAATGAGGGCAGTCACAAACCAGAGAAGAAATCAGATCAGGCTGTTACTGCAAAAACATCTGATGAGGGCAACTGCATGTCAAGTTTCATGCCTAGAGAGTTTCAGCCGTGGTGAATAAAATGTCCGTAATGAAGGCAAGATGAACGAGTGTCTTTTCAGTAAAATGACAATCAGAGCTCTGCAATAATGTTTAGGAGCACTGCCTTTAGTAGGAACACGTGAGCAGTTCAGAGCAGACATCGCTTTGTGCAGCAAAACACACCACTGCGCATGTCTCCGGACTCAAATGAGTGCACATGAATTACATAAGTTCCCTAAATAAAATATTTTTGCATTTCTTCTGGGGTGGTGAAGCGACTTGAATTCTGATTTAAGCTCCCGAATGTCAGTGAGTTTTACGGTTTGAATTATGCGCAAACCCAACAGTAAATACAGCCTACAGCCTTGAATTAGCTCAATGTTACATGAGGTGGTTATGGATTCTCACTGGACCATGGCAGGGAGACATGTTTGGTCACATGATGAGAAATCACCTGAGGACACGGATTGGTTTCCAGGTGTGAGCTCTGCAAACAAAACCAAATATGTGCGTGCACTCTCCTTTTCCTGAGTTCTTAAGCAATGCTATAAGAACTCTTAAAAACCAAGTAGGACAGTGATAAACTCCAATAGGGTTTGATATAGTGGTTAGTAGTGTGAGTGGTAAAAGTAGACTTCCTGCAGAAGGAATATTTCATTCCAGCATATTTTGTTCTGTCTCTGCAGTCAGTGTTTGGTCGTCTTTGCACGTCTGAGACTGTCTAATCATGTTGAATACGGAGTGCTATTCAGCCGAGAAGACCAAGGATTACACTTGCATCCTGCGGTTTCCCTCAGCTTCACTTTGTTTTGTTTTCTTTCTGCCATCATCAAGTAACCTGGAGCTGACAGTGGCAGTGCAGAGCTGTAGAGAATCCTGCTGCTTTCAGCATGCAGTCACTTAAGTGTATCAGAGCTCTTTATAGAATCAGCCAGGGTTTCTCTCTCTTCCCTCTCTGCCCCGGCGTCCTCCCCTAATGCCATTTTAAATACTGGGTCAGTTTAAATTCAGAGGCTCAACTTTGCCAGACCATGTTGCCAGCATGACAGTTAAAAGTGAGACCCCTTACCTCAGTCTTTCGTTCCCTCCTTATTTCTGTCCCCTTTGGTCTTGCCGAGGGTGATATTCAGTTGAAAGTTGTTTATTAGATCAAACCAACAACACAAGCTGCTTTATTCTAAGTGCGGTCATTTCTCACAGATTGTTTGGACTATTTACAAAACAGTTTCTGCAACTCGTAGCCACCTCTAAAAACAACAAATGTGAGCACTAAGGATGTTTCAAAGTGTTTTATTTCCCAGGAAGTAGGGCTGCATGGTCAATTGATTTTAAATCATAATTGGATTATTTGACTATGACAATGTCGTAAAAAATTAAAATCGATTTTCCTCTCTATCATGTCTTGCGCCTCCAGGCCAACATAGGCTGTCCCTTCCTGTGGGAACACTCCCCAGTTCCCTCACACACAAGCGAAAACAAACATGGCATTTGCAAAAGAAGGCGATAACTTTGTTGCTAGATAGGGCAAGAACAAGTCAGTCGTGTGAAATTGGTACAGCTTCTTAGTTTCAGATGATGAGCAAACCACTCCCCGCTGCAAAGTCTGCCTGAAGGCAGTATCAACTCGTCCACACGGAAACAAACTTAGGAGAGAACGCAGAAGTTTTTGTTGTATCGGCTTTTAATCCAGATGGAAATGGTGTTTCGGGTGACTGTAACCGGTACTTTTTAAAAATGGGTCAGAGAGTGCAAAAAAATGTAAACGACTACCATTTCATCTCCGCATGGATACCCATTTCCTCAGCAGCATTACAGCGCCACTTACTGGCTTGGCATTTGCACTACATCGTTTTTAGTGGTTTCATTTTAAGAGATGATAGAAAAACTTTTTATCAAAGTGAAGTTTGGTGAAGTTGTCGGGATTTTTTTTCTCTGGCCAAAATGGTGCAGCCCTACCAGAAAGGGACCGATTCCAGATGAATAAAACAAACATAAGTTTTAATAAGCTTTACTAGCTTTAACCTCCGCTACCATTGAGAGTGTCAAAAGCAATGCCATGCCTTAACATGTCCACTACCAACAACATCAGAGAGACATCTTCTGGGCTACCATAGAGGAAGAGAAAAGCAATGCCTCAGCTGCACCATGTCCAATGACAGCAGTGAGTCATCTCCTGTTAAATACCTCCATACTCTGTGCTGGTGATCTGCTGCTGGAGTCTCCTGTGGAACTGCTTTCCCAATGCAACTATAAAAGCTAGTGGGGTAGCTCACCAGGAGGATGCTGGAGTGCTTCATAATAATCTGTATCTAATAATCCTGCTTCTCTTTCCGATCCTAATTAGGTTTTGGATATTGAACCAGTGTTGTTTCAGTTTAAGTATCTTTTTGTCATCATACTAAACTAGGTACATATCTCAAACAGGACAGCAGTAGTGTTGAGAGATCCCATCTCAAGTTAAAATATGAGTTTCCCGTGTTTATCTAAGGTTTGACCTTTTTTAACTGAACTGAATCAGAGTGTCAGTCTTCTGCAAAAATCAAATGATAGGTTTGCAGGAAAGGATGATTGTTTTGTTTTGGTTCTTCTTTTACCGTTGAAGTTTAATTAGACAGCACCAGCTGGCCGTTGTTTAGTAATTTTATCCCGTATAGCCGACTGTAGTCTGTAGATCCTTTCATACAGATGATACACATTTTTGGAGAAAATCTTGCTGAGTGCTGGTGGGGAGGATTTTCTGTTTGCTTGGTTTTCACGGGGCACTGTTGTATATCGCTGTTTGCTGCACGTTCTGCCACTGAAGCTGTCTCTGTAAAGTACAAACATACCAGTGAAGTGATCTTTTTCCATGATGCTTTACTTTTCCACAGTCATCGAAGTGCATTTCCCACTTATTTGATTTGATGTATTTATGACTAAAATATGCTCCTGTTTGATTGTGGATGTGATCAAATGTCTGATTTTGTCAAAGTGTGGGGTTTTACTGTGTTTTTGTCACATTGTCCATCACCACCCTCTGCTGCATTTATTCTGATGCTCTAAATATTCCTCTTACAAATTGCCTAAAAACATAAAAATGCAATAAAAAAGTTCCATCGATCCATTTCTTCTGCTTATTCAGCAACACAGATGTTACAGTGTTAAAGTATAAGCTTTATATAATGTGAATTATCAGTGTTACAGAAGAAAACCAGTTGTAAATGAGAACTGGTTCCAGTCAGTTTGAGCCATGAACATTGTTTACTTTTGTGATAATGGTTTTCTTATCTAAATCTTCTATTTAGCTACATGCCTTGTGATACAATGATGTGACACATCATGGAGGTTGTCAGTACGAACCAAGGAAGAAATCATGATGGATGAAAGACAGGAGAGGTCCAAAGCACTGCAGTATGCAACGTAATACTGCTGAGCTTACAGAATCGGCCTCAAGAAACAGAAGGGTACAACAACTTAGTGTAAAATCTACTAGCTATGTGAGACCGACAGCGTCACGGCTATACACTTTGTGTGTTTCTGTGACATCCAGAGACTTTTGTGTCTCACAGGAGAGATCCCTTTATTTTCAGAGACTGTCAAAAACTAAGGTAATCTGTGATGAATGCTGTGTTCATTTTAGAAAAATAGTGTAATGTCTGATCATAGCTGAGTGAAGGAAGGTTGTGGTCTTTATTAGGGTCTGTTGACCAATCAGAGGCTGTATCTAATATCTGCTGACCTTTGAGGCTTCAAGAAGAAGCCATGTTTCCCTGTCTCAGCAGAGCAGTGAAGGTAATAATAATAATAGTAATAATACAAAGTCAGCCAATACATTTCTGCCCAAGAAAAGACAGGAATAAGTCTGGGAATCAGTCAATAAGGAACTGGATTGAGATCAATGATGACATGGATATCGGTAAAATATGATCAATGCCCATGCCTACTTGTGACTGGTGTTGAAGTATAAGGAAAGCTCTTGAGGTGCAGGAATGAGGGGGCTGACTCCAGAGTCGGAGGGAAGTCCTGCTGAAGAGATCCAGATCCAGCATGCACACTAGGCAGTTCTGCAGAGAACAAACTGTGCTGGAGACGAGCGAGGGGGAGGAGGAGGAAGGAGAATGTAAGAGAGGGAAGGAGTGTCGGGCTATAAATTCATCCAGTCGTTTTTCTTGCTCACACACACACACACACACACACACACACACACACACACACACACACACACACACACACACACACACACACACACACACACACACACACACACTTAGAGCTCTGTCAGGAGGAATATATGGTGTGCAGCTGAGAGCAGAGAGGCTGGACAAACCGCCCTTGTTTCTGTGTGTGTGAGTGTGGGTGTGTGGATATTTATGCTTTTGTTTGCGCCTTTACTCTATATGCGTGTGCATGTGTGGATAAAAACAGCTCTGATGATGTCAGGAGTTTGTGAACAGTAACCTATAGTTTCTGTGTTGTGGCTGTTTGGTGCTTATTCACTGTTTTGACATTCATGTTAGCACTGAGGTGAAAACGACAACTTCATACGCTTTAATCACTACTATATTTATATCCCTGGAGAACTCTGCCCAATGAAACACACTAAGATTTCTAACTTTATACCATATATTTATAAATGAATCCAGTCTATTGGGTCATTTCAGATCGAGGGATAAACACAAACTCAGTATTTTCACAAATCTGCATTTTTTACAAGTGAAAAAGAACACGAGACTTTAGTACATGAAGCTCTGCCGTACACAGGACATGAAATCAGACCCAGCATAAGACTCAAACCACTGCTGCTGCAGAAGATTACAGAGCTAACACTGAGTCACTGCCTTTTCTAGTGGTTTTCAGACTCAGGGGGTCAGGACCCAACACCCGGTCACAGCAGGATATAAATAAGTCCCCAGATCGTTCAGCAGGAACAGATGATGGCTTTTAACTGAAACATCCCAATTCCCCGAGTAAGCCTCAGTTTGCACTCAGGATTACTCTCTATGTGCATTTTGGTTTAAGGATAAAAACATTTTCAGGAGGCCTGTGGCTGAAAACCCCAGACAGTTACGGTGAAGACAAATCTTGAACAGTGATCTCTTCTTCTGGTTTCATGCTCCAAACTTTGATCATTATTACAACAGTCAATCTGCGGCTATTAACAGCAGCATATCCTAACAGCTCTACAAAGACGCTCAAGGAATGCAAATGTTGTCTTAAGTGTTGGGAACATTTCAGCTGTGTGTTTGGGTGTTTGCATGTTTGCGTGAAATGCTAAGAGAAAGCTAAAATTGTTTGTTTAATGTATCCTGTGTCCTCCCTGCAGGCTGGTGTTCGGGACTCTGTATCCTGCATACTACTCCTACAAAGCTGTCAAGACTAAAAACGTCAAGGAATACGTAAGTTCATGAGAATCACACTCACACTCACCAGCTCACACCTACACTGTAATGAACACACCAACGTATAAAGCCTCTAAAGGAGAGACTACAAGGTGTTGCGACGCCTTCTCTCTCTCTCTTTTCACGCAGTTAACTCAGAGCGTTTGTATTAGAAAAGTCACAGTTCTTAATACTGAAGTAACTTCTCTTACCGTAACATTCAGAATATCAAGTTACTCTTGATATGTGGCATATCATTTACAACGGTTACCGTAAATGTTGGAAAACAGGTCCCACCAGTTTTAAGATATTATCTGTTTGTTAATTGAGGAACTGTAAGAAGGAAAGACCTAAAAGGATTCCTTGAATAAAACAGGAACTAAGATTTTGTGTTTTGCTGTGTTTTTATTAAGTGATCCTGTTTGGTTCCTTGCAGTTTGGTATGGCTTGATACTGTAAACCTGGCTCTTTCTTGCATTTCCACAGCAGACTTAACAGGAAGCATGTTGGCTATGTGGTGTCCTCAGATAAACTGTACTTTTGGTGCACACTTTTACCATGGTTGTACTTACAGAATGCTTTTCAAAACAAAAGCCTCATCAGCCTTTTAATGTGGGGGGACTCCTTTTGTTTTCACACGCTGCTTTTAGAAAGTCGCAGAGCTCTTTATTTAAGCAGAACTTTTGCTACAGGAAACGCTGTTATTGTTCATGTGTTGCCGGTAAGCCTTGTGTATTATCGAATCGTATCAATTTTCAGGGAATAGTTTATCTTTTGCGGTCTCTATTTCTATTTTCAGCCACCATCTCTGTGCCCGTCTTACAGCTCAGCTAGTATCACAGTGTCAATTAAGCACCTGTTAACAGTGTATTACACCTGGATGCATCTTAAGATATGAAAAAAACATACATGAACCCAAATCAAAGTTCATTGATTAAATGAAATGAAGTTAGCAGAGATCAGATTATCACGATACCTGGGCCACGATACAATATTATTGGGATTTTAAACAATTTGCAATACAGTGAGTATTGCAATACAATATATTGCGATTTATAGAATTTTTTCAACTGTTTAGCTAATTTAGCGTTTGCCTTTTCTTCGTATGTCTTCTTTGCGCAGTATTTTATTTTCATGTAGCACTTCTTGCTGACCTTATGTGTCAGGTCCATCTTATTTGTGCCCTGTTTGCATTCCTAATGTGCTGCTATATTTGTTGCACTAACTTTATGATGTCACCTCTGCCAACCTCACTGGACAAACCGTTGATTTTATTTTTTTCATTATCATAGATTTGACTTCATATTAACAATTAATTTGTAAAAATGAGACAATACAATAAATCACCAGACAAAATATTGAGATAGTATGCAGTAGCGATTTTTTTCTCTACCACCCCTTATATAAATGAGTACAGTTGCTCCTTCACAGTTCTCTCAGTACCCTTGGTACGGCTCAGTTTTTTTGGTCCTTTCCCAACTTTTGACATTGAAAACACACGAAAGTTGCTTACAGTGTACTTAGTCTGCATTAAACTGATTGATTGTAGGTCTGAACAGTGGCTTCCAGAGGTACTATTGAATGTGACCGTTACAAACACCCTGGGGAAAAATCAAACAAATGGAGCAGCTCCAGACCTGCTCACTGAGGGGATTTCGCTGAAAGTGTCATGGATGGCACTTACTGGCAGCAACAGAAATTCTCTCTTAAAGCTAAAACGTACAGGATGTGTATTTGGAGTGTGGCAGCAGCGTCCAGACAGGAAGTCAAGCACGAAACCGTACGTCATCCGGTATTTCAAAATAAAACACCATATGCGAACTCCCAACTGTGTATCAGTTCGTGTAGATGGGAAATACTTCCTGGTTATGGATTTATCAGTACCACAGAACAATCCGATGGTCGATCTCTGATCCATGTTGACTCCAACTGCTAACTCTGTCTGAAGGTAACAGCACAGCATAAAGGAACATAGTTTACTTTATCAAACATGAGTAAACCTGCAAAAACCTAAACAGTAAAATCACGTTGCTTTTTCACATATAGTAGAGGCTCAACGGTCACTGAATTATATCCAAATTAGCAGGAAATAGACCACAGAACGGCAAAACAACCTGTTGTGAGCATGTTGTTTCCTCTATACTGAGCTCAGCTGACCAGGGCTGCACTACGCTGCTGCTACACTCCAAATATGCATCCTGTATGCAATACCCAATGCTAATCTGCAGAGCAAATACGGAACGTGCTCAATACGAATCCTGTATGTTTTACGCAAATAAACAGTTCATCTTTCTGTGTGTTGCAGCTGCATCCTGCACACCACAAATAAACTCAGGTGAAAGGTTATCATGTGATGTCAACTATGGGCTGGCTGCTCATTTAAGCTATAGCATAATTCATTTCAGGGGTAAAAGGGTAAAAGAGTTTCTCAAACACTCACAGCTCCCCCCTCTGCACATAGGCAGCTTGTGACCTGTGCTGAGGCTCTGCTCTTCCCTCTAACGTGCATGCTGATAAAGTCCTATACATGCATATAGATGTGAGGGCCTGCATGAGTTTTCTTGCAGGAGCTGGCTGATGTAACTAATGTGAGTGAGAGTGAAATCCCAGCGTAGCACATGAGTTAGTAACACATTCGCACACTCGCACACACATACAGAGTGTTAACAGTGCCGCTCACAGGCTCAGGTTCAGTCATCTCCGAGCTTCCTTCACTTTGTCTTTCTCTTTGTCTTCGTTTGTTGCTGATCCCAGCCTGAACTGATCCTCAGGTCCCTTTTGTTGTGTGTGTGTTTACTATTTGGCCAGGTTAAGGTAAATCATTTTCTTTTAACAATGCTGAATTCAAGGAAGACATAGATGGAAAAACAGTCTTCATGCCATCAGTCTAATCCTATTATTTGAACACAATAGCTCAGGAATACCCAGAGGGAGTGTCTTCAGCTTCAACACTAACATGCACTTGTACGCAAGGATGAACTGATGAGATTATCGAGGTCAACGGTCACTATTACCCACGTGTATTATTATGTTGGTTTAATGAACAATCTCCCCTCGCTCCACCTCTCACTCACCTGTTTACTCTGCTGCCATGAAAACGGGTCTACTGACACTCACATGGTCTGCAGAGAAATATAGGAGAGGGAGAGATCTTCTCTGGTATTACGTCTCCCATGTGAGTGATTGTGCTTTAACCTTTCTTGTTTAGTTTTTTCAGAAACTCGATTTCTCTAAACTCCATAATTCTTTGTTAAAAATCAACCAGCATTCAAAACCGTCTCCTCTCTTCTCCAAATGGATCTTTCCACCTACGATTGAGACATATCACTTTGGTTTCACTTACACTTCTGTTTACTTTATCAGCATTTATGGATGATAATCACAAGTTAATGTGCGAAACATTCATGCATCTATGTACATTATCCATTACTGAAGTGAAGGATCAACAATCTGAGAAATATGACATATTATTAATTCAGTAATTACCTCACTATAAATGTCTGGTATTGATTAATAATTCTGTTCAATTATGTGCTCTTCATAATGAGCTAATTACGGTGCTCCACCAAGTGAAGTCAGAACATGATTATATTTCTGTTAATCGTTTCTGGAGACAGAAGCTGATTACGATCCCACGTACAGAAAATAACCAGCAGAAAGTCGACCCAACAATATATCACCTCCAGAAGACCACTCGGGGCATGTCTCTGACCAAAGTGTCTGAAATGGACTCCATGAGGGTGGTATGAGGACCCCACATCCACAAATGGGGCCTGTGCTCACTTATTGGTGCCGTGCAGCCTGATTGATATTTACAAGAGAACACCAGAATGGGCAGATCCACCTCTGGTACCCTGTTCTCTTCATGGATGAGGGCAGGATCACACTGAGCATATGTGCTGCACAATATATCGTTTATCATGCATCGTCATCGCGATGTATGTGTGCACGATAGTCACATTGCAGAGCCTGTGATGTCGGAGGTGAATGAACTCATCTAATTTCAAGGGTAGCTGACTGACATACACTGCATGTGACTCTGCATGTGCTGTGCAGCGATCCAACAACCACATTCATTCTTAACTGCTACCTTGCCAGCTGTCAATCAAAATCAGAGAGGAGGAAACCACGCCCCTGCACATGGAGTGAGTCGCTGGCACTGCCGGCGTCATGCCGAGAAACACGTGCCCGCTGAGATTTACTTTCAGAACATTACTCATCACTGTTTAGCCCCACAAATAACAATTGAACGGGTTTTAAATTGTACATTTCTGTGGACTACTCTACTACAAGTGGTGCGCGTTTCTCAGCACAACACTGGTAACAACAACGATTGCAAAACGAGCAACGAACAAGAGACACCACCGAAAATTGAGACTTGTTGCTAAAAAGAAAAAGGAAAGTGAGTTATCTGGAATTATTTCTGTTACAAGAAGGATGATGACGGGATATATATCGCAGGGTCGAAAAAAATCGTGCAGCCTTGGTCTGTTGGCAAGAGTTATATTATCTGCCTCAAGGCTTTTGATGATCAAGTTACTGAAGTTATTCAAAGAATTGTTTTGGCCCTACCCAGAAAGCTCAGTTACACTAATCAACAGGTGCACTTCACAGCTGATCACCTACGAACAATGACATGCTAAGATCAGCTGATTTGATAGTTGAGATCAGGATAGGGACATCCACAGTTTAAGAACAAGAAAAATGTTCATATTTCACGACCAGATTTAACAAAAGGCTGAAGACCAAAGTGAAGAGTTTCTCTCGAGGAAAGTCAGGGTGATGTGGTTGAGTGAACCTCGTTGGGTGAATGGGTCTAGCGTGTATTGTGTGATGGCGTGTCTCCACCGCCTCTGTCTTCATGCTCTGTCTAGCAGGTTTAGCGTTACGGTCAGACTCAGTGGCTGTAAAGAGCTGATGTCAGGTGTTTTTGTCTTCTCTTTTAATGGAAGGCAGTTACTCACAGACGTGTCCAGTAAATGTCTGCTATTGCCTCAGGAAGGCAAAATGGCTGCTGTATATTTTACTGAGGTCACGTCTTAATGTCCTCGCCACTGATGAGATGAAGGAGGGAGGGACGGAGAGGAAAGAGCTGTCAGAGATGGAGGGAGCGAGCGAGGGAGGAGAGGGAGATAAAAGAGAGAGGTAGAGGTGTATCCAGATTAGATGTCCTCTTCATCTCACTGCCTCTCTCTCTTTACATCTATCATTCCCACGACTGTGTGTGTGTGTGTGTGTGTGTGTGTGTGAGCAGAGGGAGTTCACTGTGAGGTCACCAATTAACCAGACCAGCAGAAATGTTGTGTGTGTGTGTGTGTGTTTAGAGTCTGCAAACTTTAGCCATCCTGCCGGTGTGTGTGTGTTTGTATTCGTAGTTTGTGCATGTGAGGCAGGTGGATATGTGTTTGTGTCCCTCGCCCTTGTTCTCTCTCGTCCAAACACAGACTTTACTCCCTCACTCCTCCACACACACATACACACACACACACAGACTCACAGAAACACACTGACATTTCATTAGCTAGTGTCAGTGTGTGTTCAGTCATGCGGCAGCGGCCGGGTCTCACTAATACCTCAGCCTGCCATGTGACTGTCTGCCCGCCTGCCACTGTCTGCCGCTGGCTTTGATATGGAAATCCAGCCAGAGGAGCCTGGAAAGCCCTGAAGAGGGGACGGAGGGAGTGAGGGAGCAGCAAGGGCAGCAGACAGTGAAAGAAAGCAAAGAGAGAAATAATCAGAAAGCTTCTTTTTGCCCTTCAATAACACTGACCTTAGAGGGAGAGAGGTGCAGGAAAGAGGAAGAGTGAGGGATTAAATGCAAACATCAGATCCCTCTCTGTCTCTGAGACCAGTTTGATTTCATTTGTTTTATCCTCTGCAGAAGTTCCAGTCCTTGATTCTGGTCTGTGTTTACTCTCCACCTCATGCATGTGTAAATGAAGCAACCTGACAGACCAGATGGCAAACAGCCAGACTATCTGCTCTTTGTTTTCAGGGACTTAGACAGTACACTACTACGATTGAAACCTACTTTAACCCCCACATGTTGGAGCTGAGTGTTCAGTGTGATTGGTGTACAGGAGTTTCCTGTAACTATAGGTTTTTAGGCAGATATTCAAATGGTCAACCGTGACCTCAAAATTAAACTAACACAAAAATGTGCTGCTAATAAATTGGAAATGAAAGAGAGACCAAGTGGATGGCTGGGTAAAAACACAGTACTATGGTTGTTGACTGTAAGTAAGTCTCTATATTTTAGGGGATTTTGGCATCATTGACAAGTGCTGATGTTTTGCTGCCTCATCTTTAAAGGTTTTTCTACAGGTAGACTTATCAAAAATGAATTTACCTTTCAGGCAATTCTAGTGCCAACTGGTATGGGTGACGCCATTGAAGTGCATATCTCTAGTGTTGATAACTGAATTTTCTATTGTATTTGGGCACAGTTTTTCTTTGTGTTTGTTTTTGACCCTCCATCACTCAAGTTCAATCCATCTAGTTATTCTTCTTTTGGGAATCTGTTCAACATTTTCTTTGCTGAATGCTTTTGGACTGATCTGCCATCTATTTTGGGGGATCGGTGATCGGCTGATCCTTACATATGAAACCGATTTTATCCATCGATCTTATCTACCTCAGCAAAGGTCTGAAAGTCAGCCATTGAAGCTTTTTAGTTTAAGTTGTGTTGTTAGTTTGTCCTGTAGATTATTATTTTACTAACTTCCTCAAATCTTGTGATTTCCTTTATTTGTAAAAGTAAAATACTACTGTGCACTTTATTTTGGGAGGAGTCTAAAAACAGGCCTGCAGTGTGACCTGCTGCACAAAATGTGGAGAATAATAGACTAAAGGAACTGATATAATTTAGTAGTCTGGACAGCAATATTCTAAACAATTTATTTATATTTGAGAGAACTACCTCATGTGCAGTTAAAACAAACACAAAATGTTTGTATTGTTTCACAAGTATTGTTTAGTGTTTTTCATTCAAATAAGATTGGAGCATCGAAGGTGTATGTTGTCAGTTATTTAAAAAAAAAATCAGTATCGGCCAAAATCGGTATCTGCAGGTCAAATCTTTTAAAGATCGGTGATCGGCCAGAAAATTGTGATCGGTGCTCCCCTAATCTCAGCTCTTCGGCCCTTACATGAATCATTTGTATCTTTTAAAGGCCTCTTTCCTTCACCAGCTACTGTAGATATATGGACTGTAAGCTAATACAGGCCTGTCTGTCTTTTTGTTCTAGCTGTATTTTAATCACTGTCTCTACTCTTTGTGTGTTTTTGTGCAGGTGCGATGGATGATGTACTGGATTGTGTTTGCACTATACACTGTGCTGGAGACCATCACTGACCTAACACTGGCATGGTGAGTTTTTATTAATCAACTCTAAAGCAAATGAAAGTGCGCAGTGTTATCTCTCTTCAAGGATTGTCTCAAACTCAAAGACTGGATAAAACAATTTCAGACAGAAAAAGATCTCTGATGACTAAGAGGCCCATTCTTGGATGGAGTATCAAACCACAAAAGGGAGACTGATGTCTGCCTGTGTGTGCTATTTCAGGTTTCCTCTGTACTACGAGCTAAAGATAGCCATCGTGATCTGGCTGCTGTCCCCTTACACCAGAGGAGCGAGTCTCATTTACAGGAAGTGTCTGCACCCTCTGCTGTCCTCCAGAGAGAGGGTAAGATCATCTACCTCCCAGCCTTTGTTGTTAGAGGAGACCAATTATACCCGTTTTAACCTTTTATTATGTCAGTCTGGGACGCTTGAAAAGTGGCTTGGCAGGATTCGCAGCCCAGAGAAACCTGCATATATCTCATACTGGTGTCCTCATTTTTGCTCTATTCAGCCTCCACCTGAAAATTTTAATTTTTGCTGTTTTCTCTGATAAAAAGTTCGACACAGGTTGTTGGTGTTACTAGTTACACAGCTTTTCAGCCACTAAATGACCTAAAAGTCATGACTTTACAAAAAACATCTGAGGCTAGCTGTTTGAGCCCAGGCTTGTTCCTTATTATACATAAGCTATTATTAAATTAGCTGCTGTCATAATGTTACTCACAGCTTTTGGTCCTGAGCCCTCATGGATAGTCTTTATACCATACTGAACCGAATATGAGACAGCCCCAACTAAAAGGCGACACCCCATTTTTGATTGAAATGATGGCATAGTCTGCTAACAGCAGTGATGCTCTTGACATTCATACTTGAATCACCATAGATGGATGCAGACAGTGGCTGAAATATTCACAAATCATCTCTGTGGAATAGAAAAGCCCCTGAGTGTCACAGAAACAATAAGTTTTTTCAGAGAGCTCACAAAGTGAGTGGATTCTATAGGCCTGATATAAACACTGCGATATTATGTCATAACAGATTTCTAGAGAGTTTAAAAAAGATCTAACCTTCCCCAGTTGAAGACCATCTGACCGTTGTCTAGATGGATTTTTCGGAAGAAAAACTCATCATATCCTCAAAACAGTACTCGAGATGTAAGAGACCTGGGTTTCAGTATCAGAAACAGCTCATGGTTTTAAAGGGAGTCTTCATTGAAGTGTGGAGCACAAACCACTCAGATATAACTGTGGTCCTGAAAAAAGATCCCCTTTGATTTGACAAATACACAAACCTGCCTCCTCCTGCTCCTCTCCGCTCCCACTACTTTCCCTGCTCTCCTCTCTCCTCCTGCTCCTCTCCCTGCTCTCCTCTCTCCTCCTCTTGCTCCTCTCCCTGCTCTCCTCTCTCTTCCTGCTCCTCTCCCTGCTCTCCTCTCTCTTCCCGCTCCTCTCCCTGCTCTCCTCTCTCCTTCTGCTCCTCTTCCTGCTCTCCTCTGCTTCTTCTGCTCCTCTTCCTGCTCTCCTCTGCTTCTTCTGCTCCTCTCCCTGCTCTCCTCTCTCCACCTGCTGCTGCCTGGTAGTTTGTACTTCTTTTCCACATGGTCCAGCTGTAACCTCTTGTTGCTCCTGAACTTTGTTTTGGTTGGTCTGAGCTGCTTATGAAGAAGTGAAGGTGATAGTTGTTTGAAAGGAGGGGCCACGCCCACAATCTGCTGTTGAAGAAGTGAGGAAGGGTGTGCTTTAATTCAACATGAATGAAATCGGGGGGCTAGCTATGCCCAGTATGCACATCCAACACAGTACAATTATATATGTTTGATATTAAAAGACTGATCAGGTGTTTTTAAGCGATAACACATCCATCGATATTGAACAGTCTTGTGTTGATTGTCTCTCTGCAGGAAATCGATGAGTACATCGTGCAGGCCAGAGAGAGGAGCTATGAGACCATGGTCAACTTTGGCAAACAGGGACTGAGCATCGCAGCCACCGCTGCCGTCACTGCAGCTGTCAAGGTACGTCTCTGTGTTAACCTGTGTGAAACATGCTGCATATTAAAGGTTGTATTCTGTTTGATGTGTGTTTAAAGTCACATTTCCATCTGCTACCACCTGAGGAAGTTTTACCCTACACTTCTCCTGTGCATTATTGCAACACCATCCCTCCCTGCTGTTTGCCATGCTGAGGCAGATAAATGCTTTTAGTCATGTTTCTATTTTCTATCAGAGCTGGTGAGAAATGGGGACAGCTTTCCGTTAGATACAACAGTGCCCTCTTCCTGTTGTAGACAGTAAAGCCGTCCAGCAGATTGTTTTTCTCAAGTCTCTGTTTTCCTAAATGCTCTCACACTGAGCCTGTACAGCAGTGGCAGATACACAGAAATGCTGTTTCTGTTGTCTTTATACATGCAGTAAAGTTGCACTAGATGCTTTAGTTAGTCCTGAATGAGATCCAAACTTAAACCAAATAAAGGCTGATCATATTTTAAAACACTTCCTCTATGTTCACATATCCTCTGTGAGTGTGCCCTGGAGCCAGAGCTGACTGCAGAGTCAGTAAATCTGAATGTGTGTGTATGTGTGTGTGTGTGTGTGTGTGTGTGTATGAGCTGGTTTCATCAGCGTTGCGTGAATACCTGAGTGAATCAGATAATCCCCGCTGACCTCCTGCCTAAGGCTTCACTGCACCAGGGTAATCCCGGGCAGTGGGAATCCACTACCGAGCAGAAAGTCAGAAAGTTATCAGTGCCACGTTCACAGCAGGATCCCTCCATCATGCACAGCCCGGGTATAGATCCACACAGGGCTCGAGTCATTTTTAAAGGATGTTCAAAGATCTAAAAGAAATGTCCCTTTTGTCGAAACAAAAGCTTAAAAGTAATGAATGCTCTCTTAAAGTCGATTTTAAAATTGTAGAAATTGACTTTGAAGAGATCTTTAAAGATGTCATGTTGTTGGAATCATCATGAACTGCTTTCCCTAATTTCAATCAGTCTGCTTGTTAAAATCAAGTGAAATTAGTCTCTAGATTATACCAACTAGGGGTGTCACAGAGCACATAAATCACGGTTTGGTTTGTACTTCGGGTTTTGGAGTCACAGTTCAGTTCTTTATCACAACATAAGTGAATTCATCCACCTGTCAACAGAACTGCAAAAGATCAGACAATGTACTTACAACAGCAGTTTTTGTTTGTTCACGAAGACCTGAACTATGGATGAAATTTAACCCTTGGTTCCTACTTTGTCCATTTTGAGGACATTTGTCATTTTTTTTATTTTTATTTTGAGCTGACAGGCACATTTTTAAAGATTGGGGCATCAAATTTGGTGAGCCTTCTTATTTTTCTTCATATTAAAAGAAAAAAACAAAAAAACAAAACTGTGTCACCTGTAGAACTCTGTCGCCACACGCATTTTCAGCTCCATCCACCCTACTTTGTCTGCAAATCAGACCATAGACTTCCATCAAAAACACGTTTTTTTGACCGTGAGTTTATGACACTACAACAACATATTGCAACCTTTTTTTGCAGTCAGTCGATCACCAGGGCTCTAAATTTACTTTCCGACAGTGATGAAACAGATTGAGTCTTCATGCATGGACTGAGAGTGTTTGAAGCGTTACTTCATCCACTAAACATTATCAGAATTGAATGAAACTTTACATGCCACTAGATTTGGATAAATCAGGACTCTTATCATCTGTCAGTGGTGAGATAAAGCTCTTGTAGTAGACTCAGCTTGACAATGTTTAATTGCCTGGTCAAACTAGGTTTTAGCTCATTTGGCGGCTGCCGGCTGTTCCGTTTCCCGCAATACTAGATCGTTTTCAGGAACTGTTCTCCCCATCAGTCAAGCACACACAAACACATGGAAAAATAGGGCCAAGGTTCAAAAATCAAAGTTCCCCCTCAAGTGATCGTGACAAAAGGACAGGAAGCACACCAAAGACTGTTTAAAACAGCTGGCCTTAGTGATGTCTCTCATTGGAAATACTGGATTAAGCTTTGGTCAACCCGAAGTTAAACCCGGTCTCGCTTGCGTTTCGGCAGCAGCCTGAACCCTGGAGCTTCCCACAGGAAGTGTGTTTTGTCGAAACAGTTGTTGCATTTCAAATAATGACCACCGTTGAAGGCAGACCCCCCCTTACTGTAGTCCCGAATGAGCCACTTAAAAACCAAACCACAGCAGAGAAACCAGTATGAATAAAAGCTCAGCCTCAGAGCTGTCGGGAGCCAAGAGGAAGTATTAGGAAAGTCTTGGTGCGATGCCAGAGGACAGGAAATTAAATTTACTCTGATTACTAGTGTCCTCTGGTACACTTTCAAAATAAGTCTTTCTCTTCAATAAGTTTGTGTTGGACTTCAAATATAGCCTCAGTTCTGAGCTCTTTTTTAAGAAACAAAGAACATTCAGTCCCCTCTGGAAGAAACAGAAAAACATGACTGAGTGGAGCCCGAAATATACTGAAACAAGAGGAGTGTGGATCTGAAGGATCGATGCCAAGGGTGTGACTGTGCGAACTGAGGAGAACTGAGCTGTACCTCTGACTGCTTCAGGGCCTTGCTCTCTCTCCACCACACTCTCTGTTTCTCCTTTCATTTAGCTCCTCTCCACCTCTTCCTCGCCTTCAGTTTTTATCGGCTGTGTTTCAGGTCACTGCGCTTTTACAAATCCTCTTCAAGCTTCTGGTATCTTTAGCTGGATTTTGATTGACTTGGCTCGTACGATAGAAAAAAGAAGCTGAACCGTACATAAAATCCATCAGTCTGAACCTCTCTTGAAGACTGAAGCTCACAGCTCACAGAGGAGACTCCAGAGCTGTGGTTGGCTTAACCAAACACACTTCTGCATTTGGATTCCGAGGTTTTTACGTGATTTTATTGAGTGAGAAACTCCAGAGAGCCGCTTATTGAAGCTACAGTATGCAGCGTCTTACATTATGCATGCAGCATACATGCATATTGATGCACATGTAGCCTGAGGCTGATTTAAATTGTATCTGTAAAGCCTACACAGGTATAAAGAAACATCTCCTTCCTTACTGCTCTCTTTAATTAAATGACCACTCCTGATATCAAAGTACACCAGGCTGCCCCCGCTTTCTACTCCACTGGTGCAAACATGAACACAAGTAAAACTTGTCTTATATGCCAGCCAGGGAAGCATTGACCGGTGAAAACACCATCGCTTTTACAGCTCTGTACTTATGGTTCTTACAATATCACAGTTTGATTGTTTTATATGTGCTCTCCAGTAGGGCTGTTTGATAAATCCATTTTAAATCGTAATCGGATTATTTGATAATGACGATGTTAAAAAAATTAAAATCGTCAAATCGATTTTCGTCCACACGGAAACAAATTTAGGAGTAAATGTTTTTCGTCGTATTGGCGTTTCATCCGTACAGAAACAGCATTTTGACTGTAAACGATACTTTTTGAAAAAGGGTCTGAGAATGCATACAAATTCGTAAACAAGTATCATTTCATCTCTGTTTGGATGCCTTTCTGCATCTTTCCTGAAACGATTATGTAACACACAGAGTAACTCTTTAATGGCGCCTGCGTGTGTCCAGCCAAAACAACCGTTTAAGGCATGATCGGCACTCTTCTTCTGTCTTTTGTGCATTTCTTCAGCGTCGTTATAGCGCCACTTACTGGCTTGGCATATGCACTACCATCTTTTCAGTGGTTTTCGTTCTGAGAGATGATAGAAAACCTTTTTATTTTTAAAGTGAAGTTAGGTGAAGCTGTCACTGAATAAAACATCAAAAATCGAGTTTTCAGAGGGAAAAAAAAATTGAGATTTTATTTTGGGCCAACATCGTGCAGCCCTACTCTCCTGGTCCTTTCCAGAATCCTGGTCCACAAACTCTAGAGTATGCACAGACTGCTTTGGCAAGTTTCAGTCCAATTGAGCCATATACATGACAGAGAAGTTTAGTGTGATTTCAGCCAGACTACCTTATTTGCGTCTCTTAAAAGTCCAGAATGGGTTCATAAACATACTTGTAAGCTTAAGGGTTGTCCTGGAAAGTAATATGGTAAATGAAGACACCTGCACAGCAATCCTGTCATAAGCCTATGAAAAATAATTGTACCGTTCTCAACCTCACTGTTCGTCTCTGCTCAGCTGGTGACTTTGTGTAAACTCAGCACCTGTTTTTAATCCAATTAAGACTGGTCCCTGAAAAGACCATGACGGTTCATAAAATGTTCATAAACACAGTCTTTCTTCATGTTGGTTTGTAAATAAATCATTACACTGATGAACGTGGGCGATGTGCTCGCTGTCTTTGGTGTGTCCGCGCTGATGTGGAGTCATGCAGCCACAATGTTTCCAGTCTGAAGCTGCTCTAAGCCTCTTTCTTCACCATAGACACTTCCTGACAGAAAACACTTCCACATTCAGTTTCTTCTTGATGAACTGTTTGCTTCATAAACTGTAGACCAGCAGTGACCACTTCTCTCTATTATTCATGTATTTCCTGTATGTAGGTCAATATGATGCTATGTTGCTCTCTAGCTAACCCTCTTGTGACTTTGTTTCTGCTTCTCTCTCCCTCTCTCTTACTGACATCCGTCTTTCTTCAGGGTTTCTGTGCTTCAGCAGGCTGCTCTGGGAGGTAAACACCAGTCAGTGAACGCAGCATGGACAGAGCGTTCCCTTTCCTTTTCATTTCATACCAGTGTTATCCTCCAGTCTCACCCTGTTCATTTCCAGACACTGATGATCTTTAACTAGAAGAGCTGAAAAAACATCTTTTTTTCCATCTGTTACTATTTTCCCTTTTTTCTGTTCTGTTTTTAGAGTCAAATAAATCAACAAAGACATTTAAAACCTTTAAAACTTCATTCACGTCCTTCTGTTTGAAAGAGGTTTTAACACTTTTTATCTCTTTCTTTCTTGCTTTCTTTCTTTCTTTTTAACTCTTTGCCATTTCATTGTGTCTTCCTTTATCCCAAAGCTCATTTTGTGAACGGTTACCATGATGACATGTCCATCAATGTGATATTTTGTTTTCTTGTTGATGTTGATTATGTGTCTGAGACTTACATATAACTTCAACACAACTTCCGTCAAGCTATTTGAAGGAAATCATAATATAATAAACACACTAATATAGTTTCTAAACTTCTCGAGAGTGTAAGTGGTCCCAGATTGGGGTAGATATTCGGTTTTGCCAGGTGACCCATAATTCCTTCTTATTTGACAGATGGCCAATAAAATGAAGTAATAAAAAAATAATAATAATTTGAGTTCAGAGTTTAGTTTTTTTTTATTTGAGTTTAGTTTTTGCCTCTTGTTCTACTTTCTTGTCTCACCTAATGTCCGGCCCACAAGGCCATCCAATGGGCTGGACCTCACATGAACATTCAACACAATTGTCCCAAAGTAATTTCTTGTAAATGAATCAAGATCAATTTTAAGTGTCAAGCTTTTTATTGTCAGTTTCTGCCGTACGTGAGTTCCTACACCGGGATTGAAAAGACGTTTTCTTTCTGGCCCATGATGCAAAAATACAGAGAATATATTAAAAGTAATAAAGAATAAATCAATAAAAAGAGAAGGGTATAATACAGCAGGAGAGGGGTAAGTGTGTCCACTCTGCCCTCATGCCTACTCTGTCTATAAACATACACACATTTACCCTATGCATACACATGTAAACCTAAACTGTGTTTATGAAGGGGCCGCTGCATCCACACGTGCCGCTATCTTCATCTAAATGATGCTGAAAGTTTTGGTTTAAATTCAAAACTTGCTTATAGGCATTTAAACACAGTTTTACACTGAGTTTATCTGCTACTATTCTTTTTTGACCCAAACTTTTTCAATTGTAATGAAAATTCATAACAGTCCCATGAACTACTGGTATAGGTATCGGCCCTGAAAAACCAATATCAGTCAAGCCCCTCATCCCATTTGTTCTCTTATTGAATGTGCTTCTCTTTATAATGGACTGATGTCAGTATATATTAATTATTGTCTTCATCTGCTGCTAGATTTCAGAAAATGACTGATGTTAATGTTTGGGGCTAAACTACACCATCAAAGAATTTAACACTGTTTCATAGAGCCAATAACTGTTTAAGATTGAAGATGCTGCCATTGGGGATAGGAACAAGTGTTATTGGTGTTGAAAAGCCAATAATCAGCCTGATCAATTTCAATGGTTTCATGCAGCTATAATGCACCCTGGTATCTGACAGGTCTCAGTATCCTCTTCTTTTGTCTGAGTGATGACAGAGCAGCTGACAGAAATAAAAACAAACTCTGACACATCTGATAAAAAGTCAGCTAACTAATGAACAGTTGCCCTTGTCCTGCAGTCACTCTCTGGTAAAGATGCACCTCTTGTCTAAGAGAGGAAACTTTAGTTTGGTTTCATGATACAGACTTTTGTTTTGCTGCTGAGTGTCATCTCAAAAGCTCAGATGTATTCTCATTTACATGCTTCAGTGTTAAGGTGAGGTTAATTTGTCTCAGCAGTTTAAAGACCACAGGAGGAGTGCTTCAAATGTTTTAGACAGACAATGATCTGAGGTGTAACATCCAAGTTGTTGGCTTTGGAAAGTGTCCCCCAGGCCATAGTCTGCAAAGCTGCAGCTTAAGTAAACTAACACAACTAGTTCAAGTGGTTACATAATAATCAGTATTCCGTTATGTAATGAGGCCCTAGTGCTTATTTTAATGACATCTGACACTGATTTTCTTATTTAATATTAAAACAATAGCGGGACAGCATAAGCTCCTCTAATAACCTGGATGTTATGAGTGTGAGGTGAGCAGTCAGAGAGCTTAAAAGAAAAAATCTGATATTATGAGAGTAGAGGAGATTAAAAGAATCAATAACACACTCCAACAGGCTGAAATCCACACGGATATTGTTGCTCGACTCTCACGTTAAATCTTTCAGATATTCACACCTCCAATGGCTGTCAGCTGGACATGAAAATATTTCCAAAGTCACTCCTCAAAGCTTTTAGTTTGCATCTCAGTGCGTCATGAAAGCTGGTGAAGGATTTTGATAGAAACGGCAGCAAATACCAACTTTTAAAACTCATTTTTTTCAGTGTTTAGAAGATTCTTCCAACCATCTGCTATTTTCATTCTCCTCTTTAAGAGCTCTGAGAATGTGGAGGTGAAAAAAACCTCTGCAGTGTGTGTGTGTATAGCCCACCCAATAGGTAAAATACAGCCGTGTCTACAAGGTGGTATGAATTGGTTTCTGTAGCCACAAACAGGAGGAGGGCTTTGCAGAACTAATGGTTGACTGGTAGGATTTTCACAGAGAGCAGGATGGCTGATAATACATTCTGATATAGATAGGACTATAGCAGTTTTACAGTACGAATGATAACACCCATTTATCCGCTATAACTGTAGGAAAAATAAAGATAATTGCATTTAGGGGGGCAGATCAGAACATGTTACAGTCAAGCTTTCAGGTCAGTGTGCCCTCGCATCTTTGAAACCACCTCCAGTTTACTTTTATTGCTGCATCCAGCAAGTACCAACAAGACTTTTCCAACGATAACAGAGACACCAACAGAAAAACTGCCTCCAGTTATGGAGCAGGAAACATCGACACATGTGGACACACATTCACTCACTCACTCCATCTGTCGGCAGGATTTTGTTCTCAGCTTTCTTTTTATGTTATATTAATGGGCATAAATGTGTGTTTCACAGGGTCAGGGTGCCATCACAGAGAAGCTGCGCAGCTTGAGTATGCATGACCTCACACAGATAGGCCAGCAGGATGACAGAGGAGAGCTCTACCAGTACAGCTCCCGCTCCTCCAACCCCGCCATGAGGAGATCTCAGAGCAGTGACGCCGCAGATGACGCTGGTAACACACACACACACATGTATATATTTATGTGGGTGAATTGTATACTGAAACTTTCGTGGTTGACTGTTCCTCAGTCTGATTGTGTGCTTCTCATAAAAGGGAAAAAAATACATGTGTGGGACACACAAGCAGAAAATCAGATGAGTCAGCTGGGGAGTCAGTGGAAAAGGCCTAAAAACACTTTACTTTAAGATGCATTAATACTGCTGCTAATGTGGCTCAAGTATAAACTTTAAAAAAAAAGATACATTTTCAATCAGTGGAAATAGAACTGACTAGACCAGTGGTTCTCAACTGGTCTCACTCTGAAACCCACATTTTCCCATGGTCCTTAAGTCGCAACCCACTTTTATAAAACGCAAACCAGCAAATTTATTTTTTATAAAAAAAAAACCTTTAAAGACTCAAATCTTTAACATAAATACACCCATTTTCTTGAGTAAAGTGCATTTCAGAGCACAACTACTGAACTTGCATATACAGAAAATATCAAATATTAAATTCCACAAAATAATAACCAAAAACAAAAAACATGTATTTTTACTGCATTCAGGCCACATTAATATGGAACCGAGGAGGACCAGTACATTACGCATGCCTTTCAAAATAAGCTATTTTTCAAAATAAAAGACATGTCAAACATCAGATGCGCATTAAATATTTACTTTTTGACCAGCTGTTTGCGACCCATCCAGAACATGTCCGCGACCCACTTTTGGGTCGGGACCCACCATTTGAGAACCACTGGACCAGACTATGTCACTGACATTTATCAATTGATTATCACAGATGACCTTTGTTTCAGAGGTATTGGATCTGAACGGTCTGTAGAATTACACAGATTTGCTCTGTGCGATGGAAAAACTCCTGGATGTCGCAGAAACTCAGAGTTCATTGTGGAAAAAGTATCAATCTCATGAAGCGGATAATAATATGATTTTAAGGTTGCTTTATTACACCATATATTCCTAAAGCTGATATTTTAGGTGCTGATCTTTAGTCTTCAGTTTCCTCACCACCAGTCACCGTGTACCTGGCTGTCATTTAAATCAGCCTTGTCTTTAGTGCTGCACAAATAAACTGATTTTAAAGAAAAATCACTACAATGTGTAAAGAGGAAAATGAGCGATTCAGGCTGAAACCATAGCTTCATGTCTGAAGACTGTAGGTCCCTGTTAAGAAAAGCAAATGGAGACATGAATCAAAGATCAGGAATTAAAGCTAGGAAGAAGAGCAGTGATGGTTATTTTTCTGAGAAATGAGAGAGGGTGAAAAAAATTCCTGAGTCTCAAGGCAGACACTCTGTGTTTTTTCCTGGATGTGACAAAACAGCTCCAACGAGCATCAAGGAACGGTTCATTGTTTCTGCTTTTTTCTTTGTTGTTGTCTTGTTTGCCTGATGAGAACTGCAGGCTGTCTGACCTGTCAATGAAAGCTGTGTGTGTGTGTGTGTGTGTGTGTGTGTGTGTGTGTGTGTGTGTGTGTGTGTGTGTGTGTGTGTGTGTGTGTGTGTGTGTGTGTGTGTGTGTGAGAGAGAGAGAGAGAGAGTGTGTGAAACAGAGCGAGAGTGTGTGAGAAGGAGATGACTTTCCAGCAGACAAAGGGGATGAGATGAGGTTGGGTGGGATGCTACCAGAATGTCAAACACACACACACACACACACACACACACACACACACACACACACACAAAGTCAGTGAGGCATGGAGAGTGAGATAGTAGGGGGTGGAGTGGAAGAGAGGACAGAGATGAATTTATGGGAGCAAAGAGGAGATGTAAGGGATGGACGGACGGACGGATGGATGGATGGATGGAGGTTGGCAGACCCTGTTAGCATACTGAGAGAGGACAGACTGCATTATGAATTCAGCTCAGACAGCCAGCAGAAAGAGAGAGAGAGACAGGTGAAGAGATGAGGAGAGATGTGTTCATCCTCGAACAGCTCTCAGTCATGTGACTCACGCCCTCTGTTGGTCGTGTTCTCCTGAACATGCTACTTAAATACAGAAACATCTTGTTTGATATTTATTCCGCTGTGTTCAGACCAAACTGTTTAAAAACAGACGCTCTTGGCCAGCAGGGGGCGAACTTTCTTATTCCTCTGACTGGAACTCGACACCGAAGTTATCTCTTTAAATAATAGAGAAACTGGTCAATGAACTGACTCATTAATGACAGTTTTTTACTAATTGGCGTCATATCAGCATCGGCCCTCACATTCATCTAAGATCTATTTAAAACATGCTGCTGGCTAAGATAACCATGAATATTTGATTATAATGTGGATGTCATAAAGGGTTTTATACACTACTTTAAAATGTTTTAATTACAATATCTACCTTGGATTCTTATTTCTTTTTTTAATAATTTAAGGTAACTGGAAGAGATGTCCAAATTTCCTCTGGGGCGATGTTTTACTCAGTAAAATATTCCTCTGTGATTAATAAAACATGAACTTGTGTTCAGTAAGCTTTTTTCTTATTTGCTAGTATAACTTAATTGCTGTATAGAGTCAAATGTGATAAAGACGAACAGAAGAATGAAAAACACTGTGATATCAGCGTTATATATCGACCCGCTCTCTTATTATTGGTTGTTGAAAAACTGTGATAGGTATGGAAATGCAACAAAAATTGATTACTACAATTTTGTCACAAGATTAACATGACTGAAATATCTGTTGGCAACAGCGGAGGAGGCTTCTAGAGTGCCAACCATCTTTCTTTTTGCTCTTTGCTGGATTGACACTCATGAAAAAGAAACAATAACACTCAAAGACTCTCCTCCCTCTCCAAGCTTTATTTTAGGTTCTGACTCAGAGACATTTCAGAGGAGAGTCTGACTCTCTCTCTTTGCTAACAAACACAGAGTCCCTCATGGTGCTCAAAACTTTAAATCCTTCTGTAAAAGGCCCCGAGGTTTTAGATTCTCAATAAAAGACCCCGCTGGCCCACCCCCTCCAAACAAAGTGAGGCCCTTCAGGTGGCGCCCGGTTATAACCAGCTTATACCTTCACATGAAACTGTCTGATGACCTAAATCTTTCTCTCTGTTGAAACATCGTGGTAAAATCAGCAGGATCTTAAAGTGCACGTCTTCACAACTCTTTGAATGGAGTCTTTTATGTGAGTTTCAGGCAGTCACAGACAGTCAGAATTCAAGTTTAGCCCAACAGCAGGTTCAGACGGAGCTTTTTCTGCAGAGAAACATTCCAGGATTGTAAAAGCTGCCCCGGGTCTCAGCTCCTGGCTGAGCCCTCAGCTCTCTACATGACAGGAAATTGGAGAGTTATACCGCAGAATAGGCCGGTGAGAGCTGGAATGACTGGAATGACTTGAATAAGTTCTCCACAGTCCAGACAGAGAATTTGGCTCGGTCAAAGAATGAAATTCCTCTCTGGAACATTTCTGCAACACGTTCTTTCCTTTACTCTTGACCAGCCTGGACTGGGAGCCAGCAGACTGGGACACTGAACCGCCCGGAGATAATGAGACCGTTTCAGTATCGGGACTGAATTTTCTTTTCACTGTTGACATCAAAACTACAGCTCTCCTGCGGTGTTTCTGTCTCTATTTAAAACAACCCTTGCAGAATTCAGATGGTATTTCTGATCCGGAGCAGGAATGTGAAATCTCATGTGAAGCTGGCCTCTGTCTCATCCCACCCTGCTTCCTCTGGGAGGGGAAAGGTTGAGTCCAGCTCTGGAGGGTGGGAGGTTTTCTCTTATGGACTCCAGATGTGACAACAATAGCAGCGGCGGCAGGAGGAGCTAGAACCAGAACAAATAGAAAACACATCGCTGTTGTCTTTAAAAAACCCGAATAAAGGCCTCCGACTCAGTCAGTGCCACACATGTGCCGTGAAGATTTATTTTGAGACTTGTTCCCACTAGATGCTGGTAGACATCTTGTGTTGCTGTAGAGAATTTTCTAAGCTGTGCTATGAGGCAGGTAAGTGGAGTGTGAACTGTCTAACTGATGTGTTTCTATGTGGAAAGACAAGCAGGGGCATAGCTGAGTGTATGCTGACCTCTGCTGGATAAGCTGCCTCTCACACTCACAATTCAGAAGGCTCGGTTAACCACAGGTCTGAGGAAACACACTCTATGTAAAGATAAGGATCAGAATATGTTTTACTTTACATAGTGTGGAGAAAAAAACAGCAATACATCTGTCTTTCAACCAAAACCCCTGAAATCAGTGTGTGGAGAAAAATACAGTTTCATGGACGAGACACTGTGAGAAAGTTTTCTATGAGTCTGCATGTGTTCGTACACCTGAAGGAATTGAATCTTTGGAAGTGCTCCTTTTCTCACTTTGATGAAACTATAGATGCCACAAAAATTGCCATCAATTAGTCAGTTGGATTCATACAGTCTGACCCTTTTTTAATTAGCTGTGAGTTTAGAAACTGCAGTTCCTCCAGTGTCCACTAGAGGTTGGCTGCTAAGCTCTGTAAACCACATACACACCCATTCAGAAAGGGCCATCTTCAAAACAAAAATCAATATGTTTACAAAAAATCAGTCTGAGTGTGAGCACCTCGGTCTTACATTGCACATGTGGAATTTTTATTTGTAAGTCGTCATATTTGAAGTTTTCCAGGTTACAAGTTTTGCAGCATCAGAGCGTCAGGTGTCAGTGAGGAGACTGTGATTTTACTGTTGTTTATAGAAGCTACATTCACCTCCGCTCTGGTCTGAATGTGAAAACATATATATATTTATATATCACAAATGTTTCCCTTTTATTTGTAAATATGTCAATGCTTAAGGGGCTGACTGAGATGTGCTAGCAGAACTTGCCTTTACTTATTGTGGTTACTGTTTGTCAGTCCTATACAGAGCACATAAAACATGGAGACAACAGGAAATATAGTGATTAGCACATTATCACAAACACAACAAATACCAGCATGATTTTTCAGGTAATTCTGGTATAACACAGAGACTTCATGAGAGTTTGTGATTTTGTCCACAGAGTACTATTATGACCAGGAGGAGAGGACGGATGAAGAGGCTGAGCCAACCTTCTCTGAGGACGAGGCCGTCACTCAGAAAGGACTGAGACGATCACAGAGCGTCAAAATCACACGATCCAGGGTCCGCAAAGATGTGAGTACATTGGCTGAGTGTGCACAGGATCAGGGACCGTGATTGTTTTTATCATGGATTTTTAAAGGATATTTCAACCACATTCAACATGAAGTCTGAGATACAGCCTTACAGTGAGCATGTGCACAGCCGATTCATTAATTATGCTTTTTCAACAAGCGGTCCAGTTTTCACTGTAATACCCTGATCTTTCTGCAGCAGACAGTTCTCTTCACAAAGGAAGCGTGTGTGCATGTTCAAAGCATGTTTTTCTCTGCAGGCTGCACAGATCTCTGATGGCTGTATTGGCTCTGTATCAGCTATAAATATGTCAGCATGACTAATGTAGGACACTTGTTCTTTAAGATAGTTTTTTTTTAACACAAGAACTCTGCCTGAGAGATATCCCTTTTGTTTTCACACCAACGCTACTGCGCAATGTTGGTTTCAGAAAATGGAGAAAAATCGCAGAATTACCGAGAGCTTTTCGGCTTCAAATCTGTACACTGGCGGAAGGCAGAACCCAATTGTCTGTAGTATATATAGTCTATGGTTATAATGTTTGTTTAGTGTTTCCATTCAAAGTGATATTTTAATGTTAAGTCTTGTTTCCATAATCTGCATATTTACCTCATGTTGTTCAGGTCCAGTATAAACACATTATTGACTGTTTAATCTTCTTCAGGCTCGTTACGGATCCCTGAAGATTAAAGGCAAGAAGAGACCAGCCCTGAGCTCGGTGAACTACGGACTGTGAAGAGACTACTGCTGACACACTCTCATGTTCACACACACACTCACACACTGTTACACACTCCCAGACAGCAGGGCAACCTGCTGATTGGTGGTCAGGTTTTGGTCAGCCTATATTCCAGCTGTTCTTGGTCTGACTTTTAAATCTCCTGAACTCTTTTACTCTTTCGATGATGAGCTTCCTCCTCGTCACATATTTATTATTACAGACAAGAGGAAAACCAGCGACTCTCAGAGACCTGCAGCTCTGAGAGAAAAAGGTCATTTAAAAAAAAGAAAAACAGATGACATGTGAATGATGTTTTTCTTTGGGTTTGAGGCATAAATCATGTTTTCTGGTTAAAACCAAGTTTTCTTTGTAGTTCTTTCATTGTAGTTGAAGTGTAGTTTTCAGGGGTGATGTTGTTATTCTTATGTAGCCGTTTAGTTGTTAAATCTGTCTGGTTATTCGCCTCTTTTTTTTCTGTATTTCTCAGACACCTTTTTGTACCACTTTTCAAACTAATTTAGTTTTATAGAGAGTTCATGAATCAGAAACCAAAGGCGTAACTAATAGTTAAATAATGGAGTAATACTTACTAAGACTGTTATGATCCATCATGAATAACCTAAAAGCACCTGAGCTCAGTTACAGAAATCATGGGCTGTGTCGACTGAGGCTGTTTCTTGCGCTGGCAGCACCTTTTTTCTGCTTTATTTTTTCCTGCATTCAACTTTTGGGATCACCACAGCACCCGTCAATGTCACCTCTTCACCACCGACCAATCAGAATTAGGATTTTTCACGTCTTTTTCAACAACAGTGGAGGAGCGGAAGAAGCCACAGTTAGTTTTTAGAGGTACAGTTTCCAGGTCTCAAGCTGCTGCCGGTGACACAGCACAATTTCTACCCATGGGTTTGGAGTATCTTTTTAAAATACCATTTAGTAAAAGTGAATATGGAGCATACAGGGCATTTTAAAACAGACCCAATGGTCCCCAGTAAAGGGAAGTGGGAGGACTTTAGTAATTTAGCAACAGTAACAGCCAGTAAGAAGTGCTCTAATGGTCGTGGATGCTGCTTGTGCAAAAATACAAAGTGGATCGAACCATAAACTCTTGGCTTTGTGTCAGACCTGCTCTTATCTTTCAGCTCGGAGTAGTTTGAATGCCTCAGCTTTTCTATCACCACGCACTACCTGTTAAGTACTAAAAAGCCGATTAAGCTAAAAACTTGCTTACATTTGGATGATGCATCTTGAGTATTAGGGTTAGGGATTGTTTTTCTGCATTCACTAGGTTTTTATTCAGGCATTCAAGCGACACTGACGGCCTTATTAAAGCTGAGCTTTGATTCATTTTTAAAAACACAGACATAAAATCTTTTTTTACGACGTGGTACCAGTTTTGTTTCTGCTGCCTTCAGGTTATTTTTTTAAAATGAGAAACTTAATCTCAGTAGAGCCTTCTCCACTTTGGTAGGAGTCCATTTAAACCTCCGTACTGCTCACTAGATGAGTGGAGGTTATCTTAATGCTGAGGGCACATGTAGGTTAAAGACACTATGCAACATTCCCTGTCACAGGTGACAGAGTGAGAGCCCAGCAGGACAGCAGCCACCCACAGAGTGGACTCTGTGTCTGTGATGAAGGTGGAGGAGGAGGAGGAAGAGAGGACTGTGGACACCAGAGGAGTGAGAGAGAAAGTAGAAAACCCAAATAATGTCAGAGATCCCTCCAGCTCTGTGTTTGAGAGCTTTACAGAGACTCCCGCTCATCATCAATGATCTTTTCTTCTTCTCCTGCTTCATACATTTTTATGAGATCACAGCTCTGGTTGTATATTTCTTATTGAAGATTAGATTTTATGATGTTGTGTTTGTTTTTGTGTGTGTATGTGTGTGTTATATTTAGATCAAAATGAGTCTTTTATATATTGTAACCACCAGTTTTTTGCACATATACCTCCTCCCAAACCTTTTTATTGATGCTGACGCTGCGTGTCATCTCATTTTTTTATGTACTTTTGCTTTGGGAGGATGCAGCACACAGCTAATACCAGCACACTCATGACATTTAAAGTGCGGCTTGTTTTTCTCCTCAGTGCTTCACATTCGTAGTTGCTGTAGCGGAAAGTTAAACAGAGATGAAACCCTTAAGGCACCTTAAAAAAATAAAAAAACGCCCTGAAATGATCTGAAGTTTCCCCACATATGCACTACAATTGAAAGTCAGTGTCACAGATGAAACTGCAGGTTGTGTAATTATGTTAGACCTTAAAGCTGATGAGCTTTAACAAGCCAACCCTTCTCATGTCATGACGTCCTTCTAATGCTCATAACTGACTAATGATACCAAAGCTTGATGTACTCACATGGGGCTGTGTGGCTGTCGGGGTTTTTCATGTATGTTGGGAAATGTCTGGACTGTGTGTGGTTTGTTGATGTTACACAGTAAATGCTGTATGATTGTTGCAAGAGCAATAAACATAGTATGTCTGTGAACTCTTGTTGTTTTTATCTTCATTTTCTCATGATCAGTCTCCTCCTCTAAGCACATCAGCATACTGATTTTCACCCACTTTGATGCTCAAAGTCACATCCACTTTTTTCAATACAAATTCAATTCTGAGATTCACCAATGTTTACCTTTTTGTTGTTTTTCATTAGAGAGGAGAAACTCCCATTTTCTGTCCTCAAGCTTGATCTGCTTCAAAGAAATGTTTCCACATACTTAGTGTGGGAGCTTGAGGCTCCCTCCAACACCTCAGAATAGTCCGTGCACAAGTCATCAGGCCCGTTTTTAATATTCTTTAATAGTCTTGGTGATCTGGGAAGTTCACAAATTAACCACTTACTCAAGGGGAGGATCTTAGAATATTCCCATAGTGCACGGATAAATGTACCACTTTTTTCCCCACATTTCCAGCATAGATCATTATTAAGTAAAGCCATTCTGTCAAGTCCTGATGCGGTGAAATAATATCTATGAATTATTTTATACTGAATAAATTTGCCTCTGGCTTCTCTTATGTATTCTTCATTGTTGGAAAGAATCCTCTCCCATGTTTTTTCATCCAGTCTATAAGGCAAATCCTTCTCCCATATCGTCCTGAGATTATTACGACCATTATTATTTGTCTAAGGACACATCTCATACCATCTTGAAGCCTCATGATACATTTTGGGCAGTTGTAAGTAACATTCAACCCGGCTTGTAGCTTGACAAATAGGAACGACCTCTTTAACACAGTGTCTTATTTGTAAATACTTCCAAAAGTGGCCTCTGCCCTCAACTCAGTAACAAAATATCGTCAGCATAAAGAAGTAATTTATGCTTTATGCAGATTAGGACAAGGTATTATGTGCACCTGCCCTCACATAGAGGTTTTTAAATCAACGATTGAAATCCTATCAAACCTCAAGTGTGATTTATTGTCTCTCTTGACATGAAATGAATAAAGTGTAGGAGGATGTTTCTCCACGAGGCTTGATCTTCCTTCAAAATTTGGCAGGTTTGCTGATAATCCCACCCAGAACATATCTAAATATACATCAGCTCAGACCCCTACTCATACTCCATATAGCTCAGAGGTGTTAGGGCATATTTCCACCTACAGCTTCATTTAGCATTTCTCAGTTTTCCTGTATATTTCTTGGAACTTAGGTTATTTCATGTAAAACTAAAGTTTGACTAGTAATTTGTTGGCATTAATGTGTAGAGGATTGACATATTAGACATACTCTAAGATGTTTTAGTAAAGATTTAATTATGCGTTTACCAAATTTTCTGAGTCAGTGTGCTAATTGAACAACATTTTAATGATCAAACTCAAACTGTCAGCTTCAAACAAAAGACAGTCTGCAGCTGCTCAGATCAACTCTGAAATTCGCCTTATGTTAAAGGGATATTCCGGCGTAAAATTAATTTTTCGCTGGAACGCGTGGTCTGATTGCATTTCCATGAAGAAATGATCATAAATGTTCTTTTCCTTGACCTGTGTCACCCCGCTGAAGTCCATAATGGACTGGCCTGAGATCTCGTTACAAACAAGCGGTTGCTGGAAGAGAGTAGGTGAGTTGTGTTTAGTCTCTTTGCTAAAGAAATAAGCAAAGTTTAAAAGATGTTTGGTGTCTAGTACTATGGCTGGGACCCTATATGTACTGTTGATGAAGTTAGGTGCTGTTCTGAACATTTTTTGTGACTATAGAGTGGTATTTTGGTTGAGGTTTGTGTGTGGCTCCTCAGACCTCTGTGTATTGCTATCGTGTGGTCGTTACTAAAGTTGGTATAACTAGAGAAGCAAGCGGTCGGCAACATTCATCTCTCGAGGGGGTGTCTAACTCTGTGTTACAGTGTGTTTGACCCTAAATTAATTTTACGCTGGAATATCCCTTTCACCAGATCAAAACTGAACATGATCAAACTGAGCTATTACATAGCTCTCACTCTAGACAGGGTTTATTTTGGCACACATATTATAGATACAAACACCGGTCTGCGGAAACACCAGGAAGATATTTCATGGTCTTTCAGCCACATCTTGTCAGAAAAAGACTTCACAGCACACACACAGAAGGATGATCGTTGAAGCCTTTAATTTCATTTTGCTTAATAACAAAATTAAAAAATGCAGCAATGTGTTTTTTCTTCAACAGCAATCTCAGCTGTGACTGAATCATACTGCACACGATCCTGATTCATGAATGTGTTTGTGTTTGAGTTTGACACAGAGAAAAGGAGATCAAGTTAGTGCCTCGCACCTCTAATGATGCTGTAAAGGAGCAGTTCATCCAATAATACCACACCTGTGAGCTTTATCCTCATGTCACATCAAATGTCTTATTATTCTCTCGCTGAAGGACAGAAATGAAAACACTCCCGCCATGTAAGGTGATTCTAACTGATTCTACATTGGAATGCTACCTTGCTCACCCTGACCATCAGTGAAGCTATGGTGGCCTTTGAGGACAAGAAGCCCCTGTAATGCATGATTCGTATGATCCTCTGTCAGGTTTTTCCATTCACACAAATTCTTGTGGGCACAACAAACATTGCTCTCTTCTTCTTCTTCTTCTTCGTCTTGTATTTTGTGCAGCCTTTAAGTACAAAACTGTCTGTGTTACTCTTTTTAAATTCTGTGTTACCATAGAAACATGGCCTCTGTAAGGCGGCACGACAATGAAAAACTAATATTGCAATTTAATTCCATTCTGCAAATTAAAGTGTGATAATGAACTACAGGAATTGATGCAGTGTGTTTTGAGTGCATTTCAAATGTGGATCTTTCAATCTCTTTTTAAATCAGTCTCCCTCCTGCTCACATTTAGTGGTGTCTAACCCTCTGACACCATGTGCACATTGTAACTGTGATGCGAGACATCAGTCAGTCCTCCTGAGTGAAAATTAAGAGTCATTTGAAGTTAACAAAACAGAAACTTGACATTCAGGTGGATTCAAACCAACTCAGATTACTTTCGAATGTTGTATTCCACATCTTCCTGGTCTGTTCTGGTGAATGCCTTTAAATACCGCATACTGTATCTTTAATTCTAAATTTAAAGACATTAATATTTCTACTTTCTTCAGAACATATAATGCAAAAACATGCTGTGTTTTTGCCTGCTCAAATTAAAAGCTGTCTCACCAGGACTCATTTAATAAATTTAATTAAAAAAATCCATCACAAATCAGGTCTCTAACTTCCCTCCTTTTGATTCCTCCATTATTTACAACAGCATTTCACTTCAGCAGTTTGTACAACTGAATTGACCTTCCTAGAAAGTGCAAAACACTTGAATATTCATCTAATGGAGAAAAAACACAACGATTCAGCATCACGACACACACACTTAGCTGCCGGAGTCGCTTCCATACATTAAGCTCAGCCTCCTAATGCCCACATCAGCTGAATATCGTAGTCTGACTCTGTTGCCATGGAAATAACTCAGCTGTCCTTGCATGAACCAACCGCAGGTTTTGATTGGTTTTCACTGACTATACAGAGGGAGACAGTGAGACGTGAACGAGACACTTAAGCAGCTCTTTCAGTTTGAAGTTTCTCTTTCTGACTTGGTTTTTGAAGACTCAGAGGGAGTTTGATTTACTGAGGAGGACGATCCATTCATGGTTTCAAAGCATCACTCTAAAGTCCCACAATGCACCATTGTTGATACAAAAGAGGCAGTGCAGCACCAATGTACAACTTAGGTTTATAATTGTCTCGAAAGGAAACCGATGATTGTATTGGCGCTGAGAAACTTGGCTATGAGAGACGCCATCTGATTTCAAGTCTGGACGCCTTCTGGCTTTTGTATAAAAGACGTCATCCTCGATAAATCAGTAGCTGCCTGCAGAGTGTGCAAAAGCAAAGTGAAGAACACAATCTTTCTGCTCACGCTTAAAGGTTCGAGGCTCTGTCTGTACAACAGCAGAGCCAGCAGCTGTGGGCAAAGTCTCAGGTATCATCATCCACACTGTTACTCACACTCACCAATGGTTGGAGCTCGGACAAATAATTAGGGACAATAATTGGCATATGATCATAATTAGCAAATGACATATGATATACGACCAATATGGATCAACCCCTAGTCTAAACTTTTATCTTGTCGGCTGTGTTTCTCTTCATGTCCTCATTATCGGTGGGTTGATATCAGTATTTCAACAGCTGATTCTGATGTCACTTATAAAAGGGCAGGTCAACCAGTAGATGAAATATAATGCTGTAATTATGTTGTTGGATTTTTGCATTCGATAAATACAAAAATTTAATCAACCAAACAAATGAGAAACAAAATGGCTGCATTGCATACCAGTTCCCAATGTTGGTTACTGGTTTCATGAACAAGAAATAATCTGCATCAGTATTGGCCCTGAAAACTAGTATCAGCCCATCCATCATCTGTTCATCTGTGCAGATATCTGACTATACAGCGTGGTTGAATTGAAGTCTTAACAGTCTAAACTTTTAAGTAAAGGTTCCTCACACCAAGCTGCCCACACTGCTCAGAGCTGTTCGTTTCTGGATGAACGTCATGCTCATCATCACTGATCATTACTTCTCATCATACTGATCTGAATTGGATATGAAGGCTTTGTTTTGCAAACCAGAGCGATGACTCAAGCTCATTCTGGTAAACATCGGCACTTTGCGATGTGATATACGCAAAGAGCGGCGCGTTAATGACAAGAATCCTGCCCCGACATCGGGAAATGCCAATAACCCTGACTCTGACAGCACTATCCAGGAAATCCAGGTGTTTATTTCACATATAGATTAAATGTTGACTGAATCATGTTGCTGTGATATGTACCGTATCATGATTCGAATGCTTCATTACACTCCAATAATTCACTAACCATGTTTATAACAGCTTAATTTTCTGCTACAGGCTGAGGCACTCTGACAAACACCCTCATATGATGCTACACCTGACAGTATTTGTGGATGAACTCCTCCTTTATCTTGTGTTAGTGGTATAGATGTCAACACTTTCTGTCTGATGAGACCTCTTCTCTTCTCCAGACTGTGTGAGACTGACTGACTGACTCTCCCTTCATTCTGTGTATGACTTTCCCTCCTTTATTCACTCCCAGCAGAGTTTTCTGTCCAGCAGAGGTCTGATCAGACAGATCCTGTGGGTTTCATGTCAAACTTGTGTGCGTGTGTTTGTGTGTATGTGTGTGTCTTTCTGTGTTTGTATGTTTGTGTGAGTTTGTCTCTTATCACAGTTTATCCCTGTCCAGCAGCTCCTGTAGTTCATTCTGGATGTCCTCTGGAAGCTCCAGAGGAGGCAGGTCATCCAGACACAGATCCTCCTGAGCCGGCATCTCCAGCGGGGGCAGCTGCGGGATGGCAATCTCCTTCCCCTTCCCTGTGCTTTTCCTCTCCTGCCCACCCCCTGTTCCCATAGCTCCGCCCGCCTGCGGGAGCACCCAGAGCTCCGACCGCTCCACAAAGTCTGCTGCGTCAGCTGCCTCGGAGCGCAGACGGGCGTTTTCAGATTGAAGTCGCTCGTTATCAGTTGCTAGTCGTTGGTTTTCGTCCATCAGGTGTTCGACCAGGCGCCGCAGGTCCTCAATGGTGGTCTGTTGTTCTTCCAGGCGGGTTTTGTCGTCTTTGGTGGTCTTAGATCCTGGACACGGTGGGGTCAAAACCTGGCAGCCTCCAGTCTGCCGTGTTTGGAGTTGGAAGAGTAAGGTGTCGTACTCTCTCTCCCTGCCTCCACCGTGCTCTGCAGCTGAGAGGCCCGAGGAGCCGTGGGGCTGGGACTGGCCTGCAGGATTGGTTTGGGTTGAGAGGCCGCTGGAGGGCTGCACCTGGCCAGGTCGGGCCTTTGTTGCCTCACGGCGAGCCTCTCTCTTCCAGCGCTCCTGGATGAGCCGCTGCTGTTTGATGTGACTGTCCCTCTGAAGCTCCATGGACAGACGGGCCTGCAGACACACATGATCATCACCAGCTACACTTCTTACAACAACAACAACAACAGTGATACAGGGCTGCCAGGGTGCAGCTTTAACTGTGAGGGCCACCCTGTGTTCTATTTCTAAGACTGAGGTACCCGGAGATCATTCAGTCAGCTGTGTTTTTATACACTAGGTTACCAATGATTGAGATTAGTGTGAAACACGCTGAACCTGTTACCAACTAAATATGAAGTATTTGTTACCTGTCTATCTAAGTGGAATGCTTGACTCTGATTGGTCTAAAACCCTCGACAACCCTTTGACAATGACGATTAACTCAGATCACAAATTTCAGATCAAATCAAACATGTTTTGGCACTTTTTACTCTTGCTTGTTGATACCAAGGCAGAAGCATTAGTCTCCACCAGCATGCTAACTCTCCTGCAATCCAGGCCAGGGCAGCAGAGCTGGTGGGAGCATCTCTGAGTTACTGTTTACAACATAGAGACTCAGACCCTGCGCTGTAGCAGAAGTGACTTTGGACTGATTCATTTTTACAGGTGAGTTCACTCCAAAGCCCAGAGAGGGAGCTGAATGGAGACAAAAGTCAACACTGATATACTCGCAGACTGTAGAGCTTCTGGACAATTTCATGATCTTGACTGTTCTAGGAGTCCAGATAGAGATGAACCATCATACTGTTATATTTAGGATTGAACCTGAACAACTCTAAACTCTTAACCTTTACTTCTACCCTGAGAAGACGTGACATGTAACCCCTCTAATATCTCCTAAAGCCCCTAATCTTTATCTCGATGAGCTCAGGGATGTTAAGACCTTTCTTACATCAGATAACATACTGTATGTTATCCACTTAGTTTTCTTTGTTGAATTTTGTATTAAGATTCATTGGTATTACAGGATATTTTCCACCTTATTAAGTTATGAATATGACTCTAAAATGATAATCTTGTGTATTGAAAAGCTTATTATTAGCAGTAATCTACTGATACAGTATAATCATTAACTTTGCAGAAGGAAGGAGTCTGAGCATAAAGATTACACATTAAAGAGCAGCTGTTTTTAGGGATATCGGTCAGTGTTAGATGACTTTTGATTCAGCTTCTCAAAAGTTCTGATTGTTCGTAGTTTTTACTTGATCCTGATTGTAAAAAGAGCAAACTGGAATGAAAATTTGAACTGAAGCAAAGAAGAAATGCTTCAAGCTGACACGATGACACCAACATTTCCTGGCTATGGTTGTCACAGTAACCACAAAAGTGAAATAGTGTGGCGTCAACAAGCAAACCACACAGCAGGGTAGACAACCGCACCACTGCGGTCCTGATGTTGTCTGTCATCTCAGCCTGACTGATGTTTACGTCCGCTCCTTTGAAAGTATTTCCCCTTACAGATAGATACAATGAGAATCAGCTGATCGAGATGAGGCAATACATAAATCCAGCAGTTAAAGTAGAAGTTAAAGTCAATGTTGAAACCCGCTGGAAATCTGAAGATCCACCTCTCTTCCTTCGAGTCCAGTAAAGGATTAAATTCAAACACATTATATCAGTTAAGATCTGCTGATTAAATCTACGAGGCTGTACAATCTTGCTTGAGTTTGTCTGTGATCTGTGAGGGCACAGTTTGGAAACCTCAGCAGAAAGTCTGCAGTGATGAGAATTCAGGATGTTTTTAAGGATTCAGATCATTTAGCTCCGCAAGAACCGACTGTGTCTGCTCCCCAAACTGCTCTTACAGCTGTTTTCATAGAGCTGAGTCCTTCACAAACGACTCATACTCCCCACCTGATGCTGTCTGCAGTTACAGCACTGTGCTCCTTCAGTGAACTCAAGTAGGCTAATGAGGAACTGAGGTTTTGGTGATCATTTTGAAATGAAAGTCCACTTTAATAATTAATGAAAAAGGCTTATGGACAGAGTTTGATTTCACTTTGTCACTTCTCCTCTCTGCAGCTCATGTACTCGATCTTAGCTGTCTCTTCGTGAGCTGCTGCGTCTGTCTGTTTGTGGGAAAAAAGTCAGTTCATATTTTCAGCCTCTGACCTCTACATATTGAGTGAAGGAGGAGTCAGAGAGCCTGTGTTCTTTATCTAAATATAGTTTTCATCAGCGTCAAAACAACCAAAAAACTAACTATTACTTTTACCTTTAAATGTACACCTGCTTGTCTTGAAAAACAATGAATTTCATTAGCAGCTATTTTCAGATAAAGTTATACATTAATGTTGTAAAAAAATTATCTTTAACTCAGTGAACCCGCTGACCCACAGAATCATGTAGAAATATGTCTAGATGTCTTACCTGATCACATTCAGTTTTCTTCATAGCATCTGTCAAATGATCTAGAAAACAAACAGAGTCGCATGATTAAGAAAGAGATCAAAAAATATTTGCAAAAAGAATCACTTGTAATATTAAATCTATAACAAGATTTCAAGGCTGAAATGCATTCTGGGAATAAGAGGGCTTGAAAGGGCACTAGATGTCACAATGCATTGTGGGCCTTGGTTGCCATTTTGGGGGTAACAGTGTTTGTTTACATCGCTGAATAAATACGACACTAGGTAAGTTTAACAGCTTGGAGAGACTCAAATGTTGTTTCATGTGATCCGCCATTTATTGCATAATATCTGCAAACACAAATAAACGCACAACATCGACGTTTCAACGTTGCGAGCTAACTGTTTAACGAGAACAAGTGAGACATGGGATGCTGGGCGGATGATGCCGCATTCACTGTAGCTCTTCCTTCTGTTGCCTCCGTTTGCTCGGTACTGCCACTAACCTCTGTGTCCGCCACGACCACCACCAGTGAAGCTGTTTCTTCTCCATCAAAACTATGCCAAGCAGTCTGCAGGACACGCTGGTGATTACAGGGAGCGCACCCAAACCTGACCAACCAAATGGAGCGAAAAACTCTGCACAAAATGGTGGTGAATATATGGAAATGCACCCAAACGGATGCACTCTGGCTTTCCTGTCAGCAAGCGCAGACAACTACAGCGATCTGCTACATCTGCTCTCTCTCCGGTATGAGAATAAGTATAAGAAGAACTTTATCGATCCCCGAAGGGAATTTGTCATGTCTCTAAAACTTATCTACTATTGACAGAAGAGTTGTAAAGTCTGATGGCTGTTGGTACAAAAGATCTTCTGAATCTTTCTGTCCTACAGCGAAGAGCGAGGGGCTGTCCACCACCATTGGCCCTTTGGTCCATTAATGTGTTGTGAAGTGGTTTATCCATGTTCTTTAGAATAGTCTCCACCTTCCTCAGTGTAGATCTCTCCGCAACATCCTCCACTGAGTCCAGCTTGAATCCAACCACAGAGCCAGTATAATAAACGGTATCGCAAAGTTTCTACCGGTAGACACTTTTATACCGTCATATCGCCCAACACTACCATCCAGCACTAGATCTAATAACGCTGGCACATCAGATCTGCTGCTGCCCTCACAAGAGTAAGTGTGGTGTAAATGCCAGTATCAGTGAACTCACCAGCTGCTTTTCCGTGGCACGAGATGGCCTCTTCATACTTCCCAGCTGCTAGCAAACGGTCTGCCTTCCTACACTGCTGATGAGCCTGAGGACACATGGAGGGAAGAGTTGGGTTAAGAAACGAGTAGAGGGCGATATGACCTCAGAATTATTCAAGGAAATTTATGACAACAATGTAAAGTGTTTGACATTATTAAAAAAAGATAACTTTCACAGTGATGGCAGCTTAAAGGCATTTTCCATCAAAGCATTTCCTTCTTTGTTGATGATGGGTACCAGCCTCTTCATTTGATCCAACAGTATTGTGTAATGGCATACATTATACTAAACAAGGCTTTTAGTATTTCCACGAAAGGTTGAATTACAACGATTTCAACATTTTGATCAAGCATCGGCATGATCTTTGCTCACACACAAACAGAAAACATCAGTCTTACTTGTTCTAGAGGCAGAGAGTCAGTGTATAATTCTTAAATGATGCCAGTCTACAAGAAGAAATCTCCCATTCCCCCCAAATCAATGCTGCAGTGTAATAAAGAGCTCAGGTCTGTGATTGACAGCAGATAATCGTGTTTTAATCGTCACTGTAAACTCTGTTCTTCTGTTTGGTGTAAAATTGAGTTTCTCTTCCGTGCCCCTGTTGGTTATTTTTAGACATCGCCTTTGTGATACCTTTTGAGGAGTTGTGTTAAATTCTTGCAGCTGAAAACATTACATTTCTTGATGTGACTGTGTCTAAATAAAGGCACTCTAACAATAAAAGAAGTGAGGGCTATCGTTGTGGGGTATTGTTAAGAAATAATCTGTTTCCATCATCTCAAAACTACATGCAGCTGTTTTTTTGTACCACTGTAGAGAGTTACAACATTTACAGTCTCCTTTGATTACCTGTCACAGTCACAGCCTGCCTCTTTTGCGAGCGAGTCTACATGCAGGTACAACAATTTCAATGGTGACATTGGTCTCTGCTGTTGTTTCAGCACACCATGTGCCTCAGGTAATTCAAGTTCAAGCGTGTTTACTGACCTTCTGAGTCCTTAGTTGTTGACCACAGAAAATGTCTGTAGGTGTTTAGCTGTAAGTTCTGTACTGACGTGTCTTTTGATTTCTTGAACTCTCGCTCTGTTAAGAGGAAGTGAAGCTGTTGACGCTTTCTTTAGAGTCTTCAGGTCTCGATCTGCTAAGAGGCCCCCCTGTGATATTTGTTTTCCTCACAGTCCCTCATGGTCTGCATGTTTCTTTGTCACCTGTTCTCCCTCAGGGAACTACTGGAGCATCCACAATTTCACAATCACTTCTGAGTTCTGAGAACTATTACTTTTCCATTGCCCCCTTTTTTTTTCGCGTCATAAACTTTCATTGTGGCTTTTTTTTTTTTTATCGACAGTTTATTTTTTTTTATTTACAGCCGGCTTTGCTTTCTTTTATTTGCATCATTAACGTCTGTTGTGACTTCTTTTTTTTGCAGTCTTTTTTTTAATTGCAGCAGTGGCGGTTCTTGGCCACCATACCTTTTAAAGAATTATTCCACAAATACATAATAATTTCAATTAGGAAATAAGGTTATTATTTGAGAGGAATTTCATGATACATTATTTATTTATTCACCCTGATCAACCAATCACGTGGAGCTGAGTCATAACCACACTGAGTCTGAGGTTTCCACAAAAGCCTTCATACAGGAGCAGGTGGGATCGTTGGTTAGTAGTTCTTTCAGGTTTCATTGATACTTCTGAACACACCTGACCTCCTTTAATATGAGACTATTTATACAGACCCCAGATAAAACTCGAGGGACAGGCTAAACCTCTCACACGGACACACGGAGGCTCTTAAATAACGATGAGGAAGCGTTTTCTTTTCCTGTTTCTTTGTGTGACACTTCAAACTAACTCCAACCTGATCCTCAGACACCTGATCTAACACATGGGCATAAATATAGAGCAGTAATAACAGATAACAACCTGACAGTGGCTCAAACCTCTCGCTCGTCGTTTCGAGAACAAACCAGTGTGTGTATGAATAATGTGCAGAGAGTCCAGAGCTGCAGCTGAACACAAACACCCGAGCGGTTTGCTGCTGGAAGCTAGCTAATGTAGCTCACCTCTGCAGTCTGCTAGCTACAGTAACGTTAGCCTGTTATTGCAACATCCTGGGCGAAGACTTACGAGATTTAGCGGGCTGTCCACGACCTCCATGGAGTCGATTCTTCGATGGCTAACACTACATGAAAAGGGCTTCTGTCCCTCACGGACTGTCATCCGCACAGAGTGGAAAACAATCCTGACAAAAACAATCAAAAGGAAATTACTGTCAGGGAAGCACAGTCGCCTCCACTGCCACAGCGGCGTCAACAACGCGTCGTGACGTAGTGACGTCACGGTCGTTGACGTTACGTGCTGGTCACATGACTAGCCGAGTCAAAAAAAAAAACAACCTACACTTGCAATTACAAAAGGAATCTAGAGAGGAATAGACACTAGTTGAAAATAAATCCGACAATTTAAAAGTATATTAAAAACTTTGTGTTATAATTTTATCCCTTTAGAATATTAAAGACACAAAAGTAGGGGAGACCAGGGCTTGTTATTTACTTTGATAGAACTACTACTCATGTTGAACTGCAATGTTAGAGAAGTTGGAGAAGCTCTGTTTTTCCATTGGGCTCTGTTGCTTTGAGTTGTATTCTGGTTTTAAATGGCTAACAGTTAAAGAAATTCTGCTTCAGCCTTCTTTTTAAAGGGATATTCCAGCGTAAAATTAATTTAGGTTCAAACACACCGTAACAACCAAGATGGACACCCCCTCGAGAGATGAATGTTCCCGACCGCTTGCTTCTCTTGTCATACCAACTTTAGTAACCACCGCACGATAGCAATACACAGCGCTTTTAGGAGCCATAAACAAACCTCAACCAAAACACTACTCTATAGCCACAAATGGTGCTCAGAACAGGATCTAACTTCATCAACAGTACATATAGGGTCCTAGCCACAGCACTAGCCACCAAACATCTTTTTAACTTTGCCAATTTCTTACACAGAGAGACTAAACACACCTTACCAACTCTCTTCCAGCAGCTGCTTGTTTATAGCAGGGTCTTTGGCCAGTCCAGTATGGACCGCTGAGGGGTGACGCAGCTCAAGGAAGAACATTTATGATAATTTCTTTATCATTTTCTTAAAGTAATAATCACCATATTAATCTTTTTGCAAGAATGAAAGGGCAGATTTTCTTGCAAAACAAGCACTGAAACACAACATAATTATGGAAATTACAATTAGTAAGTCAGAAGCAAAGACATTAATAAAGAGCAGAATCATGAGTGAATGGCTAAAGTGTTGGGAGGTAGGTAATAAAGGGAGACATCTTTATGGAATCAAGCAAAAAGTGGGTGGTATGGAACAAACAGTTGTGTCAAGACTAAATCTGTGTCCAAAATCCAATTCTCCCATACTAGTATTTTCAAATTGAGCTTACTAAGCATACTATGTACTCAACCACGCAGTGCGCAAGTTTCGAGGGTGCAGTGCTGTCCCAAATCGCATACTGCCGCGCGATGCACTCACCGGGGAATGACAACGCGATTTGCCTCATATCTAACATTTATTGTGCATAACAGAAAAATAACAAACTATTTACATGTGAAAAAATTTAGAACAAGAAAACTAAAGATACCCTATTTATATATTAAACATTTGGAACTCAGTAACTAAAGATAAACTATTTACAAATTAAGCATTTAAAACTAGAAAGAAACTATTTACAAAAAACTACTTTTTGAATATATTGTATATAATATATACAATATAATATAAAATATAAAGGCAACTTATTACTTACATCTGTACAAAGCTCACAGGTCGACTGTCGCCAACCCACTGGCACTACAGCCGCCCGCAGCCATTCTTACCGATGAAGTGAGTGTCCACAATCGCATACTCAAAATCTTGACCGATTTGAGTACGTTATCCGGGTACTTTTGCATACTCAATTTTCGCATACTATCCATACTTTTCTCCATTTTGAGTTGAGTATACTCAAAATTTTAAGTTTTTAGTATGGAAGTATGCGATTTGGGACACACTTTAAGACTAGGTCACTCTGGATTAAACAAAACTATGCATTTAATTGGAAAACATCCAACAGGGAGATGTGACTGTGGAGCTGAGGATGAAACTGTGGAACATCCTATATGTAAGTGTCAAAAGTATGATAATCAAAGAGGAATTCTCCTAAAGGAACTACAGGAAAGTGGAATGAGAATGAAGAATTTTATTAGTCTGGGAAAAGGAGAGTATAGAGCAGTGTTTGAGTATTTAAAGCAAACAGAATTTAGTTTAAAGTAAATATGAATTTATTTTCCTATAGGAGTGGGGATCTCTGGCTCACACTCCTGCATGGTAGGCGGCGGTAATGAACCTCCAACGTTGGTTGCCACCAGCCGTAAACAAGAAGAAGAAGCGGAGGAACAAGAGGAAGGAGAAGACACGGGAAAGAGGACTCTCTAAAGGCATAAACATTATCAAATACAGACAGCATTAGTCTGGGCTAATATTATGTGTGTTGGTAACACAGTGCTGGTTGTCTTGCAGTACTTTGAACAGAAAACTTTAATGTTATTTTGTGTCACTTGCCGCGCTCTTGTGTTGACGTTTAGAGCTCCGCAGATCAGGAAGTGAGCCCGACGTCGATGTGGTTTCTTGTCTTTAGATATTCCCCTGTGTTTTCTTAACATTACAGCACCTAAAAGGATCTTTTTTTCTGCCGCTGGCTGGTTTTGGAGTATCCTGTTAAAGTCTACTATAGTGTCGCTGCAGTGTTACAGTGAACAGAACCAGGACAGTGAACGCAGCAGGACCGTGAACGCAGCACCAGTTTACAGCAGAGACACTGATGTTTGCGAAGAAGAGGAGTCAAACGTGTCTGATTGCTTCCAGTATGGCTACATTAGTGGTGCTCATGATGGTGCTGTACGGAACAATCGGCACCCAGCAGCATCCGGGCATCTCCAGCCTCAGGAACAACTACCCACTAGACAGACCCCTCTACAAACTGGACCTGAGCTGGCCCAGGAACCCAGAGCTCTTCACTGGAGAGGTGTTTGGAGTGGCTGTCAACCAGTATTCTGGAGTGGTATATGTGGCACAGAGAGGTACACAAATGAGTCACTCTATCTCAAGTTTTTTCCTCCTTTTTTCAGTGAAAGAATCATCTTTATTAAATATAACAGCTGCAGACTGTAGGGCCATTCTGTACTTCCCTGAATAAACACCCAGGGTTAGTTGTTAAACAGGAATCTGATGTGTGTTTGGAGTAAATCTTGGAAACAGGTTTATCTGGATCAGTCCTTCAGTATGTGTTGTTCAAAACAGGAGAACTGGAATTCGTTAGATTCAGGTAATCAGGATTATACTGATCCCTGCAGATGGGAGATTCAGCCTGGACTTTAGAAACAATATAAACATAAAACCCTTTTCATGGCTCAAACAGTAATACACTTCTAGGTCTTAATGTATCTTCCTGTGCCCAAGACTATACCTATGACTGTTTGATTCAGTGTTTGTTGTATAATCGAGTTGATTAGGGCTGAGACGAACATTCTTGCCCAATAAGGATTGTGTGATCATGATGCCTCAAATGTTTTAAGAGGTGACAAGTCAGGACTGCAAACAGACCGGTTTCTCAGCAGAGAAACAGAGCCATGCTGATGTAATCCCTGTTGTCAGAATGTGGTTTGTCATTGTCTTGCTGTAATATAAAGGTCTTTACTTAAAAAGTCCTTGTCTGGATGGCAGCAGATGTTGCTCCTAAACCCATAAATATTGTCCAACATTAATGGAGCCTTTACAGATGTGCCAACTTTGTCCATGACATTGGCATCGTCCTCATGGCTTTCAAACTGTGTGCTGATTACAGGCTGAGTGGGCCCTCTCCTCAGATGTTCAGATAGCTTTGTGTTAGTGAGGAGTTATACTAGTAATGTCATCGGTACATTTTTATGTCGGTGTCTTTTTGTGCCCTACAAAAGCAAACCAGATTTTACACTTTGAAAATGACTAAATCTGAGACTGCCACTGTTGTTGTCTAACCGCTGGGTCAGGTTCTCACAGAACACAGATCAAAATAATCTTGAGTGATTGGACAGATGGTTAAACATGTTGCCAGCTCCACAGGAGCTGCCAAAGTCAGCTAAAAAATCAAAGTTGCTCACTGCTGTTTTTGAATTCCTCCTTTAGGTGACAATGTGCCGAAAGTGCTCGTGTTCACCACAGATGGTGAATTCCTCATGGCCTGGAACACAACCACGCTGGAGATGCCCCATGGGATATTTCTTGCAGACGCTGCCACTTCAAACCCCACTGTGTGGATCACAGATGTGGGAAACGGACCATATGGTCACTGCATCAAACAGTACTCGCCATCTGGGAAACTCCTGCAGGTGATTGATTTTTCCAGGCGCAGTATTATTTCTGCAACAATTCAAGTCAAAACAACAAAATAAGAATGACTAAATGTTGAACTGTTAGAGACAATCGATGAGTGGTCTACCACAAATATTTTTGAAAAGCAAATGCTGATAATCAGAGAGCTGGCTGGCTAATGGCTGATATACAGTATAATGTTTTTATTTGATGAAAAACAGGAATCCATTATTAAGTGCATATTTTAATCTAATATACACTTTTAACTTCACCAGTAACATTTTTTATGGATATTTAATGAATTCATGAAATAGAAAAATACATTTGATTATGCTGTATATTTCACAACAAGACTAATCTATGTCAGGAGCAACAATCAGCCATTTTGATCAACTCTATCCTGCTATAGTTCATGACAGATAAAAACAGACTGTTATTTAAGATGGAAAAATGTGTTTTCATGCAGGAAGATGTTCATGTTGCTAGTTACACTGATGAGGTCTCCTTCAGTGTCTGCAGACAGTGTTTTTATATTGTTTCATGAGCGCGTGCAGCAACCAATATCGGTTATTTCAAAATGTCATTAACTGGCCTGGTTAATTAGATTGGGGCTGTATGATATTGAAAAAGGGAATATTGCAATTTCCCTTTCTGCAATAAAATTACAGGAATTTGTGTTTACCAGATAAATTGGGTTATTTTAATTTAAAAAACTATCAAAGTGTTCAAAAACACAATTATAGGATCTCGTAGTCTTTTTCTGCTTTCAAATCAAATCTGTCTCCTACTTTAATCACACTGTGTTGAACCCTTTATTAGTAAAGTTAAAGGGATATTCCGGGTCAAACACACCGTAACATCGAGTTGGACACCCCCTCGAGAGATGAATGTTGCAGAGCGCTTGCTTCTCTAGTTATACCAACTTTAGTAACGACCGCACAATAGCAATACACAGCGCTCTGAGGAGCCATAAACAAACCTCAACCAAGACGCCACTCTATAGCCACAAATGATGCTCAGAACAGCACCTAACTTCATCAGCAGTACATATATGGTCCCAGTCATAACACTTGCCACCAAACATCTTTTTAAATTTGCCTAATTTCTTTAGCAAAGAGACTAAACACAACTCACTTACTCTCTTCCAGCAGCCGCTTGTTTGTAGCGAGACTTCGGGCCAGTCTGTAATGGACTGCTGCAGGGTGACGCAGCTCAAGGAAGAACATTATGATCATTTCTTTCTTTATCATTTCCTTGAAGTAATAATCATCATATTAATCATTAATCATTTAATATCCCTTTGATGAAGTAGGTCATTCACATCATGCGTCCTGCCATGTGACTCTAGTGCACATCCACACTGCAGTTGCTATGTTCAAACAATACGTTGATGCATTGATAACTGTCTTGTTCTTGTCAGGTGGTGGGTACACCTGGGAAAGCCGGTTCTGCGATGAACCCGCTGCAGTTTGATCAGCCGGCTGAGATCTTTGTGCACGACTCTGGAGAGATGTATATCGTTGATGGTGATGGCGGGTTGAACAATCGGCTCATGAAGCTATCCAAAGAGCAGGAGGTGCTGTGGATGCATGGGGAGAAAGGACAAAACCCCGCTCAGTTTTACATCCCCCACAGTGTGACTGTGGACAGTGCCCAGAGGGTGTGGGTGGCTGACAGGGGGAACAAGAGGATCCAGGTCTTCAACTCCATCACTGGGGACTGGCTGGGGACATGGGGCAGCTGTTTCACTGAGGATGCGCCCTACTCTGTCCGCCTGACCCCGGACAAGAAGTACTTTGTTGTTGTGCAGCTCAACACCAATCAGATTTCCCTGCTGGAGGCCCCACCTGTGGGCCAGATTGGTCAGTGCACGGTGGTGAGTGTGATCCAGCTGGCCGAGGAAGTGAAACCACATTTGGTGGACCTGGACCTGAAGACAGGTGCCCTGTTTGTGGCTGAGATCGGCGCCCAACAGGCCCAGAAATTCACCCCCTTCACTCTGAGTGGGAATTTACTGTAGGGCTGCATTAGGCTCAGTCTGAGTGAGATGACATGATTGATCACAAACAAACTCTTTTATCATTCTTTGTGGGCTGTAATCATTCCTGTTTGTCATGTAATGTTTGACCATCTATTCCCCTGTCTAAGGCAAGATCGAAGGTCTACCCTGAAAACCTCCTATCATGATACCTGCACAGAAATGACAGTCTCATAATGTCTGCACTCCCGTAGGGCCAAAATCATAACAAAAGTTAACTCAAGGTACTTTAAAAGAGCAGCTTTAACCGTTCTTATGCCTATATTAAATGATGTGCAAAACTACGTGCAGGAAGAGATACATAAGAGCTCAGTATGCAAGTAGACCTGGCAGTTTAGACCTATAGACCCTTTTAGGGCTGATGTTACGACGACGTCACGTCATCAGCTGGAGGCAAAATGAAAAGGAGACATTGGAGGTTTTGTTGTGTCGTTGGCTGCTTGAATAGAGAGAGTAAAAAACTGAAACTGCACTAAGTACTAGCTGCTACTTCCATTCAACAAAACAAAAAGCCAGCTGTGGTTAAACGTGATGAGATGAAATGACTGGACTCTCTTCATATCTATACAGTGTGTGGTTGGATGACATTTTGTAAATTAAGTCATCATCACCTCTGATAAGAAACTGGAGAGGTATCAAGAAGAATATAGGATTTTTTTTTGCCTCCAGCTGATCCCTGTCATAATGAAACTATTGTCACTTTACTTTTACCACTTTATCTTTATGCACCAACCAGCCACAACATTAGGGACGCCTGATTGATTTAATGCAGCCCAGATATGCTTGGAGTGCTTAATATTCAAGGTGTTCCCAGTATTCATCTTCCCTCATGTTTGCTAACAAAGTGAACAAAATATCAGGAACACCCTTCACAATAACACGCTCCAGCACACCACAGCCACCCACTATGTCCTCAATATGAAATTGCCCAGGTGTTCCTAATTTAATGGCTGGCGGGTTAACATTAGTTTGAGGTTTAGGAGAAAGCTGATGTTGTTTTCAAACACAAACACTCAGCAGGATCTCTTTCCCTTTTTTAATCACTTGGCCCAAACCTGCATCAACCCACGGTTTTTCACAGTCCTTAATCCCCCGTTTGGCACAGCATACAGCTAACCCAGTTCCTGACACGTGCATTGTTGGAACACAAAAGGAGCTTGGGCACCTGCCATCCACAAAGAAAGTGCCCTATTTACTGTTTGTTTTTTTTAGACAAAGGAACAGATATTGTTAGTACACAACCTGCCTGCTGGATTTAATATCCCAAATCAAATAGCTGCTTAGTTTTATCTCTGCCAAGTAAGGTGCATGATAATAGTAGGGTCATGATTATGATTAGCTTGGCAGTATCCATGCTTTTAAATTCCTGTTGTTGCAAAATCAATTCCACAAGAGGACCGAGAGGACTCTGGGATTATATATCCAAACGAGCTGAATGATCTGAGGATACTCGAGAGATTATCTTAAGTAAATTAAAAAAAAATTTTTTTTAGAAGGTATTATCAATAAAATGCCATATTTATTGAAAGCACAGTCAGAGGTGAGAACGTGTTAGTCAAACCAAGAAGTAACATAAGATGTTTCCAGATCTAACATGTCTGAAGAGCCATTCACTCAGACGTTTTCTAAAAACTACACACCATGAAGACTTTTTTGCATTTGCACCGCCAACGCCATGGCTGATAGGAACTTAAAAGTGTTGTAAGCTGGCTGAAGGTTGATAGAGACATGAGTGAAAATAAAGAGAACACCCAGAAGGGAGCCACTCTGCAGGGGCTTTCACCAGCAGACTGCAGCTCCCAGTGCTGCTGTTAGTGATGGTCTCTAAAAGCCTCAATGCTAAACTGGCATGTGCCGGTCTGTGGCTGAGGATGGCGTCAAGCCTAACACCGCCTTTGGCTGTTGTAGTCTTGTTTGAGTTTCTTCATCTTCACACTGCACTGGGAATACTTTATGATGCATAAAGTATGCAGTGATTAAAAAAATGGGGAGGGCTCTTAGAGTTCTTCAGATTTTGAAAAAGTCCCTACAGTCTTAAAAGACCCAATAATAACATTAACACATAACTGTTCCTGCTGCCTGTAAAGACATGTGCTGTTGTAGTGCTTCCTGACTGAGCGTGCATGTTTCTCAGCTAAATAAAATGGATTTTGTGCAGAAAATGAAATAATATCACAGGTCGGTCAGAGTGTTGGTGGGGTTTCTTTGGGTGTTGCGTTTAGTTGAAAACACTCGGTGGTCTGACCTGACTTCCTTTGTTTTAATAATGAAACAGTCAATTATGGTTTTATTTGACACACACTATGATGATCAGTGTCTGCACTGTTAAAAAAAAAAAGCATTTTGGTGACGAGCTTGTTGGCTGTTTGTGAAGTTTGGTGTCATTTTTATTTGCTTTACTTGACGCTGCTTGAGAAGATTAGAGGATTGCACAATTGCAGCTGTGGAGCAGAGCTGCTTCCTGTCAGGCAACATCACTTTAGAGGACATTCCTGTGAAAAAACACATGTATATATCGATGAGGGAGGCTGGAGTTGAACTGTTTTGCACTTTGTTGTCTGTAGCTATGGATCAAACCCACATATAAATATAAATATCGGATTGATTCTTGTAAATTTCAGGTGTCTGGTTTCCTTTCTGCTGATTATCTCTGCTACCAAATGAGCTGTGTTCAACATAAATGTGAGAAATATTTTGTACATTTAACTTGATTGTTATTGACTCTGTGTTGCTTATATGAGTGGTTTCCTTGATTCATGCTGCTGGACTTTCTCAGCACTAAACTCCTAACAATGAAGCTGTTTGTTATTCCAGAGACTTTTGTTTTCAGCACTTTGTTTCTCTGTGATTAGTGAGTAAATCTAGATCGTTCCATCCAAATCTGGCACTGAGTTCCTCCTCTTAAGGACTGAAGCCGGTTTAATGATGTATTACATGTCACTGCGAGGTGTGGGCAAAACTACTGAGAACAAAGACAACAATCAGAGCAGGGTGTGAATGTTGAAAGCATGAGATTTGATGTGCTTGTATTGTGGGAAATGTAGGATGTAGCTTTGTGAGGGGCTGATCAACCTCAGAGTTAAAGACATGGCTTTTCTCTCAGCACTAAGTGAATGAAGAGAGGGGCAATTCTGTGTTTTCTCTTTTTTTCCTGGTAAAATCTGATTGTTTTATTCAGGTCCCCAGTAGGCTTTTCTACAATCAAACCAACACAGGGAGTGAGCCTGGATGTAAGTACGCTCTTCATCTTGTGGGTTTAAATGCTTCGTTTTTGTTTGATTTCATGTTCATTTGTTCAGGAAGTTTACTTTTTTAAATTTTAAATGGTGGCCATTTTGTTCTTCTTTTTGTGTCCATGCTGGCTTGGAACCTAAAGATGAGTAAATAAAAATAAAAATCCTTCATCATATCAGACCGCCTCATCTTTAAAGGCAAGACAAGTTTATTTGTATAGCACCATTCATACACAAGGCAATTCAAAGTGCTTTACAGATGCAAGAAAATACATAAATTAAATAAGAGAGATTAAAACTGTTTAAAATAAAAAAAAACATAAATGATTTAAAAAACAAAAAGAAATCTTAAAATGTAGTAAAATATTTAAATGTAACTCAAAATCATTGAAACTGTTGGAATTGTCAGAACAGCAAAGTAGAAGCAAAAGGCAGAACCAGCCCAAGGCACCTGCTTAGGGCCCTGCGGCCAATAGGGGGCCCCCAAGAGCAAACAAATTAAAATAATATTTTTTATTTTTTGCATGTATGAGTGATGCTTTGTGTCTGATCAAATATATATCACTGTAAAAATGAAATAAAATAAAGTAAAAACATTTTAGTGCTGCTGCTGATGTAGGCCTATGATTCTTACTGCTGATATGTCAAAGCTCCTCTCCCGATTTGTGCCTTTTGCCATGCAATGTGTGCTGAGCATCCAAAGCACAGGTAGTTGTGAGGCAAAAAAATGTCACAAAAAAAGGACATATCCTTCAGGAGCAGAGAAAAGAAAGAGGAAAAAACGCAAAGATAAAGGTATGTTTGCATGTCAGGGAATGTTGAGATTTTCGAAGGTGTGTGAATGATCAACAATCAATATTATTGGCAGAAATAGAGGGCCCCAAAATCTAATTTTGCTTAAGGCCCCACTGAGGCTTGGGCTGGCTCTGGTAAAAGGAAATGATACTATAGGAAAGCTGCAGTAAACAGTAATGTTTTCAGGCCTGATTTAAAGGTTTTCAGGGAGTTTGTTCCACAGGTGAGCTCCATAGAAGCTGAATGCAGCTTCACCCTGCTTGGTGAGTTCTTATACTGATATTCATCACCATAAAGGATCAGTATTTTTGTTTCTGTCACAATGATATCAGCAGAAACAGCCCCTTTTTCCAAGTTGGTATTTTCTAGCACAAACTAATGACAAGCTGAGGTCTGGGTTTGGTCCGAGGCCTTGCTGTTCACATGCTGAAGTGTCCTTGAATGAACAGAAGCTTCTGCTGTATTTGCTCACACCTGATGTAATTTTGATGAATGTTGGATGATCTGCATTGGGGATGAACAGAGAAGGTGTAAAATCCTCAAAATAACAACAGGAAGGGTCTCAGCTGGTCTGCTGGTCTGGGCCCTTTGAGCAGAGGCTATAGTCCTCAATGCAGCAACTACCGTTTCCACTTCTGTCCACAATGCTGAGCTGCGTTTCATCCCTCACTCTTCATTTTTCCTACCTCTCTTCAACTGTCTGGTCTAAGGTTCAAATAATAATAATAATGAAAACAGGAAATACAATGAGTGTCAATTTAAAAAGAAAACTCCATATGCATACGATAACCAGTCTAGTCTTTTATACATTTAAAGATTTCAAATACAACCACAGTAAGAACATCCTCCTCCTGAGCTCGACCCTGCTGGAGATCAGAGATGACAGATAAACACAGAGAGCTGACATGAATACAGAGACCTACTCTACCTAGTGTATTTTTACAACATCATTCAGTATGACAGAGAGTCCCTTAAATCTTGAAATAACTGTGTAGTTACCATGTCAAAAGTTCCTCTTTTGTATATAACAGTACTGTATGTGAGGTCCTCTTTAGCCTGGGATAAAGGAGAAAGACAAAAACATCAGTGGAGTAACAAAAGGCATTAGTGTCATGCACTGAACTGGGTCTGTAACGTTGTCTTCCAATAATGTAACAGTGACATTTGAACATGTTGTGAGTGAAAAAACAATGTATGGAATGTGGAGACTAAAATATTAAGACTATATGCTTGCTTGATGCCTGCATGTTGAAAATAAAGGAACGAGGTGACATGTCTTTCTTTGCACTGCATCACCTCAATTTTAAACAACACTGTAAATGTTCAGAACCTGAAGAGACAAGTTTCTGAATTTGGAAAGTGAGCTGTTGTCTCATTCATGCCTGAGACAGGATTTTAGTTTCTCAGCAGGACTCTTCTCCTACAGATCCATGCTGTTGTAATCCCTGTTGTCAGAATGTGGTTTGCCATTGTCTCACTGAAATATCAAGGTCTTCCCTTAAAAAGTCTTTGTCTGGATGGCAGCAGATGTTGCTCCTAAACCTGTAGATATTGTTCAGCATTAATGGAGCCTATAGAGCTGTGGAAGATACCCATGACATGGACTCTGATGATCCCCATACCATCAGGGTTGCTGGATTTGGCCTGAGAGCTGAGATCAAGCTGGCTAGTCCCATCCCTCTTTCAAGTGGAGAATGTCAAAATTGGATTTGTCAGACCAATAGACTGTATATTATGGACATCTTGGCTCCGCCTTCGGTCATTATACAAATTTGAAGCCGAATTGTTCTCAGTATTTTCAGGTTTTTCCTCCAATTCCTGGAACCACCACTTGCACAGGAGCGTTGTACGCTTTCGGCAGGAGAGTCGCCAAAAGTCACTGTGATGACACTCGGCTCAAACAGCGTATCCTCCAGGTGAGCTACGCAATCTTCCTACTCTCATAGGCTGTATCAAGTGTCAATCATAGAAAACATGAACCCCCTAATAAATTTTAAAAATGGAGCTGTACAGAAAAAAAGAGGACTTGAGCACAAACCAGTCTTACAGTAACTACATGTCAACATCACAACCAGGGGGGAGAAAAATGTATATTCTGTGTAATTACTTTCTAAAGTTTGTCCACAGCTCCATAGGTATTGCTGGAGGAGGCGGAATTTATGACCTATACTGCAGCCCGTCACCAGAGGGTGCTGTTCTCAGAGTGGCTTCACCCAGTGAGGAGGCAGACGGCGTCCATTATATATACAGTCTATGGTCAGACCACAGGGCTATTTTCTACTTTTCCTCAGTAGTCCTTGAGCCAAGAACCAAAATTTCACATATCGGTACCACCTGGGTGGGCAAATTCTAGTTGTGATTTTTTTATTGCTATACATCCCTACAATAAGTTTTTATATGATAGACCTTGGTAACTGGTAGCTTTATTGTAGTTATCACTCATTGAAGTAATAGAGTGCAGCTGTTCAAAAATGAAAAATCGCCTTCCTTCAAAATTAGCTTTCTTTCATTTTAACCTCTCATTTAGGTGTGTTTGAACTATTGGCTAGCCATAGAGACTTGTAATAACCCCCTAAGTAGTATTTCAAGTAATTTATCTAATACAGGTGTGTATATATAAGCTTCAATTAGCCTGAAAGAACTGCTCCACCATCAAATTGGGCCACACCCACTTCATCAACTCATTTAATTAGACACAGGTTTGATTCATTTATAGAAAAGAGCAGTGTGACCAAAAAAGAGTGTGACTTTTAATGTGCTTTTGACTTTCTGTGTTGCTTTTGGAGTTAACAAAAATTCGCCTATTGAGGAAAATAACAAAATGAGAAAAAATATAAAAAGCTACCCCTATGAAAAGTCTATCATATTTTAATTTACTTATATTGACCCTAAAAACAATTTAGTATATGTAAGGTTTTGCCCACCCAAGTGGTACCGACATCTGGTCTGGCTCAAGGACTACAGTCCATCTTAGTTTGGTTTGAACACAGAAACCGGTATTTCTAAATCATGTTTACAAATTATTTATCTATCTAATCATTTACATTGTTCACTCTCAACTCTCATTCGTGGATACGGCGGCAAACTGTGTTTGTTGTTTGGAAGGCATGAAAAATAGTTGACAGATGGCATCACTTTTGTTGATGAGAATTAAATATTATTGTGACTGGGTTTTGAACAATCAGAATCAGTAGTCAACATTTATCTGCATTATAAGATCAGTAACTCTTACCTCTGTTGCAGAAGATAATCGGGCCTTGGTCTCCTCTGGAAGTGTAAAAACTCCTGTTACTGACTCTCAGCGCAGAATACGATTAAAATATTCAGTTATTAATAAATAAGTTTGTCATGTTCTTACTGTGTCGTCTCCAAATAAACCAGAAGGTTATGGCCACAATTAGGAGGACAGTCAATAACAAACTCAGAGGAATCATGAGGCTCAGTGAGTGAATAAAACTTCTGCAGAGACGGATCGAAACACAACAACAAAATGAGCAAAGACAGTCAGGAAATTATTATTATTACAGGAAACAGACTGGAGTCAACAGAGCAACATTCAGTCTTTCCCAAAGATGGTCTACTTTAGTACTCTAAAGAGACTGACCCAGGCGCTTCTGTGTTTTCTTCATATGCAGAGGTCCAAGTGTGAGTCACAGGTTGAAGAGTGCTCGATGAGATGTTCAAACACGTCGTCGTTGTCTCCTGTGTGGCTGTAGGAAACAACATGGAGTCAGAATCCTGTCAACTAGATGTAAAGCTATAAAATGTCCAACTTCCATGTTAGTCGACTTAAATGACATCCTTGAGGATAAACGTTGATTACAAGATGATATTCGTGATGAAAAAAATTAATCAAAGATGATTGTATTAATGTGAGCTATCTTTAGTTATCATTATCAGTTATCATATGTTATATAACTACAACTGTGAGACCAGCTCGGCCCGTTTAAGAGCTACATTCCAGAACACAGGATAACTGTAGAAAAGGGCCGCAGACAAGATACTGACGCAGAGCAGAATGATCAAAATAAGACATCATGATCAAGATGCTGACAACCTTCAGTAAAAGCTGCACATTTCTGAATATTGGACTCATATTTACACACTTGTTATGAGTGGTATTCTACTCACTGGCGCGTGGTCGCTCTTTCACAGTGACATGCACTGGCATCTTTAGGTCCCCTTTAGCAAAGTAATACCAGCCGCTGCTATATGTCCTCAGTCCACTCAGAGTCACTTTGACACCCACAGGATTTTCTGCAGAAATGGTCACGTCTGCTCCGGCTATTGATCCAGATGGCTCCTTCACACAGGACCCTCCCAGCCTGCACCAATGGACTCCTCCACGACTAGTGTAGGGAAAGTTAATGATAATATTTCCTCCTCTAAATCCTGAGACTTTCTGAGGACCGTCAAGCAGACGTGGACCTTCAGAGAAAACAGAGTTTAATGTAACCAGAAGTGTGTGGGAGCAGCTGTTTTATTTAATAACATCTTTTAGAAAAAAGACTCAAACTTTTATACTCCAGATAAAATCACAGTTATTGTAACATCAAAATATTCTGAAAACTTGAACATCTTGTAGTTTTTTTTCTCTAGATCATGATTTTAAAAAAGAAGATTGATGATGTAAAAAGATGTAAAAGCTGACTCAAAGATGAATCCTGATGCTTTTACTCAACATTTACTGTTTTTTCTTAATTCATGTCAGTGTCAGCAAAGTCTACAGATCCAGCAGGACTTTAGTCTGGAGCAGGACAGTCCAGAAGACCATAAAGAAGGACATGAACCTGCATCCATGACCACAGAGATACAGGCTGGTTGTTAAATTTGATGAACTCAGCAACCATCCATGTAAACCTTTTTGGCCATTTTGCTCTCTCCAGGCTTTGTAACCTTTCTTTAAGTTCAAGTTCAAGTTCAAGTTTCTTTAATCGCCACACGGCTAGGCCGGTGGAATTTTTCACAGTGCAGGTGGTAGCTGCGACAATACACCAGATATTAAACAGACATTGAACAGTTTACAGTGACATGACATGACATAACATGTGAAACGGGGTAACATGGGACATATAACATAAAACATAAAACACAGACTTCACACACGTGGACCATACGAGTTGAGCAGTCGTATGGCAAGGGGGAAGAAGGAGTTATTGTAGCGCTTTGTTGAACCACCCAGAGATCCAAACCTTCTACCCGAGGGGAGGAGCCGGAAAAGTTGGTAAGCTGGGTGTGGTGGGTCATCAATTATTTTGTATGCCCTTGTGATGGTGTGGTGTTTATGGATTGAGTCCAGTGTGGGGAGTTCACAGTTAATGATTTTGGAGGCCCTTTTTATCACCCTGCCCAGTCTATTTAACGTGTGTTTTGGTGTGTTGCCGTACCATGTGGTAATAGATAAGGACAGAATATTTTGAATTATGGCGGTGTAGAATTGTACCAGTAGATTCTTCCTGACTCTGTATTTCCTGAGTTGTCTGAGATGGAAAAGTCGTTGATTTGCTGTTTTGAGGAGGTGAGTGGTGTGATGATCCCAGTTCAGCTTGTTGTTGATGTGTGTACCTAGGAATTTAAATGAGTCTGTAGCAGAAATGGATTGGTCGTTGATGATGATGGGTGTCTTGATGGAGGTGTTTGTCCGGAAGTCAATGATAAGTTCAACTGTCTTGCTTTCGTTAAGGATGAGATCGTGGTCTTTGCATATGTTGACCGTTCTGTCAATCTCTGACCTGTAGTCGTCCTCCATGTTGTTGGTGATCAGCCCCACGATGGTGGTGTCGTCCGCGTATTTCAGCAGCTTGACTGAAGTGGAGGCTGATCGGAGGTTGTTGGTGTATAGGGAGAAGAGCCACGGGGATAGAACACACCCCTGTGGCACGCCGATGTTTGTGGTCAGAGGGAGAGAGGTGAGGTTGTTGTGGCGGACAACTTGGGTGCGTTTCTTCAGTGTGTCCAGCAGCCAGAAACAGAGGGAGGGGTCAATGTTCATGTTGATCAGAGTGTGGAACAGTTTGAGGGGATTGATGGTGTTGAAGGCACTGCTGAAATCTATGAAAAGTATCCTCGCATATGAGTTTCTTGACTCCAAATGCTTGAGGGTGAAGTGCAGAGCTAGATTGACTGCATCATCTGTTGACCGGTTGGAGCGATATGCGAATTGTAGGGGGTCCATCAGAGGGGAAGTGATTGTTTTGAGGTGTGACAGTACTATACGTTCCAGGACCTTCATGGCTATGGGTGTCAGGGCCACGGGTCTGTAGTCGTTGAGGTCGGAGCAGTCATTGTGTTTAAACATGGCAGCTCTAGCTTTAGTAAACTCATTGTGTCACATCACATGTTTATTGAGTCATAATCTCAGAATAATTAAATAGTGGTAAAATTATTTCCTCTGCAGATTGAAGCTGTAAGAAAATCAAGCCGTAATGTTGTGAGATTAATTATCATTTCAAAGATCAAGTTGAAGTAAAGTTGATAAGCTCGAAGCTGAAGAACGTGGAGCATCTCCTGAAATTGAACTTCAACTTTTGTTGAATCAGCACCACCCTGTTCAAAGTCTGAGAAGACCTGCTAAAAGCTGTGACATGTGGTATTTCCCTTCAAAACAGCATTAGTCAAAATTACAACTGTAATAATGGAATATATTGACATTGAAAGGTAAAATATGTGTAGTCAAAGCTGTTCTCCCATAAGTAAAGCACACACAAACACTTAGGAAAATGGGGCCCAGGCTGGAAAAATGAAAATAAAAAAATCTCCTTTCAATTAAAACAAAAAAGAAGATCTTAATAAATTCTTTAATGTGGCCTTGATACTCTGCTGTAAATAACACTATAAAGAGGCAGACCATACATTACAGTCTTTATATCAGGTTAAACATAGAGGAGCAAAGAAAAATGTTCTTTTTTTATTCATCTATTTATTTATTTATACTTTTTTTGCATATTTGTTGATAAAGCGATTAGTTTAGATTCATTAGAAAAAAAGTCTTGCTGTGATCTGACAGCTCAGATCCTTTGTGCTAAAAGGCTGAGTTTTGAGAAAGGATCACTACAGATGCAGATTTCTTTAATTTATCTATTTATTTATATCTAAAATGATTCAGAGATATGTCAGATCATACAGTTTAAAGCTGCCAAACTCCTTTGACATGAAGTACTTCTTCTGAAGTAAACTTCTTATTCAATTAAATTGTTATAGTTGTAAGATTTTAAAGTATTTAAATACATGGCTCAAGATGAAAAAAGAAAATCCCTTAAAGGTTTCTTACCTTTGGTAACTGAAAGCTGAAAAAATACCCCAGTGTCATTTCCGTTCTTTATCTCCACAGCACACCAGTAATAGAGGTTTTTTTGACTTTTAATAGTCACAGTAAAGACTCCTTGCTGTTTGTCATCGAAGATCGAAAACTCTGCAGGTCGCTTTTGCTGGTTAGTTTTGACTGCGTACGAGCAGTAGTTCCAATAGTATCCTTCACACAGGTATTTCACATGGTTTTTATACTTGGACTCGTAGAGACATGGGACAGTGATGGAGCCTCCAATCTTCACCGGCACTTTGCTGACCGTAGTTAAGCTCTGAAGTCCTGCAACAAAACCCATGAACATATTCAACCAATAACATATAAAGAGGAGAAATTTAAATCATAAACTCCTCAAACATGAGAAAACGCTAATACTAACTGAACCCCCGACTGACCTGAGAGTCCAGTGAAGATGAGAAGAGCGCTGAGATGAGCGTTCATGTTGGAGGGTGAGCTGAGAAAGACTGAACAGAAACGATCACACTGAGGGAGGTAAGTGTACTTCCTCTTTGTATTTCATTAGTCAGTTTACACCTCATGATGTTTTGCTCTCAGTGGGCCGATATTGTTCTCTTTATATATTACAGAGTAACAGAGCTCAGACCTACTTTTTTTGAAACAACACAGATCCGTTCATCAGTTTTTTTGTCACTGTTATCTGAATCTGCATCAGTTTTCATACACTCCACTATGAAACCACATTAATATCTCCTCACATTTAACAGATATTTTCTTCTCTGCCTCTGCAGCCTGTGTGAATCACAGTTTTTTTTTTTCATGTTCACAGTTTACATGATGATTTAGAAGAAGTGGAGAGGTGTGATATCACAAGTGGTACTCGAAGATGCATCTAAAGACAAGTTTAACATCAAGTGTGAATAATTCTGCTATGCAGATGACCGACAGATATACCCCTCTCTGAGACCTGTGGACCTTCGTAGCCCAGCTGCTACCAAAGACTTTCTCAGTAAACTGTTGGAAGGCCTTGAACTTTCAACTAAATCAGTCAAAATCTGAAATACTAATATTGTTAAACTTTTAAACCTTCAGCGAGAAACATGGGGTTCATATCTGATTATAGTCTGTCATTTGACTAACACATAAGTAAGTCCTGTTTCTTTCATTTATGCACTAACTCCAAGCTGATTTTCTCTTCATTTAGAAAAAATAATCCCACCTGACAGCTTTCAGTCTAGATGTTCACACTTGACATTTAAATGGTCTCCTAGTGCATCTTCACTGACCACATGTGATGTCCCGCCTTTGCTCTTCTCTCAGACAAACATGTCAACTGTTAACTCGACCATAACTGTGATTCACACCTGCTGCACAGTCGGAGTCAAGAAGAGCAGAAAGGTCAGGGTCAGCTCACCCTGTCAGGAATCTATTTCACATAACCACCAGCTAACCATACATTATAGGGCTCTAAGAGTATTTATGAAAAACTGATATTCAGATGTGAAAATTTATATTCAATTCCTGAAAAAAGGCTGTTTTGTTGCAGGCTTAGTCATGGTAGGAAGTCATAACTTCACCAATGACTGCAGGGACTTCATAATGTAGTCAACTGGCCTGCCGAGAGAGTTAACATTAGCATCCTGGCTAATGGCATAAACGATTTATAACTTTTGTACAAAGACAGTAAAGAGGTAACTGGCTAAAGAGGAAGGATTAGGCAGGTAGGTAGGTTTGAGTACCTTACTGTAAAGTGTTACCATTCTGTGATGTTCACAGAAACTGTTGTACTGTTAAACAAAATAACTCTCATCCTGCTCTCTTTAGACAGCTGAATGTGTCACTCACTGAGAATCTCAGCCATGGAAACTATATCAAAAGGCTGATCTGGGAATATGCCTTTTACCTTTTCAACACTTTATGGCCACTGTTTGAAAAGTTCTTAACAACAAAGTTTGATTTTACAACTAGTTAAAAACTCCTCAGAGAAGCTTTAGTTGAACATTCAGTCTCATAAGGGGTCCTGCATTTAAAGAAGGGTTTTCACAATGTAGATGGTTCTGGGTTGTACGTCATCCTCCAAAACTTCTCTGAGTGTTTTTGGCTCATTCGAACCAAACATAAAGGAAATGTTCAGGTCAGAATCAACACACCTCCAGAGTGAAGGGGGAGGAGAGGTGTTAAAACAAACTGCTAAAACCTCTTTAGGTGTACACTGACTAATGAAATACAAAGAGGAAGTACACTTACCTCCCTCAGTGTGATCGTTTCTGTTCAGTCTTTCTCAGCTCACCCTCCAACATGAACGCTCATCTCAGCGCTCTTCTCATCTTCACTGGACTCTCAGGTCAGTCGGGGGTTCAGTTAGTATTAGCGTTTTCTCATGTTTGAGGAGTTTATGATTTAAATTTCTCCTCTTTATATGTTATTGGTTGAATATGTTCATGGGTTTTGTTGCAGGACTTCAGAGCTTAACTACGGTCAGCAAAGTGCCAGTGAAGATTGGAGACTCCATCACTGTCCCATGTCTCTACGAGTCCAAGTATAAAGACCATGTGAAATACCTGTGTGAAGGATACTATTGGAACTACTGCTCCTACGCAGTCAAAACTGACCAGCCAAAGCGACCTGCAGAGTTTTCAATCTCTGATGACAAACAGCAAGGAGTCTTTACTGTGACTATTAAAAGTCAAAAAAACCTCTATTACTGGTGTGCTGTGGAGATAAAGAACGGAAATGACATTGGGGAATTTTTTCAGCTTTCAGTTACCAAAGGTAAGAAACCTTTAAGGGATTTTCTTTTTTCATCTTGAGCCATGTATTTAAATATTTTAAAATCTTAAAACTATAACTATACTCTAAGAATTGAAAAAGAAGATTTTTTTCAGCAGAAAGACTTCATGTCAAAGGAGTTTGGCAGCTTTAAAGTGTGTGATCTGACATATCTCTGAATCATTTTAGATATAAATAAATAGATAAATTAAAGAAATCTGCATCTGTAGTGATCCTTTCTCAAAACTCAGCCTTTTAGCACAAATGATCTGAGCTGTCAGATCACAGCTAGACTTTTTTTCTAATGAATCTAAACTAATCGCTTTATCAACAAACATGCAAAAAAGTATATATAAACAAATAAATAAATAAATAAACAAATAAAAGAAGAATAAGTTTTCTTTGCTCCTCTATCTTTAACCTGATATAAAGACTGGAACATTAAAGATTAAAGATTCTTTCAAAGATCTTTTTATATTTATCTAAAGGAGAAATTTGACATTTTTCAGCCTGGGCACTATTTTCCTATGTGTTTGTTTGTACTTGACTGATGGGAGAACAGTTTCGACTACACACACTGTAAAAAGCAAAACATTAAATCAATATAAAAAAGTTATTCAATTGGTCACATCTAATAAAATTAAGTTCAGTGAACTAAATAAAATTTACTTCAATTCATTCATTATTTTTAATTCCATTGAACTCAATTTTATTTAAGCAATGGAAATGGAAAAAAGATATTTGGAACAACTTAATAAACTACAGAAACTGGATTGAATGAAATTGTTATTTTTAGTTTGATCTAACTTATTTATAGTTAATCAGCGAAATTTTTAAGTGTCTATTCAGATCAACTAATTTTTGTTTATGAGACTAATGATAAAATTATTTTTAATTCAATGTAACATGTTACTTTAAATGCTATCATTTTTCCCTTCAATATGACTTATTTTATTCTTAAACAAAACAATCCAAGTAATAATCCATGAAATTTTTTATTATATGGATCCATATTATAGCAAATCTTATGTAGATAAACATTAACTTGTTTTATCTTACGAGATTCATATATTCCAATATTACAACTGTTATTTTGGCTAATGCTGTTTTGAAGGGAAATACCACATGTCACAGCGTTTAGCAGGTCTTTTCAGACTTTGAACAGGGTGGTGCTGATTCAACAAAAGTTTAAGTTCAATTTCAGGAGATGCTCCACGTTCTTCAGCTTGGAGCTCATCAACTTTACTTCAACTTTATCTTTGAAATGCTAATTAATCTCATAACATTATGGCTTGATTTTCTTACAGCTTCAATCTGCAGAGAAAATAATTTTACCACTATTTAATTATTCTGAGATTATGACTCAATAAACATGTGATGTGACACAATGAGTTTACTAAAGCTAGAGCTGCCATGTTTAAACACGATAACTGCTCTGGACTTTAAAGGAAGGTTACAATGCCTGGAGAGAGCAAAATGGCCAAAAAGGTTTTGACTGTCCTGCTCCAGACTAAAGTCCTGCTGGATCTGTAGACTTTGCCGACACTGACATGAGTTAAGGAAAAACAGTAAATGTTGAGTAAAAGCATCAGGATTCATCTTTGAGTCAGCTTTTACATCTTTTTACATCATCCATCTTCTTTTTTTAAATCATGATATAGAGAAAAAAAAAACTATAAGGTATCAAAGTTTTCAGAATATTTTGACGTTACAATAACTGTGATTCTATCTAGAGTATAAAAGTTTGAGTCTTTTTTCTAAAAGATGTTATTAAATAAAACAGCTGCTTGCACAGAGAGGACTCACACATGTCTGGTTACATTAAACTCTGTTTTCTCTGAAGGTCCAAACCTGCTGGACGGTCCTCAGAAGGTCTCAGCATTTAGAGGAGGAAATATTATCATTAACTTTCCCTACACTAGTCGTGGAGGAGTCCAGTGGTGCAGGCTTGGAGGGTCCTGTGTGAAGAAGCCATATGGATCAATAGATGGAGCAGACGTGACCATTTCTGCAGAAAATCATGTGGGTGTCAAAGTGACTCTGAGTGGACTGAGGACACAGAGCAGCGGCTGGTATTACTTTGCTAAAGGGGAGCTAAAGATGCCAGTGCATGTCACTGTGAAAGAGCGACCACCCACCAGTGAGTAGAACACCACTCATAACAAGTGTGCAAATATGAGCCCAATATTCAGAAATGTGCAGCATTTACTGAAGGTTGTCAGCATCTTGATCATGATGTCTTATTTTGATCATTCTGTGTCAGTATCTTGTCTGCGGCCCTTTTCTACAGTTATTCTGTGTTCTGGAAATTATGTTTGCAAATGCAAGTTTCTCGTTGACAGAAATGTAGCTCTTAAATGGACCGAGCTGGTCTCACAGTTGTAGTTATATAACATATGATAACTGATAATGATAACTAAAGATAGCTCACATTAATACAATCATCTTTGATTTATTTTTTTCATCACAAATGTCATCTTGTAATCGAGGTGTGTCCTCAAGGATGTCATTAAAGTCGACTAACATGGAAGTTGGACATTTTATAGCTTTATATCAAGTTGACAGGACTCTGACTCCATGTTGCTTCCTACAGCCACACAGGAGATGACAATGACGACAACGACGACAACGACGACAAAGACGACAACGACGACAACGACGACTACGTGTTTGAACATCTCATCGAGCACTCTTCAACCTGTGACTCACACTTGGACCTCAGCATATGAAGAAAACACCGAAGCTCCTGGGTCAGTCTCTTTAGAGTACTAAAGTAGACCATCTTTGGGAAAGACTGAATGTTGCTCTGTTGACTCCAGTCTGTTTCCTGTAATAATAATAATAACAACAACAACAACAACAACAGCAGCAGCAATAATAATAATAATAATAATAACAACAACAACAACAACAACAGCAGCAGCAATAATAATAATAATAATAATAATAATAATAACAACAACAACAACAACAACAACAACAACAACAACAACAACAACAACAACAACAACAACAACAACAACAACAACAATAATAATAATAATAATAATAATAATAATAATAATAATAATAATAATAATAATAATAATAATGTAACTGGATTGATTGAGAAAAGTGTCCTGATTGTGTTTGCTCATTTTGTTGTTGTGTTTCGATCCGTCTCTGCAGAAGTTTTATTCACTCACTGAGCCTCATCATTCCTCTGAGTTTGTTATTGACTGTCCTCCTAATTGTGGCCATAATCTTCTGGTTTATTTGGAGACGACACAGTAAGAACATGATGAACTTATTTATTAATAACTAAATGTTTTAATTGTATTCTGCACTGAGAGTCAGTAACAGGAGTTTTTACACTTCCAGAGGAGACCAAGGCCCGATTATCTTCTGCAACAGAGGTGAGATTTACTGATCTTATGATGCAGATGAATGTTGAATACTTGATTCTCTCACTATCCATCACTGACACACACTCCAGTTATCTTCATCAGTTTGGTATTACATATAGCCAGAGTCAATAGTTTTCAGACAATTCAGCTTTTCCTCCAGAAACCAGATTTTTATGGTTTCTGCCCATCTGTAAATAAACTCACTTCATTGCATTGGACGCTAAAGGAATCGTTTGTTTATTTACTGACCTCCAGACATCATGTAAACATGTAAACACAGCTGTACAGACAAAAGCAAAGTCCTTTCATGTCAGTATCAACATTTTTGATCCAGTTTGAAAAAAGACAAAGACAATGTTAGTTTGTGTTTCTTTGTGTGTTAATTGTTTGTTTGTTGATTAAATTTGTTGGTATTTGTTTGTTTTTTTTTTGTTTTTTTTGCATGTTTGATTAAGTTTGAGTTTATTTGTGTTTGCATTGTGTTTTTTACTAAGATTGATTTTGTGTGTTTTTTGGGTCCATTTGTATTTCTTTTTTTTTGTTTGTTTTTGTTTGTTCATTTGTATTGATTTGATCGTGTCTGATTGTTTTTTGTTCATTCACATTTGTGTGTATTTGTGTTTATTTTTTGTGCGTCTACATTTGTATTTGTCTCATTCTGTTTCTATTTTGTGTATGATTGTGCTTTTGTTCTTATTTCATTGATTTGTTTTTTATGATTGTTGTTTTTTTTATTCTATATATCTGTTTATCACATTTTACTCAAATTTGCATTTATTTGTTGTTTTGTGTGTCTTTGTTTGTTTTCCTCCATGTCCCTTTAGGGGCTCAGTAATTTTGTTTGTGTTATAGTTTATTTGTGTTTGCTTTATTGTTTATTGTGTTAATTTTTATTGTGTATTTTTTTCTACTTTTGTGTTAAATTGTTTATTACATTTTACTCTAATGTGCATTTGTGTTGGTTTTTATTGTCAGTTGTTTTGTGATTTTCTGTTTGTGATTGTTGTGTATTTTTGTGTTTATGTTTGTGTTTATGTTTGTGTCTGTTAGTCTTATTGTGTATGTTTGTTTTGGTTTGTTTGTGTGTCTCTGTGTTGTTGATTTTTGACTTTATTTGTTTTTTGAAAAGTTTATTTCTGTTGGCAGAATTATTATCAGTAGATGCTCCAAATTTTTACAGTAACTGTATTATTCTCTTTATTGACTCTTTCCTTTCATTTAGCTGTTATTAATTATTATTATTATTTTTAGGAAATTTGGCATCAGACCCAGTTCAGCCGCAGGACTTTAACGTGTGTTTTTGATCCACTAGCTTTTGTTTTGCCTCTTCATCACAGGCTGAAAAGGAGATCATCTACAGCACTGTTACACACACAAGACATACTGATCACGAGGTAACTAAACATAGTTTTGATTCTTTATTGACTCTTTCCTTTCATTTAGCTGTTGCACTATTATTATTATTATTATTTTTAGGAAATTTGGCATCAGACCCAGTTCAGCCGCAGGACTTTAACGTGTGTTTTTGATCCACTAACTTTTGTTTTGCCTCTTCCTCACAGGCTGAAAAGGAGATCATCTACAGCACTGTTACACACACAAGACGAACTGATCACAAGGTAACTAAACATAGTTTTTAATTAAGGGTCAGCCCTGCCTCTGTCCCTCAGCAGGACAATCAAGGTGATATTAGTAAAAAACAATAATAATAATAATGAATGACTTTGAAAGGTTTTACATCCAAAGATGGTTCCAGGTCTCTGATTGCTCTCCTGGTTTTTCTGTTCCTTCTGTTCCTCAGCAACACCAAGCACAGGAGGAGGATGTTATCTACAGCCCATTAGCTCTGCATTAAAAGCTTGATTTTGGTCATTGTTGGACGAGAGCCGTAATTCACGCAACTGTTGTTTCTTTATCTCCTCATGCTGTTACCCTCTGAGCATTTTTGGTTCAAAAATTGGTCTAACAGACGTCTAAATGTAGCCTAGACGGCTGCTCTAAAATCAGGCTACCACAGGTCTAAAAATGAAAGTTTTTTTAGACGTCTAAATTTAAACCAAGTTTGGACCAAGTCTAAATCTGGGCTATATCTTTACTACACTGTATTTTGCTCAACAACTATCATTATTAATTTTGTTTAGTACTTGGAGATCAGTTATGCAACTCACAGTTGCTTTTTGAGATAAATAGTTATTGAATAATGGGTTAAAGTGCAACGTCTAAATTCCATCTAAAAATATTCAGAATCTAGACGGTTGAAATTAGGTCTAAAAAAAAAAAACTAGATGTCTAATAGCCGTCTATTGCTCACTGGGTACTCTTTTCTGATTTCTAATGTATCTGAAGTCCATGAAGGCTGGACACCTTTTTGGTGAATAAAAACTAAGTAAAACTAAGAACTGTATGAAAAGTGTAGCTGATTGATTTCATGCGTATGATGTGACTCTCTGCTTTTTTCACCCGTTTTAAAAAGACGCCAACACACCTTGCTGCTGGCTGTTGATTTGAGGTTTTCACACCTTCTTCTCTCAACTCTGTCTGTTTGACAGAAACACTGACCAAAACCAAAGGTGTGAACATAAACAGCAGAAACTTTTGATTCTCCTAGAACCATGAAGCTTGTTTGGGCAGAGGGGTTGACGCATCTATCTGTAGTTACTAAAACAGACAAACAGAAGATTAATACTTGAGTTTGAAAAAAGGTAAACCGTGCTGCTTGCTGTTGATTTGAGGTTTTCACACCTTCTTCTCTCAGCTCTGTCTGTTTGACAGTAACACTGACCAAAACCAAAGGTGGGAACATAAACAACAAAAACTTTTGATCCTCTGAGAACCATGAAGCTTGTTAGGGCAGAAGGGTTGATGCATCTATCTGTAGTTACTAAAACAGAAAAACAGAAGATTAATATTTGAGTTTGAAAAAAGTCATTATGTATGCACATAACAATCAGATAAACATGTTCATCTTGGTGTGAGAAGAGCCATAACTTTATGTCATCAACAGGCAGCATCTGTTTCATTTGACATGTTGTCATTTAGGATGTTGTTAATAATAGATGATGGTGACATCAGCCTCATGAGCACTGACGCTAATTATTTCCAAACGCCTAAAATCATTCTAATCAATGGACTAAAATAAATGCTTCATCACCAACCTCTCGCGACACTGAGGTGATGGTGGCTGTCGAGGACCAAAAGAGATTAACTCGATAAAGATGTCATCGTCAATATCAGACACAAGGTAATCTGCTGGTTTGAGGGAAGGCCTTATAAAAAAATAAAATAAAGAAAGAGATTTTTTAAAAAAGATTAAGTCATGAAGTGATGATGAAATTGTATTTTTGGTGTCTGTGATAAAGTGAGGACTGTGGAGCAGAACCTAATGTTTTGTCTCCAGACAGACACACTCTGAAAAGACTGAGCAGAGAGCTGGGACATATCGTATCCCCCCTTCAAAGCCGCATAATGGGGATAATTGCTGATAAACGCTGAGTATTGTAGTTAGTTAGAGGACAGTCATTTGGAGATTCTGCAAGAGAAAATAAATACATGATGAGTTATTGTCAGGACATCTCCTCATAGTTAACTCTGATCATTCAGAGGAAACATCAGCAGGATCTCTAAAAGCAGCACTAACTGAGGTCATTCAGCTTCGTGTCTCTGTAAACTAATGTAATTAGTTTTTTTCATCTATGAAAGGAAACACACATGCTCACCCTGATTTTCTGCTGTCACCTTCTGATCAGGGACATAAACTCAGATTATTGTTCCTGTGAGTTATGGTCATTTTTTTACCATCAAAAATGTTATTAAGATAATAAACACATCAATAACTTCTCACTCTGTCTTCAAGCATCTCGCTCAGCCACCGAGTAAAATGGTTTCTGCTAGTTTGTCCAATTTGAGCTACTGTAGAAAAAACATATCAGCCTCCAGGGTGAGGACCTGCTGCTTGTATAACAAAAACTTTTTCAATATCAAAGTCAATATAAACTTAACAAACTTCAAAGTTTCTTTAGTAAAATGCTGCTAAATTTTACGCTATGTACCTTTAAGCTCCTTTTGAGTGGTCACTGTAAGGGGTGACTACATTACAGGCTGCTGGTAGTTTTTTTATTCATCATTCATTCTTACTTCTGGAAAGCTTTTGGCACTCCAGGGAGATGGTTTTTAAGACGGGAAATCACATTTTTCATGGAGTGTTGATATCCTTTTCTCCTTGCTTCCTAAGTGAAACTAACAGCCATTCTGCTGTCTGTTTACGATGCTTTCAATCTACTTTCATACAGCCCACATGTTAAAGCTTGTAGCTAAATAGCTGGACATAAACATGATCAAAAAATGTCATGTCTGTGGAGACTGAAATGGACATTTTCAGCTTTTTTTATGCAGAAAATATCTCCAGTAGTTCCCCTCTGTTCTGGCCTCATTTTCCCCTTTTTAATGAATTTATGCCTCACTGTTTAGTGGAAAATAACCTGTAAAACATGCTTTCTGATGTCAGACTGTTTGAAAATCACACCAAACGAGTTTCAGACATTTTTCTCTTTCTCATCAAGAATGAAAAACCCATGTTCTTAATAAAAAGGTTTAGTATTTATTCACAGTTAATTAATATTATGTATGTTTACACACAAAAAGGTAGTAAGGTTAAAAATAGACCGATAAAGTCTTACTAAGAAGCAGAAAAGATCATTAAACATTATACATGTTTTAGTGTATGTGGTCATGACGTACAGACAATAAAATCATAAATTCAAACAGGTTGTTTGTTTTAGTCCCAGACAAATTTGTAAGTGACATCCTTCATTTTCTCTTTGTAAACAGCGTCAAAGCGTTCTGCCTCGGCTTCTGTCAGCTGGTTTTTCCAGTCGCCCGCGATTCCTGAAACACAAATGAATGATGGATGACGTAATAGATCATGTTTTAAAATGCAAGCATCCTTATATGAATGAGGTAAAACGACCAAAAGGGCACCTGATCACTCTTACGGCATTGAAAAGGCATCTAAAGGGCACTATCTTTTCAACCTTAAATTTTACTGGGAGGGAATCGTGCCATTCTTCTACAATCACAGACATACAATAGATACATACAAATAGATGTTCAAAAACTATAAACAGCCAAACGCCTTCTGCTTGAACAGACTCAAACTGACCTTTGCGGAGAAACTCTGACTTGGTCTGGTCCATGTATTCGGCAGGAACCAAAGAGTAGTTTGACATGTTGTTCTGCTTCATGTTCTTGAACAAACATCGATCCGCGATCTTCTCCACCGCCTCAGCCTCCAGAGGTTTCTCCAAGAACTTCGCGATCCTGGCCACAGAGTCCTTCAGGTCCTGCAGCACAGAGAGGGGCTCATTGTTTCATCTTCCTGCAGAGTTTAGCACATGGTACTGCCTGAGTATTCTGGTGAGATCACGTCTGTGCAGGAGGGTTATAGATAAATCTCACCATAAACAGCTCCTCGTAGGAGATGTACATGATGCGGTCTTTCTCCTCAGCATTCAGCCAGCTCTTCACATGATCGAACCATGAACCGAACATGACTAGGAAAGAAGCATTATGAATGGCATTTCCATCATGAGCGCTCTTTTCTAGTGTTTCTCTTTTTTGTCTTCTAGAGTTTGAGCGTTTCAACCTTAAAGCATTATTATGATCCAAAAACATGAAAATATGGCCAAAAAAGGCTGAAAAAGGCTGGATTATTCTTTCTAACTTATGAAAGAAAGGATAAATTACAGTTAAAATGGGGCACCAACCAACAACTTTGATGTGTTTTGTTGCATATAAATCCTATATGTGGTAGAGCTACCTTGTCCATCCAGGAACTTGTGGAGGAACTCGCTCTGTGGACCTGGCTTTACCAGGAAAGATGTTGTCCCAAAATAGTGAAAGGCAGAGGTGAAGACATCTTTAGGGTTCCTCATGACATAGATGACCTAAAATAACGACAAATATGCATCAAACCCCAGTCCACTCAACATTCTCTGTCTCACACATTCTGCAGGGTTCACAATACATCCTATCTAAATGTGCGACATTAAAGGGATACATACCTGTAAATACAGGGGCCTAGCCGCAGTAGTAGCCTCCAAACATCTTTTTAACTTTGCCTAATTTCTTTAGCAAAGAGACTAAACACAACTCATCCACTCTCTTCCAGCAGCCGCTTGTTTGTAGCGAGACCTCAAGCCAGCCCATCACAGACTGTAGCGGGGTCATGCAGTTCAAGGAAGAACATTTATGGTAATTTCTTCATGGATATGCAATCAGACCGAGACGCTAAGGCATAAGAACTACCACGTTCGCTGTGCAAAATTATTATGGTGATTATTACTTCAAGGAAATGATGAAGAAATGATCATAAATGTTCTTCCTTGAGCTGTGTCACCCCACAGCAATCCGTGATGGACTTGCCTGAGGTTTTGCTACAAACAAATGGCTGCTGGAAGAGATTAGGTGAGTTGTGAGTCTTTCCTAGTCATGTGTGAGTTGTGATGGTGTGTTTGACCCTAAATTAATTTTACACCGGAATATCCCTTTAAGTCAGCAAATGATTTGATAGTTAGAAGAACTTTTCTTCAGGGTATGGCGGTCATGATTTCAGAATTTAACTTACAGTTACCATGGCGATAAAATATCACAATATCACTGCAATACTGAAAGAAAACTTATACATATACAACAATAAAATCAGTCAAACTGAGAAAAGACGAGACAAAAGCGAAACAACGCATTACTTCTTCAACTTTACGAATAAACCCAGTTACCTTACGAGCCATCATCTATTTCACATAGTGTACAAACATCAGGTTTTTGAACCTCAGTGTTTTTTATGTTTCACTTCAGAGTCAGTTCAGACGGACTGTGGGGCGGACTTACCTTTGGCTTTGTTTCAAAGAAAGACCGTGGCAGCATATCGTATTTGTAATGTGTAGAAAACGTGCGAGGAGACGGCCTCTGGTCAAGGTTCAGGGTGTAGGCACGATTCTCTTCCAGCCAGGGAACTCGGTCCCAGTTAGGAAGAGTCTCCACAGAGGCTGGATCTCCTCCACTCATGATCAGAGGGACTATCTCCTGCATCCAGGTGGTGCCTACACAAAGGAAACGAGAGCTGGAATGAGTGGTTTAGTTCGTGCACATCATTTCCAGATTTATTTTGATTTTTATCGCTGACAAAGCAAGTAAGACACTGTTATCATGTGGCAAAGAAAGTGGGTTTTATTTCAGGGGTTCAAGGTCTCAAACCGCCCTCCTCTGTCATCCCTTTGTGAGGGATGTCATTTTTCTCACCCTGACTGGGACCCTGGCCCAGTCTCGTTGTCCTCTCATCACCCTGAACACAACACACTCTTTGTTTTCTTACAGTACAACTCTGATGGGCTGTGGAGCTAGCATGTTCAACAAACCATCAGACTTGTTGATTGATTCAGATGAGGCTTCATGTGAGTAACCAAAAACAACACGAAGGACCTCACTCATTAACATAACTTTGACACAGCCAATCAGCATCTGTCTCTGAGGTCATGCATGGACCAAGCTGTTTGGAGAGCATCTAATATAAAGGATATCTGATAACAAATAATTAAGTGACATTTCACATAGAAGCTGCACTGCAAAACAGGGGGGTCTAAAAACAAGATAAAAATGCTAAATCAGAGGGAAAAGGTACTAAAAACAAGTGAAATTATTTGTCCGTGCAGCAAGATAATTTCCCTTGACAAGATTTCTTGAATTAAACTGTTAAATCTAGAAATAAGCATGTCTTCAAATGTATTTGGAAGGCTTAAAGTAAGCTAAAAATGCTGTTTTTTTTTTAGATCAGATTACTTAAAATTGAACTTTTACAGCCCCAAAATAAGTTAAATATACTTAATGTAAGCATAAAATAAGTGTAAAATGCTGGTTTTAAAATCAGATTAGCTCACATTTAAGTTTTACAGCCCTAAAATAAGTGAAATGCACTAAATATAGGTATATGGTTAGGAAAAAATGCTGGTTTTAAGATGAGATAACTTAATAAGTAAACTTTTTTTATAGCCTCAAAATAAGTGAAACATACTTATTATAAGCAACTACATATTTGGTTTTCTTACTTTTAGCAAACGAAGCTGCAGATTAGTTAAACAAAAACTAAAAATTTAGAGAAAAAGTATCCAGTATTAGTGAAGAAAGACTAAGCTCTGTCTCAATCCAAGCAGGCTTATCTCGAAACAAGGCTTACTTAATCTTAAAACAATATTCGTTTAGATGAGACTTGGGGAGAAAGATGGAATATAACTTATTTTAACAGTTAATTTTCTCATTTTAAGATTTCGTGCCTATTTGAGACAAAAAAAGATAAGGTTGTGCTTGATATAACATTATAGTGTAAAGTTAAACACTTAAAATAAGAAATTAAGTCTTAAAACAAGAGAAATTAAATAACACTTTTAGATCTAAGTTTTTTTTAGTCTTGGTAAGAACCAAATAATTTGCAGTGTGCAAGACTAAAGTTTCTGTGTTCATTATTTCATGATCGTTTCCCATTCAATTGCATATCTTCCTCCCCCTGCTGGCATTTTTTGAAATCACAAGGAAGCCAGAGGAATTTCCCAACAGCTGTTTTGCTGCCGCTCTCCCTCCCCTGCTGGTGCTTTTATGGAAGCTCAGGTTTACCTGGTCAGTGGGAGGGTGTTGGCTGCTGCTGCTCTCCCTGCTTTGGCTTTTCATGTATGCACATGAAACAGAGGGGCGGTGTACTCTCTCTCTGCTACAGACTTTGGCAGAACAGAGACTAAAATACCTTATAGTTGTAGTCCAACCAGAGTCAAAACATTTGAGTCATTCCTTTTATTTAAAACAGTTTCTGTCTGCGAAGTAATTTAATTAATCCGAAATTAGTACAAAGGTTGTGGTACAGTCTCAAAATCTGGAGTGGATTGCTCTCTTAACACTTTTACTTGTATAACAGCTGGATTACACCTGAAATGATTTAGTTTGAATGCTCCCACAGATGCAGTAGTTCTTCTGCCTTAGCATCTCGGTCGGATTGCATTTCCATGAAGAAATGATCAGAAATGTTCTTCCTTGAGCTGCGTCACCCCACTGTACCATGCCAGTCCATAATGGACTGGCCTGAGGTCTCGTGGCAAACAAGCGGCTGCTGGAAGTGAGGAGGTGAATTGTGTTTAGTCTCTTTTCTAAAGAAATCAGGCAAAGTTAAAAATATGTTTGGTGGCTAGTACTATGGCTAGGACCTTGTATGTCCTGTTGATGAAGTCAGGTGCTGTTCTGAGCATTATTTGTGGCTATAGAGTGGCGTTTTTGGTTGAGGTTTGTTTATGGCCCCTCAGACCGCTGTGTATTGCTATCGTGCGGTCGTTACTAAAGTTGGCATAACTAGAGAAGCAAGCAGTCAGCAACATTCATCTCTTGAGGGGGTGTCTTACTCTGTGTTAAGGTGTGTTTAACTGACCCTAACTTAAATTTACGACGGAATATCCCTTTAACTTCATACAGCTGCTGCAGAGTTTCACTCTTGTTGGGTGGATAGAAACAAGCGAAGGGGAACAACAAGCCTACTGTACAGTATCTATCTATTCATCCAGAGGAGCTGACTGAGTAATTGTCTCATTGTTCATAACCTTGTCATGCTGTCTTGCACGTGATGCTGTGATAAGAGAATATATTGTCCTGGCACACACACATACGTGATGTCAGGGGGATCCTTGCACAGATTTAGTATGTTGATTGATGCTGCAGTTAAAGAACGACAGCTGCTGTTCCTCGAGGAAGTGAATATGACACCAAGGCCTCATTTATTCAATTATGGGAGGTGTTTCTCTGCTCTATTGAAACTGCATGAATGGGTGCTTACTAACCTTACTGACTGGCTTTCTTCTCAGTCCAGGTGAGACTCTTAGGGCTTTACAGAGGGAACAGAACACCTGTTGTCCACCTCTTGGACTTGTCTGTGTGTAGAGGCTCTTGATGTTCTGACTCCAGTCTCAGTCCAGTCTTTGTGAAGGTCCTCTAAGTTATTGAATCTGCTTTGTTTGTCAATCTTGTGCTCATCCCTGCTGCCTGGCCCCCATTTCCTTCCTCACCTTTCAAGACTGAAATAACTGACTTAGAGATAGAGGCTTTTTGATTTTTGCGAGCTGATCTTCGAGATTCAAACAAAAAAAATCTGGAAATATTTGAAGTTTGACTTTTTGAATTAAATTACAGGAAAAAAAAGGACTTTCTCAGGAAATTTTAACTTGTTGAGCTGACCTCTGTATCCCATGGGCTGCAGACCAGTAGCATGAAGTCTGACAATACATACATCAATACAATAGCTACGGTGGCCAAGAACTGCCACTGCTGCAAATAAAAAAAAAGAATGCAAAAAAGAAGTCACAACGAAAGTTAACGATGCAAAAAAAAGAAAAGAAACCAAAGCCTGCTGCAAACAGCATCCTTTTATTTTTGCAGTAAGAAACTTTTTTTTTTTGCGTTAACTTCTGTTGTGGCTTTTTTTATATCGTCACCCTTTCTTTTTTTACTTGCAGCGGGCTTCGGTTTCTTTTTTTTTTGCACTGGTAACTTCCGTTGTGGCTTCTTTTTTTTGCATCCTTTTTTATTTGCAACAGTGGCAGTTCTCTGCCACCGTAAATATCAGTGCTATATAAGTAAAAGACAAAGAGTAGCAGTATTGTCACAACTCACATCCTCCATCTGCCTTGAAACTAGAATAGTTTGTCAAAACTGGTTATCAGAGGTGACAGGTGGCAGTGACTCAGAGGGTGGTAAAGTTGTCCTGATTTAATCTCAGGCTACATATCGATGTGTCCTCAGGCAACACATCAAACTGCCCCTGGGTGGACGGATACGTCTGATTATGAGTCCTAATGTGCAGACCAGCTTTTTGCACAGCAGCCTCTGCCAATGAGTGCAGTGGTGAAGTGGGAATTTCTTCTGTATTGAGATGAAATATGCTGTTATGAAGACGTGTTATGCTTGTGCCATCATGTACCTTGACTCAGTGAACTTTATGACTGTGGTATTTTCACCTGCAGTTCAACAGGATGGGAAGTGAACGGACCGGACAGGAGTGAGCTCAACCATCAAGCTGTTGCACACACCATCTTCTTCTACAGAAGTAGTTAGGTCATAAATCTGGTGTTTTATCTTCATTCTGTGTCAGACTGTTCAGACTCTGTATGTGTGCTGTTCACTCTGACTCTCTAGCAACAGTGCTGTCTCTGTTTTTGCTAAATATTTACTTCATAAACTGGCCAGAAAAATTCAATTTTTTTGGAGCTGAAATGTTTATTTCACTTACTACTGAAAACCAAATAAATCAAAATGTCCTTAAGATTTAACAAATATATTTTTTTATCTCGTATGATACATTGGATGTTTTTGGAAACTGATAAACCACAAGAGGACATTTTTATCATTTATCGGACTGTATTCAGTTGTTGTTTTTTTTGTAATTTGTTGATCATATTGATTTAATAGAAGTATATAAAAGTATGTATCAAATATGATACAAAAAGCATTAAAGGGTTAACTCTGATTCCAGTTTGTTTATTTATCATCAATAATTTCCACAACATGATACCTTACATTTTGTTTTCTCCTGTATTTTACTCCTTCTGCAGAATCGGAGTACATAAAAACTAAAGGTAATTCAGATCCAAGATCCTCACATGGACCAGAGGACATGCACATTCCATTATCTATAGGCTGCTGAAACATAACTTTCAGTACAGGGACTTACTTAACAAACCACCTCAAAACAGACCAAGTTTTTTTTTTTTTGGCCAATGATCAATGTTGCAGTGTGAATCTCATAAAAAAATATATGTATCAAGATGTATCAGAGCGCCTTCTTAGATGCTCCTGTAGTAAGCTAAACATTATGAAATTTCTTAATTATAATTAAATTCCTGGTAATTTTCTCATAGAAGATGCATGATTATTCCTCTCAAATTTGCTCTCCTAGAGAGTGAAACAAAAAAGCTCCCGTGAATGCCTGTCTAGTGGTATAGCCTATGAGGTAACAAAAGTCTTATCTGAATGTTGTTTTTGGTGGATGCATGTAAAAAGTATCTGGATGCCCCTCCAGTAAATAAAAATAAAATAAAGGCCCTCTGGAAGGTTTGTAGTTAAAAAGTGTCCTCTGAATGCCCTTCCAGTACTAGTAAAATCAACATTATTACCCTCTGGATGCTTTTCCTGTAATGTGAAAATGTAAAAGAGTGCTCTGTGGATACCAGCACAGCAGACTCAGTGTAAAAATTACTCTCTGTCATGATACATGTTCTGGTATTTAGTTTTCCCCTGGTTTTGGTCTTTTGAGTGCATTTTCTTTGTGATTTTCCCTAATGTTTCTGTTCCCTATTGTTCCTGTTCTGCTTTAGTCCTGTCTTGTGAGTTTTCAGTTTGTGTCTGATCCCAGTTCCCTCATGTTCTCAGTGTTTTATTCATCATCAGTGATCAGTGTTTCCTGTTTTATTTTGTAGAAGTTCATTCCTTGTGTTTCTAGTCTTGTTTTACTACCTCAGCTTTCCCTCCTCTGTGATTGTCTGCACCTGTGTCTTAATGTCTCACCTGCCTCTCGTATCTCGTTTCCCTGTGTATTTAAAGTCCTTGTCTTCCCCTGTTTCTTTGTTGGGTCATTGTGAATGTGTGTGTTTGTTGTCTCTAGTATCTCCCTGTGGTTTTCGGTTCTTTGGATTTTGTCATTTGTGTTTCTTGGATTTTTGAGTTGGACATTTAAAGTAAGTCTTTGTTACTTTTCTTTTAGTTCTTTTTGGATAAATCCTTTTTGTTGTCCTGCATTTGAGTCCTTTCCTTTTTTTGATTAAACTTCTAAAATGTGACACTCTCTGAACATCTTCTAGTACAAAAAATGTTAAATATGTCCCTCTGGATGCACTTCCAGTCAAAAAATGATTGCTAAATAACATCTGTTTTTCTCCCCTGGATACAGTCATGTAAACATGCCCTCTGGTTGCCCTCTAAACATTGAAACATGAAAAACACCCTCTGTAAACCTTTTTCAGAATATCAACTCGTATCATCTCTCATACGAACATGGATAATGTGTCATCTGAATGCCTCACCAATTGTTCAATCAGGATGCCCTCCTCCTTTTCCTTGGGCCTTACAGTGTTTCAACAAACCTTTTCAGCGATGCAGAGTTTCACAACTAAACTTTCACCAGCCCACCCTTATATTTGGCAGGCTGGAACTGGTTCTAGTATGCAACTGTCCTATCAAACACCAAGGAGAGACAGAAAAGTGCAGAGCTACAAAATGCTGGAAAAAAACAGATCATGGTGTAAGTCCCCCTTTTTTATTTTCCCCCTTAAACAGCAACAGTGTGTAACTACTACTGATACCTAACTGAACTAAGACTTCAATCTCTTCAACCTTTTCTCCACATAATTTCTTTAATAGCTCCTCTGGCTGTTTCAGGCGTGCCAGTTTATACCACATGTAGTTCTTTTAGGCTATTTAGTGTAGGCTACTCTAACTCTTTTTCTTTGGTGAAGAGGGAGAAACTCCAAAGCTCGGACAAACACACACCCTCTGTTCTGCTCTGTGGGGCCTGAGTGGGTGAGTGCACACTTAATTCTGAACGTCTTGTTGTCCACATCACACACATGCAAAACATAGTTTTAAATCCTGAACCCCAGTCTGCAAGAATCCTCCACAAAACCGTCTTCCTTGTCTCATATTGTCCTCTTAATGCAGTTTATCAACTGCACAGCACAGCAGCAACCTCGTATCCATGTATCACACAAACACATGAACACACTCACCTGACTTTGGGTATGTTGCTATGAGGATGTCATCAGGACGGAAAGTGAAGTCTTCATAGAACCTGAGGCTCTCTGGAGGATGCAGAGCCGAAGGTAAATAGATTCCTTTGTACAGGGTGTACAACTCTGCCTCAGTCATAGTAACCCTCTCAGTCGACTCGAAAATCACGGCAAACTGCAGCTCCAGCCAAAGTAACATGCGGCGTTCACTGCCAATCGGATCGTCCCCTTCGCGCAGTTAGTTCAGTGTTTTGTCCCATGAGTTAATGAGCCAACATAATAAAGACATGGTCGTCGAAACTGACAATTCGGCCCATAGTGCCAACAATCACCACAGTCTGCCATGTTTTAAACTGTTTCTCCAACTCTGAAGAAATACTATGGTAATTTTTACAGTAAAAAATTAAATTTCCGATTATTTGGACATCACGTGAATATCCTTACATTTTTAACCCCCCCTCGCTCTCTCCTTCTTTTTTTATTTTTTATTAAAAAAAAAAAAGGTCTCTCTCCTTCTGCCTCTCTCTAAATTTGTTTCACGTTGACTCTTTATTGAAAAATAAATAAATAAATGAATAAATAAATAAACAAACAAAAATATAAAAATTAAGAGATTTTCGGAAAACATGTAAACGCAGCTGCTTGAAACTTTAAAGCTCCAGTGAGGGAGTAATAAAACAGACTGCGTTTTATTTGGTGTCTCTGAATAATACGGTGGCCGAGAACCGCCATTGCTGCAAATAAAAAAGAATGCAAAAAAAGAAGTCAAGTAGAAGTACAAACTGATCTGTTTGATGTCTTTAAAATGTTCCTTATGAGGGTAAGTGCAGTCTGTTTAGTCAGTTTCGATATAAACAACTGTGTTTTGGTCTCATTCACGGAGGGTTTGTGCATGAATGTTCTTCATTGGACATGGATAATGAATTTACAGACCTTGGCATGCAGACTCTCTCTCTCTCTCTCTCTCTCTCCTCATGCCCTGCAGGAACAGGTTTTGATTGACACAGACACGTGAGGAGATTGTAACTCGGGCCTGTAGCTTCATGTGTTAGTTCAGTCCTTCTTTGTCTGCAGTGATGAATCACAGCACTTCCCTTCACGTCCATAAATAAATTCAACAAAGTTTACAGATTGTGTAGGCTAATTTTATCAAGTAAGTGATCAACATTAAAAGAAAAAGTGTCAAAGGTGTGTCAGGTGAGCGCCCTCTGCTGGGCTCCTGCAGACCTGAGCCTGCAGCCTGTGTGTTACCAGCAAAGACTGCATCTTTATACAGTCTACTGTTACCAGTCTGTTCTATTGTGTAAAGTCAAGCCTGTTCTCTGGTAAAAGAGTGCTCTGTTGTCTGGGACATATCAAATAGTTCTGTGAAGTTTTCATTTTGTTGAAGAGTATTTCAAGCTCACCAGGTGTTTATGTTTTTCTGGCTGAACCGTCAGTATCTTTGTGTTGGGAAACCTGGACGAATTCCTAACTGCAAGTTAAAACATCAGCCTCTTTAAGTCTGTTGGCTCAAAATAAGACACGACGAAGAACAACATTAGTTGGTTAGATGGTCTTATTTACTACCAGCAGAGATTTGCTGCAACCAGCTACTCTTGTTTTTTCTATGTGGTTTTGCCCGTCATCTTCAGGGATAGTTTCGTCTTTCGAAATCTGGCTGTGGAGATGTCTCTATCTCTAGCAACTTCCTTGCAACATTCATTGAAAGTCACTCACAAATCGTTGACAAAGTCATGGACAGTATGTAGTGTTGCAGCAACTAGATGGTATGAGATACCAGGGCTGTACACAGAGATGGTACTTTGCTTCATGTGCACTTAAGTCAGACTCTTGCAGAACAGTTTCTATCCCCTTTTACTTATTTGATCAGATTATTAAAAAAGTGAGATGATACCAGCAGATGATTAAAATATATTTATTGCTGCAACAACAGACATTTATGGTACGACTAAAATGAACAGCTCAAAAAACAATCAAATCTGAACCCAGCCTAAAAGGAAAACAAAAACAGTGGTATCACTTTCTGAACTGTAGACAAACCTTTGGCAATATGAACTCCTGAAACCATCTGCTCATTTAGGAAACTTTAAATAAATGTGACGTCATGTTCAACAATATATTTAGCTTTCACAACAGTAATCATGAATAACAAGTTTTACACATCCACTCATTTTTTTCCAGGTGAAAAATCAAAAAGTCGACAAAGAGTCGATTAAAATGAAACATAAGTTAGGCTTTATTTCACAACAGATGAATGACAAAAAGTGATGTATATTTCATACCTGCTCTTACACAGACTCATTGGTGTGACTTAGACATTCATATAAATGGGGTAAGTTAATACTGATAAGCACTTGAGCATCTCAAAGATCACCACAGAGGTAGTTGTGGTCATGTAGAACAAGAATCCAGTGGAGTTTGCAGAAAACAATTTGATTCTTTATATCCACACACACACACACACACACACACACACACATATATATATATATATATATATATATATATATATATATATATATATATATATATATACTGTATATACATATATATAAATATTATTGTTCTTGGGGGCCCCCTTCTGGCCGCGGGGCCCTAAGTAGGCGCTTAAACAAAGTTCATGATATAAAATTTAGTTAAAAGCAAGGTCAAAAAGGTACGTTTTGAGTCATTAAGTCATTAAGATGAAAAAGAATGTAGTAAAACAACAACCAAGTAATGCCAGGTGTTGCCTCTGTATTTCAACAAATGAAAATAAGAACAAAAGCCACTTCCATATAGATTCCTGAGTTTACGAGGTGTCCTTGAATGCACCATGAAGCCGCTCACTCGCTTTACCGTACGAGGTGATGTAGACGAGCACTGCATTTTAAAGTGAAGATAGCGCGACCACCGAGCCTTTCCGAAGCGTGGCTGTCGTGACCTCAGTCAGTGTATTATTTAACCAAAGTCCTCCAAACAGCAGGTCTCGCGCAGTCGTTGTTCCTTATATGACCTGCGCGTGCACCCTTCCAAGCATGAAACTCCCTCGCGCCAAATTCTGAAAATCCGACGCAGTGTTGCGCACTCGCCTCGCGTGAATACGGAAAGCTTATGGGTGTTGCGCCACATCCGCGAGCGGTGCAGTCTGGGGTTCTGCTGCACACAACACAGGGCTGGCGCAACTGGCTAGCTAGCTGACCACTTGAAATGGTAACTTTATCTGTATTCTCCTCCGTTTTTGTCGATGTTGACTCAGTACAGAAGAAGTTAATGTTTATCGCTTGTTTATACTTATTCACGATACTATAACGAATGAACCGCCGGGGGAGTATTTATCAGAGTTTGTGTTTGCTCCCCAGCTAGCTAGCATGGATGCTAACGTGAGGTTTGCTGTGTTAGCTTCTGTATCGAGCTATATGGTAACTTATCTTAGCTCTATGGCTAACCTTGGAAATGATGTAACCCTAGCGAGCCAACTAACCCAGTTAGACTCGGCAGATCAGCTGAGCGGGGACCGTCATTGTTTCATGTTCATTGTAATGTAAGAGGCAGGTGTGTTTTCGCCTCTGTAGTTGGAGGGTGGTTCAGTTTTCTGGTTCTGGGTTAGCTCAGATCGACGTCTGTTTACCATCTGTTTACCTCAAGTGTCAACTTCTGCGTTTAAAACGTAGACATTACTAAGATGGAAACTAAAAGGGCCGCATGATTTAGGGATGTTCGTGATTTACGGTAACACTGTTCACTTATACGATATGAAGTAGATTAAGTAAATGCTTAATTATGTATGAAAACCAACCTAAACTTTAGCTTCATGGCCATTATACGAGGCCTGCATATGATGGGTGAAATACACTCACAAGTAAACTTATTTTCTTGAAGTATTTGTCCTACTTGAAACACATTTACACAAGATGGTGGGTTGAAAATTGCCTGATTCATAACTTAACCCTAAATTTAGTAACACCATCACTATCCCCGGGTGATTTTTACCCAAAATAATATACCCAAGAAAAAGTACTTGTCATCATAATATATCAAAATAGGACAATGCATGACAAATTAAAGTAGTTTTATTTTCAACTGTGCAATTTCCAAGGGGAGAAAAAAAAGTGCCATGAGGGGACCATATAAAAATGCAACAAAATAACTGAAATTAGGCATTCATGAACAAAATATTCCTGAAAAATAATATATATAGAAACTGTAAACTCAGATACTTTTCCACCCATTCCTGGGACATGTTAAGACTCAGGGTCCTTGGCACAATAACAGCTGCAGGAGAGAGAACCAAAATATGGCCTATTTTGAGTGAGTAAAAATGACCAGCTGACTAAAATATTTCTTATCACCATATGAATTCCCTTGAAAATCACTGCTTTGTGATAGCTATTCATAGCATGCAGCTATCAAATCCACCCAAATCATTCTTGTGTCAAAATCACCCGAACACGTGCCTGTAGGAAAAGCAGGTTTTGAATCAGGGAAACAAATATGCCTCAAAGATGTCAAAGGCAATGCTGAAGCTACCCAGGGACCCATGATACTCAGACAAACGCAACATAATGAAAATCATCCGGCAATAGTGTTCTAGGGTTAAATGACATAGCCCAATTTAATGTTTCATCAGATAGATTTGTAAATACTTAACCAGCTACAGATTAATTGTTCTCTAATACTGCCATAAAGTCTTCATCTTAAAGATAAAATGACAGATTCATTTGCCCTGTGATATAATTGTTTCTCTGTCTCTTTTCTCAAGGACGTGTTCTTAATGATCCGGCGTCACAAGGCCACAATCTTCACAGACGCCAAGGAGTCCACCACGGTGTATGAACTCAAGCGCATTGTCGAAGGGATTCTTAAGAGAACACCTGAGGACCAGAGGCTGTACAAAGTGAGTTACCGGTTAAAAAATAAGTTGAGTCCTAGAATTCCATCAAAATGATTTAACACACTATCTAGATACTAATAATTAGAGCAAAATCATACAAAGGCCAATAAGAGATTTTTTTAACATCTTTTATTTTCAACTACAGGATGACCAATTGCTAGAGGACAGCAAAACTCTTGGTGATTGTGGATTCACCAACCAGACTGCCAGACCTCAGGCCCCAGCTACAGTTGGTCTGGCTTTCCGTATAAACGGTAAACGGCTTTATCTATATTATTTTCTAACCTGTAAGGGTCAAGCTCTAATTTATGCCTTTTGTCGGATGAATTTGTAAGATAACCAATACTTCCTCCCTTTTTTCCTGCTTTTCTGGAGTGAGGTTAATTTTGTTGTGGAGTTAAATTGAATTTAATAGTTTGACGTCAGTCACTGTGGGCATTGCATATGGAAACAAGAATCACTCCGGGGCAGTTTATCTGCATCGATCACATTCAACCACAACACGCTAGATCTTTTACCGGGTGCTATAGCAGTTTGTAAGTAGGAATCTGTGTTTTCTCTCTTATGTGTGTCTTTAGACATTTTGGTTGCACTCCTCTGTGCAAAAATCTGTGGCGTTTGGCGTCCCTCAGGAGGTGTTTTTGATGAAAGACAGTAGTTTCTCCTACTGAGATTCAACCTTAACCCTCCTTGGTCAGTGAAAAAACAAAAGAACACTGGGGTACGGAGTGTTTGGGTGTGACTACACCATGTATAAGAATCAGGTAAATTCACCTTGAGCCCATTGGTGGGGCTAATGAATGTCATGTTATTTGGTAAGTGGTTTTCATGCATATAATAAAGCGGCTTTCTACTCATCATTATATTCTTTTACAGCTAGTTGTTTGTCGGTCTGTTAGCAGATATATCTGCTTTGATACAAAGGCAAAAACTCTTAATATAGCAGGGTTTCCCCTACATGAAATTGATCGTGTCCCACCGCCACGGCTAAATTAGCTGCCACACCTAAAACAACTAAGTTTTTATCTCACATAGTTCTACTTCAGACTCATATATATCAGCAGTGTTTCCCCTACATTCATTCAGCTGCTAAATAAATTACGTGCGCCACTACTGAAATTTCACATGATCATTAATATCAATGCACCACCAATGATTCTACTCGCACTGTGTGAGCACAACAACACACAACGTTATTTCTGACTTGTTGTGAGTCATCAAGGAGCGCATCAGATCCTGTTGGACCCTCTTTCACTAATGTGAAGGGTAATATAGCGAGTAATGCGGGTGGAGCGGAAGAGAGTGAGGTAAACAACACACACACACGCACACACCGTCGCAGCTAAAAAAATTTCGAGGGGAAACACTGTATAGCATCTAGTAAACATAACATGACTGCTCAAACGCCCTTTTGCTGTCATGTCTTGCCATCTGAGACCCTTGTTCCATCCAACAGGGAAATCCTCATGCTGTTGGGGATGTGTGAATAAACCGCTTTGTTTAAAGAAGACCTGCTGTGACATTTTTACATTAGATCACCCCAAAGTTACAGTTGAGTTATGTAGGCAGCTTGATGATTTTTCCAGCAAAATCATAACTATGTTCCTCTAAATTGTGTGCACACTTCAGTACAAGGCAACATTAGTGACAGCACATGTGGAAAACATTCAGTTTTATTTAGATTTTTACCCAATGCAAAGTTTCTAGTTCAGCCAAAATATCATTCCCATTTGATCTCATTCTGTATGCAACAATGTTAAACAAGGGCTCCGAGTTTTAACATGTATAAGTTAACTCACTGGTGAACTTTTTTCCTAAAGGTAGACTTTAGTAACAGGAGTACTACATAACTGCATGTATCCAGTTACAACCCCATTTTCAGATTAAATCTGATATTTTCTTTTTTTTTTCCAACTCTGTCCTGCAGACGAGATGTTTGAACAGCTGCACATTGAGGCCTTCTCCAGCCCCCCAGAACTCCCTGATGTGATGAAGCCTCAGGACTCTGGTAGCACTGCCAACGAGCAGGCTGTGCAGTGATGAGGGGGGAAAGGATACGAGTAATGGAGAGGAGAACGGACGTGGGTGTGTGTGGATTCACTGCGGTGGAGAAGTAGCAGGGTGGAGGGTGTGTAATATAATTTAAGTTGACAGATGGGGACGTTATAGGTAACCAAACCTACCCATGTTACCTTTATGCTATCATCCTAGCATCACAGCCCCTCCCCTCTCTCCAAATTAGCTTCACAAATCACTTTTAACCCCTTTTTGATTTCCACATCACATCCAGTTCTGCTCCTTGACTTTGCTCTTAAGTACCATCATGCTCAAAGATGTCGAGTGAAGAAGGTGGTTTTCGGAAAGTAATGGTATCTATGTGTGTGCGTACGAGTTATTATGATTATTATCATTAATATTTTGGAAAAGATGAAGGCATAGTTTTGTGTCACAGTGCTCTAGAAGTAACACGTGTAGGTTAAGGAGTCTGGTGTCTGAATCTGCAAATTGCATGAACAAGTTCAAAATAAAAAGGCTTTATTTTCACACCAACAGATAAACCTTAAGTCGATAACTTTCCTTGGTCTGATTCTCCTAGTTTTGTTGTACATTTCTGTTATGATTTCATACCAAGAAAAAAAGTCTTTATAATTATTATATGTACTTTTGTGTTGTCATTTTGTTTTTGTTTTTTTCAGTACGTCCAACTTGTCAGTCCTTTGTTGTATGTTTCATGCACTGAGACCAAAGGCAGGCACCTCTTTGACAACAGAGGGACTTTTTATTTGGTCAAAGATCATTTTGTCTGTGACATACAGTATACACAGGAGACTTTTATCATGTTACAACTTCCTTTTGAGAAAATTCACCACATGTCATCAACATAAATGTGGCACCTTCCCCCCCAATCACAAAAACATAGCCTGTAACTGTGAGCTTGCTTATTAAAAAGTTTTTCCTGTTTTGTTTTTTACACTGCTGGCTGTTTCTTTGTTCAAACCACGAGTTTGTGTCAAAACTCAACCAGGAGTTAAGCACTTTTTTTCTCTAACACTCTGAAAACGGGTATCCGAAACAGCTTGGTTTATTCTGTAAGGTTCTTTTAGAAATTCTGTCATGTTAAGCTAGTTAGAGGGTTTCCACCACCACTAATGCCACTGCGTAGGTTTTCAAATACATAATGATTTAAACTAGTCATAATCTGATGGTTCCTTGAGCATGTTTAAGCTAAAATTATGTTCACACTTGAGTTTTAAATTAGTGTTTTCACATAAAAAGTGGGATTAGGGTCTTTACTCTTCCAATTCTGGTGTGCTGTGTTTAAGAAATAAAGTTAGGTCAAATCTTATTTCCACGTGCAAATATTGGGTGAAAAGGACAATTTCTTTACCAGCAAGTTAGAGGCTGAGGAGGACATTGTCACCCACTAATGAAATCTGTGATACATCTATTATACGCTTTTCAACAAGTGCAATCATTCTTTTTATTATTATTGCATATAACTGCTAAAAAGCTGTTTTGTAAAAAAAAAAAAAAATATATATATATATATATTATGAGACTACCTTTAAGTGATTCAGAACATTCACAGCTGTATTTTTGAAAAGAAAAAGTGACACATTTCAACAATCTGAGCTGAAACTCTGATCCTCTCATCAGACTCTTTTACTTTCTCATTTGAGCCACTGGCTTAACTTGCCCCAGAACTACTATTATGACTTTATTAGCCCTCTAAGATTAAATGGTGGACTTTTATGCTACGTTTTGACCTCATGTTGTTGCTCATAGATACCACAATTGATGTATTAAACAAATTTAAAATGATTTTTTTTTGGTCTGAACACAATTCTCATAAAACTTATGACGGACTAAATTCACTTTCAAGAGTGAAAAATGTTTTTTTTTTTTAAATAAATGTCTAACCCCTTCACCCACGTGCTTCTCACCCTCACAGACTCCATGAATTGATGCCCATCTCCTAAATATTTCTTTGGTAACACTTTACAATAACCATAATTTATAAATGGTTAATAGACCATTTATAAATGGTAATCAGATAGTTTATAATGTTTAATCATCATTTATAAATAGCATATAGACCATTAATAAATTGTTAATTTTACAATTTTAAAAAACCTAACCCTAACTTTAGAACTACCATCTAAGTAATGTTTATAGATGGTTTAAAAATCAAATATGAACCATTTACAAAGTGCTACTTACACACATTTTAATCTAGATGTTTTACAGCCAATATTTAACCCTATATAAATAGTCCATTAAAAAATTAATAATCATAATTTCATTGCTTGTTAATGGTAAAGTAAATGTTAACTGGCATTAATAAACGATCTATTTCCGTTTATAAATTATGGTTATTGTAAAGTGTTACCATTTCTTCCACCGTTTCCAAGCAACAGGGGGTGGCTCAACATACCCCACTCTCCCCTATATGAAAATACAAACCTGAGTATCGTCTGTTGGTGCCAAATGGTTAACTTTTTTGTATTTGTTAAAAACATGATACCAAACAAGTGTCCCCGCCTTCCTGAATATTAGGTCAGCCTAAATTATCTTAAAAATCGTATTTCTTGTCTCGTTTTATCGGTAAATGGGCACATCATCGTAGCAGCACGTTCGGTTGCAGTTTGAGCTGCTCGCGCGCCGCTGAATCCCTAATTTTCTCTCCCAAATATGGACTAGGAATGTCCACGATGACGTCGCGTGTCCGGGGAATGCGGGGTTAGTAACCACATTTATTTAACTACGCCTTCCCCGGTCTGAGGTCCTGGTAGGCATTACACAGGAAGAAAAGCGGTGCAGGGAAAAAGAAACGGGACGCCCTCCTTCTCCTCCTCCTCCTCTTCCTACTCCTCCTCCTCTCTAGGCGGATAACGGTGTCCAAGAAGTTATTCAGGACCGACGCAGACAATAGCACGGAGACTGTGATATCTACCCTTGCTTTGATACTTGTCCATCACTCCTTATTAATGCTGCTCGCGTCCCTATTGTGCCACACCAAGAGGAGAACACTCGGCTGAAATCGTATGATGGAGGATTTGGGTGAGTAATAACGCTGTTCTCCGTTTCCACTGTTGGAAGTGCATGTTGGGATATCTGTTAGGGATCTTTGGGAAGGGGCGGTGTGCCCACACAGAGGAAATAAGGTCTCTGTTCAGTCTGGCAGTCACAAGGGAGGAGAAGCAGCTTTCCTTTACCCGCTGGGCCATGGCTGAGGATGTCATCCAGAGGGTTATGTTAGCTTTCAATGGAAACAAATTAAAGCACAGTAAAGTAGTGTTAAACCTCTAAACATGACTCCTACTTTTATGTTCTTTCCTATCTTCTGATACCACATAATCAAAGTAAGTCTACAGACCATAGTCCTACCTATGTGTTCGCTTTAATGGGCCTCACATACACTCAAACAACTCAATAACTGGTACCCCCTTCACATTTCTATGTGTCTCCCTATCCGGCATATAGCGTTTGGCGCATACTCTGTAAATTCAATCGATGTTAAATTAGATTTCAAGGGGGGCGGCTATACAGAGTGGGCTTTCTCTTCCATTAATTGAAGAGTCAGGGCGGCTGCATGAGGTTCAACAGAGTGTATTCCCGTTTTAAAGACGTCTGGGACTGTGCTGTCTTCTTCAACTTAGATGGGAGATCTCTTGTCTTTCTCTGAACAACATGAGAAGCTGCCTCTTTGTGTTTGGATATAACTGTGTTGGAGAGGCCCTGAAATAGCCCAGGGCCACACTGCTATTTCAAAAAGCCACAAGAGTTCAATGGAAATAGAAAGGCCTTTCTGCCTCTGCTGCCCATTCCCTCTCTTGGGTCCACTACAAAAAAAAATGGTGGATTTATGCTTTTCAAGCCATGCTGGAAGAAATGGTTAGTTGTAGCTGAGCACATCTGGGTTGGACAGCGTAAAGAGGGAAAGAGTGACTGGGTGAGTGGTCATGTTGTAAGTTTATGTATCAGATCTGGCGAGGCTTTTCGGTGAGAGAGACCACTTGTTAGAGAAGCCTTTCGCCAAGACAAACAAGTCGACAGGCAGCTCTAAATATGGTCATAATTCCCATAGAGAGAAGTTCAGCTCCTTATATGTGCAGTTTAGTCTGTAAGAGTGTGTGTGTGTGTAAGAGAGACACACACTCAGCAGGGAGGAGGATGGCCAGTAGTATATGTACAAGACTCTCACCACATGGTAGTACCAGAAGTGTGAGTCATCCAAGGCAGAGGGAACCACAGAGATGAACCAGGGCAGTTTATTGTTTCACTGGGAGGAAAAAAGGTTTAACTGGTACATGTATTTATGAAAAATCTATGATACCAGTTTACTTGGGCAGCTAGAGCCTGAAAATGAAAGGTTTTAAGTCTACTAAGTGTCTACATTCAAAGTAAGAATAACAAAATGAACTGAAATGTTGTCTTCACGCCACCATAAAGGTCTAGTTTTGAGCTCAAGCTAGTGGACAAAAATCCCCCAAAGTGCTCGAAAATTAATCTAATTTGAACATCTGCCACTGAAGGTAATGCGGCATGAATGAAAACCATAGTGCAGCGATTTTCTGAGTCACACAAACTACAAAACCAAAGCAAAACCAGCGTAACCGGTCTATCTGCAGTGATGAGGTCTTTAGCATAAGGTTGCAGTTATAGCTTTTAAGAGGGACAGCACCTTATTAAAAAAGGTCTAACTACAACCATGTGTTCTGACCTCATCCCTGCAGGACCTGTCTGTGCTGTCCTGCCTGTTGTTGTGATGATATAAGTACTAATTTGGCTTGTGTTTGGTGATCCCCTATATACTTGACTTGTGTCATTCTTGACTAGGACCTACAGTATATCAAGGATTCCCAATCATGGTCTCCTCGTGGCCCGGCTGGACACTAGTTCTCAATAAACTTTCATAAGCCGACGGCACAGGATGCACCTCCTACTAATCGGAATCCATTTGAACAAGCTGCAGCTCAAAGGTTATTAAAAGTCATAAATATATAGTTAGACCATTTAGTGTCTCATATTAGGAGAGCAAAGTGCTTACTAAAAAAAAGAGCAAACCTAAACATCAACAGGTAACTTTATTTATCTTTAAATTATTTTCTTTTTACTCTTTAACTATTTTATTTAAGTAAAGAACTCTAAAGAGAGTCAAAGATTTGCCCATTTGGTTTAGTTTAAATTACTTTTAGGTTTCAGGTCACTTTTGTATGTTTTTTGTCTCTAAGGGCCTGTGTCCACTACTACAATTTTTTGAATATTTTCTATGGAGATCAGCACAGTTAATTTTTTCAGTGCTCAGCATCCCAAACAGAAAAACACTCTCTTCTGTGCGGTGTTTCTAAAAATAGTTTTATATTATATTTAAAGATCTAGATTAGTTTTAGGTTTCAGATCAGTTTATATGTTTGCTGTCTCTTAGGGCCTGTGTCCACTAGTACCATTTTTGCATGTTTTCTATGAAGACCAGCACAGTTCAGTTTTTCAGTGCTCAGCATCCCAAGTAGAAAAACACTCTCTTCTGTGAGTTGTTTTAAAAAAAAAAAAAAGTTTAATATTTTGGGTATTTTTGCCATGATTGGATAGAAAGTTGAAGAAAGACAGAAAATGTAGGGAGCAGAGTAAGCAGACTGCCAGGCCATCAGTGCTGTTGCAGTGTTATTCCAGCTTTCTCTAAGAAACGATCATTTTCCAGCCCCCCTCTTTACTTACTATGATTGTGACTTTAATCACAGAGTACAGAGACAGGCAGATGCCATTTAGTGTCATTGTGGAATTTGCAGGATCCAGTGTTTGAAGGATATTCTGCTTTTGTGTATTCTTCTGTCCGCTGCCAGTCTGAAATGTTTAGGAAGTATGATAGTCTGTCTCTGGATCCAGCCTTTGATTCTTCTAAATTATATCCAGTTTAGATCTCTTGACAATAAAGGGACCAAAACCACTGCTACTTCTCTACAACATAAAGTTTTGTAATGACTCATGTCAGCTCCCTTTTTACAAACCCCAGCTCTGCACGTACAAGGATTTGTCAACACTAAATGATGTCATTCAGCTGCGAACATAACTCTTAAGCAAGTGTAGTTTCTCGACAGCTTCCTCTTCTGCAGATATCAGCTGCCACATTCCTCCTCTGCTTCCTGTCTCTATACTGGCATGTCTTTGATATGAATGCTGAAATGTTTGTGAGCTCTAATAATCTCAATGTGCTGATGGATTATCTCTGGGGTTGTGTCACTTCTGACTGGTCTATCCTCTGACTGATGAGTGTACGAGGATGTTTACTGTCCTCTGTGTAGTGTCTGATGTGTGGGCTGATTTTACTGCTGCTGCTGTATTGGTCACATATGGCCTCTCTGTCTTTCTTTAGGAGAGCCTGAGCCACCTAATTACCCTCTCAGTCCTCGTATTGTTGTGTTTGGTACGTAACTGTCTGTGCATGTGTTGTCAATGTGCAAGTACGTCATTTTATCTTCCATCTGCTCATTTTTTGTCTGTCTACCACTGCATGGCCTCTCATCCATTCCTTAAACGCCTCATCAAACTCATTTAATCACTACAACCATGAAGCTCGACAGAGGTGTAAATCTTTCTGTACATCATTTTTTTCCCGGTTACTCTCCATCCCCGTCATCCAGATGCCTTGCTTGCTGATCTGGAGAACACCGGCTCCCCTTTAGCTCGGTGTCCTGTCCTGTTGACCTCTGACCCCCCACAAAACACTGACCTTTCCACCCAAGACACCACCCAAGCCCGCCCACCGCCACCAGCCTATACGCCTCAGCAGGTAAACAGTTCAACTGCAGGGGTGAGTTCAGACTAATATTCTCATGGTAGACTCTGCTCTGAGACATATTCTTCGTAAATTTATGCAGCTTCTGTGTCATTTCTTGCCTGGGAAGCTGAACTGATTTTGAGTTTCTGTTGTTTCTTAGACTGTTTCTGCTGCAATGAAATCTTCCCAGAACTCCAATCCAGACAAACTGTACAGGTAAATCTAATTTTACCTCATGATAAAGTTATACTAGAAAAATCAGGGCATTTCTTTAAACTTTGTTAAGAATAGATTATTTCAGTTGGCCTGTAAGTAACATGACAGCCTAAAACTAGTCGAAACTACATGAAAAACAGACAAAAAGACATTTGTTATTTTCTCTATTTTCCGAGATAAGTGTGATTTAAGCTTCTGTAACAGAAAAGGAGAATATTCAGCAGCAAAATGACTCATTTCTTGAGTGCAGCAGTCACCAGCAGTTCATGACAAAGTGACCACTATGACCCCAACCGCATCATTGGCGTCAAAATGTTTCCTAATCTGTTTTATTTTTGTGTGCACCGCCCTTTTTTGTCCCCTTGTTACAGCACGGTGTGTAAACCACGCTCTCCCCGCACAGCAGATCCTCCCCCAGCCTTCTCCTCCTCCTCGCTGTTGGGAGGAGGCCTGAGTGAACTGGACCATCTGTTACAGGAGCTGAACGCCACCCAGTTTAACATTACAGGTTACTGTCTATATGTGTGTGTATGTACGCACTCCACGCTGAAGTTACTCTTGTCTTACATCATTTCATTTTTGTAATCAGATGAGATCCTGGCCCAGTTTCCTTCTTCTAAAAAGGATGACAGGGATAAGATGAAGGATAAGGCAACCACCTCCTCTTCCAGGTAGATATATTGGTTCGATCAATCAAGATAATTTGACAGGAAATAAGAAAATAGATTTCCAAATGACCCTGAATATATCAGAAAAGACTGATTGCATTTTCTTGCCAAGAGAGCTTTTTTAGAGTGAGTACACCATAAAACCTCCAAACATACTCTTTTATTTATCTGTTTTTGTTGTTGTTTTCTTTGTAGCTCTGCAAAGCCATCAGCAACATCAGCCACACTGGAACTGGACAAACTGATGGCTTCTCTGTCTGACTTCAGAGTCCAGAGCACGGTATGAGTCCACACAACCACTTTAACTGAACCTGACAGATCTGGTCTACAGCTTTTATCAAATTCAAGAGTTTAGTTTGAACCACGTCTTCCCAACTGTTCCTACCACACTGGTAAATGAAGATGCTCTCTTGACTTCTTATTTACCTCACTGTTACTGACCAGAGCACAAGCCTCCCTGAGAAAAACATCATCATCAGACAGGACCTGAAGATGGAAAATTGTCTTGGTGTAGAAGTTAAAGAAGTTGTAGTCCTATTTAGTATGGATTTTAACCAAGTCAGTCCACTTTTCAGCAAGCAAGTAGAGATAATATGAGGAAAGGAAGTGGTCCTGTCGTTTTGTTTGGTTGAAGCGTGCAGTCCAGCTGCTGGTTATAAACAGTTGCAAGGGAGGTTCTACGAATTGAGGCTTGAAAAGGAACATTTGTACTTTTGTAGAGAGCGTTTGTACATGTTGATCCACTCAAAAAAACATGGACTACTATGACTTTTTGTCATTCCTAATCCTAAAGAGGAGCCTTTCTGTCATTCTGTTGACATCTCTGTGTCCAGTGAGGAAGTTTACCTCTCTGTACATTTTTACTTCCAGGCATTATCAGCGTAAATATTCCCGAATATCTCCTTATGGCACAACAAATCAGGAAATGCCACTGCTTTTAGAGAGCTGAGCTGCTGGGTTAAGTTGCCACATTTAAAATCCAGTTTGAGTGTCTACATGATAGGATAGACAACGCCCAGTATTTTATGTAACCTACCATCCCATTTGTTTGTTTGTTTGATCCAGATTTTGGTCTGGGAAATGTTATGATTTCAGTCTGTAATGTCCAATCACATATTAGCAGGCTACAGTGGACCAAAAGCAGACAGATCAGAGCCCACAGAGAAGACAACCAGGCCTCTATCAGCAATAATCCGATTACTATTTATTTATCTCTATATTCAGATGACTGCATGCCAGTGCAGAACATTTGGATAAAGAATTTTATTTACTTGAAAAATCGGTTTGATGTGCTTTATTTAGCTCGTCTAGTAAACAGAAACGATCAATTTGACCTCCATTCACCCAACAATCCTTAAAAAAGTTGTTGTCTCCTTCATTAGATGACAGACTTGATTTATCTTGTACTTTTAATTTGTCCAAATCTGATTCATCATGCTGTGATTTTGGCAAACTTTGGGTTCAGTCAGTGGTAAAGAAATTACCAATAGCTAACAAAGTCATACACTTTGTCGTTATGACTGTGTTAGCGTACTTGTGTTAGCACAAACATTTTTGTTTTTCTTACCCTCACAGCCAGCTGCACCTGTCACTCCAGCAGTGACAGCGCCACAGCAGCCCGCCGTCCCACCACAGCCCTCATCTGGCGGCTCTTTAGACAGTATGCTGGGGCTTCTTCAGTCAGACCTGAGCCGACAAGGGGTTCAAACGTCTTCAAAAGGAAACTGTTCAGCTTGTCAAAAGCCGGTGGTAGGACAGGTGGGTTATCAGAATGTGTCTATGTTAACCGGTTGAATGGACTGAGCTTATTTCTAGTCTGTGGTACTATGATTCATTTACCTGCTTTTGATTCATGCAGGTGGTCACGGCTCTTGGTAAGGTTTGGCACCCAGAGCACTTTGTGTGCTCTGAGTGTGAGACAGAGTTAGGCAGTCGCAACTTCTTTGAGAAAGATGGACGGCCGTACTGTGAGTCGGACTACTTCACCCTCTTCTCCCCTCACTGTGCCCAGTGCAACAAGCCAATTCTGAATGTGAGAAACTTGGATGTATCATCTGATTTTGATGTGAAATGCTCAAATTGAAGTAAAGGTAAAAAGTGCATTTAACCTTATCTCCTCTATTTTTGTTTTTGTAGAAAATGGTCACGGCTCTGGACAAGAACTGGCATCCAGAGTGTTTCTGCTGTGTGAAGTGCAGCCGAGCTTTTGGAGAGGAAGGTAATGGGCGGTGTGAACTGTATCCTGTCTGGGTTCAATACAAAACAGCAAACCTCAGCGAGGCATGCCTCAGAACATTCCTGTGAAAACAAAAGCTAGCACACATACATATTTCTATTGTTCAATTTTTCATATTTAAATATTTGGTATATAATAGTATGAAATCTGTTTGCATTGTATTCAACATTTTGAATGAATCTCAAGACTCTGTAATATTACTTTAAAATCTAGCTGAACCTTTAAAAGCCATTTAACCGTTTGATTTCAACCGTTCTTTAAAGGGGAGATAATTTTTGTTGTAAAGGCAGTTTTATCCTTACAAGGCTTCGGACAAAACATCTTAATTTTGGCATGGAAATGTCCTTTTTTTTTACACAAACAAGCTCAGAAACATAAAAGAATGTTGGTCTCTAAGAAATTAGATCAGCTAAACCTCTAATAACAATAAAAAAGCCTGAAAGTTTGATGTTCTGCAGACCAAAACCACATGGAAACTGTTTATTCTGTGATTTTTCCCTGCATCATCCAGTTAATTCAACGTTTATCAAAGCAACTCCTGGTCTGAGTAAAACTGTGACCGTGTCTTGTGCAGGTTTCCATGACCGTGAGGGCCAGCAGTACTGCCAGCAGTGCTTTTTGACTCTGTTTGCCTCACGCTGCCAAGGCTGCAGCCAGCCCATCCTGGAAAACTACATCTCAGCTCTCAACTCTCTCTGGCACCCGCAGTGCTTCGTGTGCAGGGTAAGTGTTTCCTTTAGGGTTTGAGGGCAAGGTCACTGGCAATGTTTGTTGCATTTGGCAACCAGACATAAGGTGAGACGCACGTTCAGTGCTAAGGAACTGCAGAGCTAACAGTGGCAGTGCACTGCTTGCATTTGCATACTTTTAAATAAATAAGCTACTATGCATGTAGTTTACAAATACTGGAAATAACAGCTACATGTTATTAAAGTTACAATCTTTAAAAAGATTTTGAGAGATAATGACAAAAATTCCAAAACTTATGTAGCTTTTTATGACGTCCTTTACTTTTAATATAATCACAATCCAACAAAAAACAAGAGCAAACTTCACAAAGCTGTGAAACTGAATTGCGTTTGCACTGGAATATTACGGTGATATGTTTTGTCAGTCAGTCCTTGATGCACCTGGGGTTGAATGACACACAATCCTCTGAGCTATCCGCAGCCACAGTCCATTCTTGGTGAAATTACCCTGTGCTACTGCATGCTAAACCATAATTTTGACTTGGTTAATACAATAATGGATACAGTGATTTTAAGAACAGTTAATATTAAAGCCTATGATTTAATTTCTTCATATAAAGATATCCCAAACATAAAAGGGAAACCTTTGTATGCAGATGATGCAGGCGTCACATCACTGTCACAGGTGTTGGTCATGGGGTGATCACCCCTTTTCGTGCAGAATAATACGGTAGTTTGTTTTGCCCTGAGTTGTTTTGCTACTAGATTTAGAAGCCTTCACCCTGCCTCCTCTCCTTTCCACACTTAAAGCATGCAAGAACAAGGCTTTAATACACAAGAGAGCACTTTCTAATGCTTGTATTCGTTTGAAGCAGTGGTGAGTACTTTAAGGAACAACTTGTCACGACTTGTTATCATACATTTAACTTGAGTTAAGCCCTATGCTCCTCTAGGGAGCATAGTTCATTAACAGATGTCTTCTATTTCACTTGGTTGTTGGCAGCATTTACGTCAGCTCCCCATTTTAGCCCACTCCTAGACATTACTACCTTGATACCTCTTCCTTTTAGCGACTTCTTGTCCCTGTTCCCTGTGGCTTCTATTTCACAGCTTGTTGGATGATTTTTGTGGCAGGTTTTCTGAGGATATGTCCAATTTAACTGAATATAAACCCTCTTAAGGGCTACAAGATTACAGTCCAAGATAGTGTTGTATACACTGATAAATCTACCACCGATCCATGAATCACACAGTCCAAACTGTGAAGAGGGGTCTGAATGGATTACAGACCAACTGTGACAGAGTTTGGTTGCTGGCTTGTTAAAAAATGTGTTTTAGATGTTCAGTCACATTTTTTAAATCCTTTTACAGCACTTCAAATAGGTCATGGGACGATTCTGGGAAAAACAGACAGATATTTGATTCATATGATTTCTAGAGCAAAGTACCCAACGAACAGCTACACTGCTGTGATGTTACTCATTACACACAGATGAGACTGGGGTTGGGGTGTGTAATTTTTTAACTTTGTGAGTATGAGCAGCTTGAAATAAACAGTTTTCTTACTGAAACTCCTCCTTTAAACCAAACACTAAAAATAAGTTGGATTATGTCATGAGAAACTTTTCATTTCACATGTCAAATTAGTAATTACAGCTCCCGAAGCCAGTGCTCACTGTGTCTCTGTTTCTCTTTCTCTCTTCAGGAGTGCTACAGCCCCTTTGTCAACGGTAGCTTCTTTGAACACGAGGGAAAGCCGCTGTGTGAGGCCCACTACCACCAGTCCCGTGGCAGCATGTGTCAGGCCTGCCAGCAGCCCATCCTGGGACGCTGTGTCACTGCCATGGGGGCCAAGTTCCACCCTCACCACCTGGTGTGTCACTTCTGCCAGAAGCCACTGAGCAAAGGCTGCTTCAAGGAGCAGGAGAACAAGCCGTACTGCCACCCCTGCTTCGTCAAACTCTGCGGTTAAAGACACAGAAGGCCTCTTCTGTGAAGAAGACGCTGTATGAGTTTGAGTTCTCATTCTCTTATTTTTTTTTTTTACTGCAGAAGTGAGGGTGGAGCTGGTCTCTTTCTTGGCTTTAAGAATATTAGAGTTGAATTAAGAGAACCATCCAACCTGATTACTTTTTTTCTTTTACAAAAAACAAACGAAAAACAAAAACAGACTGCATCAGGACCAAGCATTGCCTAGACAGATACCAAAAGATACCAAATGTTTTTTGTCATGTATGTAAATGTATGTAAGTCTTTTACATACTGTATTGATTCAAATTGAATATGTAAAAAAATATTTTACCAAAGATTGAAAAGAAACAGTATGTTGAGAGATAGTGTACTGTTTCAGGAAATCCCCTTTAATATATTTGCTTTGAATGGTAAACAGTAAAAGTGCCAATGCAAATGCATTTATATATTGTATGCTGCCTGCCATGTAGTGTATGTTTTGCTGTAGCAAACTAAGCTGTTTAATGTTTAATGTCGGATATTGTGCATTATTCTCTCACATCTGCTCTATGCAAATTGCCAAAGACATTTTCAAAGTGAAAAATAAAGGACGACACAGATTGTTTCGCTGGCTCGTGAGTAAAATATCTTGGGCGGGTGCATTTATGAGAAAAAACACCTAATTGTTCAGTTTTCTATTCTGGGAAAGTATGCAAATTACTGCATATTTAATTAGATATTGCCTAATTTACACATTCCAACATAACATTTGACAAAATTTGCAATAAAAAAAATATTTGTCTTAATATAAATTATGAACTTGGGAAGTTTCATGGTGATATCTGTTAGTTAAAGATTTGGGGTGTCTCCCTGGGCTTCCAACCCATCATGGACGCAATCTGGACAATGGCACCTTTCTAGTGGTCAAACTTTGGTAAACTTATGTATGTTATTAAGGACACCTTAATACTATAAAAACAGTTAAGAAACCTTTTGCTAGAATTTTTGGGGGGTCAAGTCATATTTGCACCTTACTATCTTAGGGTCTACTGTGAAAGTTGAAAGAAAGAAATAAAAAGTGGTGTGGAGAACAAATCCAACCTGGACATTTTAAGGTTCTTTCAAGTCTAAAGACTAGCGATCAAGACACGATCAATAGGAGGGGACTGTCATGTTAACAAAAAACAACATTTAGCACAAGTAAAATGGATTAAGTGTAAAGAAAAAGTTCTTATAGAAGGGGAAATATGAATATTGTAAATTCTGGCCTTCTGATTAGTTCCTAATAAAGGTCTGTTTAAAAATAGACATAAAGTTGTAATAGAACTCACTGGAAGGAAACTAATATGACCATATCCTCCTAGAGTTGTGTTTATTCCCATCACTTATAATATGAGGCTAAAAGACCAATCTTGTGGTGTAAAACTTCTATTTTATTTCCCCCTTGATATTCCTTCTAGCCCATTTTAATTAAATGTGGCCTTCATTCACCTCTATCGCTATATGAAAATGTTAACTGAGACATACTGTATATTTGGATGACTATGGCAGATGAGGCTGAGATAACCTCTAGATGTCGCTGTTTGCTCTTTGATTTTCTTGTGGTGACCAGATACCACTCTGGTGTTTTGTTTATTTAAATGGTCTCGTCCTTGTTGAGTTTGTGTTTAGTCAACAACAGAAAACCCCCTTAAGGCTGGCTAACTTAGAGAGTCATTTAATGTCTAAAAGTTGCAGTAAATAAAGGAAGAAGAAAAAAACATACATTTCAGCGTGCTGCAGCGTGCTGACGTAGAGGCCAAATCACGCCCCTGCACCTCACAGGTGAGTTCAATTAAAAGTTAACGAGCCCTGGTAGATGTCTGACCGAGGAAGCACGCAGCTTTCTGAGGAAAGTCACCGTAATCCGTCGGCTTGGAGGGAAAAAAAATATACGCAATGTGTGATTCAGAACAGCAACAAGTAAGTCAGTGTCATTTTGGTGCGTTATTGTAAAATTCAGCTGAGTTATTTCGGAGAAACTACAATCCTAATGCTAGTTCAGGCTCAAGCTTTAAGCATCTAGTCACGAAATGACGTTGGAATGCCTGTATAAAAATCCCATTAAAAATTTTTAGGCCTAGCAGTGATTTGCTGGATTATTATTTACGGTATTCGAGGTTTCTAGGCGTGTCCTGGCATTTCAAAGACATACCTGGTTGTTAGCGTTGTCTCCATCTCCCAGGAGGCTGAAAACGTGAGCGAGCCTCAGTGGCCCGAGAATGGAGATAAATGGAGCGATGATGGTGGGACGAACATGGACTGTGCCCTGCAGGCCATGGCTGAGGAGGATGAGGAGATCAATGTCTACAATGAAGAGACGTTTGGCATGGGTGTGTACATTTACTACATCTCACTGTCTTCACTGTGGAGTTTTTTTTACCCCCAATAGGTTTACTGCTGCTGAGCCTTGTTTCTACACTGTAAAGATTAAATGTGATGTGTCAATTTGACCCCATTCAGCGTTAAAATATAGTTGATTTTTTTTTTTTTTTGCTTCATATTTCATTACTTTTTTCATGGTATTTGTTTTTTTGTTTGGTTTTTTTGAGTTGCAGAAGGTAAAGAGCGACCCTTAGGACTCTGACTGTATTTTAAATTGTGTCTAAATGATAGATCTGGATGCACATGGGACCACAGAGGACCCCAGCACAAGTCTCCTACAATTTGGAGAGCTGCCACCACCGCCATCATCACCACCACCGCCACCACCACCGCCAACTCCACCCCCTCCTCCACCTGACCCCAAACTACCACCTCAGCACAGCTCCCCCTCTCCTCCCAGACAGAGGCCAAAGTATCTGCCCCGAGCTCTTCGAGGGCGGTATGGTAGAGGTCAGGGAACCAAGGGAGGTGGACTGGGCATGGGGCAGTTGTTCGAGGACCCAGCTGTGATGAGGATAGTGGAGGGACGGCCGAGCCTTATGGTAATGCAAATAAACGACTGAACCAAGGAGGTTAACTCAAAGGATGCTGTCGTCACCGTGATCTGCTTTTGTTTCTTTTAGAGTCTGGACAGTGCCATAGTGGACTGTGGGAATGCCATGGACAGGAAAAACTTTGCAGATGATGTAAGTGGGAGTTTTAAAGATACTAGAAGTCACATTTTGTGGTGTTAAGGTTTTCTTTTTGTGCTTAATCTTCTTTTTTCCTCACGAAGTATTTGGAACCCTCTTCGAGAAAGACTAGAAGAATCTGTGGATCAATACTTCAGGTTCAGATGAAACCAAACCCACTTTTAATGACCTGACAGTGGGTCACTTGAAATACTTTCAGATAACCCTATTTCGTTCCTTAGGACCCAGCCATAGTGTGTGTGATTGATGGTCACAGAGGCAGCGGTCAGCACCTGAACTCCAACTACCTGGATGTGCCCTATCCCGTCCACTCATTCAGAGGCAGGAGAGGAGAACCCAGAGGATCCTACTCCAGGAGACATTTTGGCCAAAGAGGCCACAACCAGGTGGAAAGTTGATTTTTACCAGAGTAATTTCTTTAAATGATGGTGTGATTATTTTGGGCCATGAGCTTTTTAGCTTTCTAAAGAGGAGAAGATGGATATCACTCATGTTCGGACGAATAATCATAGGTTTGGGCTATAAGGGAGTGGATAGGATGTCATAAAAAGGTTTATTTTTAACCCTGGGCAGTTGACTCGGCAAGTTTACTTCACCTAGCATCAGTAAGTCTGGTCATTCATGCTAAGCTAACTGTCTGCTAGCTCCAGCTACACTCTAGTAGTGTAAAAAGCTTTGCCAGGAAAGAAAGTGAATAAATGTATGACCCGAAGTGTCGTATTCATCACTGAATCTTAGTTTTGTCTTGCAGATGCAGATGGTTCCAGGTTCACCTATTTTCTCCCGCCAACCATTAACCCCAAGACAACATTTCAATCAGGTTTGTTCCGAATTATCCGAACCTATCCTGATGAATATAAACCAATAGCGTGTACTTTTATAAAATATGATGAAATCTACCTGTCAGTGACTAATGAGGTTGTTTTGTGTTGAATCAGACAGGTGGTTTCAGGTTTCCTACAAATCGTGGTTGCCCCTCTACCCCACAGTCTTTGCCCTCAAAGATGATGCAACTTCGCTTTGGTGCCAACTCACCAAGACCCTCCCCCTTTTACAGCCCCTCATCCAATTCGGTACAGCATTTCAGGTGTGTGAGCATAAAATCAATGAGTGTCGAAATAATGTTTGATTTGTGGTCAAACCTCTTAATCAGCAAAGTTTGTGTCTAAGGCATAAAGTATATTCATCATTTGGCAGTATGACTTTTTTTTTAACAACTCTAAATTTTCGTCTTTAACCTGACATTCATCAGTATTGTACTCCTTACACTATTAATTCCATTTGTTGAACTCAAGTTGCAGTTTGAGGACTAAATTGATAAGATTTGATGTTTACTGTCGACTCGAAGGTAGAATAAACAGACTTTACTGGAAGTCTAAGTAGAGGCCTGAAACCTGACTTAGCCCTTGATGCTTTTCTGAAGATACAAGATTAAAAACAAAACTGTTTTTAAGAGGGAACATGGATTAGAAAGCTTGTCGCATACCTAGAATTAAGAAGTTTTATTCTTAGTTTTTGATCAGTTCTAATGTGCTGATCTGGGCTGCTGTAATCAACCTTTTTGATTTCTGTGCGTTGAAATAAAACTATTTATTTGGTATCCAGATGAGTAATCTTGCTCATGTATGTGAAATAAAGAATATTGTCAAAAAAAAAACGAAAAAAAAGACCTTTTTAGATGTATATGTGTATGATGCAATAGGTTACCGGGTCCTGTCACCCAGCTCCATCCCCAACACAAACGCCTTCTCACCCAAAAACAACGCCTTTTCCAGAGGTGGGTGGTGCATTCCTTTTTTTTGTTGTTGTTTTTGCCAAAGTCAGGTTATTTTAAAAAAGCAAAATAATAAGAGGCTGTTTGCCAAAAAAATATGACCTGCCTGTAGAAAACCAGAGAGCTGGGATCCTTACAGTAACCTCATGACGGCCAAAGAGAAGGAGTGGATCACCAGGCTGCAGATGATTCAGCTGCAGAGTGAGAATCCGTACCTGGAGGACTACTATTACCAGGTAACCAATCTTTGCTAGTTTCCAATCCAGACCTTTTTTTAACGCAGATATCATTTTTTTATGTTTTCTCGATCAGTAAAGTCAGTTCAACTAGCACACTGCGTATCGTTTATATTTTGAACCTATGTTTCTTCAGGAGTACTACCGGCGAATAGAGGCTAAAATGGCAGAAGAGGAGCTGGGCATCCGGAGCAAGAGGGAGCCACTAAAGCTCACCACACCCTACATCACGAAAACAGACTCATACACACCAGGTTAGTTCTTTTTTTTTTTTTTCTTTCACTTGTATGTTGTTACTTAGTGGTATTTCAACTCTGCTCTGACAAAAATGGCCTTTAGAAAACAGGAGTATGCTTCCGCTTGAGATTTCAAAGTCCAAAGTTTCTGTTCTTCATTTCTTTGAACATCTTTCCTATGACTGTAAATCCACAGGCATGCAGATTCAAGATCTAATTTGATTAAGACTTGAAATCTTCATTTGACTCAGTTTACTTTATCACTGTACTTGGTCTCCTGAATCTAAATTCAATTTTTTCATTGTTTCTACAAAGGGTAATGTTGTGTATTATATACACTGGTATAAAAGTTTCTATACATGGTTTCCTCATCTTGTTGAATTTCTGTTGCTCTCCCAGTGGTGCACATTGAGGGCTCTTTGGGTCAAGTTGCTGTGTCCACATGTTACTCTCCTCGCCGTGCCATCAGTGCAGTTCATGCAGTTCAGGCTCAGGGTCCACTTGAGGTAAGCATTTGCTTTGGACGGTTCTTGATATGTTTTAACTTTTTCTGTCTGTCTTCCCTGACTCTGAAATTGCTTTTTTTTTGTAGGAACAAAAAGACATCAGGCAGCAGCGGTTAGAGATCCTCAACAAAATAGAAAAGGTATCTACAGGATATTTTTGTCCAGTTGCTGTGAGGTATTTTTGTTTTTTCAACACTTTCTCCTATCTCATCTGCCCTGCAGTTGTTTTTTGTCTTGTTGGAAGTGGAGGAGACAGAGAGAATGAAAACTACAGTCTTGTCTGAGGCAGAAGAGAGAGGGTTGATGGAGAAGACTCAGAGGAAAGTGGAGCACATCTACTCCCAGCTGCAACACCATGACCCTCTGTGAGCTATATGCATCCTACATTGAGCTGCAAGTCATGAATCATGTGAAAAAGGAAGGATTGATTTATGCTTCTTGTTTCCAGCTCTCCTAAAGAAGTTAGATATCATTGGACAATGATAGAATGATGTGATAATCGTGATGGTAATAATGTTTTGATGCAGAGATCCAGGAGGAGAGCTTCTTCCTTTCCTGCACGTCTCCAAAGGCAAAAGACTGCTTGCTCGTCTACTCCCCTTCCTGAAACAAGACACTGCTGTAAAAATCTTGCACATTGTAACTTCTAAGCTGCCAACTCTGATGAGCAGAGATACTGAAGATGTAGGTTGATTTTCAGTGCTGTTTGAATGCCAGTTTTTTGTTTTCATATTGCCAAAGTACTTTCTGATTTTGCAGCAGAAGTATGATGACCTATGAACCAACAATGTTAGCTAGGAGTGCTGGTCAAAAGATCATGAACAAATTTGGACCTTCAAATTATATGTTGAACAGTAAAAATGAATTAATGTCCAAATATTTCATTAAATTAATTTTTTAGGATGAATAATTTAATGGCAGTTCATCCTCCTTTTTTTTAGGCCCTTCCAGTTCTCTACCCACCTCTTCGAAATGTGATTGGAGGCCTGACGTTTAGTCAGCTAATCGGGGTCCTGAAGGATCTAATGATGTCTGAGTCTCTGACAGCCTATGAGTCTCTTACACTGGCATGTCAAAACAAGGTCTGTGCTTTTTTCTTTTTTTTGCTGCTGCTGTATTTTATGATTGTGAGGAGCTGTTTCCTAAAAACTTTGTTTTCCTTTCAGTTTGGACTGTCGCTCCTGTACGCTCTTCTGTCTCAAGGAGAGAGGCTGCTGTCCTCAGGTGTTCCTCTCGAGCCCAGCATTGGTGACTTTGAAACCTGGTGGGGAGTTTAAGCCTGACAGTCGATAACAGGAAGATGAAAACAGGGGATTGTTTTGAGACTCTGATGTTTGTTCTGTTGTGTTTTAGGACTGACACTATATTCCAGGTGGCAGGTCAGCTGTCCCAGTGTTCACTGGTAGAGCCGCTCCTCCTGCCCTCAAACTTGCTCACTCTCTTCTGTCGTTACCTGGACAAGCGCACAGTGCATCAGCTTAAAAGCAACATGGAGTGAGTCCCTCTTCTTTTGGGAGTGAAAAATATTTGTCTGGGTATAGTGCCCAATAATACTGCTGATTATCTCTGTTCAGGTCTGCGACTGGTTTCCTTGCTCTACCATCTTAAAGACGACAGAAGCTCATGTGACGTTGAGCTAATGACCGGGCTGTGGTGAGTACATGGAACAAAGAAGAAGAGAAATGGCTTGGACAAAAACTCCTTGGTGTTCACTACAGCAGGAGATATGTGACGGACTCTCAGTGTTTTGATTTGTATTTTTTCCCTCCTTTGTTCCCTCACATTATTGCATCTTAACTGTTTCCCTTTTTTATTTCCTTTATCTGGCATTTTTACTCTCCTCCCTGTAGTCTCTGCTCGATCACGTCAATCTATACACAAACAACAAACCCTTTTTTTAAATCCTCCAAAGCAAGAGTCGCCATCATATCCCTAATATTCATATACTGAGTTGGTAGCATGACAGTGCTTTAGCTATCGGACTGAGCTCAGTTTTTTTGTGGCTTGTGCCTAACCACTCTGCATTTGTTTTCTACTTCCTGTTACATTAAAGCCAAACAGCTTCAGACACCTCTGAGACAAATGTTTGATCAGGTATTGGTGACTAGGTTGAGGATTGTATAGTAATTTATGCTTGTACAGCTATATATATGTTCATTATAATAATGATGGCAATCAAATAAGTTGTCATGACACGTTACATCAACATGAGCCATGCAAATTTGTTTTGGTGTAAAAAGACATGCACTGTGTATACAAGTTCAGTCATACAAAATTTGATGTATTTGGTGTACTTTTGCATCTTAGATGTTTCAGTTGTAAAAAGATTTTTGTTTATTGTATTAATTTGGAAACAGGAATAATTTATATTGCACCCTTGTAGAGCACTTGCAACGCAAATAAAAAAAAATCCTTAAAAATGCTTTAAGTGTGCAGAGATCCATCTCTTGGGGATCAGAAGTCACTACTTGTGGATTGGGGAAAAGCTGGAGCTGGAGTACTGGGGATAATGAAAGTTTTATCTCAAACTAAGACTTATTGATCAAAATTGTTTTTAGCATAGCATAAAAAATAAGTCAATTTCAGAAGTTGATATCATTATCTTTTACTGCAGTGATCTGACAGGAAGTGGAGCCTTCTTCATACAAAGATTTATTCAACCATAAATATGCAGTTGGGTGAGGTCGAGGACAAGTTTTGTCTTTTTATGAGTCTTGATTCAGATGCACATTAAACTCCCTGCAGAAGAAAATCGTCAGTCTTTTCTACTGCAGGGAGTTTAAGTTAAATCAAGCTCAACTTTTCTGCTGCAAAATGCCAGCGTGACAAGTCTTTGACAGAGAAACTGGCCGCGGGACACAATCAGACTTGTAACTAAAAATAAAAATGTTGAAGTGGAAGAATGGAGTTTTCACATCAGTTTAAGGATTTTTATCCCAGACTCTAGCCTTCTAACATCCTTATACTGTCAGTAGTTGTTGCGCATCACTTATGGTTTTTGTATACAGGTAGGCCAGTAATTCAAACCTTAACCAGTGAACATGCCATAAAATGTTTTCACAGTATCAAATGAAAAGGTTTGGGTTTGAAATTATTAGATGTAACCATAAACAAAGTATATTTAAAATCTTTAAATCTGACACTTTAGATAGACTGCTAAATTTCAGCTTCTTTGTGCCATAGTTCTTAAATCATTTTGTGCTCGTCACTGTGCTGTCAGCTGTCATTCTTGGTTTGTTTGCAGTGGGATTAAAGCGACATCCTCGAGTGAAGTTGTAATTCTTGAGTTGGCAGCGTCCACCAGCAGAGTCCGCTGGCTGTCATCCAGAGACTAAGCCACAGTCCTGATGGCCAGCCTGTCTTTGACAGACGCACACATCTGGGCAGGAATGCACATGGCAGACAAAACTGTGTGTGGAGACTGAAAATTCAAGTTGAACAGTGCTTTCACTGTAATCCAACTATGAGCCTAGGTTTCTCCATGGGTTTTTCCAGTTACTCAGAGAGACGCAGTGACATCCAGATCAAAATAAAGCCACCTTACAAGTGCAATGAAGTCACCTTTTAACATAATTCTGATACTATTTTACATTATATCAAAGTAGTTTTAGCCATTTTTGTGTTGAACTGGCTCAAGTGAAACAAGGCTAACAAACACAGCTGTCAGTTTACAGCTCTGTGAGACTGAACGTTGGTTTTGGGCCTCAAACTTGGACTGGTGTTAACAAGGATGAAAATAATGGCCCAGGCTACAGCTGGGGCTGAGGGTGTCATTAATTAAAAAAGGTTTGAGCAAGTTAAAAGTTTTAGTTGAGCTGTTTTGTTTTACCATTTAACAGTCTAACACAATTTAACAAGTTCACGTTAATATCAGTGCTACATTTCAAAGCAATCTTTATATTTGAGTGGTTAACCCCACTGTGATGCCAGAATCAAGAGACAAGATTCAGCCTCTGGAGATCATTAATGTCTATACTGAATTTCTCAATCCATCCTATTGATTTTTAGACATGTCAGTCTCGATTACAGTCATAATACAAGTGATTTGAAACTGGTGATGCCTGACAATCTATTGTATGGGTTGATTTTACAGGGACATTTCATATTAATTGTGTTAATATTCCCAATTTTACTACTTTCCACCTGGTCAAATGCTAGCATGGTCACCTTAAATTGGTTCTCAGAAAGTTAAAGAAAATCATTCACCAAGGTCTTTAAACCCGATCCCTCAGGCTGCCGTTGAATGTACTTTTAGCGACTGTCAGCATCATCACATTGTAATTCAAATTTCAGCTTTTGTGACTGACAGATCAAATAGGACATGACATTTGTAACCAGGTGGCCAAGAGTCAGACTGATGGTTTGTCAGCAGAGGTGTGGAGTGTTTGTTGAGAAGCCAAGTATGTGAGAGGTCTGGGTGGGTAGTGAGTTGAGACGTTAACCCCTCCTTGACCCCATAAGAAGAGGATTTGGACTTAAAGTGAGGAATCTGTGTGAATGGTGAGATATATTTCTCTTTTTACTCACTTTTTCCCTTTAAAATAAACAAGGGTCCTCTCTCACTCACTAACTAACCTTTAGATGTATCTGTGTGTCTGTGTATAGGCTGGAACCATGGAAACACGATGGGCTCAAAGTAGTGCAAGTGAGTAATGAAGCTTACTGACAGTTTCCATCATCTCTTTCTCTTGACTGCCTTTTGTTATGTTATTTCTACCATTAAGTCCATGCATAAGTAAAACTTGCTGCTTGCTCTGTGTTTACTTTTACATCAACATCTACAAATCAAAAGAAGCTCAACAATTTTTACTTGTCACAATTTGTTTCTTCTGATGGTGATGTTTACCTTGGCACCTCTGCAGTGGAAGTTTATCATGGCTGATGACTCTTGGTTCCCGATCAAGTTTTTTCTGTTCTGTTTTTATTAGAGTTGTGCCAGTAATGCAAACTGCTTCATTTGATAATGGTCCTTAGAAAGGGATAATGCATAGTGAACTGGTGGCTATGCAAATCAGAATCCTGACTAAGTGAGCAGGTCTCGTGTCACCCCAAAGATTTATAGAAGAAATATGAACAACGTATGGTGAATACAAAAGGATAATACAACAGTATTTATTTGTATCCAATAAGATCCAAGGAGATCATAATCCCTCAGCCTACTATCTGGAAATGTAGTTCAATCACAACAGCAGTTCTAGGATTTAATTTTGGGGATTAATATCATTTTTACATTACATGGGGATATTTTTCAGAACTTTTTAAAGGGAAATTTAATTAAGTTTGACAAATTCTTGGTGGAAATGTCCAGAAGTTTTTAATATTTTTATTCATTTATTTTCACGCAAAATAATGCAGACAAGAATAATAATATAATTCAGACAAGAACTTCCAGACATGGTATGGATTTCGTATTTAAAGAGTAGGAAACATTGCTATTTTGTTTGATCATATTCCTTTTATAGTCAAAGAAAATCCTCAGTGAGTTTGAGCAGTGTGACACTGTGAAATTGGCAATCAGTGGCGCCTGGTGTTGCTCTGCATGATGGTTTGGTTCTTGTATGTTTGAAGTTTAATTTGTATGCTCTAACTGAAATAAGTTGGTGTCAACTGTTTGAGCTTTGATTTGAGTCAAACTGAATGAAATTGTTTCTTAACTAAATTTAAAAAAAAAAACAAATTATAGGACACTTTTCAATCAATTTACTACAGAGATTACCTCCTTTTAAAGATGTGAAAAATAATTGAGGGAGCAGTATGTGATTCTGCTTAAACATCCCGAGTTCATTAGTCAGTGTCCAATGAGGTGACCTCCCTCTCTTTGCTCCTCTCTCTCCCTCTTAAGTGCTAATGTACTTTAAGTGACCAATTATTTAGTGTGCATACACCTCTGTGTGTGGGGGAGGAGTATCTATACGCACACAGAGGGACGCCCCCAGACCAGAGTGTATATGAGACCCTTGAGATCAGAGTATGTAACCCACATCATCCTCACCCTTTCTCATCCTCACTCTCCTGCTGGTTCTGAAATTTTTTGGGTTTTTCCACCAGGTCCACCATGTTGGGACAGCTACTTCTTAAGGGCACGGTGGTCCTTTGGCTGGTGCAGATGGCACACACAGGGGGTGAGTGAGTGCAGAGGTGGAGGCCTCAGATGGGAACCAGTTTAATGTCTAAACTGTGTTAACTGTGATCAGTTCTTTATTCAGTTCTTTAACTTATAAACCAAATACAAACACTGCCTTTATTGGTGAGGCCTTCAATCAGGATGATCAATATAAGAGGAGACACTGATAAATGTAAAAGGCAAGCTTTGTTACGGCGGCTGAAGAGTCCAAGATTTGGGGAAATACAGTAAAGTCTGACAGATTAATTTGAGTTTGTGGAGGAAATTTAACCGTGAAGTTCTGTGAAGGGTAGTGAAAATGTTTGTGAGGTGACATTTAGCTAGAGACAGTCATAAGAATTCAAGACTTAGAGGGGCCTCTTTGAGACAATACATCCTGTGTGTGATAGTCGAATTCTTCTTGAAAGGGGATCATGTCTGGAAAGCGTGACTGAAACTTAGTCATTCGAACTTAAATACCTTTCTTTGTAATTGAGCTTGTTATTTACACACACTTGTACTTTCATAAAAGTATGGTGGGATAATTCACTATGGACAGAGCTGTTTATGTCAAGTCTATTTAAAAGCTTTTCTCATCATATCAAACTGTAACATCTATATGAACTGTCTGCTAGCTGCACAATTTGTTAATGTGGTAGATTCTGTTATAATGAAAGGCCTCTTTGCCGGTCTGAAAGGGTGTAGTTTGTCTCTGTTAGTTACGCATTTAAATTTTCATAGTAATGCTGATATAGAGACCCATAAGAAAACCCATATATTATCATGATTTAACAAATCATGCAAGAATTTGAATAATTTTATCCATTGTCAATTCTGTTGAATGGTTTGAGCAGAAATAATGATCCCACTTCTCTTTCTATTGTTTACAAAACAAGCTGTACAAATATATTCTATGCTTGCATATTTTTTTTATCTTGTCCTTTTTAATAATTACTTACAGATTTGGATTCTATTAAGATTTCTCAATTGTAATAAGAACTGGCAGGACAACCTAAACCCCATGTGCAGAGAAACCGCTCAGATCCTGCAGATTTGAAAAAAAAAAAAAAGATGAGTCGATGTCTTTCAGATGCTTGGGTTTGCCTGTCAAATTTCAAAGGATCCTGTTAAAACGAATCTTTGAAACACTCCTCATATAGCTGGGCTTGGTCTGCGGTCTTTCAACTTTTCTTGTGATGATGTGAAACAACGATATATTCTTTCCTCTTAACTGGCGGTCTCAGTTTGAGAAAATCAAAGGAGGCTCAGCTTTAGTGGCAGCAGGCATCTAAATTTAACATCCCTCTGTGAGGAAAGAAGAGAATAGTTTTACTGCTGGTACACGGCCACTTCAGGGGATAAGCTCTCTTTTTCCTGAAAGTGATCAGCAGGCATCTGTCTGACCAGGACACTCAGTGGAAAATTTAATGAATAGCTGGTGTGATATTCTATAACCTCAGTGCCATAACAGTCGGGATGAGAAAATTTTGATAAAATGAGAATTTTATGATTTACCATAGTGAACCAAAAACTTTTCAAAACAACAAATCAAATGTTGAGACTGTAAACTTCCGTTTTATGAAAAATGTATGCTTATGTTAAATTTGATGACAACAGTATGTTTGGGACAGATGCAACAATACACCCTAACCCTAAAACACACCTGGAGGAACACCTGGAGGAACATTTTCCCCCCTGATTATATCAACTTATAGCAGGTTATTAGTACGATAGAGTATACCAAATGCAATCCAGAGGGGCACTGACTCTCAGAGATAAAGATGGAAAGAGAGTCACCATTTTGTGAGAGACTGCGTGAGGGTTTAGTGCAGCGATCCCAGAATAAACCTCTGGAGCATAATTGCAAAGAATCTGAAGATGGAAAAGGCACTGACTGATACTGGATGGCTATGATCTTCACCCTCAGTTGGCACTGCGTCAAGAACAGACATGCACTGCTGTGGAAATCTGTGTAACATCTTAGCAACACACTCCAAACTGAAAGAAACAGTCATGCACAATCCCCCTACAAAATGACCTCACCTGTGTGAGCAAGCATCTCTTCAGTATTTGATGTTTTTTCTAATTTTACCCATTATAGGAATAATTTAAACTCTGCTGTGTTTTAGGATATGGAGCCTCATCTGGAGTGTCCAATGGACACGGACCACAGCTTAATGGTATACTGATGACATTATGCTCAACATTTTGTCTTTAAGGCGACACTAAACTACAGCATTAGTTTGATTTCCACTCTAGTCTTCATCTCCTGCTGTTATGGTGTGTTTTTTTTAGGGAGAAACGGTGGTGGTGGTTTAGGACAAATGTTGATGCCTTCAAAAGGTAAAGACAACACAATGACAAGAATCTTCAGCTATGAATCAATCTGTGCTACGAATATTTTGTCATTAAATGTTTCTTTCCCAGGTTTGGGTCAGGCCATGGGTGCAGGAAATGGATATGGAGGATACCCCACAAAGGGCATGGGTGAGTGATGTTGACATGATGTCAAATTAAAATATCCATCTTACTTTTTTTCCTTTTTAAATTATCACTGTTGGTATTTAAAATGCAAAAACAGAGCAATATGTATTATAAATGTGTCTATTTTAGGTTATGGTGCAGCAGCTGGTGGAGCCAATGGAGGAGGCCTGAAAGGTATCTTTATCATCTTCACATGTTCACTGTATTTTAGAAAATAAGTCGAGGTAAGGCAAGTTCATCTGTGTGACATGCTTAAGCAACAATGAAGTCCAAAGTTCTTCATGTAAGGATGTAGGATAATAACTTAAAAGATACAGAAAAACATATTGAAAGAAATAAGCACAAAAAACTGATGATGGATTTATTTTATTTTGAAGGGTATGGAGCAGCAGCAGGTGGAACCAATGGTCAGGGGAGCAAAACACAGGGTATGTGGACCTGTGGACCTAACTTACTCGTCAATACAAAATGAAACCAACAGATGGCAGCAAATACACAATTTTAGCATCTGTTTCAATCACCAAACTATACTGTGGTTGAGTTGATCTGGGTGGTTCCCATTTCCTCATACATAGAAAGTAATACATCCATTGCTCTTGTACATTAATTCAACTTAACGCATGTTAGAGTGAAGAGTTTGATCTATGGAGCACAACTATCAAAGTTTCTCAACATGAATTGTTTTTGATCCAGGGGGAAATTCAGCATTTTTACCAAGTGGAAATGGAGCTAAATCAAATGGTAGGTGTTGAATAAACCCCTCCATCAGTTTGTTTCTGTATTAGAAACGATTCTTGCTCCAGTCAGTGATTATTGGCTGTGACAAAGTGGCTCTGTAATCTTTATTGCAGGATATGGAGCACAAGCTGGTCCAGCCAATGGACAGCAATTAAAAGGCAATGGTATAACGCATGTTTTAATTTGAACATATTTGCACTTACACACAGATTAAGCAAAAACACAGTTCAGTTTGATTTTCTATGTTCCAGGTTATGGTGCACAAGCTGGTGGATATGGTGGACAAGGAAATAAAGGCAATGGTACCTTGATTATATAATGTGTTAGAAAGATGAATCACATCTTGGTTTCTGTTTGAGCCATATGTGAAACTGTGACAGCCTGCTGTGTGAAAATACCATAGAGCTGTAGAGCTGTTTAAGGCTATTTTACATCCATACTGTATTTCAAACAACTATCAAAACAAACCTCATGATTCTCGTGTTTGTCTCTGTGTCTCTTATTGGTTCATAGGTTATGGTGCTGCAGCCGGAGTGGGAAATGGGGCAAAATCCAACGGTGAGAGACCATTTGTTGGAAAAGGACTTCTTCTGTTTGTTTTCTCTGAATGAAATATGTAAAAAAAAATTATGCACCATTCATGTACCTGTAAAAATGTTGACACTTTATGATGTGAAAAGATCTGATTTATTATTTACTGTAATAAAGTAACACTGTTGTCTGTGTCACAGGCTACGGTGTCCAAGCTGGCCCGGCCAATGGACATCAGATGAAAGGAAATGGTATGAAATCAGTCTTCTGATAAAGACACAAATGCACACACTGAGCAACAGCGCAGGTCAATTTCATTCATTTTTGTCTCACAGGCTATGGTGCACAGGCCGGTGGGTATGGTGGACAAGCAAACAAAGGCAACGGTATCTAATTGTCTTTATTATTCTAACAGATGTAGAAAATAATTAACACTCTGCATGGTACGAGAGTTTTAAGATCTTCTGTGTTGACTATATTTGTAGGTAATGGTGCTGCAGCAGGTGCACAAAATGGACTTGGGACTAAAGGGAATGGTAGGGTAGTCCTCCTGGCATTATCAAAGAATGTAATTGTATCAGTACAGTCTGACCATATAATAGAGAGTGGGTAGTATCCAAACTTAAAATCATTTTTTTACTTTAGGCTACGGTGCTGGAGCTGGTCTACCGAATGGCTATGGAGTTAAAAATGGTAAATCCTGCAAAACCCGGAGTTTAAAACAAACATTTCAATAATTAGAATAAAAATAGTCTCCAATAATTTGTAATTACAATTATTTCATAGGTCAAGGAGCTGCAGCTGGCCCATCAAGCACCAATGGAGCAAGACCAAATGGTACCAAATTCAAACTGGTTTCTGTGTAATACTTTTAGATTTTGCACCAAACTGTCTGTTCGTGCAACTTAAACATCTTTGTACTGAACAGGACAGGGGGCAGCTGCGGGTAAATCAATGAAAGGCTTTGGACGACCATCTTATGGAGCAGGTAACTCATCATCTTCTGTATTGCTGTCTGGGAAATCATAGATATTGACCTTTACATGATATTTACTCATGTGATGCTCGATTTAAGGCCAAGGTGCAGCAATGGGGGGTTTGGGAGTCCCACAACTTGCAAGAAACAGAGGTGAGTGAAGACGCTGTGACACTGAACTCATTGAGCTGCCTAGTAGACCACCAACAGTGTTGTATTTATTCATCCAGGGTATGGCGGTAATGGTTTTAATGGTCATGGAGCCCAGCCAATGGGAGGTGAGTCAATCTGCATTGACTTTGCCAAGGGAATATGAAAACAAACAAAAGTTCTGCGCTAATACATCATATATTTGTATGTTTATGGTGTATGTAGGCTACAATGGTGGTTTTGGAAGTGCTGGTTTGGGTCTTGGACCTCGGTTTGGAAATGGAGGAATGAAAGGACCAAAGCAAGGTACTCAGAGTCTGTTTTTATTCATGCTGTTATAAACGTTTCTATAAAAATCTTTTGACAATTATGAACATTTCAGGCTACGGTGCTGCAGCTGGTGCCTCCAATGGGCAAGGTGCAAAGACCAACGGTATCTGATTCATTATAAATCGAACATGCTTCAAAAATATAACAGGCCACTTTTAAAATAATCTAAAATCGTTGTGTTTTAAATCATAAAGGTTACGCCGGAGCCAGAGCTCCCAGCAGGAATGGAGCCTCCACAAATGGTGAGTAAAGTAATACTGTATGTACTTATATGATTTTTATTCCAGTTGCAGCATGGGGTTAAATATTCTTGTTTGTGAAAATATTCAGGTTATGGATACCCCAGTGGTGGACTGACAAAGCAAGCACAATCAGGTAAATAAGTGGAAAATAGCTGTTTTTTAAAGCTCCTGTAGGGGGTTTTAATCCAGTTTTGACCCAGACTGAAACAAAAGTGATTCCTTTGTGGATCTCCAAACCAGCTGTGGCATGGATATTTATTTGTGTGCTTATTTTTGTGCCTGTAAATTTTGCTGCAGGGTTGATGTCAATTGAGAGAAATACTTCATCAAAATTAACGTTTTTCATGACAAAGATTTTTGATGAGTTAAAGCATAGAAAACAGGATCAGCCAAAATATAACCTTTGTCCCTGAGGATCTTTAACCACTATCAGATCCAAGTGTAGTATTTCTTTTCCATCCTCACAGGCTTTGAATGCCTCTGTTTTTGTGCTGCAAGTTGTCACAAAATTCCATCTTTTTTGCAAATAGTTTAGCTCTCAGATAAATTTCAACACCAGTTTGTTATTATAAGGAAACTGATTTAGTCAAAGTTGTCTTGACTTTCTTGACTTTTTGATTATAAATATTTTTTAGGTTACGGCAGTTTTCCTAATGGTTATGGTGCCAAGCCCAATGGTGAGACTGTCACTTCTTATTGGAGGAGATCATTCTGATTCAAAATGCTGTTTTGTTTCTGGAACATTTACATCACAAATTAAAGTAGTTTTTCTCTTGAACTGATTGTGTTTCAGGATATGGAGTCAGCAGAGGAAGTGCAATGAGACCCCAACCAGGTATGAGTCACAGTATAGCCTTTTGTAAATATGACATATGATCAAATTTGGCACACACTAAGTGGATGTTTTTTGTTAATGATCTGTTTTATCTCCAGGTTTTGGAAATGGAGCTTTCCCCAATGGATATGGAGCAAAACCTAATGGTAACTGACTTGCTTAATGTTAGTGTGTTCAAATCACCAGTTTACCTACTTAATCCATTGTCCTATCTTTGAAAACAAAACATTTGCACAGAGAGAGAGATGTCAAATGTCATGCTTATACACGGTCATGTGAACTGTTTAATTTATGTAATCTTACATCTTACACAAGGTTATGGAGCTGGAGCAGGAGCAGGAGCTGGGGTCGCCAAGGGAAACGGACCCAAACCCAATGGTAAGAAGAAATGGTCAAAAGTGAAACAATAAATATCTGTCCTCTTGGCAGTGTTGCTAACCACTTGTCTCATCTCCCCTTGAGGTCATGGAGCCAGAAATGGCGCTGTGCTTGGTGGATATGGAGGGGCGCTCAACGGTGAGTTTCAGCTTTGAATGATCTGATTTATTTCAGAACAGATTTTCATTCTCAGCTCACGTTGTGACATGTTTAAACTGTTGTTTGCAGGATTTGGATTCCCGCAGAGAGGCTCAAAACCTCAGAGTAACAAAGGAGTTGGAGCAGTGTCACCAGGAGAAGGAGCTAAGTCACTCGGAAATGGTAAGAGTTGTGCTTTTTATTTCAGCAAAAAGACAGGAAACACAAGATGGTTATACACGCTGGCATTATTTTGCATTAAATGTTGTATTTGACAGGCTATGCTGGTTCTGCTGGTATACCAAATGGACAGTTGGCCAAAGCTGGAAACACTGGTAAATGTTCTTGTCCCATGTATTTCATCACACTTTTATCTTTGTTATATATAGTTTTGCTCCATTGACATTATCTTTGGTTTTCTCTGTTTAATTCCCAGGTTATGGCATGATGCCTTATGGGAAAGGTTTACAGAATGGCGGCACGACTAACGGAAAGGGCCGTAAAGGTGAAGTTCTCTCTCCTGAACAGCCAAGTGTTGCACCAGAGGAGGAAGTTCCCCCTCAACAAGCAGTAACTCAGGATGCAACGCCTGTCGCCCCTGAGCCCACTAGCGGCATCCTCGTCATGGTGACACAAGAACAACATCAGATGCTGCCCTCACCTGTGCCTCAGGGGAAAAGCTACAAACACGCACAATACCTCCCTGTGGCTACACAAGAACCAGGACCAGAGCCTGGACTTGAGGCCTCACCTGAGCCAGCTCCCAAAGGTCCAAAGCTGGCGACATCTGGGCCTGCACCAGTAGATCCCCAGACTGGCACAACAGCACCAGAGCCAGAGGTAGTCCTTCCTCAAGGCAAGTACTCAAAACTTGAATCAGTACGGTGCGAGTGTAGAAGAATTTGATGTGAATACATGACAAAAAATTCATTGTTTGACAACCTGTTGACCTCAGCTGAATTGTTTTTCATAATGTTTGTTTTACTTCCTCTGGTCCTCAGTGAGATAACTGTTCTTTTGCTTGAAGGTCATTTTTGTAAAGTGGGAGTAGAAGGCTGTGAAAATATACGATTATCAAGGGTTTGTTTCTTTGGGCCAGCATAAAGATAGTCACCCCAATTACATACTGTACACTTACTAGTACCAGGGGTGTGTCCAGAGGGTTGACCTGGGGGAGCATGGGCCCCATCTAAATCTGACTGGGGTGACCAGTCAGATTTAGTCAGATTTGCACTTCTTTATTCCGACCTAAAAAGAGGGGGATTTAGTTGTGTTATTTCTTTAACACTTTCTGCTATATGGTGTACAATATTCACAAAATGTCACTGTATGCTTGCTGGAAGGATACTTAGACTTGACTCATGAAACTTTTATTTTGAGTGAAACTCTCACATGAAGAGTGTCCTTCTGACAATGTAATATGCTGTGGGGAATCTACATCTGAAAGAAAAGCCGTAATTTCAGTCATTTTTAGAATTAAATAATGTGTCTTTTTAAACAGTTTAAAGGTTTTGGTTTGGAAATCAACAAATACTCTTTTGGATTTCTGTCAACTGTTTTATTTTGATGACTTAAGCAACCTGTTAACGTACTTACCTACATTATGTTTGGGAATGAAATGATTCACACGATGTTTCTTTTGGATATGTCATCTGCACATTTTACATTTATACCTACTCTGTGTACTTGCAATCAGATTTTAAGTCATAGAAAAAAATGGCTTTTTGTTGTATTTCTATAGATGTGATAATTTTATGTTTCTGTTTTGTAAAAGTCAACGATAGCAGTACAAATTTGCATTAATAACGTGTTGTTATAAATGTCGATGACCTCCAGGTTATGTGACTGGGGATGCTGTACCTGAGCAAAAAGTTGCAGAGACAGATGTTGTTTTTGGGGGGGACGGCGACAGTGAAGGGGACGCCGCACCTAAAACAGACAAATCCCTGAAAACCAAACCTGAACCTGAAACAGTGTCAGCTAAAAGTACAGATAGCATCACCCCTGAAGAAACACTGGCTGTGGGTTTACCTGAAATTACGCCAGAGGAAGCCAACGTCAAGAGTCAGCCTCAGGCAGGACCTGCAAACCCTGGAGTCAAAGGTCAACCTGGAGGAGACACTGTAGCAGCTGGTAATCTAAACTGGGGTTTAGATGACTTTAGAAGTGCTTGACTGCATGTGTAAATGTTGACTGTATCCACTGTTTGTCCTAACTCTCAGTCTGTTCACTGTAAGTGTTTCACCCTGCAAGACTTTTACTGTTGTAATAGTTTAATGGCTAGGATTCACTCTCTGAGATCTTAAATACAGTCTTGATATTAATATTTACCAACCATCTTGGCTCAGGAAGAGAAACTTTTAATGAATTCTGCAGGTATGTGTTAAAATGTAGAAATAATCACCACAGATGTATTTTTTGAGAGTGAATTCTAGCCTGTGCTCGTGTTTATCAGTGTACCGTACAGATATTTGTGTTTTTACATTTTGTTTGTCTGTGTTGCATGTTTTTGTCAGAGTTGTGATTTGACTTGTTTTTTTTCAGTTGCTTTTTAAACCTTGGTCAGTCTTTCATATTTAGAGATTTATGTTTGACACTTTTAAAGTCACATTTTGGGAAATAAGCCATTTTACTACACTACAACCTGCCCTTTCTTGTGCAGCTAGCCAGTACTGATAAACTATTTCTGTTTGCATCAGTCTTTAAGCTAGGCTAACAGTCTCCTAGCTGTGGCTTCACCTACTGCAAACACAAGTATTTTCCAAAATGTCACTTGAACAATTTCAACAAGTGAAGAATTAACAAATTCAACGTGTTTACGTCTTTGTGTAAAGTGTGCATCACTGTCTTTGTGGTTTGTATAACTACCGTCTTCTTCAGTGCTAATCTGGTTCATTCAGGCCACGAGTTACAAAGTTTTACCCATTTTTTTTTAAGTAATTGTTTGAGGACAAACTGTAACTATCATTTCAAACCATGCTTCAATGTTGAGCCTGTCACTCTGATTTTCAGGAAATGGAGGAGTACCTACGATGTCAAAGGGTCAGGGAGCCAAACCAGCCACACCTGGTAAATAACCATCTCTTCTTTTGAACACTACAATTACCTGAGAGCTGGTAACTTCTTATTTAGGTTCAGACATAGTTTTCCTCTTTGGGCTAAATTATTGTAACAACACAACTTTGGATATCAGCCACATTTACTCGGTGTGGCACTTGTAAGCAGTGTTAGTTTGAGTTTTATTTGATGGAGTTTAAGTTATTTAAAACTTAAAACTTGTTGTTAGCATGTAAATGGGCTAAATTAGCAATTAGAGAAAAAATAGGTCTGAGCCTGACTCTTCAAAGGAAAATTACTGTGGTGCACAATACCTCTAGTAACAAGTATAAGCTGGGCATGCTGGCTTTCAAAGATTAGAAAAGTAGTAATCTTGAGTGTGTGGCTTAGCTATGTGGTTTTACTGTGTGTTTAAAATAGCACAAAAGCTGCTTTTTTTGGACTTGAATTCAGTGTTAGGACATATTAAAGTATTTGGGTTCATCAAACATGTTGACATTGTTGCTCTAGACTGTGGACCATCAGGAGTCCCAAATGGACAATGGATGAAGATACCTCGGCCTGGTAAAGAGACAGATTTCAGTGATTTCAATGTGCTTATATCCTTGAATGTATACGTTTTTTTATATTCACTACAGTTAGACTGTATTAAAAAACAGAGATAGTTGTGAGTTGTTTTGATAACAGCAGGTGTTGTTCTGTCTTTTAAGGTTATAATGGAGGCGCTGGAGCTTCGGCTGGCTTGAACACCAAAGGTACAAGAGTGAATGAACTGATGGCCCAACACAGAGTATTTTTGCAGAGATTACATGTACATACATCTTTAAATATCTACCACTAAAGTGATTTTTTTTAATTTGATGAAGGTTTTGGAGCTGGGGCCGGTGCTCCCACTGGATACGGCTCCAAACCCAATGGTACTGTTATTTTCATTCACTGTTTTTTTACCGTGTATTTGATGAAGTATTTTTGTACGAAATCATTTTGATGTTGGGTCTTTGTTTAGGGTATGGTGCCAGTGCAGGGGGGTATGCAAATGGAGGAGGAGCGAAAGCAAACAAACCAAGTAAGGGGCATAATAAAAACTATAAAACAAAATATTTTGAACATTTTCTGTGAAATCCATCAACATTTAAACTTTTTCCTGTTTTCTTCAAAACATAAAATATTTCTAAAACCTGTGCTGATACAGCAAGATGATCTACATGATGTCAGTTGCAGAAAGTGATTTAAAGATGAAAGTCAGGACCTTATGTGTCTACATCAAGACTTTTTTTTTAATATCTAAAGGTTATGGAGCAGCAGGCCACAATGGATGGGGCGATGGATATGGAGCTGGTAATATTTATTGTCAATGTAAATAAAATCTAAAATTAAAAAGTTGCTTTGAATGTTTTTTGTATTTTTATTGTTTTATGCTACGTCTACAGGACCTAGATATCCTTATGCAGGGAGACTTCAGCAACCTGGTAAGCACTCCTTGACTAAAAACCTTTTTTTTTTCATAAACTATGTCACATGGGTTGTCATGATTTGGACAGTGGAGTGTTTTTTTATATATATATTTTGTTGTGCGCACTCTCAGGTTATGGACAAGGAGCATTCTTGGGAGCCGGATATGGACGTGAAAACTCATATGGAGGTGAGCTTTTTTGTGTAAAGTTTGGTTTTCAGCACCATTTATGAACTACCTTTGAATTGTTGTGTGTAGTTTACCGTGTGCACTCAGTATGAGAAAACCTGAATTCATTCATTGAAACGAGGAAGTGTAAGAAATCTTTGTTGAATGAGGAGAGAAAACTCAGAAAGAGGAAAATAGAAGTGCTTCAAGAAGAAATCCTGCAGTTCCGGTGTGCTGAGTTTGGATTCAATTATGCTTTTTTTCTCTGGTTTTGCAGGTCAGGGTGACCCAGGCAAATCCAAATCAGGTAGGCCCCAGTGTGGACACTAACTTCCAAGAAATGCCTGTAAGCTCAGCCTACATGAAGTTTTTGTTGTTGTTGTTGTTGTTTACAGGGTATGGAAATGGAAATGGCTATGGTGCTGGATTACAGCCAGATTTTGCCAGTAAGAACCTTTGTTTTATTTTGAGTATTTGGAAAAAAAATCATCTTCACACCAATTTTATTCTTATTGAAAAACAACTGAAATCAACTGAACTGCTTTTGTTTGTTTGTTTTTTAATTCAGATCTTGGCCAAGGTGTACCCACTGCTAATGGTAAATCAGGTATGTCATGGGTTGCAAGTGAGGATACAGAAGAGATTAAATAACTTTCAGATGTGTTTAGTAAAACAGTGAATCATTGTCTGATTTCTGCTGATTCTTCAGGTGCCAAACAAAGTCCTTACAGTGGAGCCCCAGTGATTCCTGCTTCACTAGATGGTAAGAGGATGTAAATATATGACTCGAGCACGAGTGAAAGGTGAGATTATCCAGTAAGAGGGATAATCCAGAGTATAATCTGCAGGAGAAAAAAACAAAGCAAAACAGTAACACTAACCCAACACAAGTAATAATTTTACTGTTTGCAAAACTGCAGGAAAACTGCCATTAACATGAGATTATTGTAGTTAAAATCCATAACCCTGATATTCAATTTACTTGGTTTGTTAGAAAATATCCCTCTGAGCATTTTTTGGTCTAAAAGAGGTCTAAAAGACGTCTAAATTTAGCCTAGATGACTGGTCTAAAATCAGGCTACCACAGGTCTAAAAATGAAAGGTTTTTAGACCTTTAAATTTAGACCAAGTTTAGACAAAGTCTAAATCTGGGCTATATCTATGTTACACTGTATATTGCTCAACGGATATCATAATTATTTTGGTTTAGTACTTTGAGATCAGTTATGCAACTCACAGTTGCTTTTTGAAATAAATAGTTATCGAATAATGGGTTAAAGTGCAACGTCTAAATTCCATCTAAAAATATACAGAATCTAGATGGTTAAAATTAGGTCTAAAAAAAACTAGATGTCTACTAGCTGTCTATTGCTCAGTAGGATGTCAAGTATATCTTGTATTCTCACGCAGGAGTGAGTCAGTTTGAGCCTCAGTCTGCTGGTCTCGGTCCGGGTGGAAAAAGCAACAGCATGTATGGTGGTATGTATATCAATGTCTCTTAAATCTTTCTTTATTCTTAAGAACAGAGGAGGCATCTGTTTAGAAATCACTCTGAGAAGAGATGTACTTATATAGAATTAAATCTGTTATGCCACAAGAACTGTCTGTAATGTTTCAGGGATGGGAGGTTTGCCTAACGGTGGTCAGCCGCTAGGAATGGGTGCAAAGAAATCAAACGCTAAGTACGGTGAGTGTTCCCAGGCTGTATCGCTGCATGAAGTAGCTTTGAAAGGAAAAAAAGAGTCATTATAAGGACTTACACTAATGCAATACTTCCATTCAACTATGAGTATCCTCAAAGTATGACTTAACTCTCTGCTCATGGACTGGCCACTTTCTTTCAGGCATCGGTGGGTTGCAGTTTGGTGGGCAGCCACTCAGTCGAGGGACTAATGGTGCAGGAAATTATGGTATGTGTGCAATAACTGAACCCTGTCCTTTAAGTCAATTTATTTGATCCTACAAAAGTCTGGTTTAAGCATGCGCATCCATGTTATCTTTGCTCTTGTGTGATGACTGACCAACTTTTAAAAACTTGCATCCAGGATATGGTGGAAGCCCCTATAACCCTGCCGGTAATGGCAAAATGTCTGGAAAATATGGTAAGTCTTTTGAATAAATAGTCATAAAACCTAGCAGAAACTTGCATTTGATAAGAAAGCGCAGCATCGCGAGTAGAGCTTCCAAAACAACAAGCATCTAATGTCTTATCAGTCTAAAGAAATTAATGATTTGCTTCATTTTTCAACATTCTTGAAGGTGGCCAGGGCGCCGGCATGGGAGGGAATCCTTCACCAGTGAACTACAGTCAGTTTCTGTTCATTCTAAATACAATAAATAAGAAGAAATGTAAATATTGGTACCCTTGACTCATGAGGATAATTTTTTTCACTCTGAGCTGTTTCCCCTTCTTCTCTTCTCAGGATATGGTGGACTGCCTCTCGGTCATGGAAGTAATGGACATACAGCTGGCACATATGGTGAATAATCTGTATTTGTCATCAGGATTTGTTGTTTAAGTTCCAGTCCCTCAGCTGCTTATACACTGTTTATTCTCATCTTCTTGACAGGTTATGGAAGAATGCCTTATGAGGCTCAGCCAGCTGGACTGAGCAATGGGGCCAAATCAAGTGGCAAATATGGTGAGTGAGTGAGTGAGTATGTATGTAAAGATCTTTTATACTGAGCCAAGTTATCTCAATGCTGGCAGTGGCTTCATACTTACTTTACCTACATAAGAGTGGAGTGTAAGAAGTCACAACAAACATGAAAATCATGATATCACAGGCTGGTTCTTCAGGCTAACAAATTCAGGCAGATGTGCACTTGTTTTATTACTTTTCATGAATTTTTCTGCTTTTTATAATTTTCTCACAGGACCAGCTGCAGCACAGTATCAGCCTTCATCTTTAGGGCTTGGACAGAATGGGAAACAAACCAGCAACTATGGTGGGATTCTGCAAATATGAGCTATCCCCTCAATGTCGTTTCTTGTTAATTGTCAATTTTTTTGGTTTAACTTGTCATCTCCATTTGGTTTGAAAGGTGGCAGTGAAGTTCCCTATGCTCCTCAAGCTCTCGGCTTTCAGAGTCAAGCAAAATCCTCAATGAAATACGGTGCAGTGCTTTGTATTGGTTCCCATACCAATCTTTGTTTTTCATCTGTATTCAAACCCTGTTTTATTGAACAGTTTCCATCCATCTCTCTGCAGGTAACCAGGGGCTGTACCCCTCACAGCCTCTTGAATCTGCATCTGAAGTCAGACCTGCTGGAGAATATGGTAATAATGAGGTTTATTACCACATCAGGTGTGTTATAACTACTAAAAATATACAGTTCATTAATTTGTTCTGCTGTCTTAAATAGAAACAGCTGGTTTGTCTTATGAGCCTTTACCTGTGGAGCCAGATACAGCGGGACAATCCTTTGGTAAGTTGAGGGAGAAACACAAACATAAAATCATATGGGAGCCCCAAAACAGACATGCATCCTTATGTTTGAATTTTATTTGTTTTTGTTAGTCCACACCAATGACAAAAATTAGTTTTGTGTATATGTGTGTGCTTTTGTAACTCGGTGTTCGAGTTACAATCACCTGACATGATAAGAAATCTGGTACAATAAAAGGTGTGGATGCACATCTGCACAGGGCTTCTGTACCATAGCTTCATTATCTTATTCTTCTCCCCTGTTTCCCCCTCTTATCTCTTAGTGAAGGGAGGGGTACCAACCCCGACAGTTGCAGTTGAAGGCGAGGGGATGTCTGTTGAAAGATATGGTCAGTAAATTTCTGCATGTCTGATCCTTTTTTAATGTTGTTGCAATAAGTTAACGTTTGACTGTCTCTTTCAGAAAATGTGGGCTATATAAATGGTCAAGTGCAGCCAGAAGGTAAAACTAAGAACACTAGACTAATCAAAACTTTTTTAAGTATGTACAGTATATGATTCATTAATGTTTCTTTTCTGCTGTTTCTTCAGTTGTTAATTTCCCAGCAGCCCCCACTCCCGGCCCCACCCTGGCTTTCCCTTCCGCCCCCTCCTATCTACCTATAGAGTCCTCCTACACCCCTGATATCTTACCTGGATTAAACGTCGAGGACTTACCTGACCCTGCATCAACTACTAGCCTCGCCTTAGACTCTGCGCCCTCTACAGAAAGGCATGGCGAGATTCAGGTGCCTGATCAACCAGACGATCAACAGCAGCTGCCACGTCAGATCCACATCCAGCAGCATCTCAAACTGCATTTTCACCAGCAAGGCGAGTCCAGGAGAATTTGATTTCTGCTGTCCAAATTAAAAATCTCCTCAGCATTGTTTTGGGTGAGAGAAAAAGGTTGGTTCGCTAAAGGAGGACAGGAGGGAGAAAAAAAAGTTGAATTTTAAACAAATATTCAACAATCTCTGGTTGTATTGATTCACAAGGGTGTGTCCAGAGGGGCTCTTCTCTTTTGGCCACCCTCAAAATCTTTAGTGTTGTTCGGCTATTCAGAGTCAGGCTCCAAGTTTTCTTTGAACTTAATGTTACAATTTACTTTTTTTTACTTTAATTTACTTTAATTGGAGAAAAATACTGAACACATTTGAGGTGTGTGTAGGGTAGGAATCAAACAATCAAATATTGAAAGTAAACTCATACACAAACTGCCAAAGATACGTGAATTGGTAATGTTTTGGTACTTTTTTAGGTACAAACATCTCAACGGGGGTTTTTGTTGTCACACACAAGGAACTTCAGCTGTGAGCTTTTTAAAGGATTTGTGCAACTTTAAAGGAAAGTTTTGTGAACTTTAAAAGTCTGCTAAGGTATAGATGAGAAAAACAACACTGCTGGTCAAAACTAGAGTAAAGAGTTATCAGGATTACCTTACAGTTAATAAAATTAGCTTCCAGCACTTTTAATATCTTGTTTGCACACAAAACGGTAATCTGTGATTGTTATAAAGGTTTTCTTTATTTTAGTCGTTTAGTCCAAGCTGAGCTAAGAGTTTTTAATCACTTACTCCATTGTTTTTATTATTTACTGTATGTGCAAGCAGTAATTATCTACCATAGGGCCAAAAAAGGTACATTTACCCAAATGTCAAATTATATGTTTTGTGTACATAAAAGAACTGTGCAACTATTGCACACAACTTCCTACATTTAAAAGCCTAATAAAGTTGTTAATTAACTTTCATTGTCTCTTTTTCTATCTGCAGGGGCAAAGAATGGCAAATATGACTTGAATGGCTTCTTTGGAAATAGTGGCTATCAAGGTAAGACTCTTCACTGGTTTAAAATACTATTTTCAGTTTGCTGTGTTTCTCTCTATTATCCCACTCATTGTTATTGTGATGCATTTGTTTCTCCACACAGGTTAACCTTGAAGGCCATGATGAGTATTATTTGCCATTGTGTGTTATTTTTGTCCTCATTTGTATATTAATTTTCTTCTCTTTTGTCTGAGAAATGGTTCTTGTACTTTGTTATTTTGTGTTGTAGAGATGAAACATTAATTAAGCACGTTAGTTTTTTTATGGATGTTTTTCTGTATTCTGCACTTACTGTTAAGTGTACATGCAATCATTTGTAAGTGGAAAAATGGAGACGTTGCCTGATGCTGTCAGCTCAAAGTATTCCTGTAAAATACGAATCAGTGTAATTTATTATGCATGGAAAATACTCCTTTTTTTTTTACTAATTTTCACAAGCATCTGTTTATTATTGTACAGAATCTGATTTAATAAAACCATCATGAGTACGGACAGTGGAGGAAATATTGCTTCACTTATTTATAGTCTTGTGTTCATGGATGGCAATCCTCTGAAAGATGTAATCCCCAGGTCAGCGTGACTTCAGCACTGTTGCAGACCCACTCAGGGAGCATAAACTTGTTTTTAGTTTGTGATTAGGAAAATAGAGAATAAATCAAGATAACCATGAAGCTGAGGTGTGTGTTAGTTATGGGCCATGGCGAGGAGCAGCTGCCACAGTGCACATGCCTTTTTGTGAGGATTAACCCCAGCTTAAGGATAAGAACCCTTTACTGATTGGTCCTGCAGAAAGCATACCACTTCGCCAGCTCAACAGGTTGCTTGCTTGGAATAACACCTGTCCGATGATGGATTTCAGGTAGCAGAACTTCTTGCTCTCTGCTGCCATGGCCATGGCCATGCCCGGGTGTCCTCTGAGCATGGCCTCGTTCAGGATGTAAGTGCTGAGGAACCTGAACCTTTATCTAAATGTGAGGGCATTTGGCAGGAAGTCGTGATGGTGCTTTACAAAGGGCCGCGGCTACTGGAGTTTGCCAAGACCCCGACACATCTTCAGTTCAACAAATACGTCCTGACAGGTTACCGGCCAGTGTCCTCGGCTCAGGAGTGCATGAGGAGCCTCTTTTACATGCACAATGAGCTTGGAAACATCTACACACATGGTAAGTCTAGATGTTTGCCATGCATTTGTACGCTTTAAGTAATTTTGAGAGTAGCTGAGTACACTGAGGAGTAAATGTAAGAGTATCAACAGATGTGTCTGACTACACTGAATTATGTGGAATGCTTAATAATTCAGGGCACATTCTCCCTATCTTTTTGTTTCATAAACCCATACATGTGGTGTGCAACTCAAACAGGACACAGATATCAACTACTCTCACTCATGGCCTGTAGCAAGCATGACAAGAGTGTGTAATGAGGATATGGGGCATTAGCTGTAATCTGCCCTGGGAATCCCTGTCCTGGAAATAACCTTCAGGTAATTAGGTCTTTCGAAGGTGTGTGACACTTTTCAGTTCTGAGTGCTCAAATACACTTTAACAAGACAAGCTTCCAGGAGGTTGCACAGACGGCAGGAAGATTCAGAATAGTGAAGGGGAGATCAGTTTTACATAAGTTATCTTGACATGAGGATCACAAACTTGTCTTCAGTTTTATTTAAACATGCAAAAATGCAAATGTCGCAATGCACCAGGGTTTCACAGCCTTCAACTTTCAAAGCTATCCTCTTTGCTCCGTTTTCCCCTTGGATATCCCATAAGTTCATTAAGGCTAACACTCTTACTAAGAGGAAGTGTGGGGTATTATCTGTAGAGCACTTCCCAGGAACTTGTAGCCAAACGCTATAAATTTCACATGGTTCCTGGCACAGAAGCATAAGGAGGAAGTAATGTCAGACAGTTCTCCAGACATGTTCATTTTCATTTTCCTCTTGCATCTCACCTCTCTCCCCTATTTTCTCCAATTCTTCTGGTTACCTCAGGCATCCCTTTTTTTCTTTTCCTGGTGCTGCTGCCTTTCAGTATCCCCTGGGAGGAGGTGGACAGCATTTGGATCTGTGTGGTCCACTACCTGGCCTGCCTCAGCCCCACCATAGGCTCAGTGGTCTACCATGTCTTCATGAACCATGTGGGTGGAGAGCATGTGTATGACACCCTGCTCTCTCTAGACATGTTTGGGGTCTGCCTGGTAAACACCCTCGGTAGGTAGTTGATGCCTGTTAGCTTTTCTCTGTTTTGTCTGAATCAACACAGCTGCTTTACAGCTAATAAAGAAACTCCACTTTGTGTGTACTTGTATGCTTTCTAAAAGGCTTTGGCTACATTTCTCAGATCAACACATGGAGTTTGTTCAGTGGTTATTTGAGGACACCTGTTTAGGTAAATAGCCAATAAAAATTAAGTCCTAGTAATGTTTGCGCTGTCATTCTCAGCTCTCCCTTTTTCAAGGATTGCTAAGTCAAAACACTATGAGATGATGAGTCTGAACATCTCCAGGAGTGCAGTGTTTGCATTGAAGAGGCTTGTTTGAGTAATATGAGTACTTGGGCGTCTTCTTTTGGTAGCGTTTCACCAGAAAGACTAATATAGCCTCAAGTCCTTCTTGCGAATATGAAGTTTAATTCTTTGCTGATAAACTCAGGCTACAACAAGGTTAATTTCAAGTCCTCTTTTTTAAATTTATTAATATTGTCTCTTCACTGGTATAAATTCTCTCTTGTCACCAGGTGCACTTCCCATAATCCACATCACCCTCCTTTGCTACCCCACCTTGCAACAGACTGCCCTGCTGACGTACGTCCTCCTGTCCACCTATGGCATTTACTGCGCCACCACAGCCCGCACAAACGTCCTGCGCTTGCGAGCGTTCGTGTGGCAGGCCCTGTTCCGCTTCAGCTTGTTCCTGTTCCGGGTTTTCGGCAGCGGGGTGGGCAGCCCTAACTCCCTCAGGCTCTTTGTCATCATGGACTCCCTGGCTGTGGCAGGAGGACTGGTCAACATCATCCAGATCCCTGAGCGTTTTGTTCCAGGCTTGTTTGACAACTGGGGGAACAGCCATCAGATCATGCATGTCATGGTCATTTGCTCTATTATCTACCTGCACTGGGGCACACTAGAGGATTTGGCTTGGATTAAGACCTACCAGTGTCCTACTGAGTGATGCAAAGAGTATCAAGCACAAACAGGATGCACTCAGGGCTACGCTGATAGCAGATTTAGAGCTCAGTGAAGCAGGAGTTAGGCACAGAGAAGCAGAAGATGGTTGACGATGCACTTTAGTCCTAGCTGCTGAAAGGGAAGTTTGCAATTTGACATTTTGCCTGAACACAACAGGAGCTCCCGGTGTTGAAACTGTGGACCTCCAACATGAAGATTTCAGATTAAAAATCCTGAGCATACTTGACTTCTAGTTTGTTGAAATGCAGCAGTATTGGGTCATTTTGCCCATTACGAAAATAGCTTATAAAATGTACAGATATATTATTGAATGTAATAAATTATATATTTTTATAACCTGCTACACCTTGTGTTTTTTCATGTATGATGTGTGTGAGAGAAAAGTGCAACATGGCCATGGGTAAATGCGTCTGTTTAATTAAAAGAAATCTGTATATACATTAGAGAAGAGGAAGTATTTTCTATTGCTGAATAAGAGTCAAACTTGAAGTGATTTTATTTGGGCCTGGCAACAAAAGGTTCCTGAATATTGGCATCCTTACAAATTTCACCCACCTTCAAACCAAAAGCATCACAGCACCAAAACCTGTATAAGCTCATTTTAAGGTATGGTCACTTTAAGGAAATGATTGTTTAAATCAGACTTGAATAGGTTAGTTTTTGCAGAGGTGGAAAATGTAGACCATAACACTGCAGCTTTTATCATTTTACAACACACTGAGTCAATGCATTCTGGCGAAATCGCTGAATGACCTTCCTCGTCGTTTCTCCCAGCTCGACTTTTTTCTCCGCTGCACCTCTGTGGATCAGTCGTCATCAGAGCTGCTGCCATCCTCCGGCTCTGATAGGTCAGCGATGGGAAACCGCAAAATAGCAGCCACCCCGCTCAGCTGAGTCAGTTCTGAGGAGACAGCCAGCGGGATATATCAAAACTTGACAGTACAGACAGAAATAATGAGCTGTGAATGTGATCAAGGAGAGAAGAAAAGGGGCGTGAATCAGTGTTTGCTGAGAGTGTAGACTTTATTGGTGTCAGTAACCTGTAAACACGCTGAAATGACACCAATAAAATCCTTCTGCAGTTATAGTCATCAAACATTTACAACTCGGACCTGATAATATGTTGCTGGTAATTAACTCTTATTTAAAAATAGCTGATACAAGTTTTCTGGAATTATGTAACAGACTGCGGAAAAAAATGGACACTAAGAAGTACTACTTGAATCTTTTGATTAGTGTTATATTCATAGATCATTTTTTAAGAGTGGGTTATAGCGTTGGAGTTTTCACAAAGATGGAGGCACAAGGCAGTGCTCATTATTCTTCTAAATGACAGCTAGTGGCAGTAATATGCGAAGGAGGGGTCTGTGGGTTCTTAATCATATAAATAAATACTAAAGATTTGTCATTAATCTTGAGAAAAAAAGCCTTGAATTTGTCCTTGTGAGGGTTATTTTTGTCTGAATCCGATAATTAACTCTTAACATCTGCAGAGGTTTACTGAGCCTTCATTCAGTCACTGTGGTTCAGTACGCACAACCACAATCATGGGGAAGACTGCTGACTTGACAGTTGTCCAGAAGATGATCACTGACACAACCCACAAGGAGGGTAAGACACAGAAGGTCGTTGTTGAGTCTGTTCACAGAGGGTTGTGTTGACTGGAAGGGGTGCACAAGCAACAGGGATAACTGCAGCCTTGAGAGGTTTGTCAAACAAAGCAGATTCAAGAACTTAGGGGAGCTTAGGGAACCAGAGACAGCATCATAAGCTAAGAAAAAAAAAAGGACTATTCCTCAGTGGTCCAAAGTCCTGTTTAAGATGAAAGTAAATTTTGTATCTAATTTGGAAATCAAGGTCCAAAAGTCTGGAGGAGGATGAGTGAGGTGCGGAATCTAAGGTGCTTTAAGTCCAGCGTGAAGTTTCCTCAGTCTATGATGATTTTGGGTGCCGTGTCATCTCCTGCTGTTGGTTTTTCAGCAGTTATCAAGATTCAGACAAAACAAGTGTTGAAATATTCCACTATGTGTGTAATGAATGTAAAATATATATGGAAGTTTCCCTTTTTGATTTAAATACAGGAGGGAAAAAAAAGAACTTTGCAGGATATTCTAACTTTTGAGCTGCATCTGTAATAGACATTTTTATGCATCTTGAGTTTTTCTAATACAGACTAAAAATCTTAAAATAACTTACGTTCACCAGACACATGGAGGCTTGAGAATATCCTGCATTAAAAAAAGATAAAACATATCAGCCCAATGCTTGTCCAAAGATAATACACCAGACACAGTAAAATAAATATGAAGTACCTGACATTGCCGCCATTGTCTCTTACGTTGTCCACCAACCGGACATAGCGGCTTCTTGTGGGAACGTCCTGATGTCTGGAAGAACACATAGAAACATGTGAAAACATGGGTAAAAATACACATTTATGGTTCCTGTCATACATGAAAAGCTGGTGATAAGATTCTCTCTGTCTCTGGTTCTCATGTGATTCTGTAAACATAAATTTCAGCACCAGCTTGAACACACCACTATTCCGTCAGTAAAAACTCCAAAGTGCATTTAAAATCAAAACCCAAAAGATCCGGCCGAAGTAAACAGCATGTACCTGAACAGCTTATCACTTATCAACAAGGTGTCAATGGCAAGCGCGTCAGCAGCTCTCTCCACATGCGCCAGTCTGTGAGGATACAAGGATACAAAGGTTGCTTGTTATCATCGTGAGTAAATGCAGACCCAGTATTTACCGCCTGAGAGCTGTGTCCTGGTGCTTCATCACTTACCCATAGAAGGCTCTGTCAGGCTCGTGCTGCAGCATCTTATAGAAATCTTCCAGGGCTCTGACCTCTCCTGCTGCCTGTAGAAACATCAGTTGGTCATATTTTTCAGTCTTAATTCACAGGATGATTAGCATGTAAATCACAGGAATTGTCGTCACCTTGGTATCAGAAAGCCTGCTTGTCACAGAGGGATCAGAGAGGATTTCTGCGGAAAATTTAAAAAAAATCAATAAAATGTCACCAACTAACTTAACTTTTTAGCAGAACTCTTGTTAGTTTATTCTTTCTTTACCAGCTTGTACCTTTGAGGGAGTATTTATGACCTGATGATGAGTGAACCAGCATGAATTTGGGTCGATTCTCCAGCAGGATCTTGTTGTCCTGTCGCACCGCCTCCTTGAAGAGGTAGGTCATAAACTGGTCTCGCACAAACCCCGGACTGGCGATCAGGATGCATTTCACCACTAGGAAATAAGGGAAAAAAAATCTGTTTTAACGAAGACAAAAATGGGAAACAAGCAAAGAAATTGTTCCAACAATGCAATAAAATGAATATAATCGAAACATCAAATAAAAAGAGAGAAGTACAGGACACAAAACAGGAACATATGGTGTTTATGCAGGTGTTTGTGTGAGTGTGTCATGATCATAACAGAAGTAATACCGTCAAAATTGATGTGGCGAAGAATTGCCTGCATCACAGCCTCGTAGAACCGCTCCAGCGCCTGCAAACGAAGAGAAATGTGAGGGAACGTTACAAAAACACCAACACTGAGGGAGTCTGACATCCAGTTAACAGAATTGTGCTGCAGTTTTTCTCCTCTGATAGTATGCAGAATCTAAATAATCCATTCTCTTTCCTCTAGCCAAGTTCATAAAAGCCAAGTAGTTACAGAGTTCTTCTACCTTCTCGTGCTGGGTGCAGCTCCCCCGTCTCTTGCGGGGAATGGTCACCTCCACTTTAGCACGGAGCAGGGTCATGGCGGGGGTCACCAGCACCAGGTTGGCCAGACCTTCCTGCATCACCACAGCTGCTACGTCCGCCTTCTGGGTCGCATCACATGCCTGCTCTGAAGAGCGACACTAATTAGTATAGTTGAGTGCTTTCTTTGATAGTTTGAACCACGACTGATAAGCTTGGTTTGTCATGATACCAGATTTTCAAATTTCACTTCAACCACAGCAGCTCTCTCTAAGACAGTATCTTGACTGTGGGTCTGTTTTTTTGTACTTTTCAGTATTATTTACTGTGAAAATATTGCAGACTGTGTCATTCAAGTGTTGAAATTTTGACTAACTTTTAAACATGAGCGTTGTCATTGTAAGAAATAAGTACACGGTGCTTGTAAGTGGGTTTACTGCTACAGATTTATAAAAACACTTCAAACTGAAGCAGGAATGACTCAATAGACCTCCACCCCTTCAAAACATGAACCCATCTGTCAGTTACTCTCCCTCTTCTGTTCCCATGGCAACTCTCTCTCTTTGTTGGCACTGTTAATAAATCAACATCAGAGGACTGCGCTCTTTTATGTAAAAGACAACCAGCTAAAATGCCATCCTGTCAGTCAGGCAACACAGTGCTAAACAGTTCTTAAAATACACTTCTGACGAATGATTATTGGTGTCTGGAACAAGTCATCCCGGGCTGCAGTGAAAGCAACAAATGTAAGCCTGTAGCTGGAATCAAGATCTTCTTTAATCTCACAGAGCAGTTTTAAGATATTTGGTTCATTTCACAAGTATTTGTTTTGTCTTCAAGAAAACATGTGAAGTCCCTCAGTAGTTTAATTCAATTTCTTAGATGCCAGCTGTTAAAGATAGTGTTAGAGGCAGTTAAGAAAGATGCATTAAGAAGGTGACTCGGGGTGGTAATCAATTTCTACAGGAATGGAACCCTTTGTGTAAACTGTGTTTTAACAACATACCGATTCTTTCCAGCACGATGCTGTCCCAGCTCTTTTTAGCCAGAGTGAACTTCCTGTTGAGCTCAAGCTCAATAGTGTGGTACGCACCCATCTGAGGAGTAAAAAAAGAGATCATCAGCTTCTCAAATAGGAGTGGACACTGAGACAGACTGAATTCAATGACAAACCTTACAGCTATCTTGATGCATAGAAATAGAAAAATGACATAACTAAAATTGTCAGGCTGTATTGACAATTCAGACCTTGACATACTGGTTCTCCTCTATGTTAGTGCCCTTTACTCTCAGCTGGCAAGCCTGGGAGTCAAAGTCAATAGTCTCCACACATAAGGTCAGTGTCGTCCGAACTCTGGAGCTGCCAACACTTCCAGTCTGAGACTCTGTCTGCACCTTTCTGTGGATACATAGGACACAGACATTTGTTTTGACTTATCTGACAAGTTCCCTGTAGAATTTTAAAACTGAAACAAAATACAGCATGAGAAAGAGGAGGAAACACAATCACCAACAGCTGACTTATTGATCTTAATAAATGAATATGTAGTTTTTCAGCTTGGTTTTTTTTATCAAATAAGAATAAGAAGAACTTAATTAATCCTCAAATGAAAATTAAATTGTCTGTTGTCTCACATAATATGTCTCTAAAATTCATCTACTATTTACACAAGAGTTATAAAGCCTGATGGCTGTTGGTACAAAAGATCTTCTGAATCTTTCTGTCCTGCAGCGAAGAGAGAGGAGCCGTCCACCACCATTGACCCTTTGGTCCATTAAGGTATTGTGAAGTGGGTGATCCATGTTCTTAAGAAAAGACTCCACCTTCCTCAGTGTAGATCTCTCCACCACCACCTCCACTGAGTCCAGCTTGAGTCCAACCACAGAACCAGCCTTTTTCACCAGTTTGTAAAGACGTCTTGCATCTTTGTGTTTGATGCTTCCTCCCCAGCAGACTGCAGCGTAGAACAGAACACTTGCCACAACAGACTGATAAAACATCTGCAGCATCTTACTACAGATGTCTATTGATCTGAGTCTTCTCAGGCAAAAGAGGTGGCTCTGAAGTCCATATTCTTAGGCCAGTCCAACTTATTATCCAGATGTACACTTAGGTATTTATATGACGTCACCACTTCGATGTCCACCCCACAGGTGTTCACTGGCTGAAGAAGGGGTTTGGATCTACAGAAGTCTATGACCATCTCCTTTGTCTTTGAGGTGTTGAGGAGGAGGCAGTTTTGACTTAGGTGAAACCTTGACCATAAGTTACTTTAGCTTAAAGGTACACAAATACAACAGAGTTGCAGGGGGAAGAGTACATAAACTAATCACTGATAGAGGGATCTGCATCTATACCTCTGCACTGCTACAAGATCAAGCTTCTCTATGGTGCAGAGAAACTATGTAATAGCTGGGTGTGTGCTACAGGAGTATGTGGTTTAACTGAGTGTTTACCTGATTGTGGAGGCTCTCAGGCTGTCGCCCACTTGCAGCAGGTTGTAGGTATGCCACATATCCTCTGCCTCCTCTGGCATCAGAGTCACCTGACTGAAGATAATCATAACATTAACAAAAACAGTCTCTGCTCATATATCTCTTAGCTCTGTAAGCCGTCTGTTTTCCTTTCAAATTTCACCAGGGATTATTCACAACACAAAACTCCCTGCGTCAATTGCGAAAACAGGGTGGATGCAAATCACAAATGGACATTCACTACGACTGAGTTGACACATGTACAGTCAGCTGCTAAATAGCATGCTGATTAGCTCGCTAGCGTGCTAACAGTCACTCACCCGGCATTATCTTTTTCAATATCTTTGTGGAGTAACTTCATGGTTGAATGGTTGTATAATAAAACAGAAGGAATACTGTCTTAAATTAGATTATTTAACGACATCCGAATGGCACTCATGTTGAATTTTTAGTGAATTAGCAGACTAGCTAAGCCATCTCTCAAACTTCAGAATGAATCACACTAGGTGCGGGTTGCCAGGCGCCGGGACATTGCGTCATTCCGAAATGCGTCGTCGATTCTTCCCACCGCGGTCACTTCCGTGGGTGTCGCTGCGCTGCGCAACGAATTAAGAGCAGTAGAAATGCAACAAGTTGCGCAGACTAGCGTAAAAACACTTAAGCGTGCGTTGTTTGGTGAATTATTCAGTTTGGTGTGAGATAAAACTTCGGATAGAAAAGAAAATCAAGATTCTTTCACAGAGTGGTTTGTGATGTGTAAATGCTGACCGACAGTGAAAAGAACCAATCCGCAAGAGCATATCCCCTCAGAAGCCCCGCCTATTTAAGAAATGGACCAATAGGAGCTCTTCCGTTCGAGCTCGCTTTGAGCTGAAGCTCCTCGAGCCTTTTTTTGTCGATGGCATGGTGCTAGCTGCTACGGTAGATTTACGGTTGTCACGAGAAAATACAACTAAGTTATGCCGAATTAAGAAACCGTATCCAAATTGCTTACCGAGTTAGTTTTTAACGTATATGACAGCCATCGCATCTTCAACAAGTCAGCAACGAGCCTCATTTTCTGAGGTGTCCATTTCTGCCCCCAAGGTTAGCTAGCTTAGCGGGCTAACGGTAGCCGATTAACGCTAAACTAGTCGAGCTAACGGTCACTCGGCTCGAGCTCATATTTTTGAATTCACAGGGATTAATAGGGAACCAAACTGAATAGAGAGGAATAGCATGGCAGAAGCCGACAAGCTGAACATCGACTCCATCATACAGCGTCTGCTGGAAGGTAAGGCTCGATATTTATTCACCGGGGGGAGCCATTTTAGCCGAGAGAGGCTAGACGACGACGGCTACCTGAGCGCTGCTAGATACCATTGAAGCCCCACAATCTGGTTTAGAAACGCTGTTAGCCGCCACTATTGTTTGGATAGTAGCCTCTGTTTTACTGCAAAGTTCCATCTGAAACACATTTCTGCGTTTGATAATTTTTCAACCATTTAAATACAAATCTGAGTTCACGTAAACATTAGTCATTTTGAGAAATTACGTCGTTCAGTTGGAAGGATCATTTTAAAAGGGGTCAGATTTAACGATCTGAACCACATATAGTATTGATCTTGTTTTTTGTAACCAAAATGGGGTTTCTGTAGTTTCTCAAGCTATGATGTGAATGCGATTTTGGCGGTCATTTAATTTGGCTAAACTATAGATAAAACTGTAACGCGGTAGAAGTAATATACTTTGTAAACCTGTGTTTTTAAAGATGATTAATACATACCAAGTGTTTTCCAAGAAGTAAACTCATAACCGATAAAGATGGGGAACAAATATGTGGAGTAGATAGAAAAGCAGAATTGATTACCACAGTAAAATAATCAGCAGTTCACTACAATAATAGAAGTAATAATCATACAGGTAAAGTGCTAAAACAGCAAAGCATCTGAGCACCTTAAATTGTTTGTTTATTTATTATTCCATCTATCTGTATTCATTTTATATATTTAGTGTACATATTGTACATACTTCTTGTATTTAATTTTATTATGTGTTTTTATTGCTGCTGTTACATGGCAATTTCCCAGTTTGAGATTATCTATCTATCTATCTATCTATCTAAAGGGGAAATAAAAGTAGGAAGGCTATGAAAGCATGCAGCCATTAAAAGCAGAAAAGCAATCATTTTGTCCAACCATGAGACACTGGGTGGGTAGCATGAGATGTCCTTCTGCAAAATATGTGGTTAGAAGCTCACAGAGCAAACATTGTGCTGATACTTAGATAGGAAAAATATGAGATGTGCAATTAATTCTGTTTTTTATCACCATGTGATGTATCTATTTACATGCATAGGGTTGCAAAAATAGAGTTGTTAAGAAGTTTTCACTGACCCAGTAACCAAGAATTATGCCGTAACTTGACCTTTTAGCATTTCTTTTTACAAGTAGACAGTTAAAAGATTTATAGCCCTGTTTTTACAATGGGAGACCACGAGGCTGGAAGATTTGAGCACAGAAAATGAGAATTCTGTTCTGCACATTTTACCTTACTATACAAAAAGCGATTGTTATAATTTCAGTGTAAACTCAAGTGCACAATTTTGAATGGTGTTGCTCTGTCGTTCAACTCAATAGCATGGGCTTAAAAGGTAAACACTGCTGTTAAATGTCCCCTGTTTCCACTGTGCTGTTTATCACTGTTGCTTCACTCTCCCCTCACAGTAAAAGGCTCCAGACCGGGTAAAAATGTTCAGCTGACAGAGAATGAAATCCGTGGCCTCTGCCTCAAATCCCGAGAGATCTTCCTCAGCCAGCCAATCCTGCTCGAACTTGAGGCGCCCCTCAAGATTTGTGGTGAGGCTTAGTTGTGTTCTTTAGAGTCGAGGGAATTTGCATGTGAGGTCACACAGCATTTACCAACACTCTTAGACTGCTATCTTAGCTGTTTATGCTATTATGAAGATACTTATGTTGACAATCTGCTTTAACTCCTCATTACTAGATTCCAAACTACAGGTAATGTTTTGTTTGTAAAGCAGTCTTAGTCAAAGGAAACAGTGCTTAAATCCAGAGGACAGTACAGTGCGTGGCTGTGACCTTGCCACATAATTACACAGCTATATGAATACACTGATAAGATGGGCTCTCCGCTGCAGCGCTGGTGCGCTCTTCAAATCTCCCTGGAGTCGTCATCCGGGGTCATTCTGTTGATGCCATTGAAAGAGAACTGCAGCAGTGAAGGACCAGCCTGCATATTTCAAGAACATACTATGTTGACTCTGCAGCTAAAACCAGCAGTGTCCTCACACTACACACACACACGCGCTTGCCCATTCACCCCTTTGTCTCAGTTGCAAGAACAAGTGGAGCAAAGCCGTCCTAACATTGTTTATTTATAGACATATTTGACCGATCGTGGTATGAAATGCTGTTTGTTTGCAGGCGCCAAGTGTTGTTGTACCTCTATGCAAGTCACACTCCTTTTTGTTGTGCACATACACACTACATCATAATCACACTTACAACTAACACACTGCACATTTCACCAGGTGATGTTCATGGGCAATACTATGATCTGCTGAGGCTGTTTGAGTATGGGGGGTTCCCACCAGAGAGCAACTATCTGTTCCTGGGAGACTACGTCGACAGAGGCAAGCAGTCCCTGGAAACCATCTGCTTGTTGCTGGCTTACAAGATCAAATACCCCGAAAACTTCTTTCTGCTGAGAGGAAACCACGAATGCGCCTCAATTAACAGAATATATGGCTTCTACGATGAGTGTAAGTCACACGGCAAGCATGCAGATACACACATAAATGTCAACATTATCAGCTGTATGTTAAAATTGTGTGCACAAGCATCTTAGGGTTAGGGTCGTATGAATACGCTAGTGCAGTAGTTTTCATTCGGATATGTAGAAAGTGGTGGAAAATAAACAGATTTGTTTGTTAACAAGCACTATTGCTAATAGTCATCAAATGTGCTTTATTCGCTTTTATTTAATGATGACAAATGAACTGCTCAACTCCCCAGTCGAATCATCTATTCTGCAAAGTCACTGGCTGAAGTTTACTGGCACTACTCCTTTGTAGTGTCATATGATCATGTTACAGATTTGTGGAGATGGTCTTCATTTTCCAACAAAAATGGTGACATTGTATTTTAGTGACTACCAAAACAACTGTCAGAAAGAGTTGCTCTTTAAACCTAATGGGAAAGTTGGCCTATAAGTAGTAACAAAAGGCCACAACACAGATAACCTCCTACAGCATGCTCGGAGCTAAAGAGCATGATCAGGCAGCAGTGATTAATCACATGCCGTTCTGTGCTATTCACAGAGTCAGGATTATGTAAAATGTTTCAAATATGATGCAAAGGGTGCAGCTGCAAGGACTTAATTGGTCTCAAGATAAGATTGCGACTAAGTATCTGCTTGTTTGCTCCAACAGGTAAGAGGCGATACAACATTAAGCTGTGGAAGACCTTCACCGACTGCTTTAACTGTTTGCCTGTTGCAGCCATTGTTGATGAGAAGATCTTCTGTTGCCATGGAGGTATCCTCATCAAACAGTTCATTTGGCTTCCATCCAACTGCACACACACACGCAAACACAAATACACAAACTCGTCCCTGCACTGTTGGTACTGTCAACATGGTGGTCAAAGACCTGCAGGACTGTGCCGAAGCTTGATTTCTTGTTGGACCTTATGTTTACATTCTTGGCCTGTTCAGCAACCTTGTTAGAATTCTAAATGCTTTATTGCTGACAAGTAGTAATACAGTAATGTTTTTTATTTATTTTTTACCAGTTTTCCAGTAAGTGTACGGCCAAAAGGAGAAAATAAAATAGATTCCAATCCTTTAGGCAGTGTGACACAGACAGCTATGTCTATGAAACCCACAACACAAATCATGTTATCAGGCGCTTATACCTGAAGGCGAAAACAACCTCACTGTTAATAGCACAAATTATATAAGACAGAAAACACTGAAAGGACATTGTGTCATTTTTAGAGTTTTTCACCCCCCTTGTTCAAAACATTGATATAATCAGAGTTTATGTCAGCGAGTACCTAGTAACCGTCTGCTAGTGTCACCTCGAGTCCTTCAGTGGATAAAGAGTGTGGTGAAATAAAATGCTAAACGTAAATGACCACATGGGCCTGAATTAAAGATGTTTTTCCCCTTTTAAAATACATGTGAAATAGTCATCAGACGGGTTCTCGGCTTTTAAGTGCCAACATATACACTCAGCCCTGTTTTGGAATGCTTGATAGTTGGTATGTTGGAAAAACGGCAAGACATTGGATGCTGCCAGACAGTCAAATTTGCTCAACAAACAAGTTTTAACTATGAAACCAAGGCACATTGCCAAACCTCAGCTTCTGTCTGAGAAAGGGTGTTAGAGAAGTGATGGCATACTGACAAATGGAGGATGACGGAGGACGATTAACAATCAACTGGTAGTGTGATGTGCACGGATCTACTGGAAACAGGCATAGCATTGATCAGCATTACAGTTTTTCCCACAAGTTAATCCAGATGAAGTCTGGAGAAATTACACTTTACTCAGTGAGGAGAGGAATGAGGAAAACTCTCGTTCCTCAGCTAGCTTTATAAATTGGAAAGAAATTAAAACAACAATAAAAACCAACGTCCTCTTTACTGTCACTGTTACAGTATGACATACAGTGTCTACCCCAGGACGGGACTTTGTGGCAGTATGTGATTTTTGGGCGGTTGGGGGCTGTATGTTGAGTGACTCAGAGAGTGTCGGGTGGGGGTGGGGGGTTATTGATCGCCTACGATAACTTACTCAGTGCGCATGCACTCTGCAGTGCTGCGCCTGTGTGCGCCGTATATACTGATAAATATGAGTCTAAGGTAGCGCCATGTAAAAAAAAAAAAACAGTTTTAAGCTGTGGCGGCTTTTATTAAGCTGTGGCGGTGCACCACGATCAACTGCATGTAGAGGAGACCCTAACATGCATTACAACAATAAATAAAACAAAGCTTTATAGCCCTACATGCCTGGAAACACTGGTAAACTATTATCTATACATGAGCCACTCAATGTGCAGCAAGTTGGCATTGTATCATCTGCTAGTGATTGATTTAAATGACGAAGTAAAATAGAAATTTCAAATTTAAACTTAATTTGATGGATCATAGCTCTAGTGTTTGTGTTTTACTGCAGGGAAATGTCAGTAATTAGGTGTATGGCTGTTTTCAGCTTGTTTTTCTGAAAGGCCAGAATACTTGAAGTTTACTAGCTAAATTGGCTGACAAAAAGCTTACCCTAAACTTTGACTGTGATATTGTTAATATTGATGCAACACTTCATACCCCTTTGATTAGGATTGATCCTTGCTGTGCATTATTTTGACAGTACTGATTGATAAAAGTGAAAAAAAGCATCCAAAGCCTCTTGAAAACAATATTACAGATCATAAATCAATATTTTTTCTGCTAACAAATAACTGTACATGACTTTACAGGCCTATCCCCCGACCTCCAGTCTATGGAGCAGGTGCGAAGGGTCATGCGCCCCACAGACGTGCCTGACCAAGGCCTCCTCTGCGACCTGCTGTGGGCCGACCCAGACAAAGATGTGCTGGGCTGGGGCGAGAACGACCGCGGTGTGTCCTTCACTTTTGGTGCTGACGTGGTCACAAAGTTCCTACACAAACACGACATGGACCTCATTTGTCGGGCCCATCAGGTCAGTGTACAACCCTGATTGTTAGGTGAGAGATGTGTGAGCAGCAGGGAGGAGAAGCAGAAGAGAGAATCAGAACAGGCAGATAAGTTAACACAAGTGCTAGCCTTTTTTCTCACTTCTAACTCATCATTTTCAGGGGTTTTTCATTTGGTTTTTGTTTGTGTTCGATTATTCTGTATCTGTCTTTCTTTTCAAAAGCTCCTCTTATATTTGTTACAAGGTTAGCAAACAGGCTTGTCAAGCTTTACAGATTATTTGAAGGAAAGCGAAGACGAACAGTTGATTTTTATGGCTAGCCCCTGACTTCTTCAGCACGGTGGGATTTCAGCTCAGTTTTGCTGGTTACTAGGTAGGCAGACAAAGTGCTAGATATGTCTTAAAGTTGGATTTTAAAACACTGTTTTCATACAATCATTCTTACATCCGCACTCCTTACAGTTTGTTAACCTGTGAACTGTTTCCAGGTGGTGGAGGATGGATATGAGTTCTTTGCAAAGAGGCAGCTGGTGACGCTGTTCTCTGCCCCAAACTACTGCGGCGAGTTTGACAACGCTGGAGCCATGATGAGTGTAGACGAGACTCTCATGTGCTCATTCCAGGTAAGAAAAACCCGACCTCTCCGAAAATTCACTCTAATAATGCTGACTCTACATATTCAAAACATTTGAAAGAGGGAAAAAAAGCTTTCTAGTAGCTATTCAATGTGAATATCAGTATGAAACCGCAACACAAAGTTTCATTGAGGAAATAATCTGTGAAAAGAAACGAGAATGGATTGTCGGGATAACAGCGATCAGGAGACAGCATCAGTGACGCTCAGATTGGTGGAAGCATGTTGTGTCGAGCTCTCTTGCTTTAGGAGAGAGAAAAAGGAATGGGAGTAGCTTGAGGTTAAGGATGATAGGGTTGGTTAAGCAGTTAAATTGTTCCGACGTTTGCACTTTTGGTCCCGCCGTCCAGAGGAGGGTGCAAATTGATCCAGATCTAATCATGTAGCACTTCTTCTGAAACCAAATCCTCTTTGAACCACAGCAGCCGCTTCAACCGTTAAGTATATTATTGCTGTGAACAACAAAGATGGTAGTTTCACGGCAGGGCCTGATTAACAATGCAGGGTTCCTACACAAGAATGGAAATAAATTTGATCAATTTCCAAAAAAGTATTGAAACATATTTATGTTTTTAGACTCTAACCATAGTTCTAAAATAATGTTTTCTAAAACAGAAAAAGAGGTATTTCCAATAATAATTCCAAAAAGTAGGGTATGGAAAAGTATTGAAATCCAAACTGTTTAGGAACCCTGATAATAGCATCGCACCAGTGCATTTATTTCATATGGTTTCAGAGGAGATTTTTATTTTGTATTTGAACAGCTCTTAAAAAAGTCCTGCTAATGCATTTATTTTGTCTTCTTTTGACAGATTCTCAAGCCTGCAGACAAGAAGCTGTTTTATGGTGGCGGGGGCATGGGCTCAGGCCGCCCAGTCACTCCCCCAAGGAAAGCTAAGAAATGACACCCGTAGTTCGCCCTCAACCTCCAACCCATCCCTCCTCCTGCCCTCTCTACCTCTCTTCTCCTTTCTTTCACCAAACAGCCAGAAATCAAACCTATACCCAGGGCTTTTTCCTTTTTTATCTGTACTTCTTAAAACATTTAATGTTACGAATTGTCCGAGTGAGTGCGTGGATGTGTGTGTGCGTGCGTGCGTGTGCGGCGCAGATGACAAATGCATCTCATCTGCAGGTGAGCATTCAGATCATGTGTGCACGTGTATATTTTGTGTGAGAGTATTAGAGATTTATACTTTTCCCCTCTCTCTTACCACTCTTCCCGTGGAAAGGTTGAAACCACAGTGTCTGTCTGTACAGTAATTTTGACTGAAAAGCATGGGGTGGGAGACAGTGGGAGATGCTGTAATGATGAATTTAGCAGCAAAGCCCTGCCAGCAGGTGATGCGTGTGTACTTGTGGAGGGGGGAAGTATTTTGTTTTCCCTGTCCTCTGTACTGTAAAATCTCAAACACAGGTGTGTGAGTGTGTATGTGTGTATGCGCTCGTAGTGTTATGCCTGTCTGAGCGTGGCGCCTTGTATCCTTGAAACGGGGAGGAGCTCGTCACCTTAAATGACCAGAGCAAGCACTTGCTCATCCACACACACACACTCACACACGCGTATGACTCTTCAGATTCATATGAGCCAGAACTGTAAAAACCCCATACAGTTTAGGTTTGTACAGATTTGATTACTTGAAAGAGATTTTTTGTGAATTCGTTTTGTAGTCTTTCATCAAGTTGACCAATAAAGCAAGAATCTGAGCTCCAATGTGTCCTGGCCATTTTTCACTGCCATCCTGTTGTTGTTATCAAACTGTATCATTGAGGAGTAGAGGGATGAAACTGTGTTTTTCTTAAAGATTTCCTGTCAGAAAGTGTTTCCTTTTCCTAGTGGTTGATCTGCTGTTTGTTAGATAATTGTTGGAGTACACCTAGAAATGGCATGTGCATACTTGACAGTTTACTTTGGGCTCTTATTCCTCAAAAATACTTTTTAGTTTAAGTTGAACTGATTCAAATCAACTGATGTACTCTCACATTTGTATTTAATATACATCTGCAGTTATTTTATACAAATGTGAAGTTAACTGAGATGTGTTTCAGCCATCTCCACTGGGCGGCGCTGTTGGGCTTTTGATTCCTGTTGTCAAAGGAGCCATGTACAGTAAACCTGAGATGAAAAAAAAGTGTAAGAACTTAAAGTTTAAAAAAAAAATGCATTGCCTCGCACTTACCAAGCTAAAAGTTAACATTGCAGAAAAAAACTTAAACTAAGCCTTTCACACTGCTTCTGTTTTTCACCTGAGCAGTAATAATAACTTTATTTTTAAAAATTATTTCACTACAAATTGGGAGTGATCAAACATTTAATATAAAGAAGGGTAACTGTCATTTGAAGTTGCGGCAAAGCTATGTTAAAACTCTGAAACTCCTTTTTTACATTCCTCTGTCTATATTTAACAGATGAGGATCCAGTTTCTTTCTTAGGCATTTCTCTGGCTCTTGTGCATTCATTCGTCTTCCTGTCATCAACGCACGTCTACAAGATGCTCAGTCCATCATTGCGGTCCTAATAAGACCACTGAGTTAATGGGTGAAAGGTACAGATAAGGACAGTAGGTTAGGATTTTGAATGGTACATTTAAAAAAAAAAAAAGAAAGAAATGAATCACCTATTTTTCCCCAAGAGTTGTACATGAGACATTTTGTCAATTGGTTTCTCTGCATTTCTTCAGGATGCCTCTTTTGTAGATTTGAACACCTAAAAGTCACTCTTGGTCACCCCACTGTGCCACTGACTGAGGCCTCAGAGTCTCACTGTGGTTCTTCTGTTGGATTACATTTTGATTTTTGTTCAGTGAGTCCTTGAGATCCACGTGTGATTTCCTGCATTCAGTATCATAAGTTGAAGTTCTCTCATGGATTTTGGGGTCAAGTCCACTTTTTATGGGTGCGTCATGCCCCTCAGTGATAGCACACATCCTAAGAATAGTGTCTTGGTTAGATAACTGTACTTGAAATAGACAAGACACTGAAGATGTAGTAGAAGTTCATCTTTCAGATGATACCAAATACTGTACATACTGGTTCATGCAGCTATGCTTCCCTGAAATACTAGGCTGCTGATTTTATGACTGCTATTATGAAACTCCAGAAGGATTTTGTTCATGTGCAGACTTTCAAAAAGGAAACTATCGATTGTGTGCTGCCAGCAGTAACTAAGATCTTCAACAGTGCAACATTATACTGTGTTTGTGATGTCATTTCTGAAATCTAACCCAATTAATGGATGACACTGCGCCAGTATGTGTACTATGGGACTGACAGTCTGATCTATGGTGTTTCAGGGTTTAATAAGTTCATCAGAGGTTAAACAGAGGTGCTCTCAAGTAAAAAACATTTTTACTATTTAAAAGCGTAGATTAAAACCAAATTTAATTTGTCTATAGAAGAAGTTATTAAATGAGGAAGTATTAAACAAAAGAGTTGAATACACGGCTCTACTGTGACATAATAACACTTAATTTGCAATTTAATTAAATGTGTAACACTACGCCATTGTTAAGCTTTCAGGTCTGTCAACATCATTAGACCCACAGTGGTTCGCTGTTTACATCTTTCACTCTGCAAAATGTGAATTCAGATCATAACCTTGCTCACAGCCTGTTGACTGATTTCTCTGCTCAAAATGTGTGCCTTTGTATAAACCCATTTTCTGCGCCATTACTATTCAACACTACCCCTCAGTAACAAACCCAGGTATAATATAATCCTAAAAACTCTGAGGCTGAATAGGAATATTAGCAATGTCAGGGGAACCACATTGAATCTCATCTCTGTTGCAAGTGTTCAGCAGCTTGTTATCCAGGACAAATTTCTCACAAGCAAACTCGGCAAAACATCAGCTGATATAGAGTCCCATCCAGCTGGTAAATTTGAGAGCTTGTGATTTGCAAACTTACTCAGCTTACGTTATGAAGCAACCAGTGCCAGATTCATGCTCTTTGGCTCAGTAAAGCCTGCACGCATGCTAGCTAATGTTATTGCTGGAATAATATTGTCTATATGAATATGTGAGAGTGACAACACGCCGCCTCACCTGCTAATGTGCCAGGGATGCTTGTTTGCGTGTTTTGAATGCTAGCACAAGCAACAGAGTTCAGGATGCAGTTCACTTAACAGCCATAGATGTAAGTATTTATTATTTAAAGAAAAGAAAAGGATTTATTCATGGCAAATGGAGACAAAAGTAGGGATTAGTTAATACTGCCAAGGCCTGTTTTATACACTGAATCAAACAGCTGTGAATCTCATCTGAAGTGACCTTAGCCAGTAAATCCTGTTTGTTTCTTCGGACCTTAAGTTTCCCAATAAAACTTCTCAGCCAGTAACTTAAGAACACCTGCCTCTAAAAAACGCAGAACAGGTCATGCAAATGACACCCCATCAGTAAAATGAAAGCCACTTTTGATCAACAGGCTCACTTTCCTGACAGCTCCCTCAAGGCTTATATAGTATAGCCCTAAGTGTGAGGAATGGTGTGAACAACCTGGAACTCTTGGTCCCAGTGTGCCACATGGATACTAATGACACAGTGCAGTCCAATGTGCACTTAAGCATCCCATCTTTCTTTTTTTTCTCCTCAAAGCGAGACTTACAAGCCTAAATTAAAAGGTCTAGCATTCTGAAATGAAAAAGCCGCAAAGCTGTGGTGGTGCCATGCCAAGCAGCGAAGTGTCACCTGCTCTATTTATATCTCATGAGGAATTCTGGATTCAGAGACTCAGCTGCCACTTCTATTATTACTATTAGCTAATGCTGTAACAAGTACCCTGCTAACTCAGATGCTATAGCTTCTTCATCCAGTTTCTCATTGCCCGGAACTAATTATGTACTCGCTGTCAATACAGCACATGTCCTGAGCTATTTAATTTCAACAATGCTTTGGAAGGCTTATTCATATTTCAGTGATGCTATTATAGTCTCATCACTTATTATATGAAATCAAGTCTTTCTCCAATGGAGAAATGTTTTTGTCTTCCAGCTTTCCATTCAAGTGAATACAGTCATATGAACTTTCCAACATACAGACTATCAGTGATAGGAGGACCAGGGTAACTCGCTATGTTACTTATCCCAAAATATTCCAGCAAGATACAATAGAATACAATACCAATGTGATATGACACCTGCTACAATATCAGATAAGATACAGTATGAAACAATACTCTTGGTCCATTATGATACAATCGGACATGTTACGATCGGTCCATTATGATACGTTACAATACAATACCAAAAGACAAGCTGCAGTATAATACGTTAATCGGTAACAGATTAGCAAGGATACAAGGATAATGGACATTAGGATCGGTCCATTACGATATTATACGATACAGTACAATATAATACGATACGATACCAAAAGACAAGCTACAGTGTAATACGGTACAATACGTTAATCGATATCCGATTGGCAAAGATAATGGACATTACAATCAGTCCATTATGATGCGATACAATACGACACGTTACGATGCGATGCAATACGATACAATACGATACCAAAAGACAAGCTACAGTATAATACGGTACAATACGATAATTAATATCAAATTGGCAAAGATACAATACAATGCCGTGCCAGACAGGGTAGCATCTAATAGGATTCAGTACAATATGATATGGTATGAAAACTATACTTTTCAAAATTGTGTAGTCTACATGATACCATTAAATTTGATTTGAGTCAATACCGTACCCAATACCTGATACACTATTACCTTTAATATGGCAGAGGAAATTGTACAATAACTGTGAGACTGCAAGACAATCCAATACTCATGCATTACAATGTCAGATTAAGTGAAGAATACAAATGCCTTCAAAAATTCAAGTGTGGGATTAATGTCATTAGTGCCACTCAAGCATAACTTTTCAGGTTATTTCATTGAAACGCAAATTTGTTCACCTGAACCATAAATTCAAAATAAAGACACATTTTAATTTTAAATGTATTTGACAATATTTTACACAATCATTTAGGTGCTCATCATGAACATAGTTAAAGATGTTTAAAAGACACCCAGAAAAGACTGAGTCTTACTCAGCATTACAGTCTGCTGGGTCAACTAAGCACAAGGGTCACATTGCTCCACTTCACTAAAATAAGTCAAAGTGGCCTTGATGAGACCAGGTAAAAAAAAAATTGTATTTGTGGACAAGAGTTACTCCACATTATTATACCTCCACACTCTGAAGGAACTGAACACCAAGACTGCAAGACACGTGCAGAATTTGTGTTTATGACAATAACCTCTTTTAGGAGATGTGTCGGTCTACCCTGGCTCCATGTCTTTAAGTGACAAATGTCTCCTTGTCCCTCTCACTTTGCTTGTGCCGTGCAAGTCAGCAGAGACAGACTTAGTTGCATAAGATAGCCGTGCGTACAGCTGCACCCCTACGGTACTTAACACTTGTACAGAACTGGGAACACGGATAGAGTTCACAAAAAGAGGAGGGAGGGCTCAGTGGGTTGCGGCGGCACATGGTGATCCCTCAGACTGGCATGAAGGCGTGGCATGTTAGCGCCGTTGAGGGAGCTGAAAGCGATGGGTGTCCCAGCTTGCAGGGGTTTACGCTGTAGTAAGTCCCCTGCACCCACAAGCTACTGACACTTAAGTGATAGACCGAAGCGGAAGATAGAGGGGAGGGAGAAACCTTATACTTCTGGGATATTGAGTTAAATGTCACAGCTCTGCCCTGAGGGAGACACTGACAGGCTGACCCCTATCACAGCCCCCAAATCTCAGAGGTCAGAACGGCTGCACAACAGCTGAGACCTGAGAACAGCAGGGTGAAACAGAGACGGGGACACTGGCGGGACAGAAAAAGTATAAAAGTTTCAGCGAAATGCCTGAAAACAAAAAAAGAAAAGGTGTGAAATATAAAACTAGTGCTGCATGTTTGTCCATTTACATTTGACTTACTCTCCAACCATTTAGAGTGAAGGGATAATCGGAAGAAAAATTCAATTTTTACAGTAACCCTTATTTCAAAATTGTTCACATATCAACAATGTAGAGACACACTTTTATGCACTTCGCATCCTGTTTTCTTAAAATAAAGTATGTTTAAGTTTTGACTTAATGGCATTTTAAGAGCTTGTAGAGTATTTGAAGTTTATAAATATTACACAAAGCCCCTCTCTTCTATTGTGGAGGGCTCGCTGCACCTTTGGGAAAGAATTTGCCCCTCAGCTGCAGGCCACAGGGCCAGGTCATTTGGCCACCAGCAGCTGATTGGAAACTTAAAAGCTGCTACAAAAACACTTCCTATTTTAGAAATTCTCTGTGAATGAGCAGCAGAGAGCATATATGTACATACTAAGAGCTACTGTAAATAACTCTGTAAATACTCTCATTCATGACATGTAGAAAAACAATCCCAAAGTTTGTATAAAAGTACATTTTACTGTAATTATAATATTTATTAATGTGACGTTTAACAGTTTTGGGACACACCAACACATAAAATGTCCACTAGAGATGTAAGCCTGATAACCGTTCTCAACCTCAAAGCTATGGAAACTAAAACTTTTTTTTGTGTGTGATTTAAATATTAAAATATTTACAGGGTTGGAATAGCATTCACCACATTATTTTGTAGTGAGAAGTAGCACAGGGCGCATTGTGGTCGTTTGCGTCATGATGTGAGCAGTTGAGGTTATGCAAATCATAGTCAGTCGTGAAAATCTTCACCTGATCTAAAGTATATATAGTTCAGAGTTAAATAGAAGTTCCTTTGAGGAACTTTTTGGAACCTCTTCTGATTAAGGTAAACAAATCTGTCTCTCTCCTCATTTTTTCTTTTAAATATTAGTCTTGATTCACAACAAAAAATGTCATTTTTGTTTTAAGTATTTTGAAATGCCATGATTTATTTTTTAAAGGCCGTTTTACAGCATACTGTAAATCTCCAATCTCAGTCGTCTCTCTGATAGCCTCTGTTGCTTCTGGAGGTTATCAGTTTTGTTTGACTTAGTTCTTGACCTGATAAAACCTCTTTGCAGAAGCTTTAAACACAAAATTGAATATCAGCGAAAGTGACTGTCAGCCATAAACATTAATAGAATAATAAAGAAAAAAAATTCAAAACCTCAAGTATTTTAATGTTAGCTCTATTTTTATGATTTTATTTTATTGTGATCTGTTGCTCATATGTGGGTTATCTACATAGATAATCAAATACAAGGAAAAACACAGAATTGTTTCTGTCTGCGCAGTTTTTGACCTGGTTTTATGAATTTTCAGACTTCTTGGGTTTACTTTGCAGATCAAACTTTCAGTAACAATGGCATAGTTTATCTTATGTTATATATTATTATTGACATCAGCTGCCATGGATTGTTAAATTAAGTCTAATCCGAATACAATATAATACAGTAAAACCAAAAACCAATATGATTCTCCTCATGACTCAGTTAGTTGGTACTGACGGTAAGTACATTTTTTTGAGCACTTTGTTCTAAATATAAACTTTTGACTACACAACGTCTGATGCAATATCTAACTTTCGAGTAGTGCTGAGTTCACACAGAAAACAAACCACCACACTGTGACATTGCTCAACAGCAAAGTGCAGCGGTGAATAGATTGCAGCAACAGTTAGTCCTGAGCTGTCAAACCTGGTGATCAGCGACCACTGCTGCTCCTTCAGGGACACCTGTCAGCTTATTGATAAGCAACAGCAACTTGAATTCCTGTTTGAAAAGGGCTGTGCACCTCCCAGCAGCCTGTTTACTGCTGTTCAAACAAACTGTAAATCAACACAGCTTGCCCAATAGTGACTTGGATTTTTAAGGTAGAATTTACACTTTAAATGTTAAAGTCTCTACTCGCCTGAAGACGCTTTCAGGAAAGTGAGAAACCTTCAGTGAACAAACAGATGAAAAAAAATGCTCACAATTATTAACCCAAAAGTTGAAAAGAAACACGTTGTTATATTTATTTTTGTGGCCGGTAATTCACTACTCTCAATTCACCACAAGAGGACATTGCGCATCACTAAAAAGCCATTTACAGCCGGATCATCTTTTGTGCATCTACTTAAGCCGTGCCATATCTCCCTGCTGCTTTCCCTTCCTCGTAAATAAAACGAGAAATAAAACTTGATCCTCATCTATCTGCAGCAGGGCTTCTCCTCTGCTGTGGGGTAGTGTGACAAGCCGGCTGGGCCTTTTGGCATTCCTGTCCAACCATGATTATTCCTCCTCTAGACTATCGATTTCTCTATTCTTTCATCCTCCCAATGTGGTTAAGAGTTGATTTATCATGTCTTCTTGCCATCTGTACATACATGTTGTTATCGGCTCAGCAGTGCACATGTTGGCGACATTAAATGATATCTGCTGCTCAGGATTGTGGCTTCAGTTTTGAGAAGTTTGTACCTTCTCAAAAATGCTAATGCTCATTCTTGTTCTGAGTTTATCCTCCACCAAGTCTCTTCTTCAGACCATTGCTCTTCTCTTTCTGGCTCAGTCACCTTCCTCAGCAGAAACCAGTTGAGCCGTCACTCAATGCAACCCCCCTCCCTTCTCCCCTCTGGATGATCTCCTGTCTCACTCTCTCACCTTCTCCCTTCGTCTTATTCCACTGACCATGCATGTTCCAAAAACAGATCTCATTTTCATCCATGGTACAACCCCCCGCGCCCACACTGCACCCCCCACTCTCCTGCATTACCTCTTTTCCAAATTCAATCCCCATCCCCAGTTCCTGTCCAAGTCCACCATCTCACCTCCCCATTGCTCCACCTCGAACCCCACCCGTAGCCCCCCCAAGTCCCCCACACCCCCCCTTAAACGCCATATCCTCCCATGCTGGAATTTGTGGGCGTGTATCAGTGGGGTGTCCACCAATCCTGACCCATTTGGTGGTATAAAACCTTGAGCGTGTGTGCGCCTATTTGCTCTTTCTGTCAGTCCAGCACTCCTAAATTGGAGGGTGCCACACTTCATAGGTGAGGGTGGTGGAATAAGGGTAAAAAACTGCAGTGAACAACAAGAAGTCAAAAGAGCGTGGATAGGAACGGTTAGACAGGAAATCCCTTGTCTATCCAGAAAGGATGGAGAACGCACACACAAAGACCCCGCCAGAATGTCTGGCTTTCTTCGGGGTGAACGAGGTTTCTGGTCTCACCCCAGACCAGTTCAAGAAGAACCTGGACAAGTACGGCTTCAATGGTGAGAGAATGGGCATCATGGGATGGGGAGGGAGGCCTGCTGACTGAAGAGGCTCATGAAGTATTTGTTTGATCCAAGGCCACATTGAGAAACATCTCAGTGTACTGATAAAGAAAGATCTTGAGCTTTGCACTCAAAATATTCCAACAAGTAGAGAGAGCACAGATTCTCAGATTGTTTCCCTGAGTGGACATACTCTGTGTATGGCTGGGTTGAGGGATGCTTTTTTAGAGAAGAGTTGCAACAGCTGGTAGAAATGCAGAGAGACATTGAGAAGCAGAGACTTTGAGGGCTTTGAAGAGCTATTTAAAGACAGCCAAAGAAGATGGCTGGAGAGCGAGAGAGACAGGTGATGGCTCAAGAAGCTTCCTGGGTGATATTTGGGGCGGGCGTTAACAGAAGGGGATGGATAATTTTAGGCCGGGTAAAAAGGGGGAGGTCCTTAGAAGGCTTATGGCTAAATGATCTGTAATATGATTGCTAATCAATAACCAATGGAATGGTTGAGTAGATGACAAATCTTCTCAAGGGTGGTGTGAAGTTTAATAGCAGCAGTTATCTTGTTTTGTCAAGTGATGTTTCTGTTGCATCAGAATCTTGCACTAGGGTGTCATTTGGCATTGGTTAGAAGTCAAAGGAAGTGGATTTAGAGCAAGACAAGTGAAAAAATAAAAAAAATCATAGTTCTTGAGTTCACATTGACAATCTTTTTACAAAGAAGTACAAGTTTTCTTCAAAAGATTTGTTGAAAATGTTTCTTAATATACACCTTTTCTTTACTGCTATCATTCACTGTCACTAACCAATCTTTTCCCCATGTGTCTGTTTCCCTTCGCTTTCATCCCTCTCTACCTCTGTGACCGACTTCAGAGCTGCCCGCTGAGGAGGGTGAGTGTTTGTCCAGCCACATTCACAAAAAAACATCTAAGGAGAAACTCCCAGACACCTCTGTAGCATTTTGGTTGTGTGATACCCACATGGTGATGATGGCAGACTCTGGCCACGTAGTTGAACTGTCAAGTGTTGCGACACACACCACCAGAACACGCTCTCATTTTGAACAGTGATGCAAATTTCATAGTCATGGTTAATGATGTCATGATAATCATGTTGTTTTCTTCTTTTGTGTCACTCAGGTAAGAGCATCTGGGAGCTGATTGCTGAGCAGTTTGAGGATCTGCTTGTCAGGATTCTGCTGCTGGCTGCCTGCATCTCTTTTGTAAGTTTAGGCATCAAAGTTCTCAAGAACTGTGCCACTCATTGTAGACTTTGTATTTATTGGCACAATCGTCTCAAACTCAAGTCATAGAAATTGGATCTGTAGGAGACGCAACAGCAGGCATAAACTCAGGGAGACCCCAACATTGAGTTAGTTAAAAGCGCTGAAAGAAAAATACTTGAACAGAAATAAACTCTCCAAGTTAAAGTTTTTGCACTTTAGGATTCTTGGCACAATAATCTCTGGACCCCCTTACAATTTTGATTGCCAACCACTCCTCTCTTTCAATAACACAAACTCATGCAATAAACAAGCTGTAGTTCACATAAATTCTGACACTTTGTGAAGATGACTCCTCATCCCTCTCTCTCTGAGCCCCTCTGTCCCTCAATGTATTTTTGAGGACGACAACTTGAGAAGAGGGAGACGGATTGCGAGGGGCTTGTAGGAGGTGTATTAATTCCTTTGCCCAGCTTTCACCCCTTCAGGGCAGCTGTCACTATGGCCTTAGAAGGCGAATATTGAGGAGCCAGTAAGAGACGGGGGGTCAGCAAAGTATAGGGGGGCTGAGGGTGAGGGTTTATTTTAAGAAAGGTCCAAGCTGAGGAGAGAAACTGAATCCTTCAGGAAAGGTCAGGCGTGAAGAAAGGAACGAAGATCCTCCTCAGAGAGAGGGGCTCGAGTCAGAAGGAGCAAAGAGTTATGGGACATTGAGATCAAATTAATGACAATTATGTAATCGTATTATGACATGTAAAAATATTCTAAAAATAGCACAGCAACATGAAGGAGCTGATTAAGAAAAACGAAGACAAGGCCTTGAAAGCAGCCTGTAAAAGCTAGCTTCAAAGTGTACACTGTTGACATGTTATATTGCATGTATTCAAGGTCTGAGCAGCCTGCGAAACCCAGATAATTTCCCCTTTAGCTATCAGCACTTGACATATTATACACAAATGTTAAATTCGTGAGGTATCTCTCTCATTTAGTCCTATTATAAGTATCTTGATAATGTTTAAACCAACAAACATGGAAGATTTGGGTGCTTTTATATCATGAAAAGAACATTCAGATGTCATTGCTGCCTGCCCGTCAGAGCTCATTTTCTCACTGCTTTATACTGTGTCTCCATGATTTCAGGTGCTGGCCTGGTTTGAGGAAGGCGAGGAGACCGTCACCGCCTTCGTTGAGCCTTTTGTCATTCTTCTTATCCTTATCGCTAACGCCGTTGTTGGAGTGTGGCAGGTTAGTGAAAGACTCAGCCTAATGAGCAATACGACACATCCACTGACAGCACATGGCATCCACTCACCGCCATGTTTTCTACCCAGACATGATTGCCTAACTGTAACATAATCACTTTCTGAATCAAAACAGTAACAGTGTGTCATGGTTGGATACCGTTGCAACACTGAGAAAACCTCAAGTTAGCGATATGCTCAGTGATAAATAAATACCCGGCTACTTTAGCAACAGGTTTCACACACCATGCCCAGTGTCTGTTTGGACTGCAGGGGCTGTTTTGTTCACTCATATTATGCAAGCCATGACATGAAGTAATCGGTGCTGCTGTCATGCATCAGTCGCCATGGGGACACTTTTGTTGTGACATCCCCGCCAAGTGTTCAAATCAGCTGCTTGTTCATGTTTCCTCATTGAAAACAGAACTGACTGTGGCTCATTGCTGCTGGAGGATCACATTTTATTACTCAAAATCTGATCTCTAGCTATTTAGTTTGTTCCCAAACTTAGATGTAAATATGATCTGATTTACACTCAATAGTTTCTGTTGGTAAAAAATGAAAAAACAACATATGATAGAAAAGTGGACCTAAAATTATTTACTTGATGTATCCGGATGTTGTTAGAAGGTTTTATGTCTATGTGGAGGCCTAACATGTGCATGTGAATTTCTTTGTTTTTTACCCACACAAACCTTTTTTTCATCACTGTTTGTGTCTTCATTTTTTTTGTGCCATAGGAGCGTAACGCTGAAGATGCCATCGAGGCTCTCAAGGAGTACGAGCCTGAGATGGGCAAAGTTTACCGTTCTGACAGAAAGAGTGTGCAGAGGATCAAGGCCAGAGAAATCGTCCCCGGAGACATTGTCGAGGTGTCCGGTAAGACACGTCATGATTCATGTCTCTGTAAACTACAGCCTGTTTAATCATGTAGTCTTCACTGCCCCTCTTAGTTAAATCTTTGAAAAGACAGAGCTTAAATTCAGCTGCAGCATTGTTGAGGGGAAGACAGACACACACAAATTCAGCATGTATGCATATGAGGTACAGGCTGATGGCAGAGCCTCGTGTCTTTTTAAGGCAATGTGAGCACTGCTGTGAAAACATGCTGACTGAAGGAAAGCAAAATCAGGAGTATAAATACCCTCAGCAGCACCTGCCACACCTCCTCTCCCCTGTCTGCCATTCCTCGCTTCTGTTCATTTGTCAGTGCTCACCTGTTGTCACATTAACCCCCATCCCTCCCCCAACATGCGTGATTAGGTCTCATTGGGCCTCTCCAGTCTTCCAAATGCCACTGATTAATTACAATAAAACATTTCTAATCATTTTAAAAATATTTTACTAAATTTAAGATCCTTTTAAAAATCATTTTCAGTCACAGTTGACCTCACAGATGGCTCTTAATATACTGCAGCCTTCTAATTTTATGGGGGTGCAAAACAATTTAGAACAAAAGTTTTAAAGAGGGAAAGTGTTTCACTTTAAAAAGATTTCACAGCTTCGTTTCTTTTCTGTTCAAAGTAGATATACACGCCTGTGATCATAAGAAATCAGGAGAAATGAATTTGAATATTTGCTTCTGTTTGATTCACACAGTTGGTGACAAAGTCCCCGCTGACATCAGGATTGTTTCCATCAAGTCCACCACCCTGCGTGTTGACCAGTCCATCCTTACTGGTACGCTGTCAAGAAACCCTAAATCTGCTCATACCTGTTGTGTCCTGTCAAAACCTCTTGGACAGTTTTTCAGTAAAATTTCTCTTTTCTCCCTCAGGTGAGTCCGTCAGTGTGATCAAGCACACTGAGTCCGTCCCTGACCCCAGAGCCGTCAACCAGGACAAGAAGAACATGCTTTTCTCTGTAAGTACCATCATGTTAATTTGTGGATATGTTTGTCTTGTTTTTCCTCTCTACATCTCTGTCCTTGTTTGTCCTTTTAACTTTCTTCTGTCCTTGTCTTCTGTAGGGTACTAACATCGCTGCTGGCAAGGCCATCGGTGTTGCCATTGCTACTGGAGTCTCCACTGAGATTGGCAAGATCCGTGACCAGATGGCCGCCACCGAGCAGGAGAAGACTCCTCTGCAGGCCAAGCTGGATGAGTTCGGCGAGCAGCTGTCCAAGGTTATCTCTCTGATCTGTGTTGCTGTCTGGGCCATCAACATTGGCCACTTCAACGACCCCGTCCACGGTGGCTCTTGGATCCGTGGTGCCGTCTACTACTTCAAGATCGCTGTTGCTCTGGCTGTGGCTGCCATCCCTGAGGGTAAGGGGGAACCAGCAAGTGACTCTATATTTCCAAAGGGCTTGTTCAACATGCTTACAGTCCTCACCTTTGATTTTCAGGTCTGCCCGCTGTCATCACCACCTGCCTGGCTCTTGGTACCCGTCGTATGGCCAAGAAGAACGCCATTGTCAGAAGCCTGCCCTCTGTGGAGACCCTGGGCTGCACCTCTGTCATCTGCTCAGACAAGACTGGCACCCTCACCACCAACCAGATGTGTGTGACCAAGGTGGGAATCGATCATTTTTCACTCTCAGACAGGAGTTTTTCTACAGATCTAGCTGACGTCAAGCTTTATCAAAACCTCCCTGCTTCTTTATCCACAGATGTTCATTGTCAAGACCGTTGAAGGTGACCATGTTGACCTTGATGCCTTTGATATCTCTGGCTCCAAGTACACCCCCGAGGGCGAAGTGTAAGTTGCTTTACCATTATCCCAATGCACTATCATGCGTGTATTAAAATGCATTCAAACCTTTAACGTATTTGTAATTTTCCCTCTGTCTTTCAGTTCCCAGGGAGGCGCCAAAGTTAACTGCAGCGGATACGATGGCCTTGTTGAGCTCTCCACCATCTGCGCCCTGTGCAACGACTCCTCTCTTGACTATAACGAGGTAACATCACAAAATCACTCGCCAAATTTCAGTGAATGAAAACCTGCAGCTTTGCAAGGTTTAACCTTCATCAACCTCTGCACTGTTTCTCCAGGCCAAGAAGATCTATGAGAAGGTTGGTGAGGCTACCGAGACTGCTCTGTCCTGCCTGGTTGAGAAGATGAATGTGTTCAACTCCAATGTGAAGAACCTGTCCAGGATTGAGAGAGCCAACGCCTGCTGCACCGTGAGTTTCCTCTTCCTGTTCGCTGGATGTACAGGAAAAAAAAAAGCACATCAGTATCTTCTCCATCTCTTTCAAACTGTTTAGTAACGGAAATCTCTTTTGCTGAACAGGTGGTCAAGCAGCTCATGAAGAAGAACTTCACCCTGGAGTTCTCCCGTGACAGGAAGTCCATGTCCGTGTACTGCACCCCTGCCAAGGGTGATGGTGGTGCCAAGATGTTTGTGAAGGTTTGTGTCTTCCCTCGCCTCAGAGCGAACACTGTCAACAGGCCAAATTCAAGTGGACATTGCTGTAACGCACCTTTTTTGCTCTGCAGGGTGCCCCCGAGGGTGTGATTGACAGGTGCGCATACGTGCGTGTTGGCACCACCCGCGTGCCCCTGACCAACACCATCAAGGACAAAATCATGGCTGTCATCAAGGACTGGGGTACCGGCCGTGACACCCTGCGTTGTCTGGCCCTTGCCACCCGTGACACCCCACTGAAGGTTGAGGAGATGAACCTTGAGGACGCCACCAAGTTCGCTGACTACGAGGTGAGAACCAAAGACCACGTTTGACATGAATCTGAGTGTGTGGACGATACCAGGACTTTATAGACAAACTCTGAATGATCAAATCTGTTTTCTCCTCCTTCCTCAGACTGACCTGACCTTTGTTGGCTGCGTTGGTATGCTGGATCCCCCACGTAAGGAGGTCACTGGCTCCATTGAGCTGTGCAGAGCTGCCGGAATCCGTGTCATCATGATCACTGGTTAGTATTATGGAATAGATGATTGATTGGTACAGAAATCTCCTTTTAAAGATTCTTCAAAAAAAAAAGCACTTGAGAGGTCTGGATTTTAATGTTCTGATTTCCATCTTTTCAACATTTCTCATCAGAGACGTTTTGTAGTATCAGACATTCCCATCTACAGGGATCTGATGAAAAATGATCAATTTGACCTCTAATCAACAAGCAGAGAGCGGTAGATTTCTTCTCCTTTTGAGGGCAGTAAACCACAAGAAATATGATTCTTTTTTGTGGCACAAATCGTCAAAGTGAAGCCTTTGAAACTGAGACTGCTGAAGCAGGTGTATGTATGGATGCAGGCCTAAGGAATGTAATGACGAAAGATATGTCTGAGTTACATTTGCCAACATATCTGGAGGGCCTGCTCTGGCTTTGCTTTTCATGTCAACATAGGATTGCTTCTCAAGTTGCTAATTGGACTATAAAGAGTGCAGAACACAGCATAACAAGTCTTAATTAGAAGTGCTAAATACTATCTGAACCACAACCACTCAAAGTTGTGTATCAGGCAATAGCTGATTTACAGTCTCTATTTACCACGACAACCACAGTAACTATATTCACTCCATATATCAGATCAGACAGACCCTCTTCCTAACTCTCCCTCCTCTATGCTTCAGGCGACAACAAGGGAACAGCCATTGCTATCTGCCGTCGTATTGGCATCTTCACTGAGGAAGAGGATGTTGAAGGCAAGGCCTACACCGGACGTGAGTTTGATGATCTGCCCCTCCACGAACAGTCTGAGGCTGTGCGCAGGGCTTGCTGCTTCGCCCGTGTTGAGCCATCCCACAAATCCAAGATTGTGGAGTTCCTGCAGGGTTATGATGACATTACTGCTATGGTGAGGACTTAGCAGCTCAAGGAAACAACCCGTGTTTGTGTCTGTGTGTAACTTGTAATCAGTCGAACTCATTCTAATTGCCTCCTGCTCCAGACTGGTGATGGTGTGAACGATGCCCCTGCCCTGAAGAAGGCCGAGATCGGCATCGCCATGGGCTCTGGCACTGCCGTTGCCAAGTCTGCCTCTGAGATGGTCCTGGCTGACGACAACTTCTCTTCCATTGTGGCTGCTGTTGAGGAGGGCAGAGCTATCTACAACAACATGAAGCAGTTCATCCGCTACCTCATCTCCTCCAACGTCGGTGAGGTCGTCTGGTGAGTGGCCTCCGCACCTAAAAGTCACAGTTCAGCCACATTTCGCTTCTTCCACGATCTGACTTGAACCCTCTCTGTGTTTTTTTCCTTTCTTCTCTCAGTATCTTCCTGACTGCTGCTCTGGGTCTGCCCGAGGCTCTGATCCCCGTCCAGCTGCTGTGGGTCAACCTGGTGACTGACGGTCTGCCCGCCACCGCTCTGGGCTTCAACCCCCCAGATCTTGACATCATGGGCAAGCCCCCACGTTCCCCCAAGGAGCCCCTGATCTCTGGCTGGCTGTTCTTCAGATACATGGCTATTGGTGGTGAGTAGAACTGAGGAGATTGGGTTTGTTAAATTTGGAACAAACGCAGGAAAAGTACTTGCCTACACTCACATGCTGTTTTGCCTCTCTTATAGGATACGTCGGTGCTGCCACTGTTGGTGGTGCTGCTTGGTGGTTCTTGTACGACACCACTGGCCCCGGAGTTACCTACTACCAGCTGGTGCGTGGTTAGCCCTTTTCTATGTTGCCTTTTGAAACACTCACTTGAGTAAGAGACCCTTTTAACATTCCTTCCTCTCCGCACAGTCCCACTTCATGCAGTGCTGTGATGAGAACGAGGACTTCGCCGGCATTGAGTGCGAGATCTTTGAGGCTGCTCCTCCCATGACCATGGCTCTGTCTGTGCTTGTCACCATTGAGATGTGCAATGCCCTCAACAGGTAAAACAGGGCATGTGTTGTTTGCGTTTATAAAAGACCAAACATCAGATTTAAGAGCTGCCTTTTATTCATAAAGTACACTGACACCTTTTTTCTTCATTTCCAAAGCTTGTCTGAGAACCAGTCTCTGGTGCGCATGCCCCCATGGAGCAACTTCTGGCTGCTTTCTGCCATGACCCTCTCCATGTCTCTGCACTTCATGATCATCTATGTTGACCCACTGCCCGTAAGTGCTCCATGCTGAACATTTCTCATTTCTCGCCATCTCAGGAAATGAAATAAGTCACTCATATTCTCTTTATGAGCGAAGCTGGACCAGGACGTTTTTTGGGTAGTAGTTTTCCTTCTATTCTAGCAGCTGACTCTTTCTCTTTTGCCCCGCAGATGATCTTCAAATTGACCCATCTGACCACAGAGCAGTGGATGATGGTCTTGAAGCTTTCCTTCCCCGTCATCCTTATTGATGAGGTGCTGAAGTTCTTTGCTCGCAACTACGTTGAAAGTAAGTATCTTTGTTTTTTTCCCAAGGTTGAGCTGTCTACCTTTTATCTAAGAGTAACCCTTAACCTGTGATGAAATTTTCAATAATACATCATCTTTTTGTAATAATTCATTTCAATTTTAACAAGGTCTAATTGTTCTTCATCATTTTAATATAACTCATCATCACCTTATCAATTGACAAACCCATTCGTTTTTTTTCTGTTTTTCTCCCTCTCTCATCTCTCCCTCTTTCTCTCCATTCATCATTAACTCACATAACCTTTTTTGTCGATTTGCAGAGTAAACTCAGTTCCCCACCACCATTAGTCTGTACTAAAGACAGGTACTTCCCAGCTTGCACTGCTCTTGTCATCACTGTCAACGTCAGTCTGGAGTTTGTGTCTGTGTTTGTCCAATATTCATTTTTCCTTCAGTCATGGAAATCTGTCTTCAGTCGTGTTCTCTGTCCACAATTTCCAGTGTCTGTTTGTGTCAAACTCTGGGTTCTCTCTACCTCTGAATGATCATTGAAAAAATTCAAAATAAGCGTCACGAATGTTGAAGCAACATGGTGATCAAAGAAAAAAAGGCCCTCCCAGAGTGCTGCTCCGTACCTAGTGTTATTCCTGAGGAATAACCGTAGAAAGTGTTTATCGCCTCTGAGGTGCTGCTGTCGCTGTTTGTTGGGTAGTTTCTCTCTGTTGCCACTTTTGCAATATGAGTTTGTATTTTGTCTGTTTCTCCATTCAGCATTTATAAGCAGTACACAAACATTGAACGGATGATTAATGACACACTCTTCTGGCAGTTCATGAATAAATCTGTGAACATGATCTGATAAAAGTGCTTATCAAAAACAATATCTCGTGAAATATGAAGATCTGCTCATAAATTACAGCATCGCTTGACAAAATGTGTGAACATACTGCTTATAAATCTGATTGGTCAACTTTTTCGTTCTATTTTTTGAGAATCTCTGTGTAGTTGGTTATTTTTAGGTCTGAAATTTCTATTCACTAAAAAAGGATCAACTCTGTAATAAACACTCAAGTCTGGCAAATTTACACGTAGATATTTTTCAGATTTACTAAACAGGATGGTGTCAATTTGTCCCTGATATGGCTAAATCCATCCCTGGCCACTCATGTTAATTGGAGCTACACCCACCCCGAGTGGACTTAAAAATATTGATCAGTTTCAAGAAAGTTTGTCCTGTCCCCTTACCCAAACACAAAGACAGAGATGCTTTGCTCCTCTAGCTTGGCCTGCAGATAACAGCAAAACGATGTGATACGCTTGCTTCTTTCAGTAGTTTAGATTTACAGAAAAAAAAGCTTTAGCCTTTGTAGCCTTCCTGTAAATCGTCTGTAGTATTAGTTCAAGCGCTTGTTTCAGTGTGGGTCCAAAAACCCTTTCTGTGTCTAATTTTGCCTGTTTCCTCTTCCTCAGGTACAGAACATAAATATTGATGTAGAGAAGGAGGATCTTAAGGGTTGGAAGAGAATGAGACGGGAAAGAACAAGAAGATGATCAAAACCAAAGAGGGGAGCCGTAGTGCGCCAACCAATAGAAGAGAGAGGAGAAAACACAGGAAAATACGATAAAAAAATTAATAAAACTTGTGAAAACTTTACATAAACATAGCCTCTATATAAGGAAGGAGATTGAATTCAAATGAAGGGAAGTATCCCTACCAATTAAGTATTAAAATATTTAAGATTTTATGCTCAGAAACAAAGAATGTATAAAAAGTGATTTTTTGTTAAACTTGGATATTGTCAGCAGTTGTGTTTTTGTGTCCTCTGTCCATTTTCATATGATTGACTTTCCAGCTCGTTACTTTCTAGTCTTTGTTGCTCGTGTCTCGTGCAGCCTCCCTGCTTTGGCTGGGCTCTGTACAGTGTGGTGTAGGGTTGCAAAATGACTTCATCATATGGGCAGAAGAAAAAAAAATAAACTCCACATGCCTGCAGCTGCCAACGCGCTCTAAAAGCTCTATGCGCTCAGCGGACTCTGTTGGAAGTCTCATGACGTAAAATGGGCATGTCTCAGTCACAACACTTTTGGTCTTATATATTGTTTACGTGATAAGCTGCAATAAAATGATGATTACAAACTCATTGACTGGTATTGTGGAGCACATTTTTATTAAGCACACATTTTATGGCGGTGCTGCGAATCAAACATAATGTAGTGATTACAATTTTTAACTGGAGAGAAATTTATTTGTTTAAATCATTATTATGAGGTTCTGAAGCTGATTCATATATATGTTTATTTTTCTGCAAGATATCATTTTTCTTTGGTCCTGAAGAACTGAGGAAACATTTGCTAGATGTTGGTCCTGAATGGTATATTTGCCTCCTTCATCTGTTTCTCATAGTCTTCATCAAACATCTTTGATTGCTCCGCTGTGAAATGATTCATCCAATCACCCACTTCACCTGTGAATAACAGGAAAAAGATTAATAGAATAGATAGGACATATTTATCTTTTTACTTGTTTTCATGGATTAGATTATTGGGATTAAGGTAATAATGGTTTTATCTTTGAAGCATCTTTTGAGTCCTGGTTATTCTAGATCCACTTTTTCATATTTAAGACCATGTAATCCAGATCTTATGTCCTGATAAGAACCAGACTGTATCAAAGTATCCTGATGCACATTTGTTAGGACCTCCAAATCCAGATAACCTGTGCTCTGAATGGGACTATTTCAAATCCTGTCCACACAAACTGGAACATAAACTTGAGTCAAATTCATCCATTTATTATGATTAATATTTTGTGAATAACACCACCAGGAAATGAAACCTTTTTATAATCCCAGTGTCTATGGAACCTGCTGTTTAATGACAGCGAAACAGCAATGAAAATGTATAATTCATCATATTCTGTAAAAAAAAAAAAAAATTGTTGGCATGTTGGACTAATTTACATTTACTTTTAACCCGAGTTTATTTGTGAGCGTTTATGACAACACAGAGGATATGATAGGGCAGCAAAAGGAGGAGAGAGAAAGAAAGATGCATCACGTGGGCCCAAAGTGAACCCAGGCATCCCACTCAAGGACTACAGCCTCGGTACGTGGGACACATCCTTTATCCACTAGTCCTAACCAGAGCGCCAATTTAAAATTTGTTATCAAATCTTGTCAGTATAATCTTGTGTGAATCCAGCCCTCTACTGGATCAAGATAATAAGTTTTTTTTTTGTTTTGTTTTGTTGTTTTCCCAGTCTCAGTCAAAGGTTATGAATGACACAATAAAATTGGATTGCTTTTCTGATTTTGAGATATTTTTTCTCCTTTTAAAATTCCCAACTTTAGGAGTAAATTCTTTCCTGTAGCACTAATCCAGTGATCTAAGTGGCTGTAAATAATCACTGTCCTTATTGACTCATCTAACAAGGATTTTGTGTTTTTTTTTAATTTTTATAAATGAATAGAAGAGCTAAAAGTTTTTTTTTCTTTCACTCTTTTTCATTTTATCGGTTTTAGTGGATCTCTTTAGGGGATGGAAACTAAAAAATTCAGCAAAAGTTTGAGAAAGAGTAATGAGCTCATGACAAAATCAAGATATGACCCCAAAAAATGTTAAAGGGTAATGTATGAATAACCTCTAGTGGATGGCAGCTCTCTGTCATCAGCAGATCAGCCATTTTCATATGACTTTACCAAAATACATTAATAGTCCTCACTTCTATGTGTTTAAAGAAGTTCACCTTTTCTCATGAACGCAGAGATGGACTGATCGAAAACAGGTGTTGGGATGAAGGTGTAGTTGGCCATCGGGTTCTCCTTCATCTTCTTAAACGATGTGAGCTCCACGATTCGATCGATAACATCGTCGGAGAGAGACAAGTCCAGGTACTTCATGATGCGCACCACCTCGCGCCGAGGATTCTGGAGGGAAAGAGAGTACATATCTGAACAACATGCTGGTAATAATAGGTCTGTATGTGAAAAGTAGGTTACTTATTTTGTTTTTACCTCTTTCATGTCTTCATAGAAAAGGTAAAGGATGTTTCTTTTCTCTCTCTCCGCCCAGTAACCTTTCACATGATCATACCAGGAGCCCCAGGACACTGAGGAAACATTTCCTTATGAGCATGTGTATCTTGCAGCCAGTCACAGTTTATCACTCAAATCCATTCAGCTAATAAAAGATAAACCTCCCAGGTACCTCTTGAGCGGATAACTTGTACTAAAAGCCATACAGCAGAATAACAAGCTAGGGGATCCAAAATCCAAACATCTTCATGTTCAAAGTCATCACTTCCTTAGCTCAAACATTATATACACTCTATTCAAAGGCTGTAAGAGTCAAAAGGCAAATGAATTACAGGCCACATTTTGCAAACAGAGCTTCCCTCGCTTCCCAGATTTTTTTAGGCTGCTCTGTTTCAATAATCATCATGATCAGATGCTGAGAATCTACTAAAACTCAACAATCTATTCAGTGCTGATAAAATTGTGTCAAGTTTAATTAATCATTTCAGCTGCAGGTATGATATTGTCTCCTAACAGGCAACTTAACCAAGAGAGAAGAGGTGTCACTCTGTCTGCAGGGGGTGCTAACATCAACAGATATCCAAACTCTCTCAAAGCAGTTGTGAGTAAAAATTTAAAAACCTTTTAAGTCCCTGTTTTTTTATTTCCATAAATAACATAAAAATGATATAGTTTTGGCAATTAAAGCTCCTTTAAGGGACATTTTGCGTTATATTAAAGAGAAATTAATATTGAACTACAAAAGAAAAACAAGACCTTTAGCTTAAGAGACTTAATATTATTTCACTGTTACTTCTAATACCTAAAACAGTGGCCAGATGAGGCTACAGAAACAGCTTTTATTATCATTTACACTGCACAGATTTTTGGAAAAAGACAATTTATGTGTTTATTTGTTTATTTACTGGTTGGTTGGTTAAAGTACTAGTTAGGCTGCCAAGACATATACAGGATAAAAACATGTAAGGTATCACCTATTTCACAGCGGGGCTCCAAAATCAACACAACCCAAAAGTTCTCTTGAGATCTTTAAAAAAAAATTCAAAAACATACTAAAAAACATCCTAATTCTAATGTAGGTCTAATGTGCATGTAACACTCAAGGATTAACCATAACTACCAATGTTAAGGTATCTTAGTGGGAAGGTTCGGACTTTGTGCAAACAGGTACAACAAGTACAACAAGTGTTTGTGATTTTATCTACTTACACTCTCCTCTCATGAACTTATGGATGTATCCCTCCCAGGGTCCAGGTTCAGGCTGGGTCAGATTCATACAGTCGAAGTGAAAGTAGCTCACCATGTTATCTTTGGCGTTGCGTGCCACATAGATAGTCTTTACACACGAGAGGGAGGAAGAGGGGAAAAATAAGTGTTTAAAAACAATATACACAGAAGAATTACCTTGTTAGCTGTATTATTGTTCACCTCTAACAACTTTTATGTGTAATCCACGGGTAAACTTTAACCTGAACATGCTTTTATTGTTCAGTGTGAGGCAGTTAAAGTAGCTGCAATGTTTGTTGAGTCTTACCTTGCATTTGTTTTCCCAAAATCCAAGAGGCACCAGCTGAAAAGGGAGATGTGTCTTGATAACTCTCGGGGGTGGCATTTTGTTGAGAAAATCAAGACCTGATACAAAAGTACGGGAGGAAAGATTTGTAACAATATCAGGAGCTTTTCCTCCATGTTGTCTCACTTTTCATGTCGTGTTTGTGAAAGTTATAACAAATGCAGATTAGATTCCTCACAGGGTTTTTAAATTCAGCTGACAAGAAGAACTATATCTGAAAGTTTTAGGAACTTGAAAACTTCTTGACCTGTCGGGATGTTCTAGTGTGCAATAAAAATGCCAGTAGCTAAATAGTACATCTTTTCACATGATTAACAAAAGCAAAGGTCAATTTCAGCACCATAACCAAGGAGGAATAACTCAACCTTTCAATGTTGCAGTCTGTCCTAAAAAGTTTTCCCTCTCATACTTTATCTGCCAAAAGTTTTTTTTTTTTTTTCAAGCCACATGAAAGATCATGTGGTGTCTGGCTGATTTATAAACAGAGCAAAGCATCTTGAAAAGTCGACGATGGTGGAAACCAAGGTGTGTCTTCAAAAGTTTGTTTTAACAACAACTTTAAATACAGTGTTGAGTCACTGACTGTGTATCAGGAGGTTTTAACTGTTTTGCAGTTTTGGTATTTTTCAGACCCTTACTGGCCTTGAAAAATGTCAAGCAGCTGTTAGTTTAAATGTATTCAAATGCTGAATTAAGTGAATGCACCATAAGGTTATGGAAGCCCTAAGTGGACATGTGTTTGTGCATTTTATACACTTCTTTATTTTGGAGTTTTCTCAATTTTTTTCTTCCTTACAGAAAAAATTTCATGTGGTCTGACATATATATTATCATCTTAATTGCAAAAAACTTTTTCCACCATCACCAGAAAAGAAGTTTGATATCTTAAAATAATGAGATAAGTTAATCCGTTGTAATGGGAATAATTTTTTCTTGAGGTCCAATACAAATAAGTCTAGACCTTGAGAAAATATCTTAGATGAACTCATTACCACAGGGAAAAGGAGTGACATGGATATTTTTAGAAGTAAATCACGGTGTATATCTGACATTAAATTAGGAACTGCTCAATCTTTACATTTGAATCAACTTCAGGTATGAATTACCAATAAAAAAAATAATGTCTTTGACTCTAAATGTTTTTATATGAATGTAAATATAACCATGTCAGACATACCTGAGGGGATGGGTGGTGGGGAAAAGATCTCTAAGAAAGGACTGCGGACAGGTGTGGGGGCTCGTCTGCAAGCTTCAGCATCTCCATTGTGAAGTAGCAGGTCCACAATCTCCTGAGTCCATGTGGTGCCTGACGTCCCCAAAAAACACATCTCATTCAGTTACAGAAGTAAACATAACACCAAGGTATTGTGTCTTACACATCTGTACCTTGTCTGCATATTCTTATAGAGACTGAACATTGAATCAACAGCTAAAACTGTGTTTGCTTCAAAAGTTAACAAGAGCTGGAAAATATCTAACTAACTTATAAGCTAAACCCTGTGGACAAATCAGTACATAGAAGTGCTCTTAAGATGCCCTTCATGGATATATTGTAAATTGGAGCAGTCAAATAAAATGGCTGGGATTACAATAAAATACAAATAATGTGAAAGGTTCAACCACGAGAGCTTCAAATTTGTGCAAAGCTATTTTCACAAAAGTTTTCATTTGACACAAAAACCGTTTCAAGTCCTGTAGATGTAGCTTCCGTACCTGCTTTGGGATAAGTGGCGATGAGAAGGTCTGAAGGGTCTGGACAGAAAGCCCAGATGGAGTCCCAGTTCTGGGCGATGTAGTTCATGAGAGGAATTCCTCTGATCGGAATCAGAGGGAAGCGGTGGATGGAGGCTGAGGCCTTCTCAATAGCTTCACCGTAGGTAATTTCTCCTTCCTGCGACATGACTACAGTTGACTTTGGAGACCAAGGACCAGAATCCGAGACCTGATCTGGTTTGTTCCTTCCTGTAGTGTTGCTCCTCTCTCAGCAGGCTGCTGACCCTTTGTTTGACATTCACTGCTGGTTTGCTTTCCTTAAATCCCAGCTGGTTACAGTTCAAGCCCGCAGACACATCCTGGTTAATCTGTCTTCATCATTTCCCTGAGTCTTTATCATCAGCTCAAGAGTCCTGAAGTCATTTGTTTAGCTTAAATCCTCTCAAACATCTGAAACTCTGGGAAAAGGATCCACCACAAGCCCCTCCTAAAGACTGAGTCCTCCAGCCGCCCCAAAATGTGCTTCTGTTTGCCCTCTTTCTATCTTTGTAACCTGGCTGTCTGATTGGTTGTTCCAGGTTCTTGTCTGTCTGCAGTCTGTAGAAGTTGTACTGGTAGACCTACACCAAAGTGCCCTTATGTAATGTTCACCGTTACGTACGAACTCCCCTTTTACTGAACTTCCTGTGTGTTTTCAGGGAGATATGGGAGGGCCTAAGGGGAGCTCCAGGCACGGGGAGGGAGACACACAACGACTTCCTTATTCACAACAAAAGCAGAACCTATGTCCCAGTGTGAGGCTCGTTTGACCAGTTCCTGTCCATGACAGGGAATTTGTTCTCCAGTTTAAACTCACCTTTGGACTTAAACTCTGAGTGAACTCTCAATCAATCACATGTTTCTGCTGTAAAAGTGCATATTTGATGTGTGATACACGGCTGAGTAGTTACAGATGATAGTTTTATGTGTGTTTAAGGCTCAGCTCAGCCAGAAGCAGCTGTTTGGATTTGGACACTCGATATCCCAACAGGGGCAGAAACAACATTTTCACAGAAAATAAGCTGCCTGTTTCACCAGAGAGGAGCCTGGTAGCAATTGAAAAGGTCATCTCTGGACGAAGAGTGCAGAAATTTAAGAGGATAAATGCAGCGATTAAAGAAAACAAGATTTTGACTCTTCACGCCTTACAACGAAAGACAACAATATTCTTGTATTTTCACTGGAAGGTGACAAAAGTGCAAGAAAGGTAGAAATTGTTGCATTAAACTAAAACTCAAAATGTCACACAGAGCTAAATATGATCAGCTACAGCAGATGTGCACACTGAGACCGATGTTTTTGTGTTATCAGGAAAGAATAAAAAAGGAGATATAACAAGGAAGAAAACACAGAAGTTTCTTTTGCGGCAACTTACAGGAGCCTACAACCTCAAATCATTTTGCAAATTTAAGGAGGAAACAGGGTGTGTTATTGGCTGGAAAGTACTCATCACAAAAGGAGACTCATCAAAGGGATCATTGCGAAAATGTTGGTATGAAATAAAAAGACATCTTGAAATGAAAAAGTCTGCTGGATAAATGTTTGCACGATATCCTCTCAGAAGTCTGAATTACCAGGTTTCTTATTAATCATCACCTGTCTGTGGAGTACTTGATTCTGAGTGGTCAAAACTATAAAGGTTATTAAATCAGCAGTACTGATGTATAAAACATGAACAAAAAGAGTGAGTGAATTTGAGGTCAAAGCGTTCCCCTCCCAACAGCTGCAAATCTGCAGCAGAAGAGGGCTGTGAGTTCACTGTCTGTATCCACCCTTACCTCTAACCCACTTCTCATTCTGCAGACAGTGAATCACAAGAAGATACGCCTGTTTTTCACACTGGGTTTTGTAACTACAATACATGCCTAACCTCTAATTTCCTACTGGTATTCAATGGGACCCACATGTTAATTGTCCCTGAAGCCAAAATCAGAGCGGTAATTGGAGATCAGAGGGAAACTGTGTGTGTCAAGGTAAACTGTAGTCATGAAACCAGTAGAAAGTGCTGATGAAAGAGGGTTCCTCATGTATTTAGTGGTTTTAAAACTTGGTCAAACAGAGCTTCACATATTTCCTGTATCGATCAAATGCTAAGGCGGTTGGCGCATCTCTTAACTAATTGGCTAACAATGTTAGTTTTGAACAGCCTCTGAAAACAGAATGTTTCATCTGAATTTGAGCTAACTAAACTTTCCTCCTGTGTTAGCTTTTACTACACAACCACCATGTTAAGGGTCAGTTTGACCCATGTCTTAAATCAGCTGTAAAATACACTAAAAACATTTCTCTATCATCCAGTTTGGTTCTCATCTTTAGGTTACCTTGTTAGTCTTCATTTTCCATGAAAATATAATTATAATAGTTTTTGTAGTGGTCCTCTGGGCCTTTCTTCACACAGACATCTATACTGAATTGATCTCACATGTCTGGACATACCCAACGTAGTTTTCTGTGCAGGGAAAAACATGGCAAAATGAGAACTTTCCTAAATCTCAAATGATTGGAAGAGGATCTGACTGTCAGTGCACTTATGATTTCAGTTTTTGCTCTAATCATTAGATATTGATCTAACTGGATCAACAGCAACCCTAACCTGACAAGTGCCATAATTTTAATAAGAGCATTTTACAATTTAGTCAATTTAATTTTTAATTTTGTTGAAATAGAGGTTCCTGACAAAGTCAAAAATCTTGATGCACAGAAGCTAATTTAAGTGGTTCTTTTAAGCATTTAAAAACAAAAATGGGTCAGTGCAGACCCTAACACAGGAAGAGGGTTAAGCTATGTTTAAATCCTCAAATATATCTGATGAATCCTTTAACATAAAGCGAGATAAACATGTTTGAAAGTTGAGCACAATAGTATCAGCTTAGTAGTTATGTTTTTATTTGAAATTGTGTCAAGATTTTTCGCTCTTTTACTTTTGCTTTTATCATTCTTACAGCTTGCCCGGTGATCATTTGTAGATCCTCTCCAAATCATAGTAACCTTCTGTAATCTTAGAGTGCTTTTAGGCAGCTATAGCAGTTTGACATGTACTTTAGGTATTGGTTTGCTAATGGGAGTGAAAGTAAAGGTAGTATCATACATAGTCAACAAAAATGAAAATGTCCTAAAGGGTTTGATTGAATAATCTTATTATGTGTTTTAGGTCTCTATGAAGATTTTATTCACTCTGATTGTCATTCAGTGCAGTATGCAGCCTGCAGGGTGCTGCTAATCTCATCACAGCCACTGGGGCATACTAAGTATGTCAGGAGGAACAGTGAGGGTAAAACTCGTCACCTGATGATGAATTTCTGTTGAATGTGCTATGTTGACAAGTAACAAAGATTCCCTCAGTTTTTTTTATCTTATCCATACAAACATTAACAACCTGCCTGATTAAAGTAAAAAGGATAATGAGGAGCGTGATTTGACCTACTTTACATTCTCCTCATGTGACCTTGCAGATGAAGCCTCCTATGGTCCTCCCATGGCCAGATCAGGTTCACACAAAGGTTTGCACACTCAAAGTTGGAGTAGTTCACCAGGTTCTCGTTGGTGAACTTTACATCATAATTAGCAGGGTGGATTGAAGTTTAGATTTAAACAAACAACATAAGAGCGGGTAATTTGATAAGACTTTTGTTGTGAACAGTTTTGTGAAACTCAATCACTCTTGAGGTAGCTCTTATTAAAAGATTAAGACTTTGATTGAAATTTGAGTAAAGTTGCACATAGTGTAAAGACAATTATTGCAGAGTCTGATATCTTGAGTTTTGCTTGTTCATGGGTCATTAGATTGTTTTGTGTTTTAAACTCAGTAGCTAAGCTCAGTTATCACATCAGCTTAAGTCTAATTTATATACACGTAGTTTCACAAAAAGTCAATGTTTTGCAAATGCACAAAGAAGGCAGGCTTGATACATCCTCCTCTGTCTTTTTCTACACTCATTAGTAAAAAGCAACCCTTTTTAAAGATTTTGCCTCATAGTATGTGGTTTTTAACAACTAGAAGATGTTGCTTTTGACAACTCTTTTTTTTTTTTTAATCCTCAAACGAAAGATGCTACTATGTAAAATAAAAATGAAAGAAGAGGATTTGTTGTACGAAATGTCAAATCCACCGTTCAATTTTAATTTTCCTTGTCTTTAATAATGTTCTAGTCTCTCCAAATGCCTCATTCTCGCCACCTTTTCTCACACAGCTATTATTAGTTCGGGGGAATCATCGCCTGACTATCTTTTACATGTTTTACGGTAACATCTTAGAAACGGAAGTACAGTGACATCTTCCTTGGCAACGAGTAGCGGCGTTAACATGTTTAGCTAAACTTACCCTCAGCCATGATTTCTGTTTAACTGACTGAGTTTCAGCTATATTTTATGTCACCGTGTTTACTTTTGGTCTATATCGCAACAGGGGTACATATTACAGATATAAAATAGTGCACCGTTATGTTGGCATTAGCTGTGTTGTTAGCCAGTTAGCTAAAACCTCATCCTGTTGACTGTATGGTTTCGAGTCTGTATGGCGGTATGAATTCCCGACTTTGGTTCTGTTCGGTTCAGATATTTATCCTGTTGTGTGGACGTTCAGCTCACACCGCTACAGAGTCAGGTGTTACTCTCACTGCCGCTCCCGGTTCAACATATGGGGAGTCTTTCAGCTCAACAACCGCTCCTCCATCCGGCGGTTCAGGTACAAGTGAGTCAACCGGTGTCAGCTCCACGGAGACCTCCACTCTGGTACCCACTCTGGACACCATGGACACTACGACGCTGACCGTGTCTGAGGCTCCCACTGTGGTCACTAAAACCCCCTCTACAACAACCAGCCAGCCTGAGGAGATGTCAACAGGTAACATCCACCTACTGCGCAATGCGACGTCGAAATGACATCTATATGACGTAATTTTTCGACGTCTAAATCACGTCTCCTGAGGGTACAGAATTAAAGTTTTTGACGTCTTTTTAAGGATAATACAGATATTGAATTCTTGACATTCACTGCTGTTTTACCTGTGTCCTAATATAAGTCTTCTGTTGATATCCAGGTTGTCTCTGTGACTTGACCCCTGATTTCTGTGACATCGGCTGCTGCTGTGACACAATTGACTGTAATGTTGCAAACTTGAGCACCGTCTTTACTGGATGTCCACAGAAAACCATGTAAGCTTTTAAAGATAAAACCACTACAGGGCACATTTAAGGCACATCTAAGGCATTAAAATGATTTGAAATCTGTTATTTTACAGATCAGGAGTCTGCATTGAGAAATGGCTGATGTTCAAGGCAAATGTGGATACATCTCTCGTCACTGTGACTGACTCCTTGTTTTGTGTCCGGCCTAAAGGTACACATTTGAGATTATGCCAATTAATAATGATAGACTTTATGAACTAACACTTAAATCAAAGTCACTGTCTGATTCAAAATTAAAATGCCACAATAATCTTTATATAGATTAACAGTTTTCTGCATGATCATAAGGGGGATTCCAACATCCTGGTTTAATATCAAAAGGAGAACACACACACTTCTTCTTCTTCTTCTCTTGCTTTGTATAATCAGTTTTAACCTCTTCCCTGTAGATACTGCACCTCAGTCCCTCCCGGCCCAGCCTCAGTTTCCAGCACTAGGAGATTCATACCATTTCTCACCACCAGCACCCCTGAGCAGCAGCTACAGCAGAGATTTCTATCGGGTAAACGCACATGTTGTTGTCCTACTTCTTCTTAAATCATATTCCAGGTGTAAGACAAACACTTTTGAGACCTAAGCCTGTTAGGCAGCACTGATGCTGAGTTCAAAATTATACTTTTAAGTTTAAAAGAATGAGAATTTTCTTTTTCTTTTCTTCTAGGCTGATGATGTCATCCTGACATATTTTAATAACTCTTCTATGAGGGGTTTCCTTCGTCAGCCATCTCCGGGGCCCGCTGCTGATTTCTGTGTCAACCGTAATCCTGCAAGTATGTTAACAAACATGAAATGTAGCAACAGGCAAGTTGTATATCGGGACATTTGCAGCTTTTTCATGTCACAAGTAACTGATGATGTTCTTAATGAGAAAAGGCAACATGTTAAGACAGTCAGCAAATTTATAGAAAGGTAAAGATTATGCTTTTACATCACAAACATATCGGCTGCTGTAACTTTCATTTCTGAACTCTTTCCGTCTTCTTGCAGAGTTCCTGAGGTCTGTGTCTCTGTCTTGTACCCGAATGTTGACGCCTCAGTCATGCTCCACAGACCCAACTCTCAATGCCAGATCCTATTTCTACGGCCTGAGTTTGATCAAGGTTTGCCAGGCTGTCTCCAATTAAACTGTCCTGCACGATATTTCTTTGTTTATAACTTGAAAGAACTGGTTAACCTCAGCTCTTTCATTACAGATTCCAGTTCGTGAGACCGTAGAGGTGTCAGATTTACTTGTAAGTTACAGACCAACCATCCATACATCTCAAAACTTTCATTGCAACCTGTAGAATCATGTTAAGATCATCTTTATGCAAGTTTATCAAGTGTTCAAGACACTATCTTTAGCAAGAAGAGACTGTTTGGTGTTTTCAACTTGTAAGAAAGACCTCTCAAGTGTTGTTTTTTTTAGTTTTACCCCAAATTTTAATTCGATTGCTAATTCAGGATTTGCTCTGTGCTTTTTTTATCAGGTTCCAGTCATTCCTCTGTCTAGCTGGCCTGCACCAAGTACACAAAACAGCACTTGTGTCAATGTGGTAACAAAGGTGAGGGGATTAAAGGGTTAAATTTTGTTTTTCTTGAATTACAAAAAAGCTCAAATTCTCTTTTTATGGACTCCTCTACAGGTAGAGTTTGTGATAGGGTTCACAGGCAGAGGGGAGGTCATGTATGCAACACTGAATGTAGCAGTGGCTGACGTGGATCCAAACCAGTTGCTGTTGCAGACTCACTCTGTGCAGTTTCAGGTATCCTGTGAAAACTAGTCTTCATCACTAATCAAGCAAGGATTCATATTCTAAAATCTATGCTATTGTTCTCCCTCAGTTAGAAGAACCCAGTCCAACTCCAGCTGCACCAGTCCCTGCTGTTGGACTTCCCACTGGATCTCCTGTTGTTGGTCGTTTTGGTGAAGAAGTGATGCCTGTATCTTTAAAAACACAAGTTCTTATTTTTTTTTGTGAGTTTGTCAGCTGCATTTAAGTCAACAATAAGTCTTAATTCCTTGACTATGGGCCAGCTGACCACTCTGGGGGTGTTGCAGAGTGGGGAGTGCTCCTCTGACCCTACCAGACGAGCACCTCTCCTCTTCACACACAACACCATCACTGGCTGCACATTCAGGTACACTCCTCTGCTGCTTCTATGTCATTTCTAATTCAGTAGATAAGTGACAGTGAGGCCCTCATTTTCCTTTCTGTGTGCTGTTTAGTTTCCCGTCCAGTGACTGCACAGAGCTGCGTTCCCACATTTATGGAATCTTGCAGGGGCTTGCTACTCCTGATCTGATCGCCATGAGCTATGGCTCCCAACCGGACTGGACCAGGGTCATCACCCAGGAGTGTCCTGTCAGCCTGCAGGTGCAGCTCAGTCTGAATATTAGCTAATACTGACCCTGCAGAGTTTGGCCTTTGTACAGTAGACGTGGCTTGAAGATCCCCATATGTGGAAGAAAAGTTCTTCAAAAGTCTGTTAATGCTATCTGTGATGTATTTAAGTTACTAGTTCTTTTAATTTCTAACTATTTGCACATTTTGAAAAGGAACAAAGCCTTGTGTTTTTTTAAAAAAAGAGACCATTTACACCTGCACCTAAACCTGCATTCTTGCAACTGGCCAGCAGGGGGCAACCCTACAAGTGACTAAAAGAAGTCCAAATGATAAGAACATCACCCTACTTCTTGTTTGATTAATTTACTTGGTATAAGCAACCTCCATATAATTTAATGGTTATAATTTCAAGTTGAAAGTTTTAAAACTCTTTCAAAGAAGTTTGATATCTACTGTGATGAAGCTCAGCAATGTGTCTCCACTGTTTTTGATGCACAGCACTTCCGGTTCTGAATATGAAAGATAGCAAGGATTACAAACCGCCCTTCCTCCTGCTAATACACTTTTTTGTTCTATCTTTAGGAAACATGTGAATCCGGTTGTTTCCTCCCCAGCTCTCTATCTATCCGTGTGCTGTGGGCTCGCCAGGGTCTCTTACACCTTCCCCAGAACTACATCCTCGGGGCCAAGTACATTTTCCACTGTCAAAATTTTAAGGTAGGCTGCATAACAGGCCGAGTTTTAAAATTCCATTTTTCTGTGCAGCACACACATTAAACATCCTCTCCTCATTTTTTTCAGTGCCCAATGTCGTCTCCTGTTCCTCTGACCACAGAAGTGAAGTTTGTGGACATTACAGTTTACCCAGAACCCCCCTTGGGCTCGCCACAGCCTAACTGGAAGTTTCCATTTGGTTTCTTCACCAGAGGCCTTGCAGAGCTGGATGGACACATTGTTACTGACAGCAGTGACAGGGAGAAGGTCACATGGAGTTTAATGCTGTTCACAGGAACATTACTAACAGGATTAGAATTCTTCTTCAGGTAGCTGGACCGAGGTGGGGAACTTAGTTGTAGAGACAGAACTTTCAGCAGCTGGTTTTATTTTTAAACTTGTACAGCATTAAAATAGAAGCTACATTTATTTATTCTTTTGTACACTTTATAAATAAAGAGACTTTTACAGGAAAATTCAATGAGTCATCGTCTCACTGAGGTAAAGATGCATTTCTCGCACACAGCTCCTCATCTGTCTCCTCTTTTTGGTCCTTTTTGTTTCTGCGCAACCTTTCCTTCCGTTTCCCGGGTCCTACATAGTTAAGGAGATGAACTATTGCAGCTGGAGTTATACCCTGCAGACGTGTTGCAGCACCCAACTGAAAGATAAAGCATAGAAGTGGCTGCATGTTTATTTTTTTTTTACATAACAACCAAATTAACTCAAAGACTTTTCTCTCATAAATAGGGTTGTTAAAGCTGCTTGTTTATACTCACAGTGCTGGGTCGAACTCGGTCCAAAATCTCTCTCACTTCCTTGGACAGTGACACTGGCAGAGAGAAATAGTCCAAATCCTGTGGAAGGGCCATGTTTTCCTCTCTCTGAATTCTTTCAATCTCTGTTTTCTGGAGGTCACAGTGAGGTCGGTACACAGCTAGAAAACCAGGAAGCACCATGTTTATTGAAATAATCAGCTCCAGTGAATTGTTGTGATATTGTATTATTGTAACAGAAATGAAATGCAGGTGAAATGAAACTCAGATTTTACCCTCTATTTTGAGTCTCTGTGCAAACTCCATGTAAGGCGATAAGCACTCTGGGAAGACAGACGCCAACATTTCAAAGGTGATATCCTTGTACTGCAGCAGATCTCCACCTCTGAAAAGGAAGTCACAGCAACTGTAAGGACCAAAAGTCAACCATAAATAAAACTCTCACTGTACTTTCAAAACAACCACTCACGTCAGCATGTTCCTCTTGGCCTCACTTATACGGATGTCTGGGAATTTTTTCCTCCAGTTTGAGGCTGACAGTTCGAGAGCCTGCAGAGCTGCCAAAGCATCATGCAGGGCGTCCCTCACTCTCACAGCCTCCTGGTAGCGGAAGGGGGACACACATCCCACCTCCTCAAACCCTGAAAAAACAATGCGTAGGACCTCTCTTGAGTCTACACGATTTTTAGAAGGATTTTCAAGCATGGACACCAAGCAGACAAAAACAAAACACAATGAAGAAAGCAAACACCTTCAAACTGTACTCACCTTTTAGAGTGAGGCGGAGGTCTGCGTTGTCTGGCCTCAAAGAGGCTCGAAACTCAGCCCTGCTGGTGAACATACGGTATGGCTCTGTGACTCCCCGAGTTACTAGATCATCGATGAGAACTCCGATATAACTCTCCGTCCGTGATAGTGAGAGTGTGGGCATAGAGAGGGCCTGACGAGCAGCGTTCACGCCCGCCCACAGACCCTGGGAGGACAGAAACAATTTGACATTAACTTTTCTCACTGACTCATAAAGACTATTAAGTGTAAATGTGAAGATGCACCAACCTGTGCAGCTGCCTCCTCGTATCCTGTTGTGCCATTGATCTGACCAGCCAGGAAAAGACCCTGAGTGCTTTTCACCTGGAGGGCAGGACTCAGCTGAGTAGGACACACAAAGTCATACTGAACACCATAACCTGGAGGAAAAAAAGACCCAATCAGAAAACTATTAACCTTCAGATCTTCTTACTTCCTCTTTACATATGGGGCAGCATTGGCTCAGGAAGTACAGTCTGTCTGTTGTGTCCTTGGGCAGGACACTTAACCCACCATGTTCCCAATGTGTGTCCTTCACTGGTGTATGAATGTGAGTGTTGTGTGGTGGTGGTCGAAGAGGCAGTAGACGCAAACTGGTAGCCACGTTTCTATCAGTCTGCCTCAGGACAGCTGTGACTACAACGGTAGTTTACCACCACCAAGGTGTGACTGTGTGAGCGAATGAATGATGTATCAAATGTAAAGCGCTTTGAGGGTCTCTGATAAAGCGCTATATGAAATCTGATGCATTATTATCAACAAGAATATAACTACTGTGTAAGATAAACAAGACTTATTCAGTGTACCAGGTGTGTGGATCTCAGCTCTGTGCAGAGGGGGGATTTCTCTGATGAGCTGGAGCTGCATGTCAGGGGGCATCGTCATGGAGAGGCCCTGAGGGTACACGAGGTCAGAGGTCAGCCCTTCAGGTTCCAGCCACACCTGGTGCTGTCTGCCTGGGAAACGCAGAACTCTTGACTCGATGGAGGGGCAGTACCTGTTAGAGTCAAAGAAAGAGAGTTTCAAAGCTAACTTTGTACAATTTCTCACGCTTGTGTTTTGCGTGTGCGCGCGTGTGTACCTGGGACCCTTGGTGTCTTGCTGTATATGACAGTTGAGATGAAGACTCTCCTGCACCACTCTTTCTACTCCAGGTGTTGTTAAGGTCAGGTAGCAAAGTAGCTGCTCCTCAGGCTAAAAAAGGAGGAAGTTTACATTATTGGTTAGAGGTGCTGAAAATAAAGGTTATCATGGTAAACTTTTAGACCCATGTAGATCTTCACATATAACAGCTCTGAAAACACTGTTCATTTTAAATCAGTTCACATAACTTGTACCATTTTGACCCTATTGTTACAGAACAAGCAAAATATTCAACAATTGTTATTTTAATGTTTGCAAATGTCAAATTCAGCAACTTTTACATCACTGTGAGCAGAAAAAAACCTAAACACTTGGAAAGAGACTGGGAATGAATGTTTCACCTTGCAGTGTGTGTGAGTATTGAGGAAGCTGAACGGAGTTGGTTGAGGGTCAGGAGGGTGAGAAGTAGCCAGATTAAAATCAACTGAATCTTTCACAATCCTAGGGGGCGTCCCAGTCCTCAGTCTGCCGATCCTGAGCCCGAGCCTCCTCCTCAGCGTGTCTGACAGCCCAGAGCACGAAGGGGCATCTCCAATCCGACCCCCAGGGGATGTGGTTTGGCCCACGAATAAAGCGCCCGACAAAAAGGTACCAGTTGTAAGAACCACAGAATGGGCTGGGATCTGGTGGCTTCTGTTTGCTGAGAAAAAAGTGGAAAAAGGTTATTGAGTTATGTCAGAAATAATTAAAGGTGCATTTTGCAAAAGTGAGTGAAACACAAAAGCAGTCATTTAAATGTCACTCAGCAGATTCAGTCAAAAACATTTTAAACTGGTAAAAACACTAGCCATGATTTATAGGCATGTCTCTGTTTCAAAACTAAATTTACCAAAAGATCATTATTGACTGTCTGTTTTGATTTGATCCATACCCAAACGTATCCCTGTGATCTTGTGCTGGCCTGGCTCCTCAGGGTTTGGCTCTGACACCAGCAGATCCTCCACTGAGCCCTCCACCACTGTCAGCCTGGGAGTGGACAGCAGCTCCGCCTGAATGACAAACAGCAGCCACACACAGTTAATGTCAGTTATTCATCTTTAGTTCAGTTTCAAACTATCCAACGTGTGTATTCAAGATACCTGAATAAATTCTCTATAGCGCTGGCGGTCCAGCTGGGCCCTCGGGCCCCACACAGCAGGGCCCTTTCTACGATTCAGAATGGAGAAATGGATCCCAGCCCAGTCTCCTGCTCGACCACATAAACCATCCAGGGCATCTACTTCTTTCACCAGCTGGCCCTTTCCTACCCCACCCAGAGAGGGGTTACAGGACAGGGCACCTAAGAGGGAAAGAAGGAGGTTTAAAGGTTTACCGTGATAATTAATGATCCCTGGGAGCAAATGAATCCCATCCTCTTACCAATGGTGTGAATTTTTTGTGTGACCAGCAGTGTCTTCGCTCCCACCCGGGCTGCTGCTGCTGCAGCCTCTGTCCCAGCGTGACCCCCACCCACAACAATGACATCATACTGCTGTTGGGCAAGGTGACTGGCACACCTGGAAACCCGAACCAGGGAACTCTGGAGAAGGGGGAGCTTCTTGGTCAACATGTAAGATGCGCACCTGTGGAGTGAGAGTCATATTATCAGATATTTGAGGGTTTTTTCATGGGAACACGGCAGTGATTAACCCCTTTACAGAGACTCAAATTAATACTTTGATTTTGGTTTGTGACACAAAGGATTTAGCAACCCCCCTTAAAATCTGTCTCACCTGAGTCCAGACTTATTAAGAAACTACACAAATTGATAGTTTTCTTGACAGATTCACTGCATTTTTGAAGAACAAAAAGGAATTTAAAAAAAATACAGTGTGGTCTACCTCAATTTCAAGAAGATAACAGTCATCAGTTGATGAGGTTGTCAATAAATTGTGAATAAAACATTATCGTAATATTTGATCATTTCCGTGCGTGTTTTTAATGACAAACATTTTTGTGATGCAACATTGAATGTGTTGGAATGTTTTTTTTTATTTTTGGAAATTAATGTCTAACCCCTTCACCCATGTGCTTCTAACCTTCACAGACTCCATGAATTGATGCCCATCTACTAAATATTTGGTCACATGATCAATTTCTTTTACCATTTCCAAGCAACAGGGGGTTGCTTAACTTACCCCACTCTCCCCTACAGTGCGGTCTTCCTCAATTTCGAGAAGATTACGGTCATCAGCTGATGAGGTTGTCAATAAATATGCATAAACTTTTACTGTAATATTTGATCATTTCCGTGCGTGTTCTAATGAGTAACACTTGTGTGGGGCAAAACTGAGGGAGTTTTTCACGTGGGTAGGACAGTAAACAGCTCATTGTTGTGTGACAGTCTTGTTTAAGTCATCATTAAGTGTTAGTTTCAGAAAGTCATCTATCTTTACATTGACTCAAACAAGCTTGCATTTCCCTTTCAAAGCATATATACGTCTAGCACAGTAATCCAACCACCTGAGCAAAATAAAACGTTACATATATATACTTACAATTTTTGCGGAGAACAAAAAATGTCTTTATTTGTAGAGCAGAGCTGTATCTACCAATGGACGAAGACCTTTGTTGAAATCCCTGAACTCCTGCTATGTAACATTAACGCTGCCTTTCTATGGAGGCTGCCATGCTGTCTGCAACATTTAGTCGTAATTACAGTAGTATAGGCGCACTGACAAATTTGTTGTGTTTGGTTTAGGTTTCGTTTGGTGAGAAACTGGATAGTTGCGCCAATAACTTTGTAAATGTCCCATGAATTGAATCAAAATATGAATAAAAATCTATTTTTTTAGGTTTAAGTCAAAATGTGAAATGGGTAAATCGTTGGGATAGACACTGAAAACAAACAATGTTGATGTTTTCGTGAATTGGCTGCCACGTGTACAGTAAAACACCCGTGAGTAGAGGAATCGATCATTATGAATCAAATATGCACATTCAATGTATATATGGTCCACGTACGCGCGCTCACTAGTAGGTCAAAAGCGCACGCGCACGTCAACGCCCCCTCCCCCTTCCAGCCGGTCTCCAGTCAGCCGCGCGCGGATTGAGTCAAGTGAACCTACCGAGAGGTGGTGTTGACCGACCGCAGCAGGTTTTCCACCGAGAAACCTGATAAATATCACTTCTTAAGGCAACTGACAGCAACACTAGGACCTTACATTACTAACGGAAGGGTCGGCGGAGCCAGAGTTTGAGGTGAAGCGGCAGAGAGAAGAAAGTAAATCCCGGAGGGAAAGCGCCCGAAGTGAGCTCTAGGATACAAGCTAATGCTAACTCTGCTAGCTACTGCTACATAATTTTACGGAAACTCGTGTCATTTTATCAGTCACCTGCTTTGACATAGCCACTGTGGTCACATAGTAGATAGTTGGGGGGGAAATTATTAAGTTATTTTTGTTTACTTATTAAGAATAGTGAGGTCTGTTGCCTTAACACTTTAGGCCATAAGCGACTGGTACTCCATTAGCCAGATTAGCTCCTCCAGCAGCCGGTCTGATTGAGGTTACACCGGCTCTGCTGGGCTCAGGACAGCTGATACTGCTAAAGATAGTTCGCTTTCAGGACCCACTATCAGTGTTAATAAGTTAGCCTACGTTTGGTACTGTCTAAGCCTTGTGCTTCGCAATGCTGAAACAACAGCAGCAACCCGGCTCAGGCGGGAGAAAGGCATCTAACGGAACCTCGGGCCCCGGCGGGATGTCTTCCCCGGTCAGCGGCATCAACAGCGGCAGCAGGACACCGGCCGGGAGGTGAGTTGATGCGGGGTTTCCCAACAGGACAGGCCGGGGATTGCCCTGTAACTCAAAGGCCTACCGGTTAAAGCGCTGAATCCAGTGGGTGTGTCTGGGAAAGAGAGCTGTAATCCAGACCAATGGGAAAAGTCTGTCTTAGATTGACAGGTTGTTGGGCCTATCAGAATCCTCAAAGTGAGCCTCAGCTCGATAGTGTGGTGGATTCAAGTTTGGTTTAAGCGAATTAGCATACAAGGGAAACAAAGTTTTTCGGGCCTGTCAATACAAGAAAAAGGACAATGTGTTTTAGAAAAAGGGCATATTCTCATCAACACGTGGTTTTATCCGAAAGTAACTCAAAATACAGCTCCTTTGTTAATTACATAGAATATTTTTGGCCACCACAAGGTCACATTTTATCCTGAAGACGAACGTGTATTTGCAAATACATCGCGTTCTTTTTAAAAATGTAATTTTATCATTGACTTTAAATTCATATCCCTATCTGGGCAATGCAGCATCTATTTGGAAAAATCTTCACACATTAATTGCGAAAAATAAAGACTAAAATCCAACTCAATTGCTCTTAAAAATTAGATAAATATTGCCATTATGATTATGATGCACATCATGTCACTCTTATATGACCCTTTTGTAATATTAAATTTGCATTTTAGGTTTGACAAATGACAAAACATCCCTCATGTTTTTATAACTGAAGACATAGATCTTTAAATTCCTGTTATATATGTTTTTTGGCTCCTTTAACTGAAAGATTTTCGACATCTGAGTTTTTTGATAATATCCTGGATTAAAGTATGACAAATTATATGCCTGTGTTGTGAGCTTTAAGGTTTGTAGGTTAAATTTTGGTTAGAGGAAGAGTTGGAAGTGCCTGTCAAGTACAACTGGGCGATTTGGCCCAAAAGATGATCACAATACACTTTGTCATATTGTCCGACCTCGATTATTATCCCGATTTTTTTTTTTAACTGCCAGTTTTAAAGCATATGTAGTTCAAACTAAAAACTAAGTAGATAAATACTTAATAAGACGTTAAATAACTTTTCTTCTCCACAATAACATCTTTGGAGGATGACTCAAAGTCACGGCTGACATTTCTTTTACTGCCCTCAGCTCCATCACTCTGTTTACTTCTCCAGCAACTTACAGAAGTGAGCAGGAAAAGCTCGACTCTGATTGGCTGTCGTGATGCACATTTTTGCCAAGTTTGATCGAGTAAATAAGCTTGCAGCTGATCACCGTGATCGAACTGAAATTTATCACGATCATTAATCCCGATCATATAGTCGCCCAGTCCTACTATGAAGTATGCATTTTCAACAGTCTTCCTAACTGCTAAGGGTTCACCCTTTGAGCTTCTTTCCAACTAGCAAAATTCTATATGAAATGATGAGCGCACACCTGCTCTACCCTGGCAGATTTCAAAACAAATATAACTCCTTAAGTTTTTGACAGAAAAACACTTCTTAATTTTGATTTTTCTTCCAGGAATCGCCCATCTGCAAAGCCATCATTCCAGTCATCTTCTGTAAGTATACTGATTGATACATCAGCATCAAACACACTTCTAAATTATGCGCTTTTTGATGATGCAAGGAGCATTCAAAAGTCCCATTTGAACACATTTATCAACGAGATATGATGTAACACTTGTAAATATAAAGACAAAATCAACATGCTTGTTTCTCAATTCACCATTCATTGAAGTGTAAGGATGTCTTACTCTAACGAAGTTATTGAAATACATAACAAGAGTGACGTATGTTGTGGTTGGAGTGAGCTGTCACACTGTATCACAATGGCATTGATTTAAATGTTGAAAACATGGCTTTTTCATTGGGACTGATGGATGGATGTTCAAACCTTCTCCAACCTGCAGGGGTTTGATGGTGTGTACAACAATGCTAGAATGCTTCATTTCCTCACAGCTGTTGTGGTGAGTCATTTGTCTTGTTACTAATTTTCCTCTCATCAGGATGACGGTTTCATGATGCAAACATTTCAATCTCACCATTGATTATAGTTGTTAAGATTGAGATATGTCTTACCTCCTGTAGAGTAATGTTTTCTCCTTGATCTCTGTGTCATGTTTTCATTCATTTTGACTTTGACTTTGTCGTTTCGTTTATATCCTGTGTAGTTCAATGGTTTTCTCACATGTGTTTTATCTTCTTTCTGTCCTTAGGGTTCCACCTGCGACATTAGAGTGAAGAATGGCAGTGTATTTGAAGGCATTTTCAAGACTCTCAGTTCTCGGGTAAGAAGCTCATGTTGAGCACAAAGAAACGCATTTCCCTCCCCAACCAAATTAACGAAACACCGCAAGAAATCCTTTGGTAATCTGCGTATAATAGACTCATTAGGAGAAAAAATTATGCATTTCCTTTGCTTGTTAAATGTCTGCGCTGCAAGTTCATTCAGTTCTCTGCTGCCGTTCAAATATTTGTTCAGTGTGAGTTGGCTGTGGACGCTGTACACAAACGCACGGAGGAGGAGGGCTCGACATCAGCTCCGCCACGAAGGGAAGACATCACCGACACTATGATCTTCAGCCCGTCAGACCTGGTCACTATGATCTGTCGTGATGTTGATCTAAACTTCGCCACCAGAGGTACAAACTACACACAATGCAAGCTATTTACAGACATGCAGTTCATTTGAAGCAAAGATGTATTCTGGTGGATCTTCCTTTTAAAAGACAACAGGACCTTGTGTTTTACTTAGCATTAGATTGTGGGTAAGCTAAGAGCATTATTCATATATAGTAGACAATGATCAAGTGCAGAGTTCTCTGAACAAGGAGTGAAGTGTTTGAGTCGCCTGAGCAAAAGCCCTGAATGGTGTGATTGTTTCGAGCTTGTGGGGAAAAGGAGAGAAAAATTACTTTATTCAAACCCGGGGCTTTACTAGGGTCTATTGTTGTTCGAAAACAGAAAACGGTACTAATATTTCATGATTTGAGATCAATCTGGCTGTAGAAAGCAAGATTTTTATTCATGTGTTTATTCTCTTTGATTTAGACACCTTCACAGACACAGCCATCAGCTCCAGCCGCGTCAACGGGGAACACAAAGAGAAGGTTCTGCAGAGATGGGAAGGAGGAGACAGCAACGGAGAGAGCTACGATCTAGAAAATGATGCAGTGAGTTCATAATATAAAGAAGAACACAATTTATTTATAGTTACTGACACCTCTGAAGTGAATTAAAACCATAACATGCTGCTTTTGTTGTATGCGCTCTAAGAATTTAGCTTCTTATTGAGTTGAATTTTCATTCCTCTGTATTTTGCAACAAGTTGACCAATAATCTGATTTGGTTTGCAATCTAATGTGGTGTAAGTAATGGTATGTAAATCAGGAGTAATAACTTGAGGTAATAATTAAGAAGCATTATTAGGTTTTCATGATTTCCTCACTTTCAATCCTTTCATCTCTTTTTCTCTTTGTCTTCAGTCTAATGGCTGGGATGCCAATGAGATGTTCCGTTACAATGAAGTGAAATATGGAGTCACATCAACATATGATTCCAGCCTCGCCATGTATACGTAAGTCTCTGTATTAACAACTAGTAAATAATCGCTACAATAAGTCTAAAATAGAACTGTAAAAAAAAAAGCATAGATTAATGAACAAAAGTGAATGTGCTCACAAATATAAATGATAATATCTCAGTAGTTTTCTGACAGAATATAATGGTTTTAACTTTTACCAAAACACTTGTTAGATTCCAGATGATCTTGGCAGTCAGAAAAACTTAAACTTGAGCATAAAAGAAAATGACTTTAATACAGATGATGTCTGAAACTGGACAGATAGAGGGTAAACCTGGAGTCTGAGTTTATAGAAAAACTGTGTGTAAAACAATTACCTTTACTTAAAGCAGATACTTTTTTGAAATAGGGTTATTTTAATTTTGTTCTACTTTTTTGGGCTTGCTGACCCTATTTTGTTTGCTTGCACTACTTCTCTCCTGAAATCTAGAGTTCCGCTGGAGAAGGGCAACTCCGATGTCTATCGTCAGAGAGAGGCAAGGGCTGCTCGCCTCGCCAGCGAGATTGAGTCCAGCCCACAGTATCGCCATCGTGTCAACCTGGAAAATGACGAGTGCAAAACGGAGGAGGACAAGTACAGCGCTGTGGCACGGGACAGCAGCGATCGTGAAAGGGGGCGTGATAGCCCCCGTGACAGAGAGCGTGAAAGAGGCCGAGACAGCCCCGGGGCTGGCAGCAGGTGAAGGGGGGTGGGGTGATTTGTATGGCATGTATATTGTCGTGTTTCTCTCTGTATAGATTGTAGAAAACAATCAGTGCAACATGATCCGCAGACAGTTGCCACTAATAACATTAACTTTTGCTCATTTCTATCACGGTGTCCCAGAAAACCACGACAGAGTGACAGTGTGTCAGCATGCTCTAAATCTAAGACCCTGAAACTGAAGCATCTGAATGAAATATCGTCTACGTGAACAAAAGTCTCTGCTAAAAGAAACTGTAACATTGTGATCTTATTAGTTACACAAGCAAAATAATTACCTCAAAACCATGATTGTCATTGTTTTTTCTGCCCTATTAAACCGTATCCAAGAAGTCTTGAAAGCCAGCATGTATGTTGCCATGAGAGCCGGTATCCAATCAGTGTTGAGTGTTATAAAAATGAAACCTGTGAGACAAACCAGAGGGAGCCAAACAAACTGGAGATTTTTGAAAATACAGGAAATGGCCCATTTATCAGCAGCTGTTTAGAGAGAGAGAAAACAGTGTATAATCTTGGGCAATACTTTGTTTGCAGCAGTATGTAGAAGATCTCTTGTGTTTAATTTCTGAGAATGCCTTGAGTGTTTTTCACCTTTTAAGAATCCTGGTCTTGAGAGTTCAGTTATATCACACGCTCATTTCAAGCTCTGTGAACTCCAGAACAGCTCTTAAACTGAGATCACTTTGTCACTGCTGCCTGTGAAGAATATTTCTAAAAGTAAACTAGTTCCTTCAAAGTTTTGCTGCATCTTTAGGTTTACGTTCTTTTACCTGTTGAGTATGTGTTGACTCTGTGTTTCATCATTGCCCTCTTCCAGGGAGGGGAAGTATATTCCATTACCTCAACGTCAGAGAGAGATGAACCGGGAGCGAGCTGAGAGAGGTCCCGGTGGGCCTCCATCTCACAACCGACTGAGCGGGGGTTATCGCTCCAACCCTCCATCCTCCTCTTCCCCCAGACCCCCACTCCCCTCTGCTGCTGGACCTCAGCCTGGTGCCTCTCCGTCAGAGAGGAGCAGCCCTCTGTCAGGCCGTGGAGGGGCGTTCGCTCCGCACCATCCCCAGGGGAGCGCCAGCCCAGGTCCAGGCTCTGGCCCATCAAGCCCGTACACACCTGCCTCACCAGCCACGGCTGCTACTGCCGCCCCATCCTCAGCCAGCCCCCCTGCCCCACATGGACACACAGTCCCTCATTCCCAGTCACTCCCACACTCGCTATCTGATGCTGGCCGGCCTGTAAATGGAGGTTAGACTGTAAAATGTGATTACAAAGAGTTTTAATAGCAGCTGCGCAACAGGGAAATGAAGGTTTGATTGTTTTTGCTTTTCAGTTTCTGCCAGAACGTCTCCCAAAACCCAAAGACCTCCACAGTCGAGCAGAACAGTCCGCACTTCAAACTCACATTCTCAGTCTACAGGTTCATTCAATTAACTGTGCCGTTACAAGATCCCCTTCTTCATTATTGATGGTTTTTGCCACAGACTTAACCTTCTCCTTTTTTCTGTCCTGTCCTTGCAGCCACCCGCTCTCCTAAATCAGGTTCTTCCCAGGACACGCCTTATTTGGACACGTCGTCTGTTTCCCTGCCTGCACAGAAGACGTCTGGCCCTGCCCCTCTTTTCACCGTTGATGGTAATGTCTCTCGTCTGCTCTTTCAAATAAAGTCAAAACCATTATTTTCTAACATGATGTGAACTTCATTCTTCGCCTCAGAGTAATCAGTCACAGGTACTAAAGGTGAGATCACATGAAGCACTGCAACTAATTAGTTTCTTTTGTCTTTACAGTAAATGAAATCCTCGGTGAGGCAGCAAAAGAGCGTTCCGCTGCGAGCCCGAGCAGCACAGAGGAAGGGAAGGGTAGTAAAGGTGCGGACTATAGATTGGTACAAATCAAAAAGTGCAAACAAGTTTATTTGCATTCGGGTCTTTGAAATCACATTTCGCCCACTTCAGCGTGTACAAAGTTGCACGGCTTGTTTGTTTTCAGTCACAGCTCCCAGTAAATTTACAGTTTCATTAACCTTTGTTTCCCTTTCCTTTCCACCAGCTCCCTCTGTTCAGCAGAGGTCGCAGATTGAGGAGCTGCGGAAATTCGGCAAGGAATTCAGGGTAAGAGTTCAGTCGCCTGTCCATCAAGCGTGAAATGAGAAAATCTGTGAACAATCAAGACAGTGACTGGAGACAACACTGATGTTTGGTGACTTCTTTACCTCGTCAAAACCACCGGCCACTCCTGAAGATAATTTCTAAAAGTCATGCTATTTAAAAAAACAAAAAAAAGGCTAAAACTAAAGCTACTATAGGTAGAGCCTTTAGTCTTTGCTGTAAATCTAAGGTTTTATTTTGAACATCATGACAATTTAAGTTCTGTGGAGACATTTTTACATCATGTTTGCCATTTTAGAGCAACATGTTCATCATGTACAGTTTCAAGTCATTTTCCTCAAATTGATACATTATGCGCGTCTTCATTGACTGTTTTGAACTTTAAAAATGTCAGCCAAGGACATGTAGAGTCAAAGGACAGGGATGTTTTAAAAATAGACATCATGATAAAAACCTGCGTCTTTTAACTTTGACTGCAAATATTCCAGTTTAGTTCATGTGTATTACTTTAAAGACCATTCAGGTCAGGATGCTCTCAGCGTCTACGTTAAGTGTTGTATCAATCGATATATATTCAGTGTTGTGCCTTTTTGTGACTCTGCCGAATAACAGGAATTTCAGGCATAAAAATTCTGTCTCTCCATTTTGAGTGGGCTACATCAGTGTATTGACTGAGTGCTGTTGTCACCAAGTCTTAGTCCTGTTTATGGATATCAGCCTTTCTGCAAACAATCTGGCCTTCGCTGATTGTGAAGCAGATTTATTTATGTGTTTTGTCTCAAAAGTTTTAAGTCAGTAATCCCATGAAAACAAAGAAAGTATTTTGTTGAATTATAACCCTGTTGTGGTTCTAAAGGACATGTTATTTATCCTCTAATTTGTTTTATTTCTTGTTTGTGTTGTGAGAATATTTAAGTTGAGTGTGCCAATATTGAAAACAGCTTCACTAAGTGTTTGGTTGTGAAGCTAAAGAGGCCTTTGAAGAAGTTGTAACATGTTGAAAAAAGGTGTGGAAAATTTGCTTAGTAACTTTGAGGTCCTCTCTATTATATTTTGATCAAAGATGAAATGAAACGATATGTGTTTTACCACCTCTGTTCACCTCTAATCCTCTCTCCCCCTTCTTTCTGCAGCTCCAGGCAAGTGGTGGCAACTCCAGCTCCCCAAGCTCCCCGGCGGCAGCAACTCCTCCCGCCATCAGCGAGGTCGCTCAAACAGCTGCTGCCAAATCCTCGCCATCAGACGCTCACCCTGCCTCAGAGTCCAAACCTCAGCCTGCAGCTCCCAGTCCTTCTCAGCCCCAACAGCAGCCCTCACCTGCCCCCACAGACGACAACACCAAGGAGACCACAGCTTCACCCTCCACCACAGCGAGCATTTCAGACAGGCACTCGCCAGCAACCCCACAGCCGGCAAGGACCCCGGGAAGCGAAGAGGTCAGGTCTGAGACAGCTGAGAGGACAGAGGGCGTGACAGAGTGAGTGGAAAAAAACAAACCTCAAGACTTTGTTTATAGTCTCCTGATCACCACTTTTGTTAAAATTCATTTGGCCTTTTTTAATTAATCTTACAGCCAAGTGAAGAAATCAACGTTAAACCCCAACGCTAAAGAGTTCAACCCCATCAAGACTCAGATGCCCATGGTAAGCCAGTTTATTCCTGTTGGAGTCGCCACAGTAACATTGTTAATGTATGTTTTTCTTTACTTGAAAATACAATTTACGGAAAATAAGCCCTGACTTCTTGTTGTTCCACAGACAAAGCCCAACACTGCGCCCACCCCACCAAGGCCCACTCCTCCGAGCCCTGTGGTCCTTCAGCACCCAGGTGGACAAGGACCCCTCTACAACACCCCCTATCTGTCCTACGTGTCACAAATCCATTCTGTGCAGGTATACATGATTAAATCACAGGTTTTCATTATTCTTCAGGTTGAGGCCACAGTTTGACTTCCCGCTAACCTCCTTATCATTTCTGTTTGTCAGCCTCCTCCAATGTACCAGTACACAATGTCTACAGTCAGTCAAGGAAAATACCCCAGGACCAAAGGTAAATCAAGCTTTTTTTAAATAAATTTATTGTTTTATCAAAAAGTGATGCTGTGAACCAATATAACTGTGAAAATGTCCCTAATCCAAAGTTTTGCTTATATATCAGGGCTCGACAGTGCCCTGATATATAAATGTCAAAGCTCTTCTTTCTTAATGTACTCTTTTTTTCCGATTTTGTCAGCCTTAACTCTAAACTACGCCTATATGTGCATAGAAGGAAAAGCGGGTCAGTTCAGGACTAACTTGTTCACCCAAAATGTGATCTGGGTCACATTAAAAAAGAAATCTGAACAGTCCACCAAAAAAATCTGATATAAGCAACAAATCGGAGCCTGAGGGACTGCAGTGTGAACGTAGCCCACTGTTCAAACAAGTGAAGTTTAAAAACAGTCTCCTTCTCTCACTGTATTTGTATGTTGATGTTTAATCTGTTATTTTTCTTCCTCCCTCTTGTCTTTGGGGTTGCTCTCCATCAGGCTCAGTTGTAGCTCCACGATCTGACCACGGCACTTCAGCACCTCCCATGTTACAGGCTGCAGCATCGGCAGCCGGGGCGCCTCTAGTCGCATCGCCCTACCCTCAGTCCTACCTCCAGTACAACCCACAGCAGTATGGCCAGCAGCAGGTCATCCAAGCCATGACACCTTACCCTGGACAGGTAAGACCTTCTTAACTCTTTATTAAACCTGTTTGGAAGAATTTGATGGTGGGGGTTGAGGGTTTACTTCTTAAGCTGAATAAAAAACGCACCTGTTCATTATTTATATCTGTAGTTAATTCGCTCTTCTTCTCTCCACCCTGCCAGCCCATGTACTCCATGCTACAGAGTGGAGCCAGGATGATAGGTCAAGGTGGAGGTCCCCACCCGCAAGCCTTGGGGCCCGGAGGCCCTCAGTTCCCTACACAGGGAGATGGACCTCAGGGACCACAGCAGGGCCTCTATGGTGAGTAAAACTAGTCCTGCGGGTTTGTTCAAAACATAAAACATCTGTAAGATTTGTTTATTCTAACCTCTCCTGTGCTGCACATCAGCCGTTCACTACAAAAAACACGATCAGCATCACTGTTGGTTTGACAGTGAAGCACGAAGGTAAAGCATAATCTTCCCACTGATTATCTGATGTTTTTCTGTCCAGCTCCGCAGTCCTTCTCCCACCACTCGGGTGCAGTTCATCAACCCCAACCCTCCAGCACCCCCACAGGCAACCAGCCCCCTCCCCAGCACGCTGCTCCTAGCCCTGGACAGGTGAGATAACAAGACACAGTTTTTCTTTCAAATTCAGAGGAAGTACTCTGTAATCTATAATTTAACTAATGTGTGAAAGGCACAAGAACCTTCACTACAATGTTAGTAGACTGTTAAAATGTGTAAAAATGGCAGCCGCTCTGTTTGCACTGGTTAGAGAGCAAGATGTAGAAGATCTGTATCACTGTGGACAATCATTATAGATTCAATGCACTTATGATGTCAAACTTCATCTACAGACTAAAATGTGATGTACTTCTTTACTCACAAGTATTCACACTAATATTTGTGTTGAGTTTGACCTAGGCCTGTGGTTTTTTAAGTCGCAGTGCTGACCCGTGAACAGAATCTCTGTCTCTCCTTTAGTGTCTTTAGCTGAAACTTTGTTGCGATGTCTTACTTTGTCCTGTTTCCGTTTTATCCCCATGCCAATCACAACCTTGAATCAGTTGGTCAGTGAGAAAATGTTTAAGCTTTGCATGTCATCTGTGAATTCAAATAAGTCTTTTCACATAAGTACATCCCAGGAACCATCTGTAATCTCTGTGATTTCTGACACTCCTTTCAGAACACCCAGTCAGGCCCACAGCCACAGTCTTTGTACCACTCAGGTCCCCTGTCAGCACCCACCCCACCCAACATGCCGCCGGGCCATACGTCTCCACAGGGCTCCTACTCCATCCAGGGCTACAGCATTCACAGCCACCAGGGCATCCCGCCTACATACCCCCTGGGACAGTTAGCACAGGTATGAAACTCGTTATCCTGAAACTCATTCATAAATGAAACACACATTTGTGTACGACTTGAATCATGTATATATATATATATGCATATGTTAATCATGGATAAGACTATGCTAGTAAGTGAAGTATGACAACAGACTGCTTTACCCTCCAAAACAAACATCCTGTCTGTGAATTTAACAGAGTACAACATTTCCATTGATGAAATCAGTGACTCTCTCCTGCTCCTATGCATTTACAGGACATCAGGAGAGTCTGCAAAATAAGATGCAAGTGTATTTGAAAGTGCAAAGTTGGGTTTTATCTTACAATTACTTCAATATTTGCTATTCGTGAAGGTTTTCCCTTCTTCAAAACAAACACTGGGAAAGCCATTTACTTAGTTGTACAAGCACGCCCTTTATACTGAAACTGAAGTCCTCATTGCATCACCATGTCTCTACCATTTGACACTAAACAAACTAATAACATGATCTTTGAACTAAGTCAGTGGCGGCAGAAACACACGCCGTTTCAAAGCAGAGTGTAGTGGTGTTTGTGTGCCAAAGACTTTGTGCTGGTAAGAATTTATGATGGTAAAAACTTGACAAATAGAGGATTATACTTCTGCATCAGAGCAGCTTCATGTCCTCATAGGTCATTAGTGCTTCACCGAAAAGAGGGATGAGCATCTGACCTAGATATCACTGTATATTCCCATTTCCACACACAATAAATGATAGTTGACAGAAAAGAGCAAGAATACAGAAAACATTTGTCGTGCAAGGTGTTTTCTTTTGTGAACTGCTGTGTTTCATTTCTCTCCTGATCAAAACTTGGATTTCTAAAATGCCAGGCCCATGTACAAGGAGCCATGTCAGGTCCCCACCACTCGGGGAGCCACGGTCAGCCCCAGTTAGTAATGTTGCAGCCGCCCCCTCAGCAGGGTCCCGGCTCGGTGCCCCAACATCCGCAGCATGGACCTCAGCAGGCAGCGCACCAACATTTTTACATAGGACATCCACAAGGTAAGAAACACAACACCATCCCTTCTTAGTCTGCTCACGATCAAGTTTTGTCGGTATATTTTGAGTTTTAAAGGCGTAGTTTGTTTTGAACAGTTTCTTTGTTTTCCTTCCACAGCGATGCAGGTACCAACACACCCTGGTTCTTTCCACCCACCTGGAAACTAACCCCCATCTGTACCCTCCCCTCCTAACTCCCCAAAAGTGTACCCAGGAATGAGTCTGACATCCCTCTGCTTGCTGGAGGTGAGACCCAGACTGAACGCGACTCTGGGTGGGGGGGGGGACTGACATTATCATACACAGGAGAGAAGAAGACAAAAAGTCTCAGCACCTTATCCTCCTGCCCCACCTGAAGGGGACCCTTTTAATTCTGAAGTTGAAGGTTACAGAGGACAGCAGCGGCGCCTCAACTCCTCCTGCTGCCGCTGCCATCCTGCTCCTCTCCAGTTCATTCCCGTTTCAGAGACATGGGGCACCTCGCTGGGCGGATCAGTCACAAAGGAAAAAAGAAACACCAGAAGACTCTTAAACCTGATGTGGGGTTTTTGCCATGTGAGGTTTTGCAAGTACTATGACAACAGTGGGAAATAAAGACTCTGCAGGACTTTTATGAACACAGCATGAAAAGCAGGGACTGAAGAGGAGGGGAATTTTAGCGAATCATTTTTTTTAACTCAATCCTGTAGTTAAAACCACCCCCTTTTGCCCTTCTTCTCTCCTCCTGTAGGAAAATATAATTAATAAAAAAAATGGACAAGACAAAAAAAATATTAAAATAACAATGACCAAAAAATAAAGTTTTCAACTCAACTACAAAGCTTTGTTTGTTGAATTTTATTGCATCAGCGATCATACTTCTCCGGAGGTCTGGAGAAGAAACAGTTAGCAGCTTTAATGAGCCACAGAAAATATATTTTTCACTGGTAGATAACAAGTGCACATTTAATTTGAAGCCCGCTAAGAGTTAGCTGTAATGTCAGGCTGACAAAATGAAGTGAAGTTAATTTTAAACTGTCACTAGGGGGACCCCTCTTTATGCACTAGCCTCAGAGTCAAGAAACACAGTCCTTGTTGTGGCACATATGGCTCTGTGGGTTAGTGGGACACTGTACTTCTCCTTCAGGCAAGTATGACAGTACTCCCGATCAATGTACTACTGAGCGCACCAACTAGCTCTATGTCATCGTGTCAGAGTGCATGGCCTAGTTCCTCCCAAGTGAGCCATGACGACTATCCTGTCAGTGCAGCAGGCGGTCGTAGCCTCAGTGTGACAGGGCATAGAGCTGCTCGGCACAGCGCTCCAGTCGCTTCTTGTATTCCAGGTTGCTGTAGTTGCACTTTGGGACCCCCTTGGTGCCGTAGAGGAGACCCCAGCAGCAGCATGCAATCACCGCAGTGCTGTCACTGTCACCTGAGCAGGAAGAGAGGAGAAATAAAAAGAAAATAAAGATGTGTGATGATGACGCTGAAGAGAGTTTCTGCTTATAACCTCAGTAGATCTTTTTGGACTGTCATGAAGCTTGAGTGAATACTTTGTATTCATGTGGTCACTTCCAGTAATGAGTCTATAGACAATTATTGCCCAACTGTGTGGTTCTGAGCTTGAGAGCTGGTTTAATGTTTTTCAGTTAATTGGTGTTTACTATCTCATTGCTCTCCCACTGCTCTGCACTTCTGAACCTCATTTCAGACAAAGTAAGCAAGCAGCAGGTGATCACAGCAGAGCAGTCAGCTTTATTCACAGGATTTCTTGTCTTTCATCAAGATAGACAAAGTAATTTGATGTGTACAAATATGTTACCCTACTAACTAGCGTTTGTTGCTACCGTATCACACATTTAGGGCATACAGGCATAATTATGGTTTCTATAATAAGTTTTTTTCCTAAAAAACAATCTCAATATTTTCAGCAGTACATGATATCTGCTACATATCTACCTTGGTTTGTGCCTTGCAGTTAAACCAACTAGTTTTTAAGTCGAACTTGAGTTAAAGAAGTTCAGAGATTACTGAGCTATACAAGTAGGGTATGCTAGGACCAAAGACCAAGCTTGATAGTCAGGTTCAGGAAAAACCTGACAATACTTTGATGTTTAATCTTATAAGGGTTTGATTAAACTATGGTAAAGTTAATCTCCCCCCAAGCTTTAAAAACAACCCCAAACTTTTCTTTTTGTGTGATTCTCTGACCTCCATGGAAAGCTGCTCTGCTCATTAGCTCCTCCCAGTCTGAGCCTGCACCCAGCAAGGCATCCAGGGCTATCATGGGAGAATCATGGCCACTGTCCCCAGCCCACCCATACAGGCTGAAGCTCTTGTAAACTTCATCTCTCTCAGCTGGGCCGTAGGCAGAAGGCCAGATCGCAGGGCCAACCCCGTTAGAGATGCCCCTCATGTCCAGGTACCTGTGGATGAAGGTAGGAAGGAGATTCTCTAGATGTTGGCATACAGTGCTCCAAAATGTGTATATTTATTCAGCGTTATCTGTTTTTCTTAACACTTCATACAGTATAGTAGAGGCTGACTTGTACCATTGCCACTTCTCAGTGAAGTATCCCCAGTCTCTCTCTGTCTCCTCCACAGCGTAGCCTTGACCCTGGATGAAACTCTTTGCTATTGGACAGGCCTCGTTGATCAGGCCGAGCCCCCACGTTGTGATCGGCCTGTGCTGGACAGCGTACGCAGTGAAAAGGGCTGACGCTACTCCACCCAGAAAACCTGTGGGGTGAGGGTGGGTCATCCTGCCTGTTTCCACAGCAACTGCCACTAATGACTCGAGCTGGTCAGGCTTTGGGTACCTGGTGAGGACAAACATTGGACGTCCATATTAACATTGAGTCTCTATCCATTAAACTAACAGAGTCAATCACAGGGTTGAGCAGAATTTATTCTGTATTCTGTATTAGCTCTATGTTAAACAAAAATATAAATATTAGGAGTAATGACTTCTTTTCATGCTTTAATTGAATCTACATACCCTTTTTACTGGCTGTCAGTCTCTATTATTTATCTATTTGTCATTTTCTACTTAACGCAAAAATGAATGTATTTCACTATGCATTTGCTTTTAATTATTTTGGCTAATCTGAGCGGCAGGAACATGCCTCATGTTAATTTAAATCGAAATGTTTATAGTCATTTCTTTTTTTTTGACCACACCACAAACCACTGTCCATTTTATACAAGAAAAAAAAACATAATCCTAAGTGACATTAAAGAGGACGTGTCATGACATTTTAGGACATGTCAAATCCATCCAAATTCAAAGCCCAACAATATTTTTATATAGTATGCATAGATGTTTGTAAAATGTGAATATCAATCACTAGGACATAAATCACAACTACTTTGTTACTCTTTTTTTCCTTATTTTATAAACCTAGAGTAAAAATGTAGGATTTAAACCTGGCTTAATTCTTTCATACCTCTGGAACACGAGGAAAGTGTGTTTATTTTTTTAGGATCTGAGTCTTACCTGAGACCTATACACATGGACCTCATGGCGGCTCCACAGCCTGTCCCCCTAGGGTTATAGCGCACTCTGTAGCCTCCCTCCTCACCAGGCCTCAGCTGAGAGACTCCTAAAGATGGGAGGAAAGTCAGATCGTCAACACTTCTGGAAATACAACATATGACTTTTAAATTTAAACTTTGTCTCACCTACACTGGTCGCATTCCCTGGACTCCTCCCCTCCATGTCTTTCATTCCCTCTATATATCGAGCAGCCACCTCATGCAGAAGCTCTTCACCTTCCTTTCCTACAGAGGAGAAACTTTATAAAATGCTGTCCATCTTTGAGTTTTTAAAATGTGACAGATCTTTTAACAAGGCCTTATCAAAATAAAGGTTGAATAGAATTACTATAACTTTCCTTCCACTAGTGCGTAGCAGCGGTGGAGCAGCAAATCAAAGCAGGATTGGAAACTAGATTAAACCTTCCTCCTGTGTTAGCTTTTACTACGCACCCACCATGTTAAGGGTTGGTTTTGACCCGTGTCTTAAATCAGCTGTAAATTACACTAAAAACAATTCTCTATCATCCAGTTTGGTCCTCATCTCTAGGTTACCTTGTTAGGCTTCATTATACATGAAAATATTACTTGTATTATTTTTTGTTGTGGTCCTCTGGGCTTTTTTTGTCAGTATACCCCTCTAGTGTTGTTTTGTTCGCGAATGATTCGTTCAAAAGGACCAAATCTTTTAAGTGAACATACTGAACCTAACCACTTCTTCAAGTGATTCGTTCGTTTTTCACTTTATTTAAGCTGTCGGCAGGGCAGATGCTATTGCACGCAGCATTGCCAGGCGAGCAGCCGGCACAAGGGATTGCATGCACTGACGCCTGAATCACTTGGTTAAGGAATCATGCATTGAACTACACTCTCTGGAATCATTTCTGTAGGACAAAACTAACTTTTTTTTTTATTTCTTACTGCTAAATTGCCACCACAACTAACAAGTAGTAGATAAAACCCACAGCATCCTATCATTGCAGCGGTTTGCGGGGGAATAATGCATGTTCAGTGTGAATTCTTCTAAACGTTCAGTGAACGAATCGCTTACTGAGCCCAATTTACCGAGCAGACCTGATAAATAGCATACCATAGGACAGTACACTTAAAACATCATGACTTATAAACAAGTTCATTTTTACAAACCTGTTTGCCAAAGCAACAATCGAATCCATATGACCCAAGTAATGGGAATGGATCTGAAAAATAATCCAGAAATTTAACTCAACACGTATAACCCAGGAATTGGGTTGAAGAAATAACCTGAGTCTTTAGAGTGCACCAGATCAATCCAGTCAATTTCAGGTATGAGAAAAAATGAGCCTGGATGAGACAAAAATCAAACAAAACAGCCTGATGTCATAATTTGAGCTCACCAGTCGCAAGCCCCTCAGCTGTCGCTAAATGCAGAACTGTGTCGTCGCTCAAGGGCCAGTCTGGGAGTTTAACCTTGATGTTCTTCAGACCACCAAGATCCTTCAGCTCCTGAAAGATGTAACCAGACATTTGAGATCAAATACACTTTTGGCAGTGTTTCAGATTTGTCACAAATTTCAGGAGTGTGTGGCACTGACCTGGTGGATCGCTGGTCCTGATGTATTGAACTCCCACATCGAGTCTCTATATCCTAAAGCATCACCGACACCACTCAGCAACATTGCAGCCTTGTAGTGCTCCATAGTGGCAGATCTGCCTCAGAAAGACACAAAAACATCACTGATATCATATTTAACTGTAACTGATATGGCACTTAAGAAGTATCCACCACTTAAGTGTCTGACTGAGCCATTAGTATCTCAAGATGAGCCCTAAAACCTTCAGAATTTTAACTAAGTCAGGTCCGCCGCGCCAACAAGGCGTTCCCAAGCACAATTTGGTATTTTGGTGAGTGGCGCAGCCCGGCATAAGTATCTCCCCTCCCTAACTCAGCTCCTCCCAGCGGCGTAAGTCTTAGGGAGGGAGGAGAGAGGGCGTGGAGTGGGTTTAACACAGCCGAGACCTGTATTGACCAATAACATAAGCTCCTCTCCTCGCCTTTCAATCCGCCACCAGCGAGGCATGCTACAATTTTCGTTAAGTAGTCAAAGAGATCAAGAGATGTCTGAAGATAGCTATGCCACACGATGGCGACAGAAGGCAGCCCCTAAACAAGTGTCCCTGTAAGCGCTGCAGAGGGCGTCCTGCACACTGTCTCATATAAGCACAGATGGATTTGGTGTGTGTAATGTCAGTCCACGAATATACCAAACTGGCTGTATGCCGTGCTCCGCCAGACGAAAATACCACTGCAAGGGGTCCGCCACCCTCTGCAGCATCACCGGCGGACACGAAAATAGAGCCCTTGGGATAGAAGTAACCGGCTGAACATCCTTTTAAGTATAGGCCTACACTGACTGACTGAACAACAAAATCAAATAAGTTGTAGAACAAAGAGCAAAGCAATGCCTTGAATGACTAAAAAATTACATCTTTTCCTGGAACATTTAGGACATTTTGACAGGTTTTTTTTTTTTCAGCTTTTCTTCCTAGACTCCAAAGTACTGTTTGTTTGTAACTGTATGCAACCACTATTGTGTGTGTGTGTGTGTGTGTGTGTGTGTCAGTGTGTAAAATTAGGTAGAAAGGTAGCCTATGTGTAGTAACATGTAGATACAATGGGTTATCCCACCTGTCACCATTGTTGCCGGTGACATGTTTGTGAGTTCTATGACCACATTAAACAAAGTTGAGTAATTGCAAATGCATATATCAATACTAGACACCTTAAACATGATTTGTACCAAAAATCTATGTCCAATCTTTATGATAACACACTTTACAAACCCTGTCTTTGGGAGCTCTCTTTCTGCCATCCTCCTCTCTTGGCGCAATCAGGAAGTAAACAGTTCTGGTCATGTGAGAATTTACAGTAAACGTGACACTGCACGTATTTCATTAAGACCCTTTATTATTTCAATATGTGCTGGAAATGCATTGATATATAATTCAGTAACATTTGTATAGCCTTAGAAATGAAACGTTTTTTATTGGGATTAAATAGTTGAAGAAAGTGCGTGCCACGCGGAAGCTAATCAAATAAAGTAGTTATACCGAACAGCCAATCAAAAAGTAGCATTGATGTATCCGGGTAGATTTTAAAGACATGTTGTACATGCTCTTCCGTATTGTTTCCCCTTTATTGAAGTGTTCATTTTGCAACAACCACTGTTCAAATATAGTTTACAGCTTAAAACGACCTGAATCATCCTTAAGTATAAAATGAAAGTATCAGTCAAGTGTCTGAGAGGAACAGTAGAAACACAGGACAATCTTCGGATGTCTGGAAACGTTGGACAAATATAGAGAACGTGGACCATTAAACTACGGAAGACTGCCACGCGGAAGCTATTCAAATAAAGTATTTGTACCGAAATGGAGCAGGTTTCATAAGCACGAAAAATACCCAGTGATTACCCAGTGACACCTACAGAGCCCCATCCACAGTCCTTGTACCACTACGGTCCCCTGTCAGCGCCCACCCCACCCAACATGTCGCCGGGCCACATGTCTCCACAGGGCTCCTACTCCATTCGGGGCTACAGCATTCACAGCCACCAGGGCATCCCGCCCACATATCCCCTGGGACAGTTAGCACATGTATGATTATTGCTCTCTTGCGTTGTCCTGAAACTCATTCATAAATGAAACACAAATTTTGGTAAGCTTCTTGTATGTCTTGAATCATGCACTGTATATTTATACATATATGCATATATTAATCATGGATAAGACTATGCTAGTAAGTGATGTATGACAACAGACTGTTTTACCCTCCAAAACAAACATCCTGTCTGTGAATTTAACAGAGTACAACATTTCCATTGATGAAATCAGTGACTCTCTCCTGCTCCTATGCATTTACAGGACATCAGGAGAGTCTGCAAAATAAGACGCAAGTGTATTTGAAAGTGCAAAGTTAGGTTTTATCTTACAATTACTTCAATGTTTGCCATTTGTGAAGGTTTTTCCTTCTTCAAAACAAACACTGGGAAAGCCATTTACTTAGTTGTACAAGCACGCCCTTTATACAAAAACTGAAGTCCTCATTGCATCACCATGTGTCTACCACTGCTTGCTGGAGGTGAGACCCAGAGGGGAATTTTAGCAAATCATTTTTTTTTTAACTCAATCCTGTAGTTAAAACCACCCCCTTTTGCCCTTCTTCTCTCCTCCTGTAGGAAAATATAATTAATAAAAAAAATGGACAAGACAAAAAAAATATTAAAATAACAATGACCAAAAAATAACGTTTTCAACTCAACTACAAAGCTTTGTTTGTTGAATTTTATTGCATCATGGATCATACTTCTCTGGAGGTTTGCAGTTACAGCTTTTCTTAGCACTGCAAAGAACAGTTAGCAGCTATAATGAGCCACAGAAAATATATTTTTCACTGGTAGATAACAAGTGCACATTTAATTTGAAGCTCGCTAAGAGTTAGCTATTATGTCAGGCTGACAAAATGAAGTAATTACCTCCTGGGGGACTTTTTTGTATTCTCTCCACATTCTCATTAGCAAGGATTGGTTCCACTCAGCAGCACAGCCCTGCAAGTTAATTTTAAACTGTCACTAGGGGGACCCCTCTTTATGCACTAGCCTCAGAGTCTAGAAACACAGTCCTTGTTGTGGCACATATGGCTCTGTGGGTTAGTGGGACACTGTACTTCTCCTTTAGGCAAGTATGACAGTACTCCCGATCAATGTACTACTGAGCGCACCAACTAGCTCTATGTCATTGTGTCAGAGTGCATGGCCTAGTTCCTCCCAAGTGAGCCATGACGACCATCCTGTCGGTGCAGCAGGCGGTTGTGGCCTCAGTGTGACAGGGCATAGAGCTGCTCGGCACAGCGCTCCAGTCGCTCCTTGTATTCCAGGTTGCTGTAGTTGCACTCTGGGACCCCCTTGGTGCCGTAGAGGAGACCCCAGCAGCAGCATGCAATCACCGCAGTGCTGTCGCTGTCGCCTGAGCAGGAAGAGAGGAGAAATAAAAAGAAAATAAAGATGTGTGATGATGAAGCTGAAGAGAGTTTCTGCTTATAACCTCAGTAGATCTTTTTGGACTGTCATAAAGCTTGAGTGAATACTTTGTATTCATGTGGTCACTTCCAGTAATGAGTCATGCCTTGCGGTTAAACCAACTATTTTTAGGTCAAACTTGAGTTAAAGAAGTTCAGAGATTACTGAGCTATACAAGTAGGCTTTGCTAGGACTAAAGATGATGCTTGATACCTGGGGACATAATGAACGGCACAGTCAGGTTCAGGAAAGACCGGACAATACTTTGATGTTTAATCTTATAAGGGTTTGATTCAACTATGGTAAAGTTAATCTCCCCCCAAGCTTTAAAAACAACCCCAAACTTTTCTTTTTGTGTGATTCTCTGACCTCCATGGAAAGCTGCTCTGCTCATTAGCTCCTCCCAGTCTGAGCCTGCACCCAGCAAGGCATCCAGGGCTATCATGGGAGCATCATGACCACTGCGCCCGGCCCACCCTGACAGGCTAAAGCTCTTGTAAGCTTCATCTCTCTCAGCTGGGCCGTAGGCGGAAGGCCAGATCGCAGGGCCAACCCCGTTAGAGATGCCCCTCGTGTCCAGGTACCTGTGGATGAAGGTAGGTAGGAAGGAGATTCTCTAGATGTTGGCATACAGTGCTCCAAAATGTGTATATTTATTCAGCATTATCTGTTTTTCTCAGCACTTCATACAGTATAGTACAGGCTGACTTGTACCATTGCCACTTCTCAGTGAAGTATCCCCAGTCTCTCTCTGTCTCTTCCACAGCGTAGCCTCGACCCTGAACGAAATTCTTTGCTATTGGACAGGCCTCGTTGATCAGGCCGAGCCCCCACGTTGTGATCGGCCTGTGCTGGACAGCGTACGCGGTGAAAAGGGCTGATGCTACTGCGCCCAGAAAACCTGTGGGGTGAGGATGGGTCATCCTGCCTGTTTCCACGGCAACTGCCACTAACGACAAGAGCTGGTCAGGCTTTGGGTACCTGGTGAGGAAAAACATTGGACGTCCATATTAACATTGAGTCTCTATCCATTCAACTAATAGAGTCAATGACAGGGTTGAGCAGAATTTATTCTGTATTCTGTATTAGCTCTATGTTAAACAAAAATATAAATATTAGGAGTAATGACTTCTTTTCATGCTTTAATTGAATCTACATACCCTTTTTTACTGGCTGTCAGTCTCTATTATTTATCTATTTGTCATTTTCTACTTAACGGACAAAGGAATGTATTTCACAATGCATTTGCTTTTAATTATTTTGGCTAATCTGAGCGGCAGGAACATGCCTCATGTTAATTTAAATTGAAATGTTTAGTCATCTCTTTTTTTTTTGACCACACCACAAACTACTGTCCATTTCCTACAAAAAAAAACAGATCCATAATCCTAAGTGACATTAAAGGTAGGGTAGGCAGGATTCTGTTAAAGAAGCATCTTTTTTTTGTGCTGTATACACAAAAAAGCTTTTAATATCAGTCAATAGCTATTAGTTATTGATGACATTTGGTAATATAACAATATCAATGTGTTTTGTTATGTCTGTGTATTCAACATCTTACATTTTTTGAGCGGCCTGCTCTTTCTGACTGTAAACAAAGCCGTTCTCCACCTCCCTGACCTGATTGGTTGTGAGGCGGATGCTGCTCCCCCCGCGTCGTTCATGAGCCCAAACAAAGTTAGCGTGCCACAATATCGGACAGAAGAAACCAACCAGAAAGTAAAGAAAATTGTCTGAATCCTCCTTTAGCCATGACTGCCAACCCAAGCAAGAGAACGAAGTAAATACCGGAGACTGTGGCGGAACAATGGGCGCTTAAAAAGGAGGTAGACCGGACAAGAGCTAAGAAGCCGGGTCAACATCAGCATAAACGATGGGGGATCTTTGGGATCTTCCAGACCCTGTAACCTTTCTGCTGGACAGGTAAACCGCTTTAACAAAGTAAGCTGTGTCTGTGTTGTTGCGCCACTTAACTGTTTACCTCTGGTCCTGGACTATGTCACTTTATCCCAGTTGTAGAAGTCCTGCAAACATTGTGTTTGCTGGTAGTCTGTTGGCATCTACTGTAGCACCAATGCTTTTTACTTTCACATTGACTCGGCCCCATTTGTAATTATCTGAAGTATTTATCTGCATTATATCGGAATTTAACTGGAACAATACGAGCGAGCAGGAGCGTCTGTTTGTGGGCGGGGCTTGCTGGAGCAGAGAGGGAGGGTAGAGGAGGAGCTGAGGGGAAAGTGGTTGGAAGGGGTAGTGTTTACGTTCAAGATTTCTCCCAAAAACTGGCACTTCCTCAGATCCTGCCTACCCCACCTTTGAAGGGGACATATCATGACATTTTAAGACATGTCAAATCCATTTAGATTTAAAGCCCAACAATAGTATCACATAGTATGCATAGTTTTGTATAGATGTTTGTAAAATGTGAATAACAATCACTAGAACATAAATCACAACTACGTTGTTGCTCTTTTTTTCCTTATTTTATAAACGTAGAGCAAAAATGTAGGATTTAAACCTGTCTTAATACTTTCATACCTCTGGAACACGATGAAAGTGGATGTGAGCCTTACCTGAGACCTATACACATGGACCTCATGGCGGCTCCACAGCCTGTCCCCTCAGGGTTATAGAGCACTCTGTAGCCTCCCTCCTCACCAGGCTTCAGCTGAGAGACTCCTAAAGATGGTACGAAAGTCAGATCGCCAACACTTATGGAAAAACAATATATGATTTTCAAATTTAAACTTTGTCTCACCTAAGATGCTCGAAGGCCCTGGCTTCCTTCCCTCCATGTCTTTCATTCCCTCTACATATCGAGCAGCCACCTCATGCAGGAGCTCTTCACCCCCCTTCCCTACAGAGGAGAACTTTATAAAATGCTGTCCATCTTTGAGTTTTTAAAATGTGACAGATCTTTTAACAAGGCCTTATCAAAATAAAGGTCGAATAGAATTACTATAATTTTCCCTCCACTTGTGCGGAGCAGCGGTGGAGCAGCAAATCAAAGCAGGATTGGAAATTAGATTTAACCTTTAGCTGGAGGGTGTGGTTTAAGTCCTGATGAGGTTTCATCAGAACGGCACAGACCACCAGATCAATCCAGTCAATTTCAAGTATGAGAAAAAATGAGCCTGGACGAGACAAAAATCAGACAACAAAACAGCTTGATGTCATAATTTGAGCCCACCAGTCGCAAGCCCCTCAGCTGTCGCTAAATGCAGAACTGTGTCGTCGCTCACGGGCCAGTCAGGGAGTTCAGCCTTGATGTTCTTCAGACCACCAAGATCCTTCAGCTCCTGAAAGATGTAACCAGACATTTGAGATCAAATACACTTTTAGCAGTGTTTGAGATTTGTCACAAACTTCAGGAGTGTGTGGCACTGACCTGGTGGATCGCTGGTCCAGATTCATTGTACTCCCAGAGCTGGTTCCTATATCCTAAAGCATCACCAACACCACTCAGCAACATGGCAGCCTTGTAGTGCTCCATAGAGGCAGATCTGCCTCAGAAAGACACAAAAACATCACTGATATCATATTTAACTGTGACTGATGTGACACTTAAGAAGTATCCACCACTTAAGTGTCTGACTGAGCCATTAGTATCTCAAGATGAGCCCTAAAACCTTCAAAATTTTAACTGATTGCAGCTTTCAGGAATCATATAGGGGAGAGTGGGGTAAGATGAGCCATTTTTCATATTTCAGATCACTACATCAAGGCAACCATAATTTTGTCTATAACTAGTGTATCTGCTTAAATTTCAAGATGTTTGCGCATCCCTGCAAACCAATAGAATGAGTGTAAACATAACTGTCTTGATAATATAGCATGCCAAAAAAAGTGGTCTCCTATGTTCAACTTACCCCATATGCGGGGTAAGTTGAGTTGTATCTCTACTACCCTCCCACTATCTACCCCAACCCTCCCTCACCCTCTCTCTCCCTAAATAACAGTCACTTCTTCAGATTCATGTTTATTTTTATCTATTATACACTGTTCAACTGGTACAATAGTTCTTTTTATTATTATTGTATATAACTGCTAAAAAGCTGTTTAGTAAAAAGTCATTTTAACACGAGAATGCCTTTAAGTGATTCAGAACATTCACAGCTGTATTTTTGAAAAGAAAAAGTAACACATTTCAACAATCTGAACTGAAACTCTGATCCTCTCATCATACTGCTTTACTTTCTCAGTTCAGCCACTGGCTCAACTTACCCCAGAACTACTATGATGACTTTATTAGTCCTCTAATCTAAAATGGTGGACTTTTATGTTAGGTTTTTTTTTTTTTTTATGTTACAATTGATGAATAAAACAAACTTAAAAAGATCTTTTTTGGTCTGAACACAATTCTAATCAAACTTATGACAGACTAAATTCACTTTCAAGAGTGAAAAATGTATTTTCTGGAAATACATGTCTAACCCCTTCACCCATGTGCTTCTAACCTTCACAGACTCCATGAATTGATGCCCATCGCCTAAATATTTGGTCACATGATCAATTTCTTTTACCATTTCCAAGCAACAGGGGGTGGCTCAACTTACCCCACTCTCCCATATGTATGTCCCAAAAAAGTAGGCTACTGACGAGGCTAAAGGTTCACTTTTTGACGCCCCTGGGAGGGTGTTATAGGCAGACGTTTACTTGAAATCTATTAACTACAGATTAAATTTATCTTAAGTAACATGAGCCATGACAGCATAAAGTAAATGCTTAAAGTGTATTCCAGGTGAAAGCATTTCCCTTTATTGAGGACTGTTCAAAAGGCTTTAGTCATTATTTTTCGGAGCAGCATGGTCAGACCTGGTTCTCATCCATAGTCATATTTTAACCTCTGTCACACAAGGCAGCTGAAACGTTAAGCACCTCTCTATCTGGCATTGGTGGAAAAAATCAGCAGAAATCTTGCATTTACTCCGGCAAAGTCCTCCATGCTTTGGTTTTCTCACCGGTCCATTGCGACGCGTCGTCCCCAGATATCAGGCTTCACGAGGCGGTCACACACATACGAAGACCCCGGGGCTGTGAGCTGAAGTGCAGCGATTTATACCACCTGCTAAATAGCTTTGTTCAGGACGGTATATCGCGAACACGAAGCTTTCCCTCCCCGGGGTTTCTCCCAAACTCAAGAGAGAGGGTTGAACGCCGAAAAATGTGGAGGCTAAAAAAAGACGAAGCACCAAACCAATTTTAGAAGCCCACTTCAAGATGGAGATCTACTATAACAATGTTTGCTGTAACACCGAGTTACTTCAAGGGTCGACTGGAGTTCACACAGCTGCAGCAGCAATTCTTACTTTATGCATATAAGCTGTAACTGCGAATCACTCAAAATATATATATATATTTATAAGTTGCCCATTGAATCCTTATGTGACCAGCTGATGAAACTTCTCATAGTGCTTCACATAATCCACCAAATTTTATTGAATTCTTAAATGATAAAAATAAATCGACGCCTGCATACATCAAATACATAGACTGTATACTACATATATTCTTTATACAGTCTATGATCAAATACTGTATATTTAATGAGTATCAGTAATTATTTGAACCTATGTACAGATCTGTCATTTAAATTTTCATCTTGGACTAAACCTTTTATTGCCTAAAACACAAAATTTTGCATTATATTTTGAACCCAAATAATAATTAAAAAAGAAATTACCTAGAAGCCATTTATATTTATTCTGTTTTCCCAGTACAATGAATAGCACTTTGTCACTTTATATATCATTACAACTCGGGTTTTCTCACAATAAGTGAATTTCACTTATTTTTTCTATCTTTTATCTAGCCACTAATGTCAGACAGATCTGGAAGCTGTTTTCGTTTGTCAAAATCTGTTTAGGTACCAACTGGGATCATTGATGGTTAATCTTCTCACATGGAGACTGAAAAATGATTGTTCTCTGTAGATGGGTTGCTGCTGTCATGGAGACCACAAAGTAGTCCAATTATCAAATCAAAAGACTTGTAAAATACACACACAAAAAAAAACCTTTTTCTTGGAGTAAAATTGTCTTTCAGGAATCAATTTTTTTGTGCAACAGAAGACTTTCATTCCTTCACTCTGAACTGGTCTAAACCGTCTTACCACTTTATCGGAAAAAAAGGCAAGTGTTAAACCATTACATAGTTATTCCTTAATTCTATATAGTTGAAGCGTTAATGTGACTGCACTGATGTCTACTCCACGTCTATAAACTTAACAACTGTTAAAGATTTTATATTTTTAAGACCAGTGTCTTAGTTATAATGTATTTTATGGGATGTTGGGACTAAAGTGTGGTTTTATGGCAGTTTCTAGCAAACTTTTGACATTTTAGAGACTAGTATCATTTTTTTGTAGTTACATCTTCAAGTCAAATTGACCATATGGGCATTAAAAGCCTTTCCTGACAGTGTAGGATCCAGTTTGTGCGTGTCTTTTGAGGATATTTGTTATAGGATTTCAAACTTTTTATATTGACTTAACATCTGCAGAGTAACTGTCAAAATGTCACTGTATGTATGCCTGATCATGGTTATACTTAAAACACAAACTGATATTCAAAACATTTTGATATCCTTTTTAGATCTAGTTGGAGGACATGTATGAAAGAGGAGACAGGAACGGCGCTGGTGGATATTGTTCAAACTTGGTTAATTGTTTGGCACAGACATCTCTGATGTTCTTTGATGGTCTTTTAATGTTTCATCTGTCTTTTCAGATCCAGGATTTCAACTGCATTTTCTTCAAGAAGGTGATGTGCGACCAGCGAATCCACTTCAGCTCAGGATTATCGGCTAGATGGAATCCCTTTTTCATGATGCATTTGGGGAGGCTGGTTTGATTATTTTGGTGGAACTGATTGATGAACCTCATCAGCAAAATGATGCAAACAATGATGGAAACCAAGACAACCATCAAAACATTGACAACCAGGGCAACAATCAACAAGAAGAAAACCCAGGCAATGTTGAAAACAACAGTGATACAGAAAGCAATGACACTGATGGGGATCATAGTGAAACTGCTGAAAACAATAGAAACAGCAGCAGTGTTAGTGACTTAAATGGCATAATTGGATGTCACATAGACATTTTCAATGATGGCATTGTTGAAAATAGTGGGGAAGGGGAGAAGACCCCCTGTCTGAAGTGTCTCAGAGGAGGTCAAGAGACGAGGAAGAACCAGAGCTTGAGGAGGGGGACAGTTGGTGGAAGGACCTCTCCGACAGCAGCAGTGACAGTGACAGTTCTTACCACAAAATTACTAACAAGTATACTGGAAAAAGTCCTGTCAAACATCAAGGTGCAGGTCCAGATCTTAGAGAAGAAGAACCGCAGCCAGGTCCTTTCAGGAAACGATCAGGGGGAAGTGCTAGAGAACAAGATGAGGGCCGCAAAAAGTCCAGATGGAGTTCAGAGAACACCATGAGCAACTCTGACAGTGTCGAGACTGGAGCTGAACATGATCCTGCGCATAGTGGAAGCAATCTTGATTTGGCCAAAGATGTAGATGCTGTGGAAAAGATGGAGAGGGAATCAAACCAGCAGGGGAGGGAGGAAGACCCGCAGCCTTTGCTACCCTGGAAAGAATATAGGAAGCATGAAGGAGCACAAGAGGAGCGACCCAAGTGGCCAAACTGAGTTTGTAGACAACATACACAATAATTTTGCAACCAGAACTCTAGGCACTCTGGTTGACGGAGGCAGCATTAAATCAAACAGAGATGCTGTACAAAAGGTGGGGGATAAGGCCAACCAGGAGGTGGAGGAGGAGGACCAACAACCAGGAAGATCAGGTTAGATGTCAAGGGATGAGAAAGAAGACATGAATATGAATCACAATGCTGGGAAGACTGACAGCATTAGTTACTGTGACCAAATACTGTGGTGAGACTCTTTCAGATGTGTACATTTCCTCCAGGAGATGATTATAATGTTTAACAATCATAATAATAACAACGACATGTGCTCCTTTAATTCCCAGTCCTTGTTGCCTCTGCAGTAAAGTCTTAACCAAACTTATATTGTCCGTGTTATTCCTGTTGAAACCAAGCAATAAGTGACACAAAGAGGAGGACTTGATGAGTAGCTCACTCCTGATATCCACTAGCCGATCATCCGTGAGAGGGATTTCTCTCAGAGTGGTCCTTCCAAGCTTCCTTCCCATTTTTGCCACCTAATCAGATTCTGATTTGTCCTTTGAGGACAGTTCCCTCGCTCTCTTTGCTCTCTCAAGCATAAGTCGGAGCCAGTTCTTGAAAATGTATTTCTATAGATATTTGATAAAAGCAAGACAAAAACTCATTAAGTCATAAAGGCATGGCAAAAAAAGACAGGGAATAGGCTGTAAATGTTTGCATGGGAAACTCAAAGAAGATAAATGTACTTGACTAAACAGGAAAAAACAACAAATCCTCGATGCTAGAAGAGGTTAGGATGCTGTTAAAAGGGTTTATATACCAGAGTTCATAGTTTTCAGAAAAATTTAACTCTGTAATTGAAAGTAAAAAGCTCCATTATTGTTCCTTTTCCTGAAAGCCAAAAGAAAAAAGAAGAACAAGGACAAAGACAGAAAAAGTACCGATCTGAGTACCAATTAGTCAGATTGGCACTACCATTTAATCTTATTAACAAGAAGTAAAACAAGAGTTCTTAACCAGGAATCACTGCCTTATAAAATCTTAAACTACACTGAGTTCCTTCATACAGTGCAGTTGTACATAATGTTCCAGTCGTCTTAGCCCCAAGCTCCATTGTCAGTAAACATTTGTTCTGTTTTTATGTCCTTGAGTGAGATGCTGTTTGTATGGGAGCAGGCGCTCTGACTGAAAGGTGGAGGGAGACCAGTGAAACAGCAAGTCTTCTCTAGGGATCAGTAAAGCCCTGCATCACATTAAACTCTTCTTCTCCATCCCAGATTCATGTCCAGATGTAGTCTAATCCTCCCAAACCCGTGATCTGCACATCAATGTGGTCTGCTCTGGGGCTTTTTCCCTCCACAGGGTGGCATGATTTCACTGCGGCACACAAAGACACTTGAAGACTGACGATGGCAGCTGGTGGATCCTGATTCCAGACTCTGATTCACAGTAGCTGATTCACATGGTCAGTCTCCGCTCGCAGACGATTGTCAGGAAAGAGGAAGTGCAGATTGTGAAAGGGGGCTGAGGTATCGGGAGGGGAGCGGCCTAAAGGCTATTTGTCACATGAGTTGTCAAGGGCCATAAAGGCAGATGGCGAGCAGGGTCAGAGATAGATTCAGAGCGGTGAAAGCACTGAAACAAATGGTCCATGTGCAGATATGCCTGGGTGGACTGTGACAGAGGCTCTGTATTTTTGTAGCTCAGGGAGCTTTACTGTATTGTGAACATGTCTCTTTGAGTAAGAGTGCTCCAGAGCAGATGACAAACCATATGACTGCATCAGTAACCTCAAACAGATCTTACACAAACGCTGTTGGCAACAGACAGGAAATTGCTGTTCAGGCGGCAAAAAAGATCTTTAACAGTCTGAGGTTCCCATGAGTTATGAGTACATTTATGAAGTTTTATGCGCACATGTCTTGCGCTGTTTGTCTCTTGAACAACAGTGTTCTGGTCCATCATTGTTCGGCCGTCACCTAGAAAATAAATCAACTTTGCAACAGTGAACTCCCATGAGAGTTTGCACTGATGTGATGAACCCCTTACCCCAAAAAATCAGAGAAAACCTAAACCCTATCCAGCATGTAGCTTTTAAAACAATAGCTAATCTTAGTTCGCCCGCGTTTTCTCCATGTTTAACAAAAAATTATGTTAATCTGTGTTTATTATTTACGACCTAGAAAGGCGCAGACAATCCTAGTAGTTACCGGTCTTCATACTCATTGATACCCTTTTAATTTGACATAAATGGTCCCTTTGACCTTAAGAGCGAACATATTATCAGTGAGAGGGTTATCTGTGTGAATGGTTCTTTCAAATGTCAATGAGTCAAAATCAGGTTAAGTGACTGAAAATGTTCTACTTTTTCCATCAAAGTAACAGGGTAGCTTGTTACCTGATTAAAGGAAGTAAAGTGTAGAAAATACTGAGCCCATGTACGGTACATAATCAGAAGAGAGGTGAGAGTTCCTCATTGATCACTGATGCGGGCCAACTCACCGCTGGCTGAAGTCATATTAATTAATATTGAAGGTTTAACTCAATTTCAAAGGCAGTTCATATAATAGTCATCAAATTACAATTAGTATTAGAGGTTGACAGATTAGAGGATGATGCCTAAACCGATAATGTAAGAGTCAATATCACACTGTTGTGTTTCTTCTTTTTCAATAAAAATGTAATTCCAGCTGTCTTAAACAATTTAAAAACGAAACAAATCCAAGCTAAATATTATGATTAATATTTAAGGATGTCATATATAGATCCATTATTTCCTGTACATTAAAGTCAAATATTCACGGGTATCTCAGTAGCATATTTAAAATAGATGTTCACATAATGCTGTTATTGGCTTTGTGAGGGCGAAAGCAGAAATGATGCCAATTACAAAAAAAAAAAGAAGCCATTAATCAGCCAACCCATAAATCGCTCTTTCTCTAATCATCATATTATAATATAAATAATTGCAGTGTGCGACTCTGATGATGTATTGTCTTGTAGCTTTTCGGAGTCGGCGGTGACTTTTGACAAAAATCTCATCCTCTTCTCCTTTACCTGTTACATGTATCACACCCTGCAAATCTCTTCAGAGAAAACTACTTATTAAAAGATGGGGGGATACTGTATGTGTTGGAGCTGTAAATTGCTTCATCTGGCACAGACCCAGCGGCAGTGCAAACAGGGATAAAAATAACAGAAAAAAACTGAATCTTCCTTCTGATAGTTGTGTTTGCTCATGTGGATCATACAGAGGTGTCAGTAATAATTTGAGGCAGAGAAAGCTGCTTAAAATGGACACATATTAATAGGTTGTAATTTCACAACTATTTTATACACTACTGTAAGACACGTCTAAAAAAACTCCTTTTTCTAAGTTGTAAAGATACATGTGTTCACTGAAAATGAAGCCATCCATGGTTTATCCATTAAAAAAAAGAGTTGATAGCTGCAGTATTGGAGCAATATGTATGAAGGGATGAGCCAGCAGAAACAACAAAGCTACACAGTCACACTTCCAGAAAATACCATTACCCAGAAATCTGTATGAATGTCTGTCTTCCCTCACTTCTGAAAGGACTTCACAGGCAGCTGGAAACAGGATAATGATGAAACCCATTTTGCTGTTGCATTACAGCCAAAACAAACAGCTTCAAAGATATGTGCCATTCCCCACTACTAATTATCGAGCCAGAGACGTTTGTGCTCATGTGATTATAATGTTTTTTTAAATTGCCCCCTTTGGCATTGTGGAGCTCCAGTGTTGCTTCTTTAGCAGGGTGGCTGGTTTAGTGCTGCTTGGCGACAGGCTGAAGGTACAGTCAGCTTGACTAAACCTGACAAACTTGCTCCTGGGTTGCCTCTTAGGGATGGAGTGAAGAGAATCTCAAACGGGTGCAGGGGTGATGTGTTGGCAGCAAACACTGCCTGAAGGAAGGATGGACGATGCAGCTTTACAGCCAAATCCAACACCCTCCCTCCAGCTGGATAGGACATTCTGTCCTTTTTTTCAACGTGTCTTTGCTAAAACATCACTCATTTACAATGGATGTTATTTTTGTGAGAATTAAAGATTGTTTGATGTTTGAGTGAGCCCAAACTTGAGCTACAATAACTGTTAATTAATGACTTCATTCTCACACTGATGAATTAATTCATCAATTTTCCTTCCTCATAACAATTATCTTGAACTTCTCAGCGTGAGATTATACATTTTCTCTCTTTGCAAACTATTAATCTGTGATTTGGCCTGTTGCTCAGACAAAACAAGAACATTGAAACTGAGTTAGTAGTTTTTACATTAAAAGTTAAGTTAATGAATGAATGTTTTAAGTGAATTATCACAGAAGACCAGCAGTAATTCATATTTGGATGCTGAAGCCTGAGGACATTTGGCATTTTGTTTTTTCTTGTAGATTTTAGGTTTACAATTTCCTCTAATGCGTATCACAGCAGCAACTTAAGGGTAAGAACTATTCATTCTAGCATTATAAACAGTGGTGCCCTTTGAATAAAACCAATTCCAGCACAGCGCTGAGTTTCCTCTCTTCATCTCTAAATAACCATCATGTAAATAAGCCTCTCAGTGGGATGAAAATATAAATATAAGTCATCACCTCTCCTCTCCATCCAAAAGATTTATAAACAAATACATTTTTAATCATCAAATTAAGCTTTCAAAACACACTCGACTTTAGCACTTAACCTTTTGCAGCAATACTGGTAGCAATATTGATGCTATGCAAAGTTATACCTCTCCCATTGACTCAGAGACATGGGAAAATAATTC